GTTTCCATGCATATGTTAGTGAGGCATCTGTACGTCATGGGGCCGAGTTGGTTCACATAGGTACACTTCTGGAGCCTGTTTTTTTTAGTTGGTTTGGTGAACGTTTGTGTGTGCAAGACTCGCGGGATCATTGTTGTCAATGCCGGCCGTGATACTCATGATCAGACTGCTGTGTTGATGGCTCCGCAAATGAGGACTGGCTGCTGTCGCTAATGCACTTTTACTAGCTTGGCCCAATCTAAACCACGGCACTGTCCACACCATTTACGAGGGCGCTGTCAGAGTCATCTATTGGCCGCCACACAGCGAGCTGGCCCACCAGAGCTGGCCATCACGATGGTGCAGCGGGCCGTTCAGATAGTACGTCTCCGCGTGCCGCTGTTTTGGGCCCCGTCTGGTTGACTCTGGGCCCGTCCGAGCTTGGGCTAGTATAGTTTGTCTTGTACTACCCAGCGTATAGGTACTGTTGGCAATTTCCACTTGTTCTGCCGTAGGCATCTTCTGGGCGAGGTAGCAATGACTGCTCCTGTGCCATCGGGCTGCTGTGAGGGCGGCCGCGTAGCCTTATGTACGTCCATCCGCATTTGCTTCCATGCAGCTATGCTCTCAGCGAGTCGGCAGGCAGCATATGTACTGTGTGAGGAGATGAGATGCATGTGAATGGGTTGACTTGTCATTTTCGCTTGTTGAGAGATCGCTCACATTGCCTGCAAGAGGAAATCCATTGAGGTCTATCCCCGTGCCATCGGATATTTCCACCTCGAGCGCCCTTTTCATGATTAGAGGAACGGGCCAATAGGTGGTTGGTTTTTTTTTGGGTAAAAGAAAAAAGAACCAAACAAATCATGGCAACTCATAGATCATTTTTAGCTTGTCAAGGCCCCGGGGGGTTTTGATCTGGTGAGATAGTTTTTGTGAATAGCACCCATGAAAGGCTCGTGTCTGTGCAAAATGAGGTCGAGCACTGGAGCAAGGATCTCTCCCCTCCTCCTACAGTCGTCCTTCAAGCACAGCCGGTGCATCTGCGCTAAGCTATTGGATGGCGTGTCAGTGATTTTGCACATCGTAGCAGTCTTGTATATACGACTGGAACTCATAGGATCTGGCGCTTGGCGTTGGGAAGTCGAGACGGGGCTGTGAAAGGTCGCTTCGGGGTAGCCGCAAGCTGGTCTGGTTTTTGGCGCCCCTTCCACAGCCCCCTGTTTCAAGACCATTAGTGCTATGTTCAGGGATTGCTCGACTTTTTGTTCGAAGACGTTCACTATAGTATGGGCCTTGCCACCATTAAAGCGAGGGTCTTAGACTTGCATCAGGTAGCTATTCCCAGACACTTGTATGCGAGCACCCTTCTGGAGCTAGTCCTTTCTTGAGGCAAGTTAATAGGTATTGATTCAGCTCGGAGTCCGGTAGTCCCCTCTGGGTCCAGATGCTTCAGATGCATTTCACGACTGGTGAGGATGGTCGCCTTCGTCTCAATGTTACGTTTGTGGTCCAGAACGCATTGTAGGTCTTGAGGTGAGCGATGCCATTTAGCATGTCATCGCAAAATGCAAGACGTCGCTGGAGTGGGAATTGTGTCCGCGTACTGCTATCAATGGTTCCTCCAAACCTCGATGATAGCGTTCAAGGGTTCTCCAAAATGATGGTGATCGATAGTGAACCCGGCATAGCATATCCAGAACTATAGGCGCCAGTCAGAGAGACTAAGACGCCTTAGAATGGAGCCTGCTTTGGTATCGCAGCTCGGGTTCGAGATTTGTACCATCACATTAGGGGGTGTTGTCGTTTGTGGACCGATATTCCAATGGACAGTCTGAAAAGGCCTAGAAGCGAGTTGAGCTCGAGCCAAATAGGCAAGAAGGCGGAGTTGCGGAGGAGAGACTAAGAGAGAAGGGAAAGAAATGAGGAAAAAGCAAATATGCGTCGCAAGTAAACAAGGTGGCGGAGGGGTGGTTGGCAGAGCCGAGTGGTGGCAGGTATTAGTGTAATGCACGTGCTACGGCTGCGGCAGGGCGTCATCGTCTGAATGAGCTGCGTGCATGGCTCACTGCAGTGATAAAAGCAGCCACGCACCGATTGTGTAGTAGCACAGCAGTGCCAGGGCACCTAGGGTGCCAGATTGGAGTGGATAGATTGGTGAGTAGAACGATCATATCCTGGCAGGCCCATCGATGACATGGAGTAAATGAAACGCAAGAACCCTATTTGAAGTAGCTGGTCGAGCTGGGATATCAAGGCCCACACCCACGGTGATCAGTCAGATACCCTCTTTCTTAGGGACAGTAGGTAGATGCTGTACAGCTTTGGGGTTGTTGTCCCTTTGCTAAGAGAGGGCTTGGTCCATGGCATCTGGCAGGCAAGCTTAGCTTAATGGCAACTGAGCTGTCTAGCTTGGTCAATTGGAGGCTCGCCACCCATAGCCTATGCGAGGATGGACGGGCCTGGATCAATCGGGATGCATCTGACGAACATTTTGTCTCTTCTTCCAGGTGGTGTTTGATCGGCGAGTGCAGATACAACCCTGGACACATGGGTAGAAGGAGGAGAGAATGACCGGCTGGTTGGATGTAAGGGACGGGCGGAGGTTGGATGTGCCTTCTTAGTTGATCGGTCTTGTTACCTTCCAGGTGGATGTTGGTCGTCCTGACTTCTGATGGGGCTAGTAGTGGATAAATATGGGTATAGCAGGAATGGTGGAGGAAAGTGGAAAGAACCCGGCACCACGGCGGGGCTGCTGGGATTGTTCAGCACGGAAAAGTGGACGGCCCTGCGCGTGTGGTTGGTTGGCAAGCTGGGCCGGACCTTCCCCAAGATACGAAGATGCGAGATTGATGTGCAACAATGCTTTGTCCAGCTGTCTAGGGTGCCTGCCTCCAGTGCTGTTCTTGCCTGCCGTGGCTCTTGATCCTGTGCCGGTCTGGAACCATAGTGCCTAGAGGTATCAAAGAGAACACCGTCTTCCATCCACTAGTTCCAGTCTCTGGGGCTTGGGTAGTCAGGTAATGCTGCTCATTGCAGGGACCTGGAACAAGGAGGGACGCGGCTGGTCTGCCCGGTGTTCCAGACACGGGTGTCGTTGGGAAACATGCTCTCGTCCCCATCTTCGCGCTTGAAGCATCAGACACTTTCCAGCTAGCAGGCACAGCGAAGTAAGGTAGGGGTTGGCACCCCAGCAGTGGCGAGCGGGCACCCATGGCAGAAGCCCGCATCGACCGATTTACCGTCCCACGGGAGCATGAATAATGTCCCGGCACGACGCTCATCTGAACTTCTCGGTAACCACCTGCCCTGCATTATTACCCATGCTATACCTGTCGCTTTCCATCTCTCTCTGCCCACTGCTTTGGCGGCTTCTGCCCTGCCTAAGGCAACAAACCACTAACCCTGCTTAGGCCCCGAACCTGCAGTAAGTTGGGGGATCATCGCTCGCCATATTCTTCAGGTCCTGCTCTGTCCGATCCCGTGCTTATCCACTGCGATGATAGTTCCTACATTAGCCTAAGTGACCTGTCTGTCTGCCTCCAGCGTCTTCCGTGCATGCAGACCAGTCTGTTTGCATAGCTGTCGCTAGTGTTGAGTTATTCCTGACACGCCGATTCAGGTCTCTTGCATCTTGCCTTTGATCGCTGGCCGGAGATCATGCACTGTGCTCAAAACTCTCTGTCTCTCAGGCGAAACGCGTCCTGGCACCGTCTTTGCTCTTAGTGGGGTACCTAGTTAGAGGCCGATATGGAGTCGTTCAGGGACTTTCTTAGCGGAAGCCAGGTGTATAGCCAATATTCCTTAACGGCTGAAACTTGCAATCATCCACCTGTGTATAATGTGCTCATCATAGCCATATTGCTGAGAAGATGTCTCTCCTCAGGTCTGCGCGTTCGTCATATTTGCTGCTCGCTCCAGCGTGTTCTTCCCCTGTCTGCAGGCCATATCCTCACCCTCTCCCAGCGGGTCGTGTCTTGATCCCACCCAATCTGTTGCATACGCCCCCTCCCCCATGCGTGTATCCGACTATCGACTGCTGTGTCCCTCTTTTCATCCTCACACGGCTCGAGACCTCCACATGCGTGTTTCCCATCATATCTCTACTTCTCCACATCCTTGCCCCTTGCCAAAAGTATGTGTCTTTCTTTTTTCCTACTAGCTCTAGGACTCCTTGCAGCCACCTCTCGGCAAGCTACGCAGACGGACGGACGGGTCTGCTCTTGGAGTTGATCTAGAGAATGCGACAACTGTACACCCCTGGCGGGTTGAGGCCCGCGAAGGCCTTGATTTTGCTGGAGCTTCGTCCTTACCTTTCGTTTCTTATAAGTACTTGGGTGTTTCTCCTTATTCTTCCCTGATGTGCCTCTGAGTCAACGCAGGAGTTTTGGATCAACTTCTCTGCTACCACGTCCGTCAGACTCAAGTGACGTTTATTTATCAAGCCTGAAGCAACTTGATTATCATTCCCTTATAGAGGCATCGAGTAAGCGGTATCATTGGCTCTGATCTGCCATACGACTCATCTTGCTGTACTCCAAGGCACAACTCTACAGCCGACCATCGCCAATTGACAACGTCCCAAGAAGGAAAACTAGAGGAAGCTATTGCTCACGACCAATCTCGGTCCTTGATACGAACAAGAGACAACTGCACGGGGCTTCTGGGCTGCCCAGGACTGCACTCGAGTGCGCCTGTCGATTTTACGTCAGTGACCGGCGTTTCCCTAAGAGTGCTGGAATTCCTCACCGTTTTATCTCCTGCTTGGAAATCCAGATGTAGGTACTTCTCCAGTTATTCTCGATTTCTCTATTACATGGAATGGTTTCTGCTCGAAGACAGCGGTGCCTTTGCTGCCTGCAGACACCAAATATTCCTCGAGATTACACCTGGAAGCGAGTTAAATGGAATAACTAACATCAGGTGTAGCCATTTTCATCTGCGAAACAGATTGGTTACATTTCTGCTAGCAGATAATTGCCATTGAAAGCCAACAAGCCTTTTGTTGAGCTATGGATATCATGGAAATCATGGAACAAGACTCCACTGCTCGCCCACACCGATGCAACTGGGCTGGTTGTACCAAAGTACGTGTGCAATCCCCAATCCAGCAAACTCAAGCTTATAGTTGGAGCAGGCTTTCAATCGCCGATCCGATTTGGATAGGCATTACCGCATCCATACCAACGAACGCCCCTACCGATGCGAATTCAAAGACTGTGGGAAAAGCTTCATCCAACAGAGCGCTCTGACGGTTCACAAGAGAACGCACACTGGGGAGAAGCCTCATACTTGTATCGAGAAGGGATGCGGAAGAAAATTTTCTGATGTAAGGGTGCTCCTTTATCCAAGGTCTATGCAACGTTGCTAACCTGATGGCCAGTCCTCAAGTCTTGCGCGACACCGTCGAATCCACTCGGGCAAACGCCCCTACAAATGTGGTAAACCTGGCTGCGAAAAGAGGTGAGAGTTGGTTCGTTTGATACTTCTGACTATCTAGCTAACTATTCTATCAGCTTCTGCCGAAAAACAACGATGATTAAACATCAGAGACGGCCACACCCCACGAGCAACAATGGTTCTGAAAATCCTGACGGGGACACTCAAGGAGATGCGGTTTTCTCACCACCTACCCCTTCAAACGTATCATACGACTGCAAGTGGGTCAGTCATGTTTTCTCAGGAACCCCCGGGAGGCAGCCCAGCCAAGGCCACTTGCAACCAGGCTCTCCTCATGTAGCTGTACAGCAGCCCAACTGGGAGTACTATCCACGCAGTCCTGGCCCTCGAGACACTGCTCGACACGAGCTGCCATCGAACGGACGTCGACTAAATGCCATGGCGCCCCTTCCCAGCTCAAATCTGATGCACCGGACTACAGTTGGCAGCAACTCTAGAACTGAGTCCGATTCCGAAACAAGCACAGTATATGGAGTCAAGCAGGAAAGCTACGACGTACATTCGTCTTTCCAAAGCATCCCCGAGGCGCCGCACCACCCCGCCCTTGCCCAAGACCAGGTGTCGGTGCATTCCGACTCTATGGCGATTCAAGCGGGCCAGGATATGTACATGCCCGTGCCAACTCCGGTAGTGTCTTGGTACGATTATGCTCCGTCACTCCCGCTATCGACCATATCTCATCAAATTCCAAGTTTCGTCAATGGGCTATACGGTTTCATGGAGCCGAAACTGGAGTTCAACGATGACCCGTCTATGCAGCTGCCATCAGTAAGGCTGCTGAATGAATGAACATGTCAGATGAAGCCAATATTATTAACGAAGCCAAGTGTGATGATGATGGGAGCCGGTTGACAATTAAAGGGGCAGGCTTCTTTGATGTTTGGTGGTTCTTTGCCCTAGAAGGTGATTCTTTTGTTTTCTTGGGCGTCGCTTGGGGTGTAAATTTTGTAACTCAACTGGGTGGTAAATGATGCTATTAGGTATTTCTATTTGTACACAGATATTGCAGTGTAACATCAGGTTTATGAGAGAATGCGAACAAATACAGAATGATCAAGGACCTTGAATAATTTCTTTTTTGAATGAAAAGGGTAGAGGTTGTAGGATATCATATCTTGAGAAATGTAGATGAGATTGAAGTCTTCAAACGTGATTTCTTGTTTTGTGCCGTCTACAGCAGCTCAGGGAGGTAGTTAATGTAGAGGCTAAATAATTAGTAAGGCCGTTGGACGTTGAATTGGTGTAATGTTCGTTTTATGGTTCTAGAACGGCGAGATCCGCCGATTGCGGCCGCCGGAACATTTCGGCGCCGTGATGACTAAGATCTTTCTGTCGGAATCTGGAGAATCAAGAGGAACCCTCGTGAGTTCCCAACAAACCACTAGCCTCGGTGACGGTTATTCGCAACCTTTCAGGCGACTTTGGCGAGGCTTCTTTGCACGTCCTGCGCATCATGAGACATGAGTGGTGATCACTAAATCATCTACCACGGCGAACCTCCCCCGCACAATCTCTCAAGACGTCCTTCAACGTGATTTCCGGAATCTGGCCTCCTCCGTCAGTGCGTCACATTACACGATTAGGAGCCAGCCCATATCCGTCTTCCTCCCTGATCAGAACCATCTTGCATCCTTGGTCGTAATTTGAGGTTTATCTGGTGCTGCAAGTGTTGCGACAATGGCTGCCCAGGCGGCCACGCTGCCGGTATGTCCCCCCCAGCCGTTCACATGGAATGGATCAATCGAGAATGGCATGAATCTAACAGACGAGTAGCGGATGGCAGCTGCTGCCACGGGCACGAGTCCGTATGTGGCGCGCCCATTAGGAGCTCTTCTCAAGCGATCCGTTGCCTCTCCTCTCACCCCTGCCTCGATAATCTTCCCCGCTTCGACGGCGCTTTCACGTCGCCAGCCCTTCGTCCACTCACTACCCGGTACCACGAGTTCTATGCGACTCATGTCGACTTCTTCCCGGCTTCCTGCTTTCCGAATCCGACCCTTCTTGACCCAGCCTAGCCGACACTTTGGCTCGATGAACGGAGTACAACAAAGTCAACTTGCCAACATCGAAGCAAGCGCCAACAAGGATCCCGCGAACCCCAACCTCCAGAATGCCTTCTACAATCTTCTTCTCCGCGCAAACATGCCTGGAATCGTCGTTTCTCGCTATCACTCTGGCCGTTATGGAGCCAATGCCGCTACCGAAGACATCTACCACAGGGCCTTGGCCGCGGTGAACTCGGGCGCTAGTACAGCTACTGGTTCGTTCGCAGCTACAGGTGGTCAACCGGGACTCGATCATGCAATTGGTAGTGCGATCACGTCAAGCCTCGCGTCTGGAGAGGGACGAGGTGTGAAAGGCCGCCCTGTTTACGTTGTCCTCGAGGAATCCACTGCATCCATGATCTTTCGCTGGGTGAAATTTCTTGCCACCTTCGTTGTCTTCACATGGCTATGCTTCTCTGCTGTCACTATCCTGATCGAGGTCTTGACATCATTCCGCCGCCCACAAACTGCCAAGACGGACTCGGAAGTTACATCGGAAAAGCAGACTGCTCGGTTCAGCGATGTTCACGGATGCAAGGAAGCCAAGGAAGAACTCGAGGAGGTTGTGGAATTCCTGCGCCACCCTGACAAGTTCTCCGACCTTGGAGCCAAGCTTCCCAAGGGTGTTCTTTTGGTTGGACCTCCTGGTACTGGTAAAACTCTCCTGGCTCGGGCTGTAGCTGGTGAGGCTGGAGTTCCATTTTTCTACATGTCCGGCAGTGAGTTCGACGAGATTTTCGTTGGTGTGGGCGCCAAGCGCGTGCGCGACCTCTTCTCGAATGCCAAGTCCAAGTCGCCTGCCATCATCTTCATTGATGAACTTGATGCGATAGGTGGGAAGAGGAACCCTCGTGACCAGGCGCATGCCAAGCAGACGCTGAACCAGCTGCTTACGGAATTGGATGGCTTTGACCAAGAGGCCAGGATTATTGTTATTGCTGCTACCAACACGCCCAAGATGCTTGATAAGGCTCTGACTCGTCCTGGACGATTCGACAGACACGTGAACGTGGATCTGCCTGATGTGCGCGGACGTCTGGATATTCTTAAGCATCATGCCAAGAAGATCAAGCTCGGACCTGATGTGGACTTGGAAGCTATTGCCGCTCGCTCACCCGGTCGCTCTGGCGCAGAGCTCGAGAACATGCTCAACGTTGCCGCATTGAAGGCCAGCAGGGCTAGAGCTTCTGTTGTCTCGAAACAGGATCTGGAGTGGGCCTTTGACAGGGTCACAATGGGTTCTGAGAAGAGGTCTATGGTGATCAATGAGAAGGAAAAGGAAATGACTGCCTATCACGAAGCAGGACACGCCCTGGTTCAGCTCTTCGACAAGGAAAGCTCAACCAGACTCTACAAGGTTACTATTTTGCCCAAGGGTCCTACTCTCGGTCACACCGCGTTTGTTCCACAGATGGATAAGTACTCGCATACGGCAGCTGAATACATGTCAAACATTCGCGTCGCTTTGGGAGGCAAGATGGCCGAGGAGCTGATCTTTGGAGACGACAAGGTTACCACTGGTGTCTCGGCTGTGAGTTTCCCCCTTGCCTTATTACTAATTGTTTCCGCAAAGCCCCCCTGAGACATTATCCAATCACCCACTAACACAATCTATTTGTAGGATCTTGAAAGCGCGACGGATTTGAGCTTTGCCATGGTTGCCAAATTCGGCATGTCTGCAGCCTTGGGCCCTGTTGAGTACGGCAAGCGGTATGAGTATCTTAGCTCTGACACACGATCCAAGATCGAGATGGAGGTCCAAACGACATTGAAGAAGTCATACGAGGATGTTAAGATACTACTGACTGAGAAACGGAGGGAGCTTGACTTGCTGGCCCAAGCGCTCGTCAAGTACGAAACTCTCGATAAGGCAGAGGTAGAAAAGGTCATCCGGGGCGAGCAACTACCTCATCGCGCCGTGGTACCTAAAGGGCCTATCGTGGTTCCCATCCCTGTCGACGCCCCAGAGCCGCCTTTTGGCGGAGTCGGCCAGCCGCACCCTCCCCAGGCTCCAGCACCACCTCCAGTCGCTACCGGCAGGTTGGGAAGCAACTGAGAGACATGGAGAGTGATCACTTATTACCCAATTAAACACACGCGATTCATCGAACCGAAGACTAATCGACTCCGGCTGTAAAGCTCTACTACTAGAGGGCTTTACGAGGGTGGCAACATAGCTGGCAGTTATTGAGACTTGGCCATGCTTTCTTCAGCCGAAGCAAATTATTTCAAGGCGTGTGACATTTCTGCAACCATTCACATCAACTGGGTATACGGCAAATATCAAAATTTGTGTGTTCTGGCTTGTGTGGTGGAGGGAAGAACCGCCCCTTTCCTTTCATCTTACTGTTGAGCCTTGTATTAGTATCAAGGTATAAAAAAAAAGGACATTGACGGCGTGCGAGGCCAGTGTGTGTACATATAAATCATACGAACGAGCCCAAATTTCTGGGAGCCGGCATTTTCTTAGGTATCTTGTATTGAATAGTCATGAGTTATCAGCTTCCGAGTCCCATTCTACATGTGAATTCTCGCCTCCGACGAGCTCCTGGCTGGCATCCCGCGTATGGACTTAACCGGGCATTGGAAGATAACACCGGAGAAGAAGCATCATTGCACGCGATTAATAAGTGCGGGGTCGGAGGGGACTGGAGTGGGGAGACAGCGGCCGGACTCTGTTGACGCCATGGACGTCGCCTATCGGGTGATTGATTGTTGAGCGAGCGAGTGAGGGTATATTAAGCAATTAACCTCCTTCATCTTTCTCCTTCAACCTGCTGCCATTGCACATTCCTCTTGACGCCAATCGATCTTGACACCCTGCAACAATGACCAAAGTTCTTCTTACGGGTAAGTCTTCATACCCTTGCCTTCAATTGGCGAGCAGAGAGTGAAGCCAATACTAACTCACTCACAGGTGGTTCGGGCTTCATCGCCGGTGTGTAATGCTAAAGCCAGTGTATCAGCTACACCAGCTAACTGAAATCGTTTTCCTCCAGCCCACATCCTGGAGCAGCTCCTGGAAAAGGGCCACTCGGTCGTGACCACCGTCCGCTCAGAGGAAAAGGCCCAGGCCATCCGCGACGCCTACAAGGCCCAGTCCGACCGCGTCGAGGTCCTCATCGTGCCGGACATTGCCCAGCTGGACGCCTTCGACGAGGTAGTCAAGACGCCCGGCATCGAGGTCGTCCTCCACACGGCCAGCCCCTTCCACTTCAAATGGAGTACGGTCTCAAACCCCCCCCCACTTCTCCCTCTCGCAGACCAGGCGCCCATCCCACCATGGCTTATAGATTGATCATCCAAACTAACCTGTGGGCGTGCTTTTGTAACAGGCGACCCCCAGAAGGAACTCCTCGACCCGGCCATCAACGGCACAACCGGCATCCTCAAGGCCCTCAAGAAGTCAGCACCCCAGGTCCGCCGCGTCGTCGTCACCTCCTCCTTCGCCGCCATCATCGACGAGGCCCACCTCTCCGACCCTAACCACACCTTCTCCGAGGACAGCTGGAACCCGGACACCGCCGCCGACATCCACCGCTCCCCCGCGACCGCCTACCGCGTCTCCAAGAAGCTCGCCGAGAAGGCCGCCTGGGACTTTGTGGAGAAGGAGAAGCCCGGATTCGACCTCGTCACGATTAACCCGCCCCTCGTCGTCGGCCCTGTCATCAACCACCTCGCCAGCCTCGACAGCATCAACACCTCCAACGAGCGTGTCGTCAACCTGCTCCAGGGCAAGTGGCGCGAGTCCATCCCGTCCCAGGGCCCCGTGGCCCTCTGGATCGACGTCCGCGACGTCGCCCGCGCCCACGTTGTCGCCGGCCTTGAGAAGCCCGAGGTCGGGGGCCACCGGCTGTTCACCACCGCCGGTCTCTTTGGCAACCACGACTATGTTGATATCGTGAGGGCAAAGTTCCCCGAGTATGCTGACAGACTGCCTGCCCCCGAGGTCAAGGGTGGTGAGAGGCCTCTGCCTGAGCAGACCTTCAAGTGGAATGTGGAGAAGACAGACAAGCTGTTGGGTATTGAATGGATCAGCTTTGAGAAGAGCGTCATAGATTTGGTCTCGTCGTTAAAGAAGCATGGTATCTAGAGGCGACTCATTCCATTCGGATGGAAATTGAAGCTGCGGAATGAATAAAGCATCAAGATTCTCCATTACAAAAGTGTCTCGTCAATATGAAACAGAAAATTAAGAAATTATTTCCAAATGAAGACCTTAATTCGCCGCAAAATTCTTGCGCCCAGAATGGTTTTGTTCCTCTGTAAGCCCTGTCACCCAAAGCCTATGATTCCGTTTGGGTCGTCTCTATTTCGTTTTCCGCATCAGCCATGCACCGGGATGAGCCCTTATCTCCTTCATGTCATGACGCACATGATGTGCCTTTCCTCGGTCTCCAAGCATCAACCAGCTTGGATAATCCTGTGTCTATTTACAAAGTTTAAGAAAAGTGGCGAAAAGAGAAAAATAGCCATGCTAAAGCAGCCATTTGTAGGCAAGCTGTGTAGCTGGATAGGGGGAAGATGACACATGATTTGTTAATACTTGCCCCCCAATCGCTCAAGGTCGCCTTCTTGAAGAACTTGACTCCTGAACTCTCTTTTCTTTGATTTATCCGGAGGAGAAAGCGTTGGGCTGTAACCACCAACACTTCCACGCCAGCTTCCCCAGCTGTTGTTGCGCGACTCGCGCTCACACTCTTCCGTTAGCTCGCGTAGACTGCGAGCTTCCGGATCCAAAACAACTCCCTTGGCTGGGTTATGTGAGACCAGTCCTAATGCAACGCCAAAGTTCCCAGGTTGGGAAGAGAGTGATGAGTCCTGCAATGGACTCTGGGGGTGTTGACCAGACACTGGTGTTGAAGGAAGTGCTCGACAAGGTGGCGGCCCTGGTTTTGAAAGGCCGGCGACTTTCAAAGGGGGCACCTCGCAGGCTTTTGTCTGAATTTGAGACCGCTTTTGAGTAGCCTTGATTGTAGTATTGGATGCTGGGGAGCGGACATCTCCTGGATTGCCGCGAGCACCTCCGGCATTTTCAGTAGGGGAATTGGGGGGAGAGACGTTAGCCCCATTGAAGGTTGGTCTTCTCTCAGTTCTGGGCACCAGACTATCTCTTGTTAGAGCGACTACTGGTGATGTAGGGAATTCGGTCTGTCGATGCTCTCGGTTGACTGAAGATGGCCGACTGCTCGCTGGTGGCACGTTGAGCATCTTTCTCTCCTTGAGAGGGGGTGGCGGCGTAAGTGGTTTCCAATGAGGGCTAGCCAGGGAAGTTGGAGAAATCAACGGCGTGGGGGATTCAGTAAGGCCCTTGAAAGAGGAGTCGTCGTCTTTGCGCTTGAAATACTTGCGAATTCCTCGTCGATGAGGAGGCTGTGCTTTGAGGCGCAACAGACAGAAAATGATGAGTCCAATCACGATAGCCCCTGCAACAACAGATAAGCCAATGGTCACCTTGATCTCTTTGGAGATGTGAGTTCCTCCTTGTGCCCCCCCATCATCTGAGCTGGACGGATCTAGGCTGGCCTCGAGGGAAGGGTCTAGAATGGACTTGGACTCGGATGTTGAAGTTGCCATTAGGGTGTGTGTTACGGGCGAGGCCAAGACAGAAGAATGTTCGATGCTGGTAGATGTTGCGACATTTGTGTCTGGCTTTTCCTTCTGGCATAGAGGGTTGCCGCCATAGTCAGAAATACGATTGCAGATGTAACGGGTTGGTTCTGGGGGTCCCGGGTCGGTGAGCGAAGGATACCCAATGCTAAACAAACGTTAGCATGTGATGACACAACATCAGATATCCGGGCGAAACGTACTTTTGACAAGAACTAATGAACCAATTGATGTTGGCTAAATAATATAATCAGCCAACGGTACTGCCCTGTACGCTGCACCCAGATGGCACAAGAACGACAGAGTCGGGAGAGCAGAAGGAAAGGGTTAACCGTACGATCAAGGTTGTGGCTCTTGAGGTTGTCCACGCCACATAGCTGAGAATCACAGCAATAGAGATCCCAGAAAGGAGGCAATTTCTCGGTTGCTGTGTTGCCATTGTCTGAGAGATGCTCACACACACTTTCGAGTGTCTTGTTCTCGAGTAACAATCCATCGATGAACTTGGCTCTGCAGGAGGTAATGCACTTGGGAGCGTTCGGGACGTCGGCAGCGAGGAAGCCCCAAGGCATTCCGCTACAAGAGTTCTCAGCCATGAGTGAGGCTATGGTGAGGATGGCCACGAGAGCGAGCGTGGGCGTGGGGATGATGAGCTGTTGACAGAAGACCTCGTGATTAGAATGATGAGTTTGCTGCAGACCCGATAGACCTCGAAACTAAGTCGCGTGGCTGACGCGAGAAGAAGAGTCGGAAAGTGAGGAAGGGCGCATGGAAAAATTAGGTAGCCAGCGTTGGTGTAGTGAGCGGAAGGGTCATGAGCGGGTCGTTGGTAGCAAGAGGAAGAGAGAAAGTCGAACGCGATGCTGGGGACAAGAAAGAAATAAGGTTGAGATCTGCAGGGGCATAAATAGGTGGGTGGATAGAAGTAACGAACGAAATGGGCGAGCAACGGGAGTATGAGTATGGGTGAGAGCATGAAGATGCAGAAGGAGGGTTGGATGGTGTCGAGGCAGAGATGGAGGCTCAGGCAGACGGTCAGGTACCTATCAGATGGGGCAAATGTACCGAAGCTACTAACCAGATCATCGATGTACTGCTGTGGAAGAGCAATGTACCTCGAAAAGGTGGTGGGCAGGCGCTATCGGCGAGTTGGACGGAGGTAAGGAAGGAAGGAAGAAAAGAGGGAGTGAGCGGGACTTGGAAAGGATGGGCAGAACTTTACCACGACACCATCTACGAGCCAAGGTTGTCTACAGTCTTGGAAGTGCACTCGATCGTATTGCTTTGCGAACAGTCGGTGGCAGTCGTCTGCAGTCGTCTGCAGCTGGCGGCCGCATGCCCAGCTGCAAGACAGATGGGGAACATATGCCCGTGTCTGCAGGAGATATGCACCTGGCTAGCTGGACCGTCAGCCACCTGCAATGCACAGCATATGGGAATACACCGCAGATCTGTCATGATGCGAGTGCGTGGCCATCGTGAATACGGCCTATTGAGGGTAGGGTGGGCAGGGGCGGCCTGTTACACAGCTTCTGCAGCCCCCCCCTCAGCCGATCACAGACAAATCAGCTGCTCTTCGCCTTCTATCGAGACACCTGGATGCCGTAAACAGCATACCCGGGCCATTCATGCCAACTTACCGACGAGGCCATGCTTGTGCCCTGGTCGGCGATAGAAGGACCTGCAGGCCGTATACATCAAGGTGAAGCCTGCAAGCACTCGGCCACGCAGGGATGCACTTATCGACATACGATGCACACAATACCCGCAAGGCTGCATATCGTATCATGGCCAAAGGAGACATATGAAGATCGAGAAAGACTTGTTTATTTGGTTCCCCAGGATTGATCTTCTCACCCCAACGAGTACTGGTTTGTTCGACCCGACTGACTTAGTTGCGTCCCAGACGCCACCGGGCCTATTCTCTAGACATCATTGTCTCATAGTAGACGGACCAAAGCTTGGTTCGAAGAAAAGAATTAACACTGGTTCGAATGCCCGATTGGACCGACTGAGCATGTTCTTTCAGGTGAGGCACATTCGTATTTGAATGGAAAAGGAAAGCAGAGAGTGGGCTCAGGTTGGACTATGATATCTGGTGTCGCACTGCAGGCAAAAGCTCAACAAACAAATTTAAGCAGAATATGCCAACGATTTCGCAAGCCATGCCATTGGTGGTTCAATCATGTTGTGCAATGCTGGATTCGCCAAGAAGATTCGACCTTGCTTCCTCCACCTCGGGAATCTTAGTTAGGAGGCCCGGGCGAGGAAGTGATTGGATAGCTTTGGGGAAGCTGCGCTTTATTACTCCGTCCTTTATACAACACCCAACGTTTGACGTCTTATCCCCCCGTTTCCGAGCCTCCCAAGGCCAATAGCCCCGGACCATGCTATACCATCGTATAGCTTCCTACGAATAGGAAGAGTCTGTTGTTTCCGCTTATGCTTGATGGCGGGTAATGGGAGGAGAAAGAAACAATAAAACAGCTAAAAAAAGTACCCGCCAACCAATGGATGGTTACGCGAACCTGCATGGCGTCGCATGGGGAATACATACTGGAGACTACGGGAGCTGAAAATGACGAAAGTAGGCTGGATTTTTCACGAGGCCTTGCGCAACACCAGTGACTTACAATATCCGGTCAGAGCCTGACGATCTCGTACTGCCTGTGTGCTGCTCTGCCACGAGGTGCGTTTCGTCTGAGACGTCCCAACGGGGTCAACATAACTTGGACATTGCTGGCATCGGGAAAATTGCCATCAACGGGAGTGATGAATCGCCGAGCCCATCGGCAGCTCTTGGATTGATTCCATAGAAACACTCGGCCCATATCCTGTACCCCCCCACAAGGTTTGGTTTCACCACCCACCTGCATGTAGCAGGGCGGCAAGCGCTCTTTCTGAGTGGCTGGCTGGCTTTGCCAATGTTGCATGGAGTCGTAGAGAGCGTTGACATGGACGCTTCAATATTTGGATGGATATGCCCGAACTCTATCTGACCACGTGGGAATCATTCGAGTCTCGAGACTGAGGCTCGCCCGCATCATGCCAGATGCACCTTGTTGGGAAGCCCATGGCAGCCGGGTACGAGCAGAACTATATTTGGAGCGGAAGAAGTGGACCCAGGCCTGCAGTAAGTATTTTCCATTATACAGGCCATTGCTGGCCGTCCACGGGAAGACTGAAAAGACAGCTGTGGAATAACAAGCCTGATGGTCGTGCTGTCTGAGAGATGGACCAACAGTATTTAATACTCGCAGTTGATTATAGCAGCAATTAGCTCGGGTGTTCGCGTGTTTTCCCCACAACCTATTTTAGGCATTCCAGGATGCCACTACCTGCTAGTTATGTACTAACTCGTACGCTATCTGCAGTATTATGCCGGGATGATCTTGACGGAACCTCGGCTCCTCTTTGTTATTTAACTACTCCACATGATTTCCCCAGACCTTGGACTTGTTCACTTGGATTCACCATTGTGCTGGCGAGTTCCAACTACCATCATCGTTGACTCCATTTTCTCATACTACTCGGCTGCGTGAGGAGAAGAAGCTCCTCATACTATTGCCGTTTCCCAATTGGACGGCTACGATTACTCTGATGGCGTCGCACAAGGCAAAGGAGCGAGTCCAGGTCATTGGCCAACAATTGGACACATCATCTTCAGCCTCCGAGACCGGGTTGCCTCCTGTCCATAAGGCGTCTCCTGGGTCTAGTTCCCTGCGTGTCCGGGGGAAAGTCGTCATTATTACAGGTAATAAACGCCCCGTCGCAAAGCTGTGCTTTATAGCCACGAGCTAGTTTGAGTCAAAGCGCTGATAGACATGGGAATATATAACAGGTGCCAACTCGCTGCTTGGTATCGGCCGTGCCACGGCCCACCAGTATGCTGAAAGTGGTGCTCGCGCCATCTACATCTGTGACTTTCAGGACAATTATCTAGAAGCCCATAAGCGTGAACTGAACACCCTCTTCCCGGCGGTTGAGATCCATACACGGCAATTCGACGCCGCCAAAGAGGCCGAGGTCAAGGCTGTTGTAGATGACGCCATTGACCGCTATGGCCGCCTTGACGTGTTCTTTGCTAACGCCGGCGTTGTTGGAAAGCCTATCATCTTTGATCGAATTTCCGAGGACGAGTTCATGTCCGTGCTTAAAACCAACACTCTGAGGTATGTGGCACGTCTTGGCCATGAGCGCCACACCACACTATGCGGCTGCATGCTTTGAGTGAACTGAGACAACTGACCGGAGGGAAATAAATAGCGTCTTCCTAGCGGCCAAGTATGCGGCGCCTGCCATGCGCAAGACATCTTCAGAGAAGCCCCAGTCGGGAGGATCGATTATTGGTACGGCCTCTGTCGCCGGGCTTCGGTCTAATGCCGGACCAACTCCTTACTCGGCCTCCAAGGCTGCCGTCATATCTTTGGCCCAGTCCATATCCTACCAACTCGCAGGCACAGGTGTTCGTATGAACGCAATATGCCCTGGCTTGACCGAGACAGGTATGACGGCCCCCACGTACGAGGCAGCCCGTGCTCGAGGAACCACCAAGAAAATCGGGCAGCTGAACCCGCTGGGGAGGGGGGCACACGCCGATGAGATTGCGCGCGTGGCCCTGTTCCTTGGAAGCGACGAGAGCAGCTATGTGAACGGGCAGGCATGGGCTATAGACGGCGGCTTGAGCGCGGGCCACCCGTACGTGCTGGGCAAGCTTGCATGATGAGCGCATGTGAGGGCCAGCGGCTAAATATATTATTGTATTTCGACAAGACGTTCTCATTGGGCATCAATCTCCATGGCTCCGCTATTCGTCCTGTTGTCGGTGATCCTCTGTAACATCTTGTGCCGCCAAACATTATAATCCGCCTTTCTCTCCTCACTGAGGTAGTCGTACTTTTCCTGGAACATGGTATCCGCCCGTCGGATCTGTATTGGCTTGGCCATGTCGTCCTCGTCCTCAGCAGGCGCGGCGACTACGTCCCATCTCTTGGCACCGACAAGCTCATCAAGGCCCTTGAACCAATCGCTATCTAGCCAGCCTTGTTCCTCCATCTGGTTGACAGCCGAGTTGAAATCTCTCGGTTTGGTTTCCTCCCACTCAGTCCATGGATCTTGACCACTGGAAACATTGACCGTAGTCTCCTCGCGGGCCCGACCTAGCAGCTTGAGAATCTCTCTCCGCTGAGCTGAGAATGGCTCCTTGGTCATCGGTTGGCCCGTAGATAGTGCTACTAATTTGATGGTGACGTAGAAATAAATGGCACTGAGAATTGGTGCAATGTTCTGGTTGACCCATTCGTCCTTTGTCCGCCTGCCGCCCGGAGCTATTATGGCGTCCATCGCCGCCACTATGGTGGGCGCAATGGCTAGCTGCCCCGTCTCTGAGCATATGAATTTGATGACTGGCTTCACCCACACCGGTAAGGCAACACCGGTGAGGGAGTTGGCCGCCCCCGTGGACTTGGATGGTGTGCCGGCACCGCCTTTGGTGGGAGTGCGGAATCTGGCAAGGCTCTGCTCCTTCGTCGGGGTCGCTCGGGAGGGGATTGGCCTGGTCTCAGAAGCTAGATCAGCACCCTTGGAGTTGGTGGTTCGCGGCGGTCTCCCACGTCGAGGTGTTGACGAAGGGGCTGGGATGATGTTGTCGAGGTGAGTGTAGAGACGGTTGTAGATCCTCGGCGGGATCGGGGGGCGGGCCTGGATGGGCGGGAGATCAAGGGTGACCTTGAGCCTGTTGCAGGCGAGGTTTGCGCACGCATACAGCCTGCCTACTTCCTCCTCTGCTTTGAGCGTGCTGGCTTTGAATCGGGATTGCGAGACGAGGGATTCGGCGAGTTCTACTAGAGATGGGGGGAGATCCGACCCGTAGGTGGGCATTAAAGAGAAAAGAGCTTGCTCGATTTGTCGACTCATGTTGGATGTGCCAATTGCTATATGTATTGAGTGGTGATGATAGCTTCTCGAAAAACACGATTAGAGCTTGGGAGACGCGCCGGTCAATTATTGCTGATAAGCCTCGGCAGATAAGCTGGAGAGCTAATTGTATGTACTCTGTCGCGGTATTTGGGAGAGGAGGTACTTTGGCCTCTAGCTAATCGCTTTAGAGGCAGGTGGGCCCGGTAGTGATGCACCTGCAGATCTAGAGCCCACCCCGTTGGCCGTTGAGCCCCCTGACGTTATCGGCGTACCATCAAGCGCAAGCTAAGCTACCCCATATTTGGCCTCTCTTCTTCCTTTATCGCTAAAATCTACGGAGAAGCAAGCATAACACAACATACCCGAGAAAGTCTTGTTTCCCCTTTTCTTGAACCTCCTCGCTAGTGCCGCAGCAGTCTCTGGACACCGCCATAATGCGCAGCCAAGCTCTGATCAGCACTGCCTTAATAGGCCTCGCCGTTGCTCATGGCGACGGCACACGAAACCCCGTGCCCAAAGTCCCCGAAAACGCCAATTGGATCACCAAACACATGGCGGAGGAGCATCACATGGCTGGCTGGGACGACAGCGCATTCTTCTCTCTCCACGACTACAACAGTGACGGGCGGTGGCAGGGCGACGAGATTCTGCGCACATACGGCCTGATGGACGACTCCAACAAGCACGTGTCTGCCGAGCGCCGCAAACAGATCCTAGACGACGTCGTGCGCCTCATTGACACCGACGGCGACGGCCAAGTTACTCTGGCGGAGTGGCTCTCATACACCAAGAGCGGCAAGACTCTGCCTGACATGGGCACCGGTCCCGGGCACCACGGCGACGATGAGTACGAGTACGAGATCCATCACTGGGAGAAGTACCATAATGAGGATACGAAGATGGAGGACCTCACGCATCCCGAGGATATCGAGCACTTCAAGAAGCACGATGAGATTGAGGATGAGCAGAGGAGGCTCGAGGCTCTGGACAAACTTTCCGTCGTCGAGTCCAACATCCCCTCCAAATTCCTGCGGCAACGGTGATTGGAACAGTGACTAGTGTTCCTGCTTTTCTCATCTAGCGGTTAGCCTCTTTCATGGAAAAGGAGGGGGAGGAGGGGCTTTTTTTTGTTTGTTTTATAATACGATCAAGTTGTACAACTACTAGACCTTGTAACATGAACGTCGAATACACAGTGCCAAACCCCCGGGGCAAACGTCTTGACCAGCTCAACATGATCTGCATCTGCGCTCCGAGCAGATCCTTCGCTGGCTGCCCATGATTTACAGAGGCTCTCGATCGAGCTCTGCCTATCTTTGATGCCGTCAACCCCGACGTTCTCGTGAAAGTGAAACCATGTTTCTGAGCTCTGGCCTGTCATGTCCCAGGCGGGCTTCCAAGTTGCTTCGCTCGTAGGTAAGAACCCACAGTTGACGTGCCTAATCTCCCCCGCGTTCCCGGAAGCCTGGAGGCTGCGTATCCGCCCCAGAGCCTTTTGATTGTGTTCCAGGAAAACCACTATCTGCTCGCCGCCCCGGATCAGATCTTCTGCCGGCAACTGCAGCTCATCGCCCTGGACAACCTTGACCGTCCAGCGATTCGCCAGTGCGCCTCGCCGTAGCCCCTCCACGCTCCAAGGGTTGATCTCCCAGCAAAGGACTCGCATGCCCAGCGATGCGTACGAGAACACAAAGTACCCGATACCTCCATATAGATCAGCTGCCCATACGTCATGCCTCCCGCGTGCTTGTGCTTCAGCCTGACCGGCGGGTGGTAGCTTGAACTCCAGCAGCCTGGCCTTCTCCTTCACGTTTCCCCGGCTGAACATGGTCCACCGCGGCGCCCACGTCTGATAGATCCCATTCTGCTTGGTCGACACCCACAACGCCCGTTCGAAATCCTCCTCATCTGGACCACCACCAGAGCCGAGTGTTGTGGAGGGCCCAAAGTCTCCGTGCAGCATTCGCAGCCCGCTGGGGCTCCGCAGCACATTCTCCTCGCCCTGCTCGCCCTCTTTGAGCAGCGGGATCCCCTCGGTCACCGCGAGGTGAGTCAGCTCCGACCCTGCCTTCTTGGATAGTTTCACTAGGATCAATGCCCACAGTTGGGCGGTGGCGGTCTCGCCCACGCGTGCCAGTAGGGCTTTCCACGAGGGGTGGGTGAAGCTCCCGGCTGGCAGGAGAGCCATGGGCTCGTAGACGGTGAACCGTTTGGGGGTCTTGTCGATGATCTCCTGCCTCCATCCGTCGTCCGTCTCGGCCCCCGGGGTGTTTAAGCCTAGGTCTTCGAGCCATTGGGAGAGAGCAAAGAGGATGGGGTTTTGTTGGCGTTGTTTGCCCATTCTTAAAATGGGATCTGTCGGGGTAAACCAGAATCCCGAGAATTTCTGAGAATGGGCGTCTATCGGTTACAGACCAACCTCTCAAGTTCTGTTTCCTGATGAAAAGTGTGTTTTCTCTGGCCGCTAATTGGTTCAAGTTTATCAGAAGGCTAGATTTATACAACCCGATTCCATGTATACGTACGCAAGTCATAAATATTTCAGATCGGGGATTCTCTTTCAATGCGATGATTATATGCAAATTAAGATTTCTTGTGTATGTCTGGGTATTATTCCTGGCCAAGCCGCTTGGATGTAAATGCGCCCCTCAATTGAACTATGCGACATGTGTGGGGATCGCGGGGTCTGATTTTGTCAACGAAATGGAGGCAGAATGGGGGAATACCTCTAAGACGCACGTGGGATCAGTTCGTAAGACAGCGATATAGAGCAAACTTCATGTACTTCAATGCTTCGTCACTCTCAAGTCTAGATCTACCCTCTTCGTGGAGCTCCAGTACATTGACACGGCCCTTCCCGTCATTAACCATATGCGATGCATTACCCAAACAACCCGACCCGAATCGACACTCTCGTCTTTAGACATCATGGGTATCTTCACCCTATACCAGTTAGTAATCTACATGCAAAATAACATTCCCAATACCAAGCCCACATGCAGAATCAGAGGAAATAGTCGCTAGGGCCCCTCCTGTTGGCCGGAAGGTGTCTCTGGTCGTCTGGCACTGCAGAAAAGATGCTGAACCTCGGAGTCAAATCCTTGTCCACCGACATAATGGAAGCGACGTTGCCGCAGCGGTAGCAGTAGTTTGGCGCTGACCACACAGTAACAACAGAGCTCTCCGGGAAGTGATACTGCCTCGCAGTTAGAAAGTGCTGTCCACAAGATAATAACAAATCATGAGGGGTGGATTGCTGCTCACCTTGTACCCTTCGTTTACAAGCTGATGGGCACGGGCAATGAGCTTCAGACCGTTGACATGGTTAAATTCGTTAGCAACCTTGTCGCCGAACAGCCAGCCAGCGCCGCGGGGACTGATGGCCCAGGTTTCGACCTCGTCTGGATCCGACCAAACAAGATCGCAGAATGCACCCTCATGAGGAATCTCTTGCGCTCTTGCTACGACACGGATTTGATCAATCGTCCTGATCTCGGGGCTCAGGCCGCCGTGAACACATAGAACCTCCCCGTCCACGATGGCTGCCAAGACCAGGAAGTCAAACACGTGGCAGCAGGCCTTCCAGACTGATGCGTTGCCGTACTTTTGCTGGCATTCCTCGTAGAATCCGTACACCTGGGTGATCTGACGAGACTCGTGGTTCCCTCGTACCAACACAATCCGATCGGGGTATCTAGATTATCAGTCAGAATGTTTGGCTTCCAAGGGTATAAATTGCCGCCCCCGTGAGAATTCATACTTTGCTTTTAGGCACATGAGGAGTGTGAACGTCTCCAAGCTGAAATACCCTCTGTCCACGAAATCACCGAGGAAGATGAATCTCGTCTCCGCGCTTTGAGACGTAGGCACCGCGACACCGGAGTCAGCAGACACCGGACGATCGGCGGTAGCGTCAGCACCCGTGCTGGCCTCTGGCTCGGCGTCCCCCTCATCTGCTTCACCGCCGCTGGGCCCCTCGGAGGATCGCAGCTTCTTCCGGAGCTTTGGATTCGTGATCTCGGTCGGGGGCTCGATGTCTTCGGGAGATATGACGGTTGTAGCAGTCTTGGGAGCGTGGAGGTTGGTCTCGCCAGGCATGCCGCCTGCGACGCGGAAGAGCTCGAGCAGATCGTAGAATTGGCCATGGATATCGCCGCAGACGGTGACGGGGGTGCAAACAGGCTGGATGTTGGACTCTAGAATGAGGAGTTCCACGTCAGAGGGCCGGGATGCATCTCAAGGAGCAGACGGATGCCTCATACCTTCCATTAGGATCTCTTTGACCTTCTCGCATAGCTCTTTCATCACACGCTCCGGCAGGTAATGGCACTGCTTGGCCTCCTCAAGCCACTCATCGAGGCCTGAATTGGGCCCGAGGTTGGCCGGGCCCGGTCGAGGCACGCTGGTAGCCATATTACGGCATACCTCGCTCCAAGCAGAAATATGAAAACGGAGGGAGTGTAGATGCGGTTGGGGGTTTTCGGATGTGGTTATCTGACTTGTCTTTGGGGCTGCCCGTCTGTGGCGGGGGATCTGGACGCTCGGTGGTTTAATTTTGGGCGGGCAGGGGGCCGCTAGAGCGCCTGAAACGGGTCCAGGTGCTGAAGTGATCCCCCTCTGGCTGCTGAGCCCCACCCAGTATTCTGAAGCTGATTGTAAGCGCAACCGGCTCGAATATTGGCCGTGAAAATGACAAGGCTGATCAAGCGACTGTTTGAACCGCAAATTTAATATTTCTCGCATCACTGTTAGATCCCCCCACGAATGCTTCAAGCTTTTCATTCGATTACCATCTCGTCCCTGGGCCTTGATCTATCACGTGACCGCTTCCCGCTAAATAAGTGGACATACATTCACCACTGGTGAGCCACATCTCCGTGCCTGAGACTTCAAGCGCATGGTTGATAACTTACCTAAGCAGCCGTCGCATTCGCTCGCTGTCGCCAGATTCACCAGTGGAGCTTTGAGGGCACTCGACGGTTCATTCTAGCCTTGCAAAGCAACACCCCTTCGGCGCACCTCGCCCAGAATCGAGCCAACTGAGATGGCTGCTCAGTCTACCCCTCAGGTGATATCTCGCCGGGGTAATGCCAACGGCTCACGGTCATCTCATGATAATCCCAAGGTTAGATAGGTTGCATTTAAGCCCAGCGGCAGGGAGGATTTGCGCAAACTGACACATCTCAGGGAAGAGGCAATGAGAATGCTGGTCATAGATCTGGGAGAGACAGGAGCTCTCAGGAAAAATCTGCCGAAAGTACAAAGGTAGAGCGCATCGGCTACTTCTCTTTATATGAAAGTTTGCTGACACTCAGAGTGAGGCCCCAAAACCATCGAAGCCAAAGGCACAGAATGAGGGCGAGAAGCTCGTTATACGCCGGCTCCCGCCTGCCATGACACAGGATGAGTTTGTCACTATCCTCGGCCCTGACTGGGAACTCAACAAGGGAAAAGTGGACTGGCTCTCGTACGCCCCGGGCAAGGTATCCAAAGAGTGTGTCATCATTGTGTTCTCTACTGGAGTTGCTGATTCCTTGCTAACCTCATTATCAAAGCCCTTCGAAACCCTCTCGCCCAAGCCGTGCATATGTTCATCTGAAGAGAAAAGATGATATCATGAGTCTTAGCGAGGTGGTCCAGTCATCAACTTGGGAAGATGCCAAGGGCACCTTTACCAACCCGGCGCTGATTGCGCCGCCTACAGTTGAGTTTGCTATTTATAAGAAGATCCCAAGCAACAAGCGGCGAACAGATGCCCGCCAGGGGACCATTGACCAAGACCCTCAATTTATGGCTTTTCTCGAGAACCTCGCCAACACTGGGCTGGCGAATGAGGGTGTGGAAGTCGAGGACGCCGATGAAGCGGAGAAAGCGGACATCAAAGTCACCACCACACCTCTGATTGAGTACCTTAAGGAGAAGAAGGCTTCCAAGGCTAAGGATTCGTCTTCAGGAAAGAACTCTAAGAAGGACAAGGAATCGAGTTCCAGCAAAGGCAAAGGAGGCTCCAAGGACGATGAGTCGTCCAAAAAGAAAGGCAAGGGTGGAAAGGATGATAAGGACAAGGACAAGGCACCCAAGGAGACTGTCAAGATTCTCACCAAGAAGGCCGCAACGGAACAAGCTGCCGAGGCCGCGAAGACGGCCGCCAGTCACATCACCGCTGCCGCATCCGCCGACACCCCCAAAAGCCGACGTGCTGGGATTGCTGCTGCTGCCCGCATCTTACAGCGTGATCTTGGCCTGAGTCCTGGAAGCGCCCATAGGCGAGCGCGCCAGGATGCAGCCAAAGCTGAAGCTGGGTCGACAGAGAGTGCCGGGGCAAAGGGTGCTACAACAGCACTTGCGTCGTCGGCCGCCCCCGCGAACCGTTCATCCTCTCCAGCTCCTTCAGTCGAAAGCACAGCACAATCTACGAAGCAAGGCAAATCGGCGCGCAGGAGCCGTGGTGGCAAGAATGCAGACAAGGGAAAGGGGACGGAAACTACCGCAACGGAGACCCCTACGGCCCCAACCATTACAAAGACCCCCATCATTCTGAAGAAGAAACCAGAGCCCGAACCGCCCTCTCCTCAGACAGCTCCCGAACCGGCCCCCAAGGCACAGCCCACCCCTCCCACCAAGCAGGCACAGTCTACCCCTAAATCGAAGCCGTCCCAAGCGCAGAAAAAGGCACCCGCCGTGAGTGCCAACACCACGCGTGCCTTTATCAAGCACGCAAACGCCTCCCAGGGTGTCACCGAAGCCTTGCTCAAGCAGACACTCGAGACATTCGGCACCATCACCTTTGTAGAGATCGACAAGCGCAAGGGATTCGCCTACGTCGACTTCGCCGATCACGAGGGCCTCGTCAAGGCCATCTCGGCCAGCCCCGTCACCGTCGGCCAGGCCAACGTCCAGGTCCTCGAGCGCAAGGACAAGAAGGCGCCCGCCCCAGCCCAAGCCGGGAGCTCGAGTTCGGCCAACCCCAACAACAACGCCGCCAGCAGTGCCAGCGCCAATGGGAACGCCGCCCCCGCCCAAGAGAAGCCGGAGAAGAGCTCAGGCCGCGGCAGACGAGGCCGAGGAGGCGGCAACAAGGCTGCCGCCGGTGGGGACAAGCCACCCCAGGTAGCATCTGCTGCCAAAGCTGCCGGCACCACTCCCAATACGACGAGCGGGGGGTGAAGCTTGTGAGCAGTGTGCTTAGGGAAACATTTTGGTCGGGAAACACACACCAATACCTCGGAGATTCACGGATCTTTTCGGCACCCATATCCACATCGAGCCATAGCGGAAACGGTTATGGGGGAGGGGGTCAGTCGCTTCTTTGCATGAGACCGGCATGCGCGTGATTATTATCGAAGTAGTATCCGGGTCGTGCCTGTGGTTGCCTAGTTGCCTGGGACGCTACGATCGAAGCAGCATGGCTGGTCTGGGGGAGGAATGCCACTCTGTAGGCAACACTCTGGCCATTCCCCCCGCAGTATTCCTGGCTGGTTCCGCCCGTCGTCGATTGCAACCCGGGCTGAAGGAGGGTCAACGAACATCATAGCCTGGAGTCGAACCACCAGTAATCACTCAATAGGCCGTGGTGCTTGTGAAGGCGCCCTTGTCTTGGAACACATCAATAAAAAATGAATTTTTTCTATGCGAAATATGCTGTGCAGAATAATATGCTGTTCCTTTCCATCCGTAAATCTTGTTCAATCCGTACATTTGGTATCATTGCTGAACCATCGTAATCAAAAGTCTATATAAGTGCCCAAACAAATCCAGGTGGTATCATCTCTTCCTTACAAATCCATAGTTACAGGTATCTTTCTATCCATCCGACAAAGGGAAAAAAAACAAAGGAGAAAACAGAGAACTGGGTGAGACAAAACAAATGAAAACTATCAGAACAAATGAACATAGAAGAAACCCATCCGACTGTAACATAATGCTTTCCAAAGAAACCTTGAAACGCGCCGAACTGTACCCATCATCCTAAGTACAAGACTGCATGAGGTGAGGGACGATGTTGTCCGACTGACGAAAATGAATTTTTTTAAGCATGCGCCGTAGACCATGAAAGCGAAAAAAAACCGGGGTGAGAGCAATGTTTATCCCCGTGAGATGGGGTAGGCGTGATAGTTGCCGTCCTCGTGGCCCTCGTCGTCATAAGCCGTGCTGCCCCCGCTGCTGTAGGCTCGAGTAGGGCTGCTCAAGGGGTTTGGGGTACGAGGGACGTTGGGATGGCTATAGCCATGCTGAGTAGTGACCAATGGCTGCGCATGGAGATGTTGAACAGTGTAGCGGTTGTTAGGGTTTGTCGAAGTTGAACGGCTGTGGCTGCTGCGCTTGGTGTCCACGACACTGTTGCGGCGAGCCGAGGTAGGTGGTCGCTTTTCTTCAGAGTTGGCGTGCGATCCGAATCGCTTGGAGAGACGTTCTTTCTCGGCCTTCTGAGCCTTGGACTCCTTGACCTCTCGCTTCTCCTTTTCGGGGCGATCGCGGCCACGGCCTCGATCATCGCGGCGATCGCGGTCGCGGTGTTCGCGGTGCTCGCGATGCTCTCGGTGTTCACGGTTCTCTCGATGCTCGTGGGTCTCTCGGTGCTCACGGAGGTTCTTCTTGCTGCTAGAGCGCGAAAGCTTGCTGCGGTCGGGGAGCGGTGAGCTCAGGGGGCTGTTGCTTGAGGGCGGTGTGCTGATCGAAGAGCTGTATCGGGAGACGAGACCATCGTATTGATCCTGAATTTCGGTGTACTTCTCAATCCAGGTCTCCTGCGACGCAAGAAGAGCCTCGTAATCCTCCTTGGCCTGGAGGACCTCCTCCTTATGGCGATCTCTCTCCTCCCGTATTTCAACGAGCTCGGCAGCCTGGTCGGCGATGGTGTTGTTTGCGGCGGACAGGAGTTTCTGCAGTTGTTCGTTGAGGTTCTCGAAGCGGTCTCTCTCCCCGCGCGCCTTGTTCAGGGCAGTGTTTGCGTCCTTGAGCTCGTCGCGCAACTCCTGTACAACATCTTGAACTGTAGGGGAGCGAGTTAGCCTTGGGTGGACCTTTGAATTGAAACTAGAGCGACAGAACGAACTGGAGTGCTCGGAGGCGTCGCTGGCTCTCCGGCCAGAGTCCCGGCCGGAGGTAGAGGAGCTTCTGCTGTGCGAAGGCATGACTGGTCAATGGATGTGGCTAGTAGCGAATAGTGATTTGATGGCCTCGCGAGGTAACAATGCAACGATGCCCAACCGAGGGCTTCAGTGTCGTGCAGCACCGGCGAAATGGAAGACACTCCAGTATGTGTGCCCAATATGTAACAAGCAAGGTATCGTCAAATGCAAGGCGGAAGGAAAAAAGGATGCAAAAGGTGAGGCCAGGAATTGTACCACATATATATAATTTCGTCCTGTGGGCAGGCAGTGTGGCGCTAGCGAGAAGAGGAGGTGTAGGGATGGAAGCCAGGTTGTATCTACTGCGCACACCCTCTGAGGTCTGTGCTTAGCTGCGCCGTTCCAGAAATTCACCCTCTCCCTCAGAAATCTTAGAAATCAAGTATGGGAAGCAGGCTAGGGGGTGGGAGGAGAAAATCTAGATATGGGGGCGGCCAAATTAGAGATTCGGGTTGGCACAGCTGGGGTGCGAAACAGGCATTTACTCGCACCGAAAAAAAAACTGAAGGAAGAAGAAAAGAAGAAAATAAAATTAATTAGGCAAAAACGCAGGGTGGAACCTGGGCCCCCGGCGCGGGCCTAGAGTGCTGTCTCTTCTGTGCTGGAATGGACGGCGCAGGGAGGACGGGAACTAAACCGGGAACTAGACAGGTGAAGGGTGCCTTGTCCTGGTGGATCAAGATTTGGCAAGTGGAAGAAAGGCGTCTGCTTGGGGAGGGGCAAGGTAGCATTGGCCGCGGGAGGAGAGGAGGGCGCAGAAAACGTCAGCGAGGGGCGGGAGACGGGAAAAAGTGTGGGAGGGAGGAAAATCACATTTGCGTGAAATTCGGAGTATCTTGGTGGGCGCAGGACGAGGGAGAAGGACCTGCGTCAGAAACAGAGCGAATGCAATGCCCTGCTTAGCAGAGTGAGGAATGGCTGCTACAGCTGCAAGCTAAGCAACGTGGGAATAATTAGAACCGCGGCCACGGCACACGTCCGCCCATTGCTGGGCGAATGACTCACTCCTTCACGCTCAAGCCACGAGCGTATGCGGCAGGCACCATCCAACGTCCTGACCACTGCATGTGCGTCGTTCCGCAGGTCCTGCCTCCTCCTCCTACCTATAGCAATGGCATGAACCGGAAGGGTGAGGAGAAGGGCAGCAGCCCGGTGCCAGTTACCCCGGCTTAGCGCCATTCCTGGCTGTGCCTGCCCGCTCCTGTTGCTGCACCAGTCTGTGTGCCTCCCGGGCCGCGCTGGGCAGAGAGAGAAGAGCGAAACTTGAAACAGTGCTGGATGGTGCTAGTGTGGTGCCTCGTAGCCGGATCCAGGTCCGGTGCTGTCTAAAATGATATCAAGGGGTATTATTATGGCCAAAAGGAGGGCAGCTTCTTTCGTGCATCTCTTGCGAATACCCGTCAGTCGGGTTAAAGCATCTTGGGCAGGGACTACCAGCTGAACTGCAGGGGGCGCCTTGTCTCGTTAGGCACCCAAGGCCCCGGGAGAGAAATGAAAGGGAAAATTTTTTCTTTCCCTCTGTATAAGCTTCCTCCCGCACGGACTTGGAGGGGGTGTGACTTGGGAAAGTGGAAAAAATAGCACACACACGCACTCGCTCACACGACGCATGCCTTGGAAGGCTGTACGAGTAATTGCTTCATGTTCACGGTCTCGTCAGCATGAGGAGTGGCGTCCATTGCTAAGAAAAGCAGACTGGTATGCAGACTTACACGTACGACTGCCAACGACGGCCGTTAGTGCGCTTGTGCCGACCCAGACCGACTCTCTTGAGTGAAATGCTGTACTACAGGCACCCCGCAAGGCATGGACGTCATCACGTCTCAACCAGGCAGGTCTGGCAGGCACCATCTGGCAGGCACGACCTCACACTGGCCGCACATTCCTGCTGCTGCTATGCGGTACACACCCGCAGAATGATGTGCGTCCAGCCGTAGGTACCAGCCGCTCAAAGGGCAAGGCCACCCTCCACCCAGCATGCCCATGCGATGGAACGGCATCCATCCTATTGCCAAGGTAGTATGTGGAATCGGAACGGGTCGGCCACGCGCCCATCCCAGAACGCCCAGCAGGCAATGCAGCCAACGCAGCTGAAAAAAGAAATGTGGCAGGAGACAACAAGGCCGGGCACAAGGCAGAGGGCGTCGTCGTTGGGGGCGGGATGGAAAAGAGAGAGTAGGGTTATCAGCACTATTGGCTGTGTTGTGGCTGTACCGGTGTGCTGGCATTGGTTAGCTGCCTTTCCTTCCTTCGCATGCAAGGGCTTGGTTCGCAACAAGAAGGGCTCGAGGCTGCCCACCACCACATACACGCGCTGATGAGTGTGACTCATAGTCGTTCTGGCTGCTGGTGACCACTCACAGCTCTCAGAGAGCCTGGCTCTGTCTCTCTTTCCCCTACGCCGTGCTGACTTGTGTGATGAAATTATCCTGGCCACGATCCCGTAATTTTAAGAATAGCAACCTCATCTCCATCGAAAAGAAGGAAAAAATTTTCCTTGCCATGTGTTCCCATGTGGAATCAAATCGCTGGAGAAAACATGAAACGCAACGTATGCACACACTCTACACACGCAACGCAGTGGAGGGCATCCAGCCTCGCGACCCAGCACGAGGTGATGGTGTGAACAGCCACCATCCATGCAAGAAGAAGCCACAAATGTGCCCTTCCATGTGGGATCCCTCCCAGGTGGATATCCGCTCCGTCGTGACAGAATTCCCTGCGTGCATCCTCCCCAGAGGTACGACGTAGTACTTTGTTTACTGGCCCCCTCGAGATCGTCGCCCTGGTAATCCTGGCTTAATGTAGGGCTGATGGGTGGAGAGGGCGATGCCGCCGTCTGATAGGCAAAGTACCCTCATGTATGCCCCTCATGGTCATATGAGGCCACTGCATGCAACCGCAGGTGCGCTCAGTACAGTGCATCCAGGTCTCGTGAAGGGTGTATGTGGTCCTCTTGGGGGCTGCCCAACAGATGGTTCGCATGTCTGCCTGGGCTGCCACTCGCCAGGCTTCGTCATGGCCCATCCCCATCCCCTCGTTGGACCCGTGCCGTGGAACCAGCACTCCCGCTCCTGGTTTCCCCAGTAAACAAGGTATCCTCTTCACGGCCCGGCGCGCTTCGGCGTCTGACTAGGCAGTCAAGGACAGAAATTGTACATTGGGGGCTTAGCAAAAGAATCAATTCAGCTATCTACATCCCCCGATCAGGATTCATACCCACGAGGGAACAGAGACAATGAGCAAAGAAACCGGGCCACCTGTGACCCATCGCATAATCATTCCTGGGAGAAAACGCCCATCTTCTCGTTCATTCTCATCAGTCGTAAGTAGTGGGTGAAATAGACAGCATCCAGGGATCCTCCCACTTTGGGCACATCGTCCAGGATGGCCGTGGTGTATGCAGGCGACAACCAATGGGAACCATCACCGTCGCCGCACCACGAGTAGTCACCCAGTCTTGAACTGTCATTCCTCAGTTCCAGGGAGGGGTAATTTGTGATGAAGAAAAAAAACAACGTGATGAAAAAACATGGTAAATACGAAAACGGGGATCAGATGTAGTAATGACGTCGCCAGAAATCCTCGTAGGTGTCCACCTTCTCGACCCGACAGGTCCCCTTGTTCCGAAGCCGATGATACTTCTTGTCTAGATCTTCAAACTTGCCCCTCCAATACCGAGCCCTCTCCCCCCAGTATTCCACTTCTGTGTTCAGCTCGGATATTCTGCGGTTGGAGTTCTGGTCCAGTTGCCGTGACAGCTCTCGCACCCTGGATCTCAAGTCCGCATTGGTCTCGAGAACTTCCTTGTTCTCCTTCTCCAAGACTGTGATCCTGCACCGAAGCCTGTCCAGTTCGTGGTGGTGCTCCCCAGAATTCTCAAGTGAGCATCGCAGCGCTTGGTTCTCCGCCTGGAGAGCACTGATCTGACAGCGAAGGTCGGGGACGACCACGTCGTTGAGCTGGCGCACGTCAGCCTGGGCAGCCGAGAGGCTGGTTCGCAGGTCCCCGTTCTCCTTGGTCAGAGACTCGTTGTTGTCGGTCAGGATCCGGTCGCGCTCCTTCATCACCCTCCAATCCTCCGGCTTGATCATGAAGTACTCATGCCCGACGTACTCCTGGGGGATATCATCATGGACAATGTGGTGGTGGTGATGGCGGTGGTGCTTGTGTCCATGAGAGCGGGATCGTTTAAGCTTGACAAACTGCCCCTTCCCGCAAGAGTCCGTCTCATAGTATAGCTTCCTCGACATCATCAAGGAGGTTAGGCTACTGAGCTTATTGTTGCCGTCTCACTCTGGGATATGTTTCGCAAACAAATGCTGTGGATTATCAGAACAGACAGCAATCGATGGCAGTTCCTGTTTCAAAAGATCATGGTAATTAAGACAAGAGGAAAATAAGAACGCGGGAAGCAGCTCGGGATACATTCTAAAGACGTCGTCGTCTTATAGGCCCCTCCCCAAACCATCTTCTTTGTCAAAGTAGACCAGCACACGACACGAGACCATGGCATTTGGCGTAGCAACGTGCTCCCCAAGCCTCGACCTAGGAGCGTGGGTGTTTCACGCCGACGCAGAAAGCGAACAAAGAGACGCAGCAAGGGCACGCCCAAATGGTCAGGCTGGCTCATCACCAAGCCTTGCGCGCTCGTAGACGAGCCTCCCTCCCAGGTTGGGCCTCACCCACGAGGCAGGCCGGCATGGTACATGTCTCATTGGTCATGCTCGACACCAATAGAATGGGAAGCGAGAAATCATACCTACAAGGCACCGGGCTGAGTGATGGCCTCGAAAGACTAGTGGTAGCCTTCTCACATTGTCACATGGCGGCGAGGCGCTATGGGCATAGAAGCTCTGAGCCGTGCGCTCGCTCATGGGCTGGCTGTCTGGTGGCTTGCGATGCCCAGGCAAGGCTCGGATTGCCAGGGGTGGGCAGAGCCGATCAATATGCGCGGCATCATGCAAGGCCGGCAGCTAGTTTAGACGATATCATGAGATGGGCGAAAGGCCCCTGGTGGTGAAGTCAGTTGATGCCGAGCAGCACGCGAAAGGGAGAGTAGTTCGCACTATCCGTGTTGAGGCTGGTACATGTGAGCCCTCCCCGCGATTGTGGTAACCCAGGTCCCTTGCAGAATGTGCACTGTGTGAATGCCATCCAGATTCTCACTGTGGTATCATCCCCCCTCCAAGTCGACTTCTGCAACCACTTCGGGCTGCAACCGAGACCGGTGTCATACATATCACCCAGCCAACTAAACCGGGATGCATGTTACTTGTCATAGATGCACATTACCATCCAACAACATGGATATTCTCTAAAGGAGGGTGAGCAAAAGAACCCTATTTTAAGCTGTCACGGCGATCCACGCGTGTATTGTCCAATCTAGGGAGTTGACAAGTGCAGCCAATACAGCCCCCTACATCTGGTGGAATGACAAGAACAATGATCAACTTTCCGTCCAAGCTCAAGGGAGACGTCCTCCCCTGCTAGCTATTCCCTCTGCATGGGCCTGCTTTGATTGAATGAAACGCCAGCACTGGTTGTGGTCAGTGAACCCAAAAGGCCAGGCCATGAAACGAGATAGTCCAAGCACCCAATTTCTCACCACTCTTGCATTGATCAACCTAATAGAAGTAAGGGGGTGACGGGCCACCACCACGTAACTAACCAACTAACTACTACGAATACATGCTAATAATCAGACTCATCCGGCACCAGTCCCAATGCAAACGACCCAACAGAGCTCGAGCGGCTTGGCCGTCCGCATCCCGCAAACCTCGGCCGCCCGCCCCATCGAACTCTTGTCGAATGGCCGTGCTCCCTACAGCACGGCCCGTGGTATTCCACTCTGCTCTGGTGTCCTCGGGGGTTGCTCAGATGCTCCGCGCAGTATCGCGAGTCCCCAATCACCAAGCCTCGACAGCTCGCGGTCCCGCACGTGTGTCTCGCGCAAAACGGGGAGAGGCCGTGATGGTGCCCATGGCCAGACGGCTCGCTTGGGTAGTCCGACACGGCGCACTTGTGAACGGCGCAATACCTAAAGCAATGGATCCGTGGCTCTGAGCACTGAGGCTTGCCGCAGAAGTGAGTCTCGCAGTAGCAGACGGACCTCGTGGCTTGTCTCTCGCATCGACAGCCATGCTCTGGGCAGTCGTAGACATACCGCGGTTCATCTATATCATCATCATCAGTAGAAGGTCCCAGTGGATGTTCTCTCGAAAACTCTCACCATCGTCACCATCACCCCCGTGTCTTCCACACCTCCTCCCATGGCCCCGAGCCCGAGGGTGCACATGAATCCTCCCGCACCTCATCGTGTCCAGAACCGACCGATGCTTGAGACAGAACTGCTCAGAGCTCGCCTCGAGCTCGCACCCGTCCCATCCACACTCGTGCGTCGGGCAGAAGTGCTGCCCCCGCCTGTGCTGGTCGCACATCTGATGCCGGCACCCGTGCTCCTCGCAGAACCTGCCCCTCCCCGCCATCCTCCCCTTGTCGCAGCCGGCGTCGACGCACTGGTGGTCGGCGCAGTGGCAGCCCGCCAGCCTCTCCTTCTGGCACCCGTCCACCTGGCAGTAGTGCCGGCTGCAGAACGGCGTCACGACACCGCTCTCCCGCGCGTGGCAGAACATGGTGCAGTGCGACGCCGACCGGCACCGCCTGTGCCTGTCGCAGAACCGCTTGGGATCCGCCGGTCCCTCCCCGCCACCGGCCACGCCGCACTGGCAGCTCTCGTATCCGCAGGTATGCTTTGTACAAAATGGCCCCGAGCTCTTAACCTCTTGGCAATCTTTGCTAGGGCACCGGTGGTCGGCGCAGTATCGGAGATCCAGGCCCTCGAGACAGGCGCGCCGCTTCTTACACTTGTCCGCGCAGCAGAGGTCTACTCCGACTGTCAGCTGTTGGCCTTCCCCCTTTCTTGTATTTGATATCCCTCTCACTCTCTCTGGGAAACTCACGGAACTGTGCGCAGTAAACGCTCCGGTTAGGATCATCGTCCTTCACATGGTGGCTACAGCGTACACCTCGCTCCATCGCAGTACACTGCAGATCTTTGAATCTGTCAACTATTTCCTTTACTTCAAAACCCAGAAGAGGCGAGAGGTTTAGGGGAGAGAAGCACTCACGGTCATCACAGTAGTTATACCTAGACGGCATCTTCTGTATCGGGCACAGGTGGCCGCCATCCACCGACCGGCACGCATGATGCTCGCAGTGCGGCGACCTGTAGATCCTGCCGTCCACCTGCGTCACGTACACCCTGTTCCTGCAAACAGTCCCCTGCGCCCGGCATCGCTGGGGGTTGTTCCGGGCGATGACGTGCCCAGGCGGCCTGACGTGCTGGTAGTAGACCGGTTGGAATGGTCGCATGTTGAAGGAATCTCGCCCGCCTTCTATATTTTGGCCATATTTGGCCAACGGTAGGCAGTGATAGATTCGGGCCTTTTTCTGATCACAATGGTTTGGGTGAGAGAGGTTTCGTAGTAGGGTCTATTTTCGCTTTGAAAGGGAAAGATTCCAGGGCAATGAGGAGGGGTGATGAAGGGGGTACCCGAACTCGCCGTTCGAGTTATACTAACCATCTGTCAGCCTCATGATATTGTACGAGACAACACGTCATGAGCCCTTCAATGTCGGTGTAGGATCTGTGATGAAAGATATCGGCGTAGACGCTCCGTAGTTGCATAACCGTAGCACTAGGGGATACGGCTACGTTAGCAGTTGCTCTTCCTGTGCAAATAACAGGCATCCATGATTCACCAAGGTGCACAGTACGACGCAAGACAAACACCACAAGGTCACTCTCATCAGACCCTTGAGTATGCATGAGGAAAGGGGCAGTAAATCGCTTGGTGGAAACCGCTTCAGTAAAACTATATACACAGCCCCTGTATCCCTAGGCGTGAAGAGGTGAATAATATAGGTATATTCGGTATGGAAAATATCAATCCAAGGTAGAACGCCAGAACTCCAATGTGTCTTTTTCCTTTGTCTCTCAAAGAACCTCTCGTTCGTTTCGCCATATCCATTGGTATCGTACCCCATCTATAATAATTCGACATTTCGCTGATAGATAACGTAATAAAGTAAAAAGGAATGAATGTTGACTCCTAGCCTGTATAAATCAGGTAACAGAAGCGTGACGCGAGTCACGCCGGGAACCGTGCCGAGTCATGTCTGCAGGGAGATATCTCACATAGCTTCAAGACGCTGCCAGATGTCTGGCAGATATTGAGCATGAGGATACATGTTTCCACGTCCTGCGATTTGGAGACATGCCAAAGTTTCACGACGTAGCCTCCGCCACAGCAGCCTGCAGTCCTTGGAGTAAAGCAGCCTCGGCGGCGTTGTCGTTTGACAGGTCCGTAGGATGTGACTCCGTGTGTTGAATGGGTTCTACGGGTGAAGCTTGAGTGACCGGAGCGTACGACATTTGGGGCTGGGGCGGCGTCGGGAGTTTCAGAGTATGCTGCGGCTGTGGTTGCGCGGCGGGCACGGGAGAACTGTGTGTAGATACAGCTGCAGGGCCTGGAGTAGGCGTTCCAGAGCTTTGGCGGTGGTGAGAGGGCGTTTGGGGAGTGGCCGGTCTTGATGTGGAAGACTGCCTGTGCATCTGGTGTTGCAAATGATGATGATGAGTTGGCTGTTGGCCATACTGTCCCATAGTTTGCTGGTTCTGCTGGACGGGTTGCTGCATGGCTGCTTGAATCCCTTGCGTGGCAGCTTGTTGCGGCTGGGGCCGAGGTACTTGTGGAGGTAGCTGGCTCTGAGGCCTAGCAGAGGGTTGGGCCGCAGAGTGTATTGCTTGATGGCTTGTAGTCTGGATTCCGGGTCGAGCTGAAGCTTGCGTTGCCGCATACCCGTTCACACCCTGCTGATTGTTCACACCAGGATGTTGCCCTGCTACTTGCGCAGCTGATTGAGCAGGTGTAACTACACCCGACCCAACTGCTGATACAGAGCCGGCCGCTCCCCGGCTTTGAGGAGGGTGTTGCAAACCGCCCGCCAGGGCCATGATTCCTTGTAGTTTCGCTTGGTCTTCCTCCGAATTTAGCCGTGCCCTTTCTTCTGCTTCTTTTCTTGCAGCTTGTGTAGGAGCACGCGTCTTGAGCTCTCCCGTAACTGCTTGAAGATAGTAAGGCATCTCCGAGTTGGTTTTCAAGAAGAACAGCTTCAGGTTACGAGCTTTGTCTTTCAGCTGCACCTGGGTTCTGTCCTTGAGAATGTCTGATATAGTACCAGCTGGTCCAAAGAGAGTGAGGATCTGACTCCAGTGGGGGCCCTTCACCATATCAAGACCCGCCATCAACGCCTTCTCTTCCTCCTGAGACCAGGGGCGACGAGTAGAATGCAGGCCCTCTCTACGAGTATGCGCTGTCGTCTTTGACAATGCTGCTTGTCTGGCCTTATCATATAATATTGCGCTAGGGAATGATTGGTTTGGTGGTAAGTTTTCGCCGGTCACGGGGTGCTGAGGCTGCGGTTCGGGTACCACGTGCGACAAGGAGGTGTAGTAAGAGTGTTGAGCATGCTGTTGATGCAGATGACTAAATAAGCTGGATGATTGGGCAGCCATACTCTCCGCTGGCACAAAGTCAGTAACGACATCATCATTTCTCGGTAGCACTGAGTGTCTCCCACCTGTACTTGTAGGTACTGTCGGCTGGTAAGGAGCAGGTGACAGCCCTTGAAGAGTTGTTTTGACATAATTCGACGTACTCTCGGCAACCAGAGCCTCAAGTTCTTTGTAATCAGTAATATAGTTTCCAGGAGTCGGAGTAGGAGCTTCAGGCTTTGTCGTAGTTATCGTAGGAGTAGCAGGGGTGGTGGCTGCGACGGCGGTGGTGGTGACTGGCGCAGGTTCACTGACTGGCGCCGGTGCCGGTGTCGGCGTCGGTGCTGATGCTGGTGCTGGTTGTGGCTCTTCGTCTGTGAAACCAGCCAACGCACTCTGTACTAGACCTGAGGTAGTTTTCTCGAAGAAGGAATCAAGATCATCCATGTCAATTTCACCTGTATCAGTAGCACCAGGAAGCCCATGCAGAACGTCCTCTTCGGTAGGAGCCGGAATCGAAAGCCCGAATGTATGTCCAAGCTGTGTTGCTGATACGAGCTGCTCGCTGGCACATATACTAAATGTCCTGACTGCGTTTTCTGGTGGGTACGAGTTTCTTACAGCAGCTGTTCGATGTGTTAGACCATTTTATAACAAGCCACCAAGTTTACGGGACACAGCACTGACCAAGCCCGAGCTCTGACTGGGCAAGCCTGAGCAGCTCATCCTTGCGAGACTTCAGAGATGACAATAACTCCTGGGAGGAGTCCGACAGGTCTTGATCAGCCTGTCCATCCTTGAGCTTAAGCTCGAATCCTTCGAGGAGTGAGAAGTTGAGTTGTTCGTCGAATGACCTTGCAGGATCTTTTGTTTGGAGGTCTTCAATGGCCAGCTGCGTTCTGATAGCTACCCACAAATCTGACAGCTTCTTTGGCAGTATTACGAGAGGGTCACGGAAAATCGGCATCATGTGCATTTCTGCTTCACGCATCGACGAGGCGTCTCCGTCCAATATCCATAGACCGATTTGTGCAAGATTAGACAGCAGAATGATCGTCTGCGAATCGTGGCTAGTCAATTCAAATTCGCTGGCGAACAATATCGGGCCTGGCGAATAGAGACTTCTCGTCGCCTCGAGACTCGTCCGGAGCTTGCGTAAGGAGCATGAATGGTCTGAAGTTGGATCTTGGAGCTTCCGTGTCACCTCCTCAAACGGCTTTTGCGACAGCGTGAGCAGGACCGACATGGCCTATAGTATTTGGAATCAGCACAGAAGTATACGCAAACATCAAGGGACCTCCAGACGGACCAGAATGCCCAACGCGTTAATATTCGCCTGGCGCACAAATTTCTCGGGCTCGGAGAGGAAGCCAGCAGGCGCGGGAGGCAGCGAATCGTGAATTTGAGATACGTCGAGATCCATGGGATCGGTGGCTGGGTCCGGCTCTGTGGTGGGCACAACGGCTGACATGTCGGGCTCATCGGTCAATTGGCCCATAAGGTCATTGATGTTGGACAGCGCATTCTGGACCAAGAGATCCATGCCATCCTCGAACGAAACCTCGGCCTCCGTCGGCACCTCTGCCTCCTTCTTCAGCCTTTTCGCGTCTAGATCATGATCGGTGTCGCCAAAGGACATGAGAGGCCGTTTGGAAGCCGTTTCGGACGCCAGAAAGAAATCAAAGCCTTCGAGGCCATGTGGTATTTCTTCTTTTACTCCTCCTGTGATGAGAATGGTCAGATCAGATATCGAAGGGTTCAAAGCAGGGGCTAAAATCATGTCGCAAATCATCAGATGGAGAGGGGCGCTGTTGCTTCCACGTCAAAGGCGTGAGTGTGCTAAGAGGCCACCATAAGGAAATCGCAAGTGAATTTTGAACCAGGCGATGCTTAGACAAAAGGAAATGCAATTCGTCGCACCTGCTGGGGAGAGGGCAGTGCTTGCCTGGAGGGGCGCTGTCTCTGCCATCATTGCCAATTGCCTCCGCGGTCGAGGATGAATCGCATCTGGATCGGGGAGCCTGGCTCGGTGTCGGAAAGTATAAGTCGATGTAGTCAACCGGCGCAAGGAAGAGAGCTGCCCGGCGCAAGTGAGGGGGTTCTGCTGCGTTATCTCGAGTCTCAATCGACTGATGCGGGATGTTGGAGGCGGTCTCTCGCAGAAAATTTGCTGAGTCAGGCAGTCCCGCTGCCCTTATATCCTGCCCCAAAACATTGATCGGAGAGATACACAAAAAGTCCAGCGGGGGGAAACTAAGCAAAAATTAATGCGATGCTACGTAATCAGCCTCAAACAGCAATGCTCTGATTCACCCACTAATCATTGCCCATCTTTCTTATTGTCATATGAGAGTTACTCAATTAAATAACATATTGTCTATATCTATCTATACACAAAGGCTCTGAAGATATGGACAGTGCAGTGCTGGTCTGGCCATCAGACGACGGTATCTGGCTTAGACAGTTATCTTATCTTCTCGAGGAGAATAGAGAAGCTCTGGATGTGGGTCTTCGCTCTACTACGTAGTAGAGAGGCGAATCACAGTTCTTTTATATTATAGGCCATATATGTGATCAATGCGCTGCGAAGTAGGTAAGTAAATGAGTGTTAATCAAGATAGAATAGAAGAAAACCTTGAATTGGTATCAGTGATATCAAAAATGAGAGAGGTACAGAGACAGATGTACGCACGATTATGTCCTAGGACCTTGTTGGACTGGAAATAACGGATCAAGCCTTCGAGACGGATGGTAGACTGACCTAGCTGCCATGTCTCAAGTGCGATTTAGTTTTACACCAAGCCTAGATAACACGAGATATGCTAGAACCTTATGATCGTTCCCTAACTTTAGACCCTCCTCGTTCTGAGATGTATGGGACCATTGTCCACCCCTTCACCAATAACACTCGAACCTAGTCCCCCCAGTGGTGCATTGAGAGAGGAACAGGTAAAATCTCTGTGAATTTCACTCTAGGTGATCCCATTTGCATCTTGTATGTCCCAGATAGGTCCACACTCACACCTTCGGTTCTACAACAGCACGTCTGTAGGAAACAAGTTGCTGTAAATAAAGAGAAGAGCTTCTGAGTTTTGAACTTAGAGCAGTAACATGGTCAAACAGACCGTTGCCGTTGGCTGCCATCCACCTTCTCAAAGAACACCCTCCTTTGCAGAGCATGGGGTAGTTCCGGCAACGCATCATAGAGAATTCTCATGAGAGGTAACCTAAGATAAACAAGCCATCATGCGTACCCTATGCCAATTAAATTCTCCAGCCTCAGCCTTTAAACTATATATCATATTTACCTAAATATCGGTCTCGCTACAGCGGAGTGTCCCCCATGAAAAATCATCTCACTTCAATTGCGATTAAATACTAAATGAGCCTCATCTATTCAACACTTTTACCACATTTTGAAGAGGCAAGCCAGCAACCTCATGCTGCTAGTTGGGTTAGTAAAATTCCAGTTTATCTTGGCTGTCTAAAGTATTTACCCCTTACTCCTTGTCAGAAATCTCCAATTACACTGTTATTTAAATAGTAAAGACTTTCCATGTAGATGTTGTATATATTCCATTCTCCCAATCCCCAAAAGCTTCAACCCAAAAGGAGGCACCTTCTCAAGGCAGTTCTCCATCTATAGCACGCCAGCAACTGCCCCCTTCCCTTAACTCAATATTAGTCTCCTGAGGAAAGCACGTGTAAACTCAAGTTCAAATACATCATCTTGAGGCCGCAATCCACTCTTCCAGACCAAACTCATTACATCTCTCGTCGCCCCTCAATCCTCCAAGCACCCCCTATATGAAGTATCTATATTTCCCATCATTCTTGTTACCGGCATAACATCATGATCGACAAAAAGCAGTGCCCGGCTCACACCCGCCAGCCGTGGGGCAGCAGCACCCACCGCTACAGCCACCGCCTCCGCTACTTTCTCATGGCCCTGCTCACCTTCCTGTTCTTCTCCGTGATCCTGGCGCTCGTGATCAACATTGCCCTCCATTTCGCCTGGGGCCCTTCCTCAAGCAACGACAAGCCCATTCCGAAATATTCCAGCCTGGGGCAGCAGTCAAGCTCGGCTCTCAAAGACGACTCCCTATTTCAGACATGCAAGGGGCAGTTCGGTAGCTGCGAGAATCTAGACAAGCCGGTATGTCCATCTCTATTCTCACCTGTTTCCTCATACTTGTTTGCCATTGCGGTCTGCATCTTCTTGCAAGGAAGATCCACGTATCAGAGGAGGGTTCAAAGGTTCCAGGTCTGTTGAACTAACTTGAGCCTCAGGAGTTCTGCTGTCCTTTGAAGACAACTTGTCAATTTGATCACTTCTCACCATCGGGAATTCACTGCTGCGGCTCTGAGGAACGCTGTGCTACATCTCATGAGAATCCCCCACGATGTGTTGCCGGAACTACCGCATGCTCTTCAAAGGAGGGTGGCGGTTGCTGCCCCAAGAGTTGGGATTGTTCTCTGGGCGGATGTATTCGAGAACCAGGTTCTATTCTCACTGCCACTGCCAGCAACAAGGACGAATCGGCGACAACTATCGCCATCCAGCCATCCAAGTATCATGATGTGAATTCGTCTGTAGGTCAGGGAGTGACCGGGGGCACCATGATGAACACATCGACAACCCAAGTTAACAGCACCACATTTATTAGTGTTAAATTTGGAGAGTTGGCCCTTTCTATGAGTGGGGAAGCTATCAAAGATATACAGAAGAGGAGTGGGACTCCTCTAAAGATGGGACTTGGTCTGTCTCTAGGGATATCAGTGGTAATGGCGGCGGTTTCGGTTGCTGCCTCTCTTTAAGGCCGGCAGATCTATACTCCTAAATGTTCCTTCTGCCAACTCTTCGAACCCAGGGCGGTGAAATTATGTGTGAAGTCTGGTTCTAAATTCCCCTCCACTTCCCATTATTATTCTAGTCGAATCTATTCCTCCAAAATTGCTTCCAGTCCTTTTCCGCGGTGATTTGACTCATCAAAACTAAGACAATAGTTGTACAAGAGTAGCAACCATAGTCAATGCAAGTATAACAGCTTGGCTACAGGCACTCATAGATGAATAACCCCCTCCTTCGTTCGCAGCTTCTGTCGCCGATGGAAAGGATGTTATGCCCCCAGTACCGTCTGCTGGTGATCCTCCGTTGTTGGACACACCCTTTACTAGGCCCGGAGACGCCGCCAGACTTGTCATGGTCTCCCCCATTGCAGGAAGTCTGACATTTCCAGGCACTTGCCACCATCCCCCTTCTGTTGAACTCGGACAAGGTCTGGTTGACACATGGCTCGGATCATAGTCATCCCTCTTCACACCTGTAGGCCTGATACTCGCCCATTTCTCTTTGAGATTGGAATAATCCGGCGTGACAGGTGTTGGTGTACCTTTCCGAGACCAGTTATCGAATACAGTTTCATCATTTCGAGTAGGGTCTCCAACCGGCGGGCCGTATGATATCATTCCGTAGTTGTTCTGCTCTTGAATCCATTCATAAACAACAGCGCCACTCCAATCTCCGACCATCTGAGGCCCAAAAATAGCGTCCTGGTCATGCCAAAGTCTTGGGCCAGGAACGTTGCAGCCCGTTTCAGTGAAAAAGATAGGCACGGGAAAGTTCTTTGCCTGCTCTTGGAGTTGGTTGTAAGTCGACTCCTCGTAGGAACTTGGATCACACCATGAGTACGAATTGATTCCAAAGAATTCAATCGTCTCAGATGCGTTACCTCCACAGGTTAGATATTCCTGCAACATTGGGCGTAGTTCTTTGATGTCTGCGGCTGAATATCCAATGGGAATCTTTCGGTAGCCCTTCTTATCTCGGTACGCTTTCATGTCTCGGGCGGCAGCTTTAAGAAACGGCGCTCCGGCTGAGTCCTCCTTTCTAGCGATATTCTCATTGCCGATGAAGAAGCCTAGAACATTCGGGTAGGCCTGAAAGGTGTCCATTACACTCGAGAATCGGTCATATTGTCTTGTGCTCCAGCATTGGTTCGGCTATCAATCGCGTCAGCTTCTGATATTGCTAAACACCATGGCTTGTGAATTCCAAATCAGACATACCGGTATAACATACGTATCGAACGTATCCAGGTCAATCAGCAAATAGATTCCTGCATCGGCAAAAGCGTTCATGCATCCGTCATGTTTGGCTGTCTCATCGACGTGGTAAACTCGAAGGGTATTGACTCCTAGATCTTTCATCAAAGCGATATCTCTGTTGCACTGGTCTGTGTCGACAAGAGGATCCTCGGGACGAAGTTGATAAGCAACACCTTTGAACTCAAACGGTTAGTCGAGGCGTGTATCTCTGATGTCGAGGGGATCTTACCTTTGATGAAGAACTGAGACCCATCCTTATTGAAGAACTTGTTCCCTTTGACCTCCACAGGATCAAGGGCTCTCGCTAGGCCGGCGAGTCCCAGAAGGCCGAGGCCAAAGCGGTACCAATACATTTAGGCACGGGAAGTACAAAGAGAGACCGGGAAGTTTTACAGGAAGAAGAGAACGATAGGGAATAGTGCTTGCGTTTGGCGTTGATTAATGATCAGTGACCATACACAGAATACAGAGGGAAATGGGCGTGGATTTGTTCCTATCCACTTCATACAGCTTCAAGAATAGCTCAGTGCTTGGGTCAAGATTTGAGATGGGATGTTTGCATGCAAAGGAGAGGCCAGATCAAAGAAACACTTGGGGCGTTGACGAGGTCCGTCGTCAGATGATCAGGGGGGAGGGGGGAAGGGGGAGAGGATAGCAGATCAAAAATTGCGGAGAGGGTGAAAGGGAAGAAATGATTGCTGTGGGAGAGATGGAGGTGGTAAGTTCACCTCGTGCCTTCCCAATGCCCTGTCCAGGTTGTACCAACTGAGCTGGGTCCAACTTGGCGGATGAGGCAAACAGGCGGGTAGGAGGCAGGTACCCGCGGCCAAGGTCAAGACCCAATCTTTGTGCACCCTTTTAAAATTAAGCTGCCTGTTACAACGTATCTGTCACACATGAGAAGTCGCGGTATAGGTTAAGAATCCAGCTGCGACTGGCCATATCTGGTTCTGAGGAAGGACAGACTCCCGCGTGGGACGTCGCACAGAAGCTTGTTATGGCTTCCTTCATCCGGTCGGGATTGAGGGCAACATCCTCTTTGTGGCTGGCAAGCTATGCTTTATGAAGAGATTTTGGTTCTAATAAGCAAGAAAATACATGTTGCTATGTTCGCCTCGTGTCAATATGGGTAAATCTTGCACTTTCCGCCGCAACGACCAAGATACTTGCTAAAGAGGGTTTCATACGTACTATTCTTGTACCTATCATTTTTATGAATGAACCACGACTGCTGCACCTACCGACGGCAAAGGAACCCTTTCGTCTCGAACTGAGTAGAAAAAAAATCCATGAGCTTGTATGATGGCGGGAGAAACAGCAGATAACCAAGCGACTATAGGGTATCGCCAGAAACCATCAACCCAGCCCCTGTATTCCAGTTACAAGTACACAACCCCAGCTACATATTTGATCACGCAATGAGGGGGAAGAAACGTAGAATAGCATAAAGGGTTTCATTTCAGCGTCAAAAAAATCATACGACGTCAGAAAATACAAAACTCCATCCCAAGATATTGTCCTTCAGTTGAGTAGTAAGTTGACAATGACACAGCGCCTCGCCGAACGGTTAAGTAGGTATTCCGATGTTCTCCAATAACCCCAACACATACAAATAAAGAAACTCCCAGTAATTCTCGCCGAGTTAATTATAGTAACAAGCTCCAGTTTCGCAACTCGCGATTGACCAAAGATGTTCGTTTTTCTCCTCCTCCCTCCCGCGTTTGTATGTGTAAACTGCCCGAATTGGAGTCATAGAATTAGGCAAGTAACACCTTCACGAAGCGATATAATCGTCACAAAAAAGAATCCGTGATATCATGATGACGCCAATTTCAATGGAATCATACTTATGAGGCCATCCATCCTCATCCATAGTGGTGCGGACCTCCACTATAAACAGGCCCCTGGTGCATGTGATTCGCATATAGAGGAACTCTAGATCGGTCGGGGTGGGGTCGTATCGGCCGTGGAGATGGAATTCCCCTGGCAGCAGCAGAGGTAATCTCCAAACCATCATCCCTATCGCTACTTCCTGTCGTGACGCTGCTGGTCCGGCTGTGACGAGAGTATTCGCTGCTGCTGTTGGTCCGGTGGTGTAGCAGGGGCGGAGGGCTCTCTGGCGATCCGAACGCAACGCCGGTGTGGGTGTATGGATGGGCTGGAAGGACTCGGGGCTGTCGGTAGAAATGGGCATCGTGAATCGGTACCTGGCCTGGGAATGGGAATGCTTGAGACGATGGCACGGTGTAGTGATTGACGCAGTGCGGCTCGCTGATCCCACAGTTTTGTCGGAGAATTTGATAAATGCGCTGTTGGATCTCGTGAGCGGGTGGTCGTTCGAACGGGTTGGCCGCGAGCATCTCAGTCACAACGTGGAGGATCGGGGTGTATCCCCGAAAAACATTGGCGCCATCGTTGTCCGAGGCCTTGTTGGACGCATCCTTGGCCAAACTGGACATCCAATTCTCCACTTGATCGAGATTCTTGTGAAAGGAGGAGTCAAGAACTGCGCCGCCTCTTCCTGCTTGCTTGTGTTTGGCGGCTCTGAAGCTGGCAAACTTACTACCGGAACGCTTGAGAAGGTACGAGAGAAGTTCGAGAATAATACAGCCCAGCGAAAAGATGTCGGCCTGTTGGCCAGGGCTGGGCATCGTCGGCGATCCACGAGGCCCTCCAAACTGGCTAATCCCGGGTGTACTGTCCTCGGGGGAGGCCGACAGAGAAGCTAGGATTGATCTCCGAGATGGGGGGCTACCGGGTCCGGACGGCCGTAGCCACTGCTCGGGGGCAGCGAAATCATACCATTCGCGATCAAAAGAGGCCTTGTCTTCTTGGGAGGTTGATGTCGTGGAGCTTAATCTCGTGGGGTCTACGAGAAATATGCTGTTTTGATGGGTGAAGAGGACTGCTGAAGGTTTGAGATAGGAGTGGGCGAGGTTTTTGCTGTGTAAGAAGCAGACTGTGTCGACTAGGCAAAGAATCCAGTTGATGACAAGCTCTCTCCGGGTTTTCTTAGGCAGGGCCTTGAAGGTGGAGGGTGTGCTCGACAAAAATGATTTGAGGTTGAAGTCGCTCACTGGGGTTAGTAGGAGGTAGTTAAAGCCTTGGTGAGTGTATGACGCCCAATATGAGATGAGATGCCGGTTCTGGATATTCTTAAGTGCGTTGACCATTTCCAGGAACTCAGTCATTGTGGTGGCCTCTGGGAATTTCCCCAACTGGTACTTGCGGCGGATAAACGTCTTGCCTGGGATGTTGGGGAGCCGGACTTTCTCAACCTGGCTGCCCTTGGAGCTAAGATGAGGAGTCTTTTCCACAACATCGAGCGGAACGAGTTCCTGGTCGCTGAACGAGTAGTGCTCACCGCCCTCGATCGTCCTGACGAGGTAATGGAATTGACGCTGGTAGAACTTGCGATCCACGCGCTCATCCTTGGCAGCCGTGAGCTCCAGGCGCTCGACGTCGCGGGGCGCAAGAGGAAGCTCAGCGTCTTCCCAGCCATCGTCCACGATACCGAATATCTGATCCGGCAGGCCGATGTCTACGAGGATCAGGAACATGCGCTTGGCGTTTTGCTGGATGCTCTCCCAGTAGGTCCTCTCGGTCAAGGCCTCGGAGCTGAAGCCCACAGGCTTATCGAGGAGCTCAATCTCATCGCGAACCAGGTGCTTCTCGACGAACTGGCGGGTGACAGTGTCGTCAATGCGCTGGGCGACCCACCATTGCCCCATGATATGTTCTGGCCTACCTCGTGGCCCAGCAGGGCATTTCCTTTAGACAAGGGAGATTGGGTGAGGGGCCTAGAGTTTTGAGTCTGGGCCAAGACTGAGCCGGGACTGGCAATGGCTGGTAGGGTGGTAGCAGTACGACCTCAGAAAAGGCAAGACAGAGCAGACAAAGCCATACGCAGCAGAGAAAGCGGATGGGGAGGAATGGGGAGGAGGAGCAGTCGGAACACGGCTTTCCACTAGCACCTAGTTCAGCGTGGGCACGCGGAGGACGAGAGACAGAGTCATATCAGAAAGAAAGAGTGCCTCAGTCAAGAGTGACTACAGCCAGGGAGATATTTGACGTCTGAGCGAGGAGCAACATCCAAAGTCGACCGATGGCCTGACAGGACAGGACAGGACTGAGCGAGTGTGGGTCGAGGGGGGGGATGGAAAGGGCCCTGCCAGCTCATTGCACACACACAAGATGATGCCGGGCCAGAGACGAGCAGCACAGAACGGAGGGCACGACTGGATGGATTGGGAATGGTGATGGGGAGGGCTTATCTTGGAAATTTCCAGCGCCCGGGGGTGCTGGTGCTGCGCTCGCGCTCAAATCTGAATGGAGGGGCCGGTGGTGATTGGTGGGGCGCGAAGGCGTTGACGGGCGCTGATAAGAACTTCGCTGGTCAACCACTTGCACCAGCGCCCGCCCGTCCTGCACAAAACACGCCCAACAACCACCCGCAGCACGCGGACGGCACAAGCGAATCCTGATGCTCGCCTTGCAGCCAGGCCCCGACCAGTCTCGATGGGGCCTAGGCCGCCGCACCGTCGCCAACCCAAATCTCCTGACGGCTAGATTGATAGGCTGGTCGATTCGTGTGCCTATCTCGACTCCTCGAGTGCCGACGACGGAGCGTGGTGGCAAGAGATGGGCGGCGGCTGGTGCGTGCCTCTGTCTCGGCGCGCTCGAGGCCTGAGCGCAGCCTGCTGCAGCCAGCACCGCCCAGCGGCCCATCCGCACGGGCAGCCCAGCCAGGCCGGAGGGTGCGCCTCCTCATCATTCGTTCATGTTCAGCGTGTTTGCGGGCGTTCAGAGGTCAGAAGTGGGGTTTCACCGATCTGCCGGATGCCAGACGAGGACTAGACCCTGGTCTTTCTCCCCGGAGCCGGCCGTTGAGTCTCATCCAGCAGCCCAAAGGCTTAAGTTGTATGCACAAATTTAATGGCTCCAGGGAGGCAATGCTATTGTAGCATCAGCCTCGCGTGGGGACTATTCGTTTCTTGACCTGCTGCTACCCCGACTACCAATATAGAGTTGCAATGCGTATTGCTGCCCTGCCCTCAACTCATTACCGACGTCGTGTTGAAGTAACATGACCCTGCAGCTGCACTTTAGGCGCCCTCCTGAGCGGGCAACATGTAGGTAATAATGACCTGTAAGTTATCACGGTTGGTCAATTGACAACAATAATCTCAACAATATGCAATTATAAACTGGGTCATTGCCTATTGTCCACATTTTGTCCCAGCATGTCTTGCTTGTCTGATCATGACTATCGGATTGTCATTCGCTTTCCACCCAACCACCTCACTGTACCATTAACATGGTTAATAAGGGCACCAACAAGTCAAAATGGACATGTTGCACTCGCATCACAACACATGACATGGTGCCGTCTACCAATCACATAGTACTCGGTGAGCATGTCGAATGCCGTCTGTTGAAGAGGCAGCCAGGACGCGGCCAACATTCAAGTTGGCCGACACATGGTGGCATGGGGCCTAATTACACTCTCGCTTACATGTTATCTCGAAACTCAGAGGTGAGGAATCCCCCTCCTCCCTTCGACTTCTAACCTATCACAACTCGCACCGTCTTCCCCATAGAAGCCTCTCGTGTCTCTGTTCTTGGTCTGGCCGCGGAGATGGAGGGGATTGGGGAGGGGCCTTCCATGCGCCAACGGCCGTTGCGAGCGTCTTGCGCCCGCAGAGCTGCACCGGCGCGACACCACGACAGAGAAGACAGCCAGGGGTGTGTTTCCTCCCCAACATCTCCTCCACCCCACCACAATGGCTAAATTTGCTGTTTCGGTCTGTTGAATTGAATCCCGTGGAGAGTTCCGGCCGGGTTTGCATCCTGGTAAACCTATCGAGTACATATACGACCCGTGGTATTAACGTGGCGCGCGTGCGGCGCCGGCGTTTAGTGCACCGTTCAGCGGGCGGATCTCGACTATCAATATTATAGCAAGCCGCATTTGCTCCGAAACAGTCATGTCCTTGTCATGTCTCATTAATTAAAGAGGCAATGCTTGTCTATTTGATGCTGATCTCTGAATCGCTGATGGCACCCCGCCCCCTAAACGTCCTCATCCCTCGGTCCACCCCGGCTACCTTCCTCGCAATGATCTGGAGGCCGGCAGGGAGGACGTTGTACCAGTCAACCCACCGTGCATACAAAGGCAGCGCAATGGTGGCGCCTCTTCCGCGGTCGATGGCGTCCACCATCTCCTTGACGACGTCCACGGGCTCCACGACCGGCGCCATGAAGCTGTTGGGGGTCTCGACTCCGTAGAACAGAGGCGTGCTGAGCTGCCCCAGGGTGACGAGGACCGTACGTATCTCGGGGTGCGTCTCCCGGAGCTCTGCTGTCAGAGACTTGTGTAGAGCCGAGATGCCCGCCTTGGAGGCTGCGTAGTCGGCCAGCCGAGCGGCTCCCAGGTGCCCGATGACTGATGATATGTTGACAATAGTCCCGCCCCGGCCCCCACGGGCCATGCCAGGGAGGAACGTCTTGATGCAGTAGAATGGGGCCACGAGGTTGGTCCTGAGGCTCTTGTCCAACTCCTCTATAGAGATATTCAGAAGGGACCTGCCGGCAACAACCGCCGCGTTGTTGATGAGCACTGTAGGTGTCCCGAGCTGTCGTTTCCATGTTAGTCACAGCCTTTCTCTTCTCCGTAGCCACCCACCCCCCTGGGGACTTAGCCAACTTACATCCTCTTCAATCTGGGCAGCGACCCTGGCGAGCTGCTTGCTATCTCCAACATCACACTTGTAAAACGTGACGCCCCTCTCGTCCGCGTCCTCCATCTCCGCCACGTCCAGCACCGCCACCGACGCGCCCCTCATGCCGTAGACCTCAGCGAGCAGCAAGCCCATCCCGCCCGCGCCACCGGTGATGACGATGACCTCCTCGCCGAGGTCGACCTCCCTAGGCGGGCCGTGGGCGACCCGGTCGTTCACGAGCCCCGCCAGCCAGACGACCGAGATGAGGACGGCCCAGGCGAAGGCGCCCACCATCGGGGGCGACTCCCACTTCACCGTGCGCGCGCGCAGGCAGAGCGGGAGCAGCCAGCAGATGAATGGGTGGAAGATGCTCCGTCTGAGGATCTTTGCGAACAGGTCGACGGAGAAGTGCGCGAACCATGAGCTTTGCTGCGGTAGCTGCTTCTTCCCCGGTGATTCTTTCTTGGGGCGAGACATTCTGGGCTGAGGATGAGCTTTGGTTGTTGGCTCTGAATATCTGCTGATCGTAGGTCAAATAGCCGCGATACACCCTGTCTGCAAACGGAACCTCAATTAATACAACCACCGCAAATATGCCTCTCGAAAATGCGGAAAGAAAATATAACGAATGAGAAGGGGATAGAACTGTAATTAAATATTGCGAAGCACCATATGCCCTGGTAAGGGTCTTCGTCAGTCAATGGGGCTTGTCGGGCGCTTAAATCGGTGACAGATCTCGAGAACTGAGCCAATGTTAGTCAAGCTCCGGCCTATTTCGCTGGGTCCTTGGACGACCCCGAATTGCCTTCATGATCTGATAATGCAGCAACACTTAAATTTCTAAAAGACTGTTTTTCTTCTTCTATTTTCTGCTTGCACATTAGTTACTTCAAGATAATATGACCATTCAGCTCACGGCACGGAAACAGAAGACGGGACCTTTTTCTTTCTTCAACATTGAGATGTGATTAGTATTCATGAATGCATATCAGTCTATATGGGTTGGAATATTTAATTATACAAGCAGCTCTAATATGTTACACGACCTTGCCAGCGGCCTTCTGAAGACCCTCCCTGTATGCTCTGTACTTGTTGGTCTCCTCCTCCTCCCAGAGCTTATCCCGCTGGATGCGCGCTCTTCTCCGGTCATGGTACCTGGGATCTCTCGTGATGCCCTCGGCACGCCACTTTCTGGGAGGCTTCACACCCAGAGCTGCCTTCTTCTCCCAGATCTGCATACCTCGGCGGTGCCATCGTTCCTGTCTGGACTGCTCTTCCTCAGCAGACGGCTGCCAGTGGCTCTTCAGGATACGTCTGATGTTTTCTGGCGACACCTCGAACTTGGCCGCCAGGTTCGACGTGGTGTAAATATCCGGGAATTGGGCATTGAGGGCACGGATGCCGGCGAGTGCATCCGGCGAAAGACGTTTGATCGGCTTCCAACCATCAGGAAACTTGGCCTTCAGCATTTCCTTTTGGATCCTCCAGTCCTCTACCTCCTTCTTTTTTTCGGGTTGTGTAGCAGAGGCGGGCTCTTCCGGGTTGCTAGAGCCCTTGTGCAGACCCGGTTTCTGCTCGCGGTTCTGAGACCACTTCTGCTGGCGATCCTGGAACGGCCTCTGCTCGCGATTTTGGAACGACTTCGAACCCCACTGTTGGTTTTTCGATCCTCCGCGCGGCCCAGAGTAATTGCCTCCTCTCTGAGGCAAGGGACCATCGTACCTCGGCCTATCTGAGTTTGCGTCGAATTTCCCAGCTTGCCATCTAGGCCTTTCAGATGGGCGTGCTGTAAATTTGGTTGTATGTGCTCTGGGTTTCCAGGCAGAGTGAAGCTCGTTCTTTTCCGCATGGGGCCCGAAATCTTTGTAGGAAGACTCGGGGGCTTTCGAACGTGCCTGAGGTACACCGAGATGCGAAGACGAAGGGCTGGATTCCGCTGCACCTTGTTCGGTCGTTTCAGCCTGAGCTACCTCCGTAGCGGCGACCTCCGCCTCCGCAGCATTGCCGCTGAGTATTCGAGACTGGTGAAAGAGTCTACTGTTTCTCGCGATAGACAATTCTTGTAGAAAGGGCTTGGACCGGCCGGCGGAGATGTGTGAACGCGAGAGCGAAGTATATTCGAGCCTGTGGACTTGGGCAAGGCCGTTAATAAAGGTCCTGAGAGGAGCGGCACGGCAGGAACAGTGCATGACTCTCTTTGACCTTGAAGTAATGGCCGGCCCCTAATTTCCTAATGTGTTGGCTTGGCGGAGAGAAGAAAAAGAAGAGGAATATTAAAAAGGCCAAGAAAGAATTCGGAAATGGAAAATAACCACTGTCGCAAGACTCAAAAACTGTCGGCGCTTGGCCTCCAAAAAGATTCAAAAAGTGGACTTGCGCCTAGCCCGAAAGGGGAAAAGTTTGACCGTCCCAGAGCGCATCACCAATTCCAACATCAGGAATTAGCACTGTTAACTGTGCACATATGTAGGTATCCAGTCCTCGCAAATTAAATGAAGTGATTTGTAATTAGGAGTATTCGTGACATTGATCGTTGTATTAGTACCAGGTGAAAGTATTGTCCTGACATAGCCATCCTCAATCTTGAAGCACTTACACAACCTAGCACTCATGTTGAAACCGTTGGTTGGTTCTCGCTCGGACTTCATTCATTGTTTCGAAACTGTCTCTATTTTGAGATGAAAAAAACAGCACCAACCATGCATTGTGTAATATGCCCAAGTGAACTTAATATACATGACTCTTTTTGGAGTTTTCGCGCCCTTTGCATCTGCATAACATACTGAAAAAACCCTTAGTGCTGAAGACGCCTTGCCCACGTGCTCGATCATTCCAATATTAAACATTTGAGTAAGCTTTTAAAGTGCAGTGTAGAGACATGCCCCCCAAAACTAAACAATTCCTAGATGCCACGGGGAATTCCCCGTGACTCTGTGAAGCAAGAACCCCGCAAATCAATGGAAAACGCCTTGATAATGTGCTTAGTTATCCCTGAAACGACTCCGAACAAAACTCCGGCGGAACAATGATAGAAGAAAGAGGTGCTTATGAGTCGGCCATAAGCTCCACAGGAGGCATGGATGTGTGGGCCATGATGGCCTTGGTCTCGAGACTCAAACCCTCGGGCTCATCGGTCATATCCTCAACCACGACCGCTGGCATGTTGGGGCTCTTGTCGTCAGGCTGGTAGATGAGAGTGGAGCTGCGGCTGCGAGTTGTGCTGGGCATGCGGCTGTCTCCGGGAGTCACAGGTGACTCGAGGGTGGGTGACTCTGTCGGACGGTTAAGCTTCGCAAGGGCTAGGGCGAGATCGTCGGCGTGGACCAGCTTGTTGGGTGCGTCCTCTTGGCGGACCTCCCATCCATGGGGTGGGCTTGCAGGTGGGGAGATGAAGAAGAGCTTGCCAGCATCAGGCAGCGCCAGGCGCTCATCCTTGACCTCGAGAGGGGTATTCTGACCAAAGTAGACCCGGATACGCTCCCCTGAGACGTTCTCGCCATCCCACACCTGGCGGACCTTGATGGCCGCCTCTTCGTCGTAGAATGACACAATGATTCGCCGGAAGGACTTCAGGGGTGCCCATGTGTGAATGGTGGCGGTTCGAGAGATGAGATCGCGGATGGAGGCGAGAGAATCGGCGCCGAATATTGCGAGGTCATTGAGGTTGGTGAAGATGAGGGTGTTGGAGGGTGGTGTCGGTTGCGACAGAGGAGGAAGGGTGGAGAGGTCGAGCGTCAGGTTGGACTTCCTGGATGCGTTGGAGGAAGAGCGCGAAACGCGGGTGCTGGACTCTAATCTGGGTTCCATTGCGAAAGGTAGAATGTGACTGTGGATGGAGCTTGATAAGGTGTGTTTTGGCGGTCAAGAGGTTGGAGACTCTGGAGACCGAGGTAGAGAAGAATTGTGATCGGGAGAGCTGCTGTATAGTGAAGACCAGGATGTGTCTAGGTGTTGTTCTGTAGCAGAGGTTGAGTGTGTAAGAGGTCTGGATGTCTGGGAGGGTGGTCCTGTTGTTCTTTTAACAGGTGTCGGAGTGGAATCGCTTTGGTGCGGGCTGGGTGGGAGGCGCCAGTGCAGGCCCCGCAAGACCCCTGGAGGCTGGGCCGGTTGGGGCAGTGGCTTCAGTGCTCCTGGCCAGTCCCAAAGAGGCAATGCTAGGGAGGCTGTGTTTAACGTCAAGTCCGGCGGCACATGCCCAAGCGTTGTCGATTGTACAGCCTACCTACCACTCAAATCTCTGCTCATGGGCCGACTGAGTTTTCCCGGGCTTGGACCAGCTCCGGCATCTGACTTTTCCCCCTCGACCTAGCACATAGCCTATCTTGCCACGAGGAATTGGCTCAAGCATGGAGGCTGTGTTTTGACGTCTCTGGCGAATAAGACACTCATTATTACGGACCTGGGACCCACTGCAGACATGGCCATACCTCGATCCAGGCATGCTGCTGCTATACGCACGCAGCGGCAAATTACACTGACTCTCCAAGCCTCAGTTGTTAAGTCACTCACAACGCGGCTCAGCTCTCACCTATCCCCCACGCAGTAAATTGCGCTTCAGTAGGAGCAGCCTTGCGATGGGTCCCGGGGCTTCAAATGCTAACAAGCACTAATTGTCAACCTCGGGCGCAGGGACTAATCTAGTGGACATGACTTAGTAACACGTCCCTGAGCTGGCTGACTAAGGTCAAAGCATAGGAATCAATCTTAAAACACTGCCCAGTGGGCTGCGTCCATGACCAGCTGGACTCAGGCTGCCAGGAACGAGAGTAACACTGCCCAGGGCAGTTCCACAAGGCTCATCGTCTCATGATGAGTATGCGAACCTGACGTTGCTGGAAGATGCGCTCGCCTCGTGATGTTTTCCATCATGTTCCCCCTGGTGGCAATATGCTCCCCGCATGGGACCAACCTGGTTTGATCAGCGGCTTGCAGATGATGTAATTGGTGGTAATCCGGTTTAGCGCCCACTCGATTGTCCATTGCTTGGCATACTTGGCATAGCAATACCACATAGAGGTGACCACAATGTGTGGAATGATATTAGTCGTTATGGCAAGTATTGCCTGGAGTCATCCAGATCCGAATACGCGCTTGCGATGACCATGGCGGCAGTTTGACTGTCGTATGGGGTTCCAAGCATGGAATCTAAGCCTACCAACCCACTGCGTCATCTCACAGCCCGGCCATTCGGAATTGTGCACAGTCCGGGCTGGGAACTGGCAACACGCCAGCCATGGTCGACTGTATTACAGATATCCAGATCACTTCAATAACAGCAGTGTCTTGCCTCTTGAATCTTCTTCAGGTGCCCATATCTTTGGCCACCTGGGCTCTGTATGTCTAAATGTCATATCTTTTAGTTCATACTCTAAATCTTACAAGCTTGTTGGTACAGCGTGATATACATAATCGTCATCTTGAAACAAGCCACACGCTAGCCTTATCGAAGCTCAACGCCTAGCTCGCTGACGAGAGCCTTCCTGACTTTCTCGTGGAGGGAGACGACCTCATCGTTGGTCAGGGTACGCTCCAGGCTACGGTAGGTGATCCTGTAGGCAGCGCTCTTCCGCCCCGACTTGGGGTGTGTAAATTCGTCGAAGAGCTGCACATCCTCCACCACATTTCCGGCAACATTGCGCACTACTTCCATGACATCGTTCTCATGGGTTGCAGCTTGAGCGTTGCCCTCTTCGGTGGTGGACCCACGGAGCCAGAATGACACGTCTTTGGGACAGGGTGGGTATTTGGAGAAGGGAACGAAGCGCTTCAAGGCATCCAAGTTGTCCGACACACCCGTGAACTGGGAGAGGAATCTGTCGTCACGAGACCAGAAGAGGCGGATGTCCGGAATCTTGAAGAGCAGCATGGCAATACGGTCGATGCCGATGCCAAACGCCCAGCCAAGCTTGTTGGGAACACCTGCATTGATGTATATGTCTTGCTTGACCACACCGCAGCCAAGAACCTCAAGCCAGTCTCCATCGTAGTAAACCTCGAGTTCATATGAAGGGCTAGTGAATGGGAAGTACGCTTCAACCCATCGCATGCGGAGAGGCTCATCAACAAAGTTTGGGTCTCCTTTCAAGGCAGCCGCTCTGGCTCTGGAGAAGACGTTCACCACCATGGCCTCCAAAGATCTCTTGAGATGAGAAGCAATCGCCTCGGCTTCGGCTGCAGAATGATGTCCCTCCTGGAGCGGGTTCCTCTCATCATGGAAAGTCGGGTTCGGGTCTTCTACGACAATGTTATGCTTGGGAAGCTTCTCCACATCACGCCAGACTGCCGCCGCTACGTCGCCATCAGGCACTTTGGAACGATCCCAGGACCGAGCGCCTTCCATCTGGTGGAAAACAGGGTAGTGGCTCTTGTCGATGGCATCTCTGCGGTACACATCGGCCGAGACAAGATAGCCATCGCTTTCGTCGGCACGGAAGGTGTCTGCTTGGTGGGCGCTGGTATGGGTTCGTAGGAGGGTCTTGTCACTGATATAGTAGGTGTCTGAGAGAGCTCGACCTGGGTGATCGGCGGGGAACCCTAACGAATCGAAGTTTTGGTGCGTGGTTACAGCCGGACTTAGATCGTCGTAATATCTGTATGTAGGAGCTGGGAAGTTTGATTGCATCACTTGGCGAGTGATTTGTAGAGGGTGATCCTTTAGGAGATGCAGTTTTCGTGAAGTTGCGTCGAGAACGTTGGTGGGCACATTGAACCAAGCAGCATTGGTATCGTAGGCCTGGCCACGGATCGTTACCGAGGATGGCTTCTTCGCCTTGACCGAGGAATCCTTCCCAGAGCCTGAGGCTACATCTAAGGGCTGTATAAGTCTCTATCCATCCCAATTGAGCCCCGCGAGAAACATCAAATAGACGGACCGGATGAGTAGGCACGGGCAACGAACGCCCTTTGGGATACGACTGACCACCTTGGGAGGCGTGTGAGCGTCCTTAGAGAGCGCATTGAGACGCCCGGCTGGAGAATCCTCATTGCTGTGGCATATGGAAGGAAAATCGGTGCGTCGCAAATGCAGAACCTGTCTGCATAAAAGTCGGTAGCGGTGGTGGCTCGGATGGATCCTGGAGTCGGAGCTTGAGCTACAAACTGAGGGAAAAAAACAGGGTCCATAGCCGTTAGGTGGGCTCGACTATTGCTAAAGCCGCCTTTTACCACCCAACTCAAGCGCCTAAGTTATCCTCCGGTGTCGCGCACCACTGCTGGTCCCTGTCAACTGAATTTGCAATGCACCCATCGTGTAGTAATCATTTCCAATTATTAAACCCGGCCAGAATGGATTGCTAGATCCAGACCCCAGTCGCTCGGCTTGCCGTCACATTGACAACCCTCTCCCCCAATTACCCCAAATCGATCTTTTCCTCTTCCCTCCTCCCCAAGGCTCTGTCGTCACCGTAGGTAGCCGTCAAAGACTCCTACACCACGTTCCGACTCAACTCCCAAGAAACGGCCTGGGTCCAAAACGCCTTGAATGGAGTCTCGGGGTTCGTCGCCTTTCTTTCCATACTCGAGGTAGCAGGCTGCAACAATGCAAAACTCCGTTAGCACCGCTCCGGCCGATGCTCTAGCCGCCAAGGCTGAGCAGAAGGCCGAGAAACGAGAGCAACGCCAGAAAAAGAGTGCCATTCATTATCCATTCTGGTTCGGAGGAAGCGCCAGCAGTATGGCTGCGTGCGTGACGCATCCATTGGATCTAGGCAAGTAATTTCCTGTTCTTTACCGCTTTGTTGCTTGAGTATGTAGGGATGTGCTAACCTCGGTGCAGTCAAGGTAAGGAAGAATCATGATGGGCATATCTCCGAAATCGCAACACCGTCCTCTCCAACTGCCAAACTTTGAAAACATTGCATGCATTGCGCGCCTTTGCACGCACTTACACACACCCGCATCTTTTGTTATTGATACTTGAAAATGCGAAACTCACCAATTTCTTCTAGGTGCGACTTCAAACTCGGGCCCCCGATGCCCCCAAGTCCATGTCAAGCACCTTTCTCAAGATCATCCGGTCCGAAGGCCCCATCGGACTCTACAGCGGCATCTCGGCCTCCTTGCTCCGCCAGATGAGCTATTCGACAGTCCGGTTCGGCGTTTATGAGGAAATGAAGTCCCGCTCCGGAAGCGCAGACGCCTCGTTCCCAATGCTCCTCGCCATGGCCTCCACCTCCGGCTTCATCGGTGGAATCGCCGGCAACGCAGCCGACGTCCTCAACGTGCGCATGCAGCACGACGCCTCCCTGCCCCCCGAACAGCGCAGGAACTACAAGCATGCCATCGACGGCATGATCAGACTTGCGCGGGAGGAAGGGCTGGCGAGCTGGTTCAGAGGGTGGCTACCCAACAGCAGCCGTGCCGCCGTCATGACCGCGAGCCAGCTGGCCAGTTACGATACCGCCAAGCGTCTCCTTCTCGATTATACACCCATGAAGGATAACCTGATGACGCACTTCTCCGCGTCGTTCCTGGCCGGTCTCGTCGCCGCGACTGCGACGAGTCCCATCGACGTTATCAAGACCCGTGTGATGTCCTCCCACCAGGACCACGGAATCCTGCGGTTGATAAGCGACATTAATCGCACTGAAGGACTGGGGTGGGTGTTCAAGGGCTGGGTTCCCAGCTTTCTACGTCTTGGACCGTGAGTTTCCCCCTCCACTTCAACCTCCCCTTTTCGTATCAAATGTTAACTGACCGCTGTCCTCAGCCACACGATATGTACATTTGTATTCTTAGAATTCCACCGCAAGGCCTATAGACAGGTTCAGGGCATAGATGAGGCAACCTTGTAGATAGTGGAGTTGCTATCCTGGATAGCTGTAAATGCGGTGAAGGGCTTTCGCATATAGACAGGTTCGGCATTGGGAGGGGGCTAGCGGCTGTGCGCTGTTGTCCTTTGCATCTTGGCGTTAATGGGTATGTATGATGCTATCGATGGTATCTCAGCTTACGAGGACGTTGCAGGTAACGCATGATAGATGACGGGCAAAGCCTTGGTTAGATCACCTAGACGGTAGATATGATTGCGGTTGTTGATATAGACTTCATCGTAATATATTATCTTGTTCTCTGCTCTCGATTGGGTTAAAGCCCGCTTTGGGTTTTGTTTCAGCTACTTTTTGTTTCCCGCCTATTTATGAATACAGATTCTCATGGCCGGCACACTGGGGCCAGGATTGTTAAGTTTAGATACGCATGAAGAGGAGAAAATTAAAAACCATAGAAATCTCCCTGCCCAACGAACTCCTCGAACCGCTTATTGCCAAGATGATTGTCCATAGGGGGTCGTCCCGTATGCCGTCATATTACCATATGAACCGCCGCTGCCCTGGCCATACGAGCCCTGACCATCTTGCCCAAACGATGACTGGCTGCCTTGACCATACGATGTTTGGCTGCCACCGTATGATGTCTGGCCGCCGCCGTAGCCACCACCATATGCCGTCTGGTATCCGGTATCCTGCCAGGGTGTCGTGCTCCCGTCCAAGTTCATATCTGGGCTTCGGGGACCGTCAAAGTCTGGCTCCTCCTCTCCACCATACTTACGGGGATCGAGCCCCTTTAGTAGACCTCCAATCTTTTGCTGGAGAATCCGAATTCCGTTTTGGATGATCTGGTCGGGTTCCATATTCCCCGCTGCCTCGACCTCGAAGTAGAATCGTGTTGGGACTGCGTCATAGTCAAAGGGTTCACCCTCCTGTGGGGGGTCCTCCCATTCAGCATGTTTGCTCTTGGGCCTATACTCGGGTTAAATAAATGAACAAGTATGCGCGCGGCTGAGATCCATCTCAGGGAGTTGGAAAACCATACCATTCCTTGTTCGGGTCTGTGTCGTTCTCGAACCAGAGATCCGTGTGGTTGAGCTTGTTGTGAGGATCGTATTCGAAGCCCACTGCCGAGGTCGGCATCCACTTGGCATGTTCTTTTGCAATACCCTTCTTTGCGATACACGTGAGCCTCAGCTCCTGTCCCATTCGTAACTTGGCTAGGAGACATCCCAGACCCTCGGGGTCGTTGATAATAGGTTTGCCAACCGAGTTCGCGTGCTGGCCATCAGTCACCAAATCACTTGCGTACACCTTCATGATATCGTCGGATGTGCATTTAGCATGGAGGTTCAAGGTGACACTGCACTGTTCGCAGTACTGCTCACAGTCGCAGTCTCTGGAGTAGTTGAGGTCGCCCACGTTCCTGGAGTCGAGAGGAATCAAGCCGAGGCGATGTGCGATGAACTCATCGGCGAGGACTGAGGTATTCACTTCAATTTCCACCAGGTCGATAGCGATTGTCGGTACTTCGGCTTGGATCACTCTTCGCAATGAGTTGGCAAAAGAAAGGTTGGTTCTCGATAATTCGAAATCCACGTGTGTCTTGTCCGCCTATTACAGAACCTAGTCAGCATCTCTTCGTGTATTTTTCTCGAATCGAATGACAAGGGTCTTCCATACCGCTGAAATCTTCACCTGGGGCTGCTCGGAGTCCCCATCCATAGCCATCGGGTCATAGTCCATGCCGTCCATCTTCGCGACGCGCGCTCGTGAGCTTGCGCCGCTTTCTGACTAGTGAGAAACAGCTGGCGAAGGGATAGGACCGTAGATCGTTGAATTCGGGAGCTGGTGCGCTATCTGAGATGACTTTTATTTCGGCGGTTGGTGTTGGTTAGGCGGAAGGAAAAAAGTTACAGGAGTTATCGAGATGCGCCTGGTCGGAACGCCTGTGAACAAAGGGCAGGCGGCGAACAAGCTCTATGCAACCTGACTAAGCCGCTCTGGCACAAATGAACGGGCTTATCGGAGTCAACTGATAAGCAAAAAAAAAACCGCCCCACGCCTGAAGATGAATGCCAACTGCCGACCGATAAAACCATCAAACATCACGATTTTGAATTGGTCCATACCCTGAGGTTATACAGCGACCATGAAGATCAAAGCGCTAAGCCGCTCTGCGTCGGAGCAGCAGCCCGCCGGCTCAGATACCGCCAAGCTCCCTCGCAATCTCGATTCTGCGCTCCACCCTTTTGAGCGAGCACGCGAGTACCAGCGAGCCCTCACAGCCGTCAAGCTCGAGCGCATGCACGCGGCGCCCTTCGTCGGGCAGCTGGGAAGAGGACACGTCGACGGTGTCTACTCGATTGCCAAGGACCCAAATTCTCTCGAGCGCTTCTCGAGCGGTAGCGGTGATGGCGTGGTCAAGGTCTGGGATCTGGCCGGGAAGGACGAGATCTGGCATGCAACAGCCCATGAGAACATCGTCAAGGGGATGGAGTGGACGAGGGACCAGAAACTATTGACCTGCGCTTCCGACAAGACGATCAAACTCTTTGATCCCTACAACACTCGAAGCGACGCTCCGCCAATCTCCTCATGGCTCGGCTCCGGCGCCTTCACCAGCCTGTCGCACCACCGCTCCAAGAACTCCTTCGCTGCCGCTTCCAGCGTCGTCTCCATCTATGACCTGGAGCGCCACACCGCCGCACCAGAAGTCCTCCGCTGGCCCACCGCCGTCGACACAATCACAAACGTCGCCTTCAACTACGTAGAGACGTCCGTCCTGGCATCCTGCTCCAGTGACAGATCCCTCGTCATCTACGATCTCCGGACGTCTACCCCAATCACCAAAACCGTCCTCACCTTCTCTACCAACCGCATCGCCTGGTCCCCCATGGAGGCGTTCAACTTCGTCACCGCCTCTGAAGACCACAACATCTACCTGTTCGACATGCGCAAGATGGACCGGGCCCTCAACGTCTTCAAGGACCACGTGGCCGCCGTCATGGATGTCGAATTCTCCCCCACCGGCGAGGAGCTGGTCTCCGCATCTTGGGACCGCACTGTGCGCCTTTGGAGCAGGAACAGGGGCCACTCGAGAGACGTGTACCACACCAAACGTATGCAGCGCGTGCTCTCCGTCAAATGGACCCCCGACGCCAAGTACGTCCTGTCTGGATCCGACGACGGCAACGTCCGAATCTGGAGGGCGAATGCCTCGCAGCGAGAAGGCATCAAGTCTGCCCGCCACCGCCAGGCCCTCGAGTACAACGAGGCCTTGACAGAGCGCTTCGGGCACATGCCTGAGATCCGCCGCATCAAGAGGCATCGCCACATACCCCAGGTTGTGAAGAAGGCTGCCGAGATCAAGGGCGAGGAGCTCAAGAGCATCAAGAGACGTGAGGAGAACGAGCGTCGGCATACCAAGAAGCAATTTGAGCGACGGAGAAACGAAAGAGAAAAAATGGTTCTGGCAAGGGAAAAGTAGAGACAAAAGACATGATTCAGGCTCGGGGGGATATATGGCGTTTAAGATTGCTTGCATGGCATGGCGTTGCACTTTTATTCTTGGAGACTTGGGCAGGACATTTCTTTCGCTGGATAACGTTAAATTCTATTGTATCCACTGTAATACCCACGATCTATTGCGTTTGCCAGTAACTTGAAATATGTATGCAAATGTAACAGAATATTCGTGTTCATTGGAAAACCAGAGAAACTACCTGATTATGGAAATGTTGAAGCGAGAGACCCGTTATATAGCGTGAGCAAAGAAGAATCTGTATAGCCTTGGAGCAGTCGACTGCCCTTCATGTCTAACATCCTGAAAGCCAGTACCGTTCCTTTAACATCTTTCCCCGTGCCCATCAGAATGTGATCCCATTGAAGAAGAAAAAACCGTTTCAAACCAGAAGGTGTGTCATAAGCATGAAATCTGTATATGAATCTTTACCGAGAGACAAACAATTGTAACGCCTTAGTCATGTGTGCTTGTTCCTTTGTTTTCCCTTGGTATCGATCCGTTATCCCCAACGCCGGTGCAAAGGTCCTAAGAAATTACAAGAAAAGAAAAAAAACAAGAAGAAGAAAAATAGCCTGAGTGGGAAACAAGAAGAACAGAGAAGAAGAGCTTGCAGATGTGGTCGAAGAGTTTGAAAAAGAGGTGTAAGTGTCACCGATCCCCATTAATAATACAGGATGTTGAAGAAGTAGTGAAAAGAGAAGCGCGCTTGTGTAATTGGACATGCAAGTCTCGTTACACGCTGCCACGGGCAGCCTTCTGCGGCTTATAGTTTGGTAGCTCATCGAACCAGCTCTCAACTTCATTGTATCGATAGGCGTGAAATTCGATACCATAAGGCTTTGGCTCAATTGCGTAGAGCATACCAAGTGGGACATCCATGTCGGTGATATCTTCGTGAGTGAGGTCCATAAAATATGCCATTAGGACACGGCAGACAGAGCGATGTCCAATGATGAGAACGTGGTCAGTGATGCGTTCAATTTCCCGGACCATGTCACGAAGTCGGCTAATAACCTGCAGATACCCCTCTCCTCCGACACCAGGATAAATGTAGTTGAGCTTGTCGCTGGCTCGCTTCTTGAATTCTTCTGGATGGTTCTTGGCAATTTCCGCGTACGTCATCCCCTCGAACTGGCCAGTGTTAAGCTCGTTGAGCATTTCCCAATTCTTGACGTCATAGTCTTCGTCGGCGTCGAAGTACTCGGCGGTCTCGACACTTCGTCTGAGCATAGAGGTCCAGACACAGAAATTCTTCTCATCCAATTCTCGATTAGATTCGGGATAAGGGGGAGTGTTAGATCCTGGAAGCGGGGGGAAGGATGCCTGAGCAATCTTGCTCTTTTGTTCCATGAGCCATTGCCTACGCTTATGGGTAATAAACCTGTGTAGGGCAAATCCATAGAAATGGCCCCTCTCTGTCATTGGGGCGTCTCCTCCGAGCTTGCCTAGCTCATTGTCAACGCTCTGGCCATGTCTTGTAATCCAAATCTGTCTGGGAGACAAGTTGAAGGTTGACAGATAAGAAGCAATGCCGTCGCTTAAAAAGCCTGTCAGTCTATGTTGAACTAGCTTTCTCCCGACGTCGATCATCTAAATCGATTGTTAGCCCTCATTTCTAGCCATTGAATAATACTGGATCTCACCTGGATGTACTGGAGGTAGTTCTTTTCCTCCCATTCGCCCAGAGGTTCATATGCGCTGGCGTATGCCTCAACTCGGGCCTTGAAATCCAGCAAGGATTGGTGGGGGTCCTTATCTCGGTAATCCGGACCAGAGAGCTTCAGACGCATGTTGGCTTCGAGAAGGTCAGGGTCATGGCATACGCTCTCGACAAATAGAATGCCAAGCTTCGGCTCCCTGTCCTTGATGCGCTCGACCACATGTTGACGGCGGGCGATTGTACTGTTGGTAGCATCCAGAATTCCAACTGCGCCACCCTCCACAAGGAGATAATCGAGAAGCTCATCCAGCGTAGCCATTGCTACTTGTTCACGCATGGCCGCGGCTTTTTCGTTCTTCGGATCAAAGAATTTCGCGGACTGGTCAACGTCACCACCATCACCCTCTTTCTCAGCAGTGGGGCTAGTGACAATTTCCTCATCCCTCCCCCGGTTCAAGTCAAATGCAGGTGGTTCGAGAAGATTATGTCTGGAAGAAATCCCATTGGGGTGTGGCAGACCGTTGAGCAAGATAGCAGCAGCTTCCACCGGAGGATCGAGGCGGGCAGGCTCAGGTGCAAGCCTGGGGTGGACGGACGCCTGGGTCCCCGTGGCTATTCTTCGGCGGTTGCCTACATTGAAAATTCGCGACTCGTGCTGCTGCCATGACAAGTAGCGCTGAAGCTTCTTTGTGATATATGATTTACCCCTGGCTGGCAGACCAACCATGACAATGACAAGCTTGGCAGCCACATCGCGCTGTGGGATTCGTCCATCAGGTGAGACTTTGGATCTCGTCATGCCAGGGATGTTCAATGTTGTCGCATGAGGTCGCACGCGGGGACTCTGTGTCCCTGAGTTTTGTCGCAAAGGTGGACTAGTTTGTCGGAAGTTACTTCGTTAGTGTTGACTCATGCAAATACAATGGAGGCAAAAAAAGAAAAGTTAAAAAAAGAAGGAAAGGGATAATAATTAAACACGGAGTGTCAGGGAGGAGGCAGAAAGGAAAAGGGGCAAAGCTGGATTGCAATCGTAGCCATCTGTGCATGTTCGAGGGAGCTTACATGCGAGGCGAGTTGGTCGCTGTTGAGCTGACGCTTCGCGGATTTGAGGGCGTATCTGTGAAGTCATTCAGGGCGCGCAGTGCCGTTGCCATTGCGGAGGTAGGGTGCTGGACGTGTGGAATATGTAGGCCATTGTGGCCGGAGGACGGCAAGACAGCAAGGTGCTGGTCATGGTCGTGGGCGGAGGACGACGATGTCGGGGATTGCTGTGGTGGATCTTGGCCAAGGAGACAGCTCATGACAAGTTTTGCGAGAACTGATTGTTTTGATTGCTTGCGACCCAGATCTGTGAGAAGAAGAGGTTGGTTAATACCGACTCCCGAATTGAAGATTGGGAGAATCAGAGTGTGTAGAATGTTGTTGAGTGCTGTGTATATAGAGGAGGAGAATTCCAAAAAAGGATGGGCAGAATGGATGGGATGAGGCGAGATGGCAGCAGGCGCCTGAAAAGTGTAAAGGGTGTAGCGCAGGTACTGAGTACACAGCGCAGGTGTAGTGGATGCACGTACCTTCTGGGGCAGTAACAGTGGTGGGAACAGCGGATGGCATTGCTCAGGGTGCAGGTCCGGTACCTAATGCACTATGTGATGCAAGCAATGACGACAGGTACCGCGGATCAATCCAGGGACCCCTCCACCTCCGTCACACGGAGCCCTTGCGGAAGTCAAAAACTAGCGGACGGACCCTTGGGCGTGGAGCCAAGACTTTGGGTCTTAAAGTGCGAGTGCAGGGATGCGCCGCTGGGGTGGATGGGTTGGCGATGGGAATGGACAGATGAGTCTGCGATTCGAGGGCGGTGTTGGCGCTAATGCAGCTGCCAGCGCCTTGTTTGTGCCAGCAGAGTCGAAACAGGGCACAGCACAGCTGGTTCGGGAGCCTGGGGGACGCACGCTGGTGGCGCTGTTTGCTTCTTTCGGAGGACCCTGCTCCTGTTGCGACGGGCCGCGGATGTATGTGTGATGCGTGTCGCTGGGGATGTATGCACTTTGGCGTAATGCCTGGCAGTAGTGAGGGACGGGCACCTCGATCCGCAGATGGGCAGCCCCCGTGGGCACAGGAGCGTCGAATCCTGAGCCGGAGCTGTCTGGTGTGTGTGTGTGCGCGTGCGCATGTGTTGCGGACCGTGTGCCGTCAGTCGCAGAAGATTCGCTCCCAACAAAGAAGCGTGGGTGCCAGAGGGAGTCGCCTTGCCCGAGCTGTGTGTCGCACTATGTTTCGCTGCGCTGCGATGCGATGACCTTCGCTACCCGGCGATGCCCTTCTTTTCTTCGCGTTGCTTGTATTCGGATGAGTCCGCAGTCCAAAGGGTTCTTGTTCCAATAGCTGGTCTGCGACAAGAGCAATTATTGAGATGGAAAGCCAATGAATGTGGGATGGGGCCCTATTTCTGGTGGAGTGCTAAGAACTCGCTCGGCTCTACCACCACCGACGTGCAGTAGCAAGTTTGTACTCTAAATGGTAGGTGGAATATTAGCGTCTTGTCTGCGAGTCAATATCACAGGCCGACGAGAACTTTCATCGACCAGCGAGAGTATATTCAAGAGAGAGAAACGCTGAATGTAGTAACCAAATAATGATGGTGTGAGAATTACTGAACAGAGAATATTGCAGGAAGTTTTATGGGGAGAAGGTATCAACAATGCGAGGAGGCTCTTGGAGGGAGGGGGAGGCCTTTCAATCAGACAACAACAATAATAGCCATTATAGCACACGCCCACCAAGAATGGGCTTACCTGGACGAAATTGTTATAAGGTGAGTCGCAGGCGTGCAGCCCCTTGTAAGCATTCCTATACGAGTAAGATGAGCATCAGTGGTGCCATGACAGCCTCAGGGGCCTCACCGCGCAGTAAATGGTAGGGACCTACCTGCCTGGCGTAATCTCTTTTGCCTGTACGGAGTATCTTTGCATTGGAGGAGAATCCTGTTCTGTTTGGCCAACGAGCCAGAAGATAATCATTATTCATTGCACTGTATAAACCCAAATACACATTATCATCCTGTGCTGCCGCTACTCTGGTTTCGTCCTAGTGTGGTGACTGTCACCCCGTCCATCTGCAAGATGCGACCGGCGCATGCAGGTTGATCCAGCCGACCTACAGCAGGAATCCTTTGGTCAGACCCTGTCTAGATGTAGATGCAGACACATGCCCATAACGACCTCTCGATCCCACACCCTCTGCGAGTGCTGTGGTGACAGGTAACAAGATGATAAGAGGACTGGGTGGTCGAATGGTCTCATGATGGAATCGTGGGGTGCCAGCCTCTTCAGCCAGCTGAATTTCGCCATCGCCCACGCTCTCTCTGCCTACGGACAATGGTGCAGCGCGAAGTGGCCAGCCATTGCGCTTAGAAAGGCAAAAAGACGAAGCCGATCTGGGCTGCCTACTGTGGCATGCCAGACTAATGGAGGGGAAAGGAGGTCAGCCCCCATCCATGAGACCCGCGCTGCAACCTTGGCTCGCTTAGATTAGACTTTCACCTACGCAGATGAGACCAAATAGTTACCAATATCATTGACAATCTGGCGTCGCAGCTGCTTCTTCGGCGCTTCCCACTTACCATTTCCCCTCTTTGAAGACGTTGAGTTTGGGGGTACGTGGTACGGAGCTGGACGCAAAGAAACCTGACCCCTCAATTAAAGTATAATATCTATTATCAACGCTTTTAAAACGCTCATCAGAGGCTGTCTGGGCTTTTTAGGTGGGACTGTCTGTGATCTCCAGTATTCGCCCGCCGTTTACACCGAGACAGAAAAAAACACAAATCCTCCGATATCGCGATTTCTGATATTTAGGTGGGCGTGCCGAATCAAGCGCCAGCTCCGCCCATGCCACATGAGCCGACACCACAACTCACCCCATGGCTCAGTGTCAGACTGTCAGTGATGCCTGCTGTTGTTGCTGGCAACCAACTTGGCGGATAAGTCGGTCACCCTGGATTAGCTGACACCGCAGTATGGCCGCAAATACGCGACTGGCCGTATGATGCCCAAAATGCCTGGGCCAGTCTACGTCATCAACTCTGCCGTCTCACCATTCAGCGTAGCATGCTTTGACGCCTTCAGGATGCGCTGATGCTCTACTGATCGAGTCATGGGCACATGTGGCTTCGGATTGGCACACCATAGGTCCTCCTCCTGCCGAGTGGCCAGCCAGCTTGGTCCCAGCAGTCGTTTACCCCCAAGCAATCCTCGTATGACAGCTCCAGTCTCAGGCCAATCCAAAACGAAACCAACAGCATCCTGTCTGTTTTTAATTCATATTGATGACTCACTCAGTGAGGCTCCTCACGCCTCACATGGCCTGACGTCGAGGCGCTTGGACGGGGCACAGGCCCAAGGGGCTTGGCATTGAGCCAGGCCTCACGCAAGGTAGGCCTGCGCCCCTGATCCGTCAATTCGCATCCAAACCGACCAGGGAATCAGGATATGTCCGCCTTATTGCTTCAATTTCTGAGCTATGTAAGGGTAGTTTAATATGGGGACCATGATTGGGTGACATAGCCATGCATAGGTATGTTCAGATACTTAGCGATGCTGTACCTGCTGGGAGGCGGTGCGGCAGTCGCCTCGGCCGTCCACGAGCCAGCAAACTGCCATCCAGTGGCCCTCCGTAAAGCAAGCTGTACAATTACGATATACATGTCCAAGCATCACCAGGCTTCGTCTTGGCTTGAGGCCAACAAAAAAAATAACAGGTGATACATGTCTCCTCATTTGCTTGCGCGAGAAGACAATCGCGGGCAAGCCGATATCCGTTCTCGGTCAGCTGTTGTTGTGGCCGACAGGATGCATATTGATGATTTCGATCCCAGTATTATCCCTTTGCCCATTACTCGAGATCTAAGCTTTTTTGCTTGACAAGCAGAAAGATTCTCACCCACGTAAAATATTGTAGGCGGCCTAATGACTACTACCTCAGTTCCAACTCAGATGTGCCCAGGGCATGAACGACATTGAATCAAGTTTCTTCCACTTTTATTGAAACATGTCCCAACTCCAAGTAGAAAGCACGCTCCTATTACATATTATATACTAATCCAAACTATTCTGACTGAAAATAGCCTGAAGAATAAACTAAATTCCCCAGGCTAGATGTAAAAGACCCGTGCCCTGGCACAGCTTCTCTGAAAGCAAAAAGTAAAAAGATTTGATTTTTTTTGCCAATTAATCAACTACCTGTCTCAGAGTCATAGAAGCTGTACTGATGTTTCAACATCGCCAGCTAATGTGCATGTACGTGTTTCATCCGGGAGTCTCTCAATGCCACACATCCTATCGAACGACGGCTCGTTACACGATCCTAATTGTTACGTGGCTTACACAGGTTATATTTTATTTTCTCTTTCCGTGCATGAATGTTTAAAGCAAGAATACCGAAATATATACTCTCGGCGTGCCCCTCTCAGGACAAGTACATGTAGAGATCCCATTTCTGATTTGTAGTCTGGCATGAGTATTCTCTCAATGTATCCCGAACAAGCCTGCGAGTTATGGTAAAGAAGTTCCTACGCTATGATATAAAAAGCCACTAGCCTTGAGCCACTATATGATATTTTCAGACAGTAATGAATAGGAAACACTGGTATATGATATAATTTAAAAATCTTTGTGTTAAGTTACTACTATGTACCACATTTTAAAGTTGTGACATTTTGTAAAAAAGGAGCATGTTCCCTCTCTCAAGTAATTGAAACCACCTCACCTGCAAATCATCATACTATGGAATTGGTTAATCAGCGTCCGACAAAGCACACGCCAATTCGTCGTACTAGGTGTGCATAGAGCGATCAACGATGTTTCACCTAGTGCATCGCCAGATATTCCTGTAGTAGATAGCACGATACAATCAATATCTGCAGACAATGTATATGAGCCAAAAATACTTTATAAAGCCAGATGAGAACGGCAGTGTGTCGTCTGGGCAATGTCACGACCTGGGTTCAAAAAGCGGCGGCCCAGCAATAGGGTATCAAATGCTTGCAAATACTTTCAGTTTTTATTCATACCAGTAATTTCCTATTGCATTTTGATTCTTCAACATCGGATGGAACTGCAGGGTACTGTCGTGAATCAATTCCCCATGTTGAAGGGTACCTGTCGGCGTTTGAAACAGAGGCGTGACGGAAGTATTAGCAGCTTGGTCCTTGATGTGGCCTACGAGCCTAAGTCAGTTAAACTTCAGGGCCAATGGGCATACGTCTCATACTTATAGACAAAATTCCATTCGTTTTCAATCGCGCGAGGATGAAGGGGACATGAAAGGGACAAGCATTTCGTCGACGGTCGGTTATTTGTGGCGCAACTTGACGCCACAATCCGCCAGCAAAAGTGGAGTGGATGTCGACCTCTCTGGGGTGTGGCTTCCAAATTTGTTGTTGTAAGAACCACCCAATCCATCACCAGCTTCTCAGCATGCAAATCTGGGAGCACGTTTGAGAAAGAACTCCCGAGTTATGTGCGATTTTAGTCGGGTATAACCAATATGAACTCGATCGCTACATAATCGAATTCTTCTCTCAAGCAGTCTCTTGCAACATCCACGTTCTTTCAAGCCCACAAGCAAAATTATTCATTGTCTCCTCGACGATAAACCAGACTGTCACTCTAAAAACGCACCAGACGTGCAAAGAAGGAAATTGCACTTGGATCGCTCTGTCCAAATCTTTCGTCACGGGCCCGTCCTCCAGAACTTGCATCAACCACACAAGCCAATTGTCTGCTCGAATTTCAGTTGGCCCAGCGCCGACATGAGCAAAGTTTGAAACAGCGATTCGCGCACTTTCTACGAGAAAGGATTCTAACCGCCCTCTCACTTTCCTTAAATCAAAGCTCAACTTTTCGGGAAAAGGTTATCCATTACAGTGGACCAGGTTTGCTCCTGTCAGAGGTGAGTGGCAGTACATCTCCTAGCAGTTATGAGGCTCGCCATTTCTCTACCAATCCCGCCCTCTCCAATCGTTCCTTCCTTCAGTCTTCTCCCGTCTTGCACCTTATCACGTACCTTTCCATCCTACCAATCTCCCAACCGCCTGGTGCCTAAAAATCACCAGATCGTTCTTCTGACTTCTCATAGCACCTGGTCCAGTCGGCCATTGTTGCTCCATGTTTTCCCCTTTCCTTCTCGATCGTGACTTTCCCTGCCACACCTAGCGAGGTACCTGTCAAGAAAAAACCTCAGGCGGTATCGCGATTCCTGTTCCTTGCGGCTCCCGGGCCGAAAAAAATTGGACTTGGCCAAAGCAGTAGCTCCTTCCATCTTCCATCTTTCTGGCACATCCATCCTAACTTTTATTATCTGGAAAAGGAAGAACCCCGAACTCAAACCTGACAAGGCACGTCACAGCCTTTTGGAGTCTGACTTTGCGGCGCTACCGCAATCACCTGGCAAACCAATTAGGGCAGAAAAAAAAATCAGCATACTACACTGCAATATCTCATTCCATAGTTCTGGGATAGTCTCAGGAAGGACGGCGGCGTCTTGAGCAGCTTTACGTTAGGCATCCAACCGCTCAGCCCGCCCCGTTCCCGATTGCCCTGCCCTGCCAAATAACGGACTACGACTCAAACATGGCAGAATCCGAGGTCAAGACCGAGCTCAGCACTGAGACCAACGACGTGAAAGCCGTCGACAGCCCTGATGTAGGGTCGCAGAGTAATGTGGTCGAAGCACCTCCCGAACCCCCAAAAGATCCTCGATTGAGGCGACGCGTGCTGCCAAACCCAATCGTCGACGATTTGACCCAAGCAAACTTCAAGCGCGGTGTTCTGATCCCACTCAAAACAACACAAGAAGTCCGCCAGGACCACACAATTGTTCAGGCAACAATTACGAGGGCGCCAACGAAGTCCGCTAATGACGTGCTTACGTATGTTTCTCGAGTATCTCTGTTCAAAGGTTGATGGCTAACATTTTTTACTTCCAGGGCGCTACGGAATCTACACGGCGAGAGTAATGCTAACAACCTAACTCATCTCCGTAGATGTGCGAAGCCCACAGACCTCCCAGCTCATCTAAAGACGCAGTTCATGAACGATACACCAGTTGGTAGGCAGATCCACACTGCCAAATCTAATTGGATTTATATTGTCATCGGCGAAGTCAAAGAATTCACCAGGGAAGAACTTGTCGAGGCTTTGTCGCCCATCAAGGGCATGGAATCGGAGCTGTTTTTTGCTACCATACCTATCCCACTGCTCGCCCCAACATCACAAGTCCAGGCGGCTATGTGGAGTACGCAATTCTGGCCTACGGTGTATAGGAAGAATAATCCTCTTGGGCCACATCCTAGTGTTGTAGCACGTGGAAGCGAGGAAATTATGGACTCGGCATCCGTCTGGATGGCTCTGGCCTACCGCGTCGCTCAGCAAGGGAAAGATACCGGTATTGGAGAGGCTATTGGGGCTGTCATCGTCCAAAGAGATGATGATGGAGCAAGGCTTGTAGGTCTTGCTGCAGACGCTCGCTGGCATCAAGAGCCCGGAGGCTTTGAGGGGTTGACCCTTCCGTTGACGCATGCCGTCCTTCGTGCCATCAGCATGGTTGCACAGAAACTTGTCCGACATGAAAGAAGAGCCAAAGGGATGGCGTTTGAGGGTCCAAATCTAGAATATGATGCGTTCCAGGACCAACCCCTCACCGACCTCGAGAAGCAGTGCTTCAAACAAGAGCACCCAAACAAGGACGGCTATCTTTGCCATGCACTGGAGCTATACGTCACACATGAGCCATGTGTGGAGTGTTCAATGGCACTGCTTCACTCGCGCATGGGAAAGGTTGTTTATGCCAAGCATATGCCTCGTACTGGAGGCTTGAGCTCAGATGATCGTCCAGACGGAGGCGGACGAGGGTTGGGACTATTCTGGAGGCGAGAGCTTAACTGGAGCTTACAAGCTTGGGAGTGGGAAGGCGATGGCCTTCCTCACCTGCCTCTACTCACACCAACTACTCATGTGTAGGATTACTGCCTCCGAGGCCCTAATGAGTCTCTTTCACCTCTCGAACGAATACGGAGTATGTGGCATCTGTTACAGAGAGATTCCAATCCATTTGGAACAACGATCGAGATAATCGTACCCATTCGGTTGTTAGAATCCATCGTGGGAGCCTTTCGGAACAAGTTACAGCATTGTATCCCTTGGGGCTCTTTATTTTTGTTGATTACGATTTTCGGTAAAGGGTCTCGGGCATCTATGAGGCCTAAGGCATCTTATCGAACTTGCTGTGCCAGAATCAAGATGTGTAATAGTGAGGAGGGGTCAGCTGAACTGACAAGTAGGCAACGGCGCAAGATTCTGGTACATATTGAAATACCAGATCAGAATTGGGGGTTTGGCTCAAAAGGTTTGCAGACTATAAGAAATAAAACAGAAAGACTAGTTTCTTATGCATAATGCAAACGTGAATAAAAGTGAATTGCCAGTCATTCTTTTGCACAAGCAGCATAGGTTACACACACGGATTTATTTTTATTTCATTGAAAGGGGGGTGTGCTGATGGTTGTGTGAACTCTCCCTTCCCGGTTTTTCCAAGCTGGCGCCCCGCTTGGAGGCACCTGAGCTTAGCTACTATTATAACATCCATGCTTCTTCAAACAACAATCACCTCCCACATCAACCCGTTCAGCAAAGGCTGATTGCCTCGTCCTCCCGCCTGCTATTCGCCATACGATATGTCTCGACTTTGACTTCGGCATCACTGCGTTACTCATTGGGCAGCTTGTTGGAAGTGCCATCGTCATGCTCGCCAACAACACATTCTGAAGACCTGCCACACCTTGTTGTTGTCGCAATCTCGGACAAAAACTACCCGCGCTGCGCCAAACGAGGCGCGAAGTCATGTATCTGACACATCCGCTGCAAGCCTTTTCAACCTTTTCCGATTCCTCCTCGACTACAGCTCCGAGACCCTAAACATGTCCAATGTTCGAAAGGCGGTTCCCTCTGCGGGACGGAGTGCCCCCGCATCAACTTCCGGCAAGAAACGAAAGTCACAGGGCCCAAGATACTACGCAGTGCAAGTTGGGAAAAGGCCCGGTGTTTATTTAACCTACGCCGAATGCGAAAAGCAAACAAACGGGTTCAGAGGCGCGATTTGTAAGGATTCTCTTCCATCCCCACAGACCGAGGTACCCTCATCTTGGATAATCAGGCCAAGCTTGCTCATTCCGCTCTTCTAGTCAAATCCTTCCTCTCGAGGCAAGATGCCGAGGCATTTGCGGCCGGAAAGAAGGTCCAGGCCAACTCCGACGAGCCCCAGAAGTTCTACGCAGTGGCGGTTGGCAGGCCTTCAGGCATATACAACGATTGGTCGGAAGCGAGCGAGGCGATCAAAGGCGTGAGGGGTCCCAAGTACAAGAAGTTTGCCACGCGAGCGGAGGCTGTCGCTTTCATTAGAGAGCACGGGAGCGCCGAGACCCTCAAAGCACTGGGAGAAACAGTGGCGGAAGAGGAGGAGGAGGAGGAAGAGGATGACGACGACGACGAGGATGACATAGAAGAGTCAAGGCCGGCCAAGAAATTAAAGACGACAGGGAAGGAGAAGACTGATGGTTTTATGCAGATATATACCGACGGAAGTAGCCGCTCCAACGGGAAGGCTGGCGCGAGGGCTGGAATAGGCGTTTTCTTTGGAGAAGGCGACCACAAGAACATCTCGGAGCCTTTACCCGGCGAGCTTCAGACGAACCAACGAGCAGAGCTCATGGCCATGCTGCGGGCTCTGGAGGTAGTTGCGGACGAACAGGATGTCCGGATTATCAGCGACAGTAAATACTCGATCAACTGTGTGACGGAATGGGCAGAGAAGTGGGAGGCAGGGGGTTGGAGAACAAGCAACGGGGACAAGGTCAAGAACCAGGATATCATCAGCGCGATACGGAAGAGAATGGCTGAACGGAGCCAAGCTGGGGCTCAGACGGACTTCCGCTGGGTGAAGGGTCACGCTTCGGACCCGGGTAACGTAGCTGCGGATCTGTTGGCGGTCAATGGAGCCAAGCAGAGATGAGGAGTTTTTGAAGGCCTTCCACTTTCTTCCTTCACAGGTCGTATTTTCTCTTTTCCTTGGTTCTGTCTATTCTTACTTTTCTGGGATCGGCATCTCTGCTCTAGAATCACGTCTTGTTGGAGCGCGGTTGAATTCAGCCCGTTGGATGGTTAGGAAACGAGAGGCGTGTACCCTCTTGATAGAGAGAAACGAATTGGCACAGAGGACACAGTTCTAACACGATCATTCCAATCGCGTGATGAGAGATGTATAGGGTCTTATTTAGGGATTTACGGCGTTGTGTATGGTTCCATCGGGTCCTTTCCTCCGTCACTGGCTCAGTGTCTTCATTCATATATTCGGCGACATTCTCCTCTCGATAAGACACAATCCTATGGTGCCATCTACTCTGTTCCGTATATCGCATGCAGCCAGATGAGTTTTTGTCCATTGGCCATTAGACAAGATACCGCATTGCTGGTATGGGACTCGACGGGAGTTAGCGATAGTAACCATCTAATGCGATCAGAAACTCAAATATTTGCCATGCATAGCGCTAAAAGAAGAAAAAGCCTCGTGCGCGTTTAAACAAATAGTAGAATGAGCTCATGCTCGGTTTCTATGAGGGAGATTGTCAAGTCGGGTATAAGGGAGTGTAGGTGACATTGTCGCAGATGAGGTTTGCCCTTGCATTTAACCAGAGACACATCCAAGCCAAGAAGATAACATCCCGGCCAGTACAAACTGATGTGTGGGTTCTACATTTGAGCAGGCACGCTCTCTCGCATCATCACGTCGCATCGGCACGTTTCTAATGTTTGAATATCTCTCGGATCCGAGTGGTTGAGATGGGGTGTGGGTGTGTGGCGTTCATTAAAATGCAGAGAGGCATTATCTAGAGGCAACCATCAGAAAACTACCGGTAGGTACGAAGCAGCTATAGCAGGGTAAAGCCATTGGCTGGTTGGACCAGAAGCAACCTGGTATGCTCTGGCCATTACCGATCTGTGTAGAATGGGAGATGAGAAGCGACACCAAATCCCTGCACGGTTGCACACCGGTTTGCGGAGTTGCATGCAGATTGTCAGACCTCGTTTAGACCAACAGAGACAGGCCTTATCAAGACATTGCTGCACGGTGACGGACAAGTTCGTTTCGATGCCGGCAAAAGAGCCATGCAGCGAGATAAGGTTTGGCTTCGAATATGATCAATTGGAGGCCTAGACTTGCGCAATTGGCAACGTGTCTAATTAGAAGGAGGATGACTCTTAAGGCCAGATGACTGGAGGGATGGCCGAAAAGAACAGAAATCCCATTATGTACAGATAGAGTATTCCTCGTATTAGATCATCATGGCTGAAGAGGGAAAGCCGTTGATAAGATATCGGGATATTCAGGGTTTGCCGAGCACAAGGCTCTCGCCGCCCGAACGCATGTATGTACGTTCGAAGTTTAATAAAGGATGTTCAGGTCCGCTTGCGGCCCTCCAAGGTTTTTATGCTGGATGTCTGCATGGCGATAAGTGATACGATAGCATCATCTGGATGTGTCGTTCGCCCAGGTGCCATCCACTAGGTACGTACTAGTACTAGTAGGTACCTGGCCGTTAGCGATTGCCCTCGCCGGAATTCGTAGGGTCTCAGTGAGCCTAGTGAGATTTAGGTGTGGGAAGATTACGCCCGCACTGTGTGAGCTAACGGCCTTTGTTTGCAATCATACAGCGTGTGAACCCTTCCCAATCTACTGTGGCGACTTCCACGGGTCCTTTTCCGGCCCACCGTCTCCAGCTTGTTCCCTCCAGAACCCTGAACGGAAGCAGCGGTGTCCCTGGCTCGTCTGTCTGCCAGTGCCACACTGTCGATGCACTGGGGGTTGCATGGCGCTGCTAGGAACCGTGCTGCATTGTTCTGAGAACTGGGCCCAGACTTGGCCCTAGGGCGTAATTCGGTGGCCCACTGTAACCCATCCATGAGCCAGCCCAGAGGCTTCCACGTCTCTCCGCCCAGGCCCAAGACTACGTTAGCACCACTGTAGATTAGCAACTGCTACCAGGTACCGCCTACCTATCAAAGGCTGCACGTATCGAAGTCCATCCCCACTCTCCACGCAATTGCAACTCTCCCGACCACAATTTGTTCGGTTGTCTTGCAGGCTTCGTCAATCTACCTCGCTCGCCGTTACGGTCGCGGTCAGCTTGCGAATCGAAATGTGCCATCGCCTCTGACGACTCCTGCGTTGACCTCGATAGCTGCCGAAATTCCTGCGACAACGACGATCGACAGCCTCGGACCGCTCGCATCGTCGCGTGCTGGGATTCGATTTTGGTCCCCACGATCCTAGAACACCACCCCCAACATCATAAGCCTGTCAACTCAACATCCACCACAGCCATCATCCACGCTGTAATTTTGGCTTCTCTGGGCAGAACGCTTTATTCAGCCTCGGCGCGATACATTGGCAGTACTGTCCGTGAGACCGACCCCGACCTGGACTCTTTATCGGCATCGCTCAACCCAGCCTTATACATCCCACACCGTCGACCGCTCCCATATTCCTCAACAACTCTACGGAGCACACCGCACGCTTAATTCGATTCTTCGATCCCATCAGAGCATACGGATTTGACTCAATTTGCATCGTATCTACCTTCCACCAGGTCATGTCGCCCGCTGGAGGCACAGGCTCCCCCAGCCCGTACATAGCTGGAACAGATGATCCGATCCACGGCACCCGGTTTAACGATTCTTTCGACGATGCATTTGCAGCCTCCGAGCCGTGCGAGTATAACAACAACAGTCCCGACACGCTCCAAAGTTTAGACGCAGCTCGTAAAGGTGACGGGCAGTCAGATCTCAGTACGTTCGAATTCACAGGCTCACCAAACGACGGCTCCTTCCACGAATACTCGTCCGACTCTGCCGAGTCTTCGAAAAGGGAGGAGCAGACTCCGCCCGAAATCAGCGACGCAGTCATGGACGGGATTCTGGATCCCGCTATGGAGTGGCCTGAACCCGATTCATTTGACGCCCTGATGGGCGACGATACCTCATTCATCACCGACACTGACGCCTCGCACCTTCATGGTCTTCAATTTGATTTCGGACACGATGGGGACTCGAATACCCAACAACCGGATTTCTTAGAGGCTTCCAACAAGTCAACCATCACTCCGTCCCAGACCATGCTCTCTCTCGATAGCCCCAGGACAGATACCCTTAGTCTAGATCATCAACGGCATAACTCGGTATATCTCCATGTTACACCTACCTTGAGGGAACTTGTGCTAACACCTCGCAGCATTGCTCCATGGAATCCATAGCAACTTATCAGAATCGTTCGCGAGAGGTTTCGCCCATGGCTAATACCGTGACGAGCCATCAATCCACACCTTCAGCTCTTTTCCAAACACCATCCCCCGGAGCCATGCCAGATGCTCCCTCGCATAACTTCTTAACCAATGGCACGGGGAATTCAAAATCAATGTGGGGGGGACAAGCGTCCTGGGCCGCACTGGATAGTGTCTTTGCCACTAACAAAGTCGGGATGAATGGAGTGCATCCCCAAGCACAGCAAACATATCGCTTCGGCTCTCAGCCTCTTCTTAATCCCGGTCCTCCGCGCTGTGAACTTGTCATCAAGGACACTCCTGCAAAATCCCGAGTCGAAACTCAAATCCGTCTCCTTATGGTAATCAAGAACCCACCCCCAGGGATCACGAAACTGCATCTTCCCACGCATACAATCTCAAAACCGAAACTTCAAGTCAGACCGCCACCAGCTCCCTCGCCGGATATGCTTGAATTGTCCGTTTCTTTGGTATGCACCAGTGCCTTGGCACAAGCGGAAGTGAGACAAAATGCACTCCGTAGAGCTGTAGCTAACCCCCAGCGTTATCTTCCACCTCCTAATGATGGATCTCAACACTCGCCGCAGAATGGGGCTGAAGTGCGGATATGTGAGAACTGTATGGGACGAGAGCGGAAGCGTGCTGCGAGGAAGAAGGTGAAGCAAATAGATGCCGAAAAGGCATGGGCCGATGACGAGGCACACCGCGTTGTCGTGTTCAATACTAATGAAGTACGAGAATGGAAGCCGGATTCTGACGACAAAGAACGCCATCTAAATGGGGCCATGGTGATCGATTGCCCTACTCGAATTGCCTGCTATTGTCGTCACCATGGGGAGAAGATGGGATTCAACATTATCTTCACCTTGAAGGATTATAAGGGCAGATTTGTTGCTCAGACAATGTCCCCGCCAATCATGATCACCGACGACCACAAGACAGCTCCGTTGGCATCTCTGAATCCACAATCTTCAGTGTCCGAGCAAACAGAATTGGCAGCCTTAGGGCCCTCAGCTCCCAATGGAGTCTTCCATCACTCACCTCCAAGTCAGGAGATGGCGGCTCAGCATGCGCCAATGCCTCCTGTGCGAACACCCCCATCTATGAACGCGAGTATACCCTCTCGAGTACTATCACGCCCTGCATCTCCATCTCAAGGAGGCCGTATGGCCAAGAAGAGGAAATCAAGCACGCCTAGAGTTCCTAACGAATTAGCCATGACGAAGCTCGAACACTCGCCAGGACCGCAGGGCCAAACCCCTCAATCAGGGGCAGTCTCACCCTTCCACACCAACGCCAGCAACTTTTCACAGCCAGAGCCGATATTTGCTCAACCCAATGGCCATTTGCCATTCGCTGCGAACCCACCTACTCCCGGCTCGGCCGAGCAGACTCCGTTTTTCGGTACTCACAGGTCTTCAAGCATGGACAACCTCGCCATGGCACAGCTATACTCTGCGCCTCCCTCGAACCATGCCAGCCGTGCGCCTAGTCCGAATGGCCTGAGAAATGGTTTACAAACCCAGGCGCAAGCTCCGCTTACACAGACCATGGGTCCTGGCTTATTATCCATGCCTATCAGCTCCCCGCCTCCCCGTCAACCCCATATGATTCACAAAGTCATCCCGAACGAAGGTCCAAGAATGGGCGGAGCCGAGGTCACGATCCTAGGAACCGGGTTCTTCCAGGGCTTGGATGTATATTTCGGCAATGTCAAGGCCGTCACAACAACCTTCTGGGGAGAATCATCATTAGTCTGCTTACTCCCTCCTTCGCCAGTCACAGGGCTGGTGCCAGTAACCTGCCAGCATAGCAGCGGGTCAACATCCCAGAGCCTTCCTTTGAGCAACAATCCAGTCTTCTTCCGGTACATTGATGATTCGGAAAATCAACTCATGCGCCTGGCTCTACAGTGTGTTGGCGGCAAACTTACGGGTGGTGATATTGATGTTAGCGCCCTGGCCCGCCAGCTCATTGATAGATTCAATGCCCAGGGTGGGGGTTCGTCGTCAGGAGATGTATCATCAGCACCTGGAGGAGCCATGTACAGCCACACGTCCAATGGCATCCTAGAATCACAGCTCCTCAAGTGTCTGGATGTAATTGATCTGGATGACAGCCCACACAAGGCTGACCTGGACAGGCAATGCTCGACTGGACAGACTATGCTCCATCTGGCCTCGTCTATGGGTTTCCACCGATTCGTGGCGGCACTGATTGCCCGAGGTGCAAATCCCAACGCGGTGGACAATGGCCATTTCACTCCTCTCCACATTGCTGCTCTTCATAATCAGCCCGATATTGTTCGGCGACTGATTCTCGCAGGGGCTAGCACAAAGCGCCGCAGCTTGTCTGGCCTCGTGCCGCTCGACATGGCCAAGACAACTGGTGTCTCACGCGCTATCCGTCTCTCGCAGCGCCATACTCGGTCTCTTAGCGGAGGCTCTATCCGAAGCAGAACTAGCAGTGCGGGCTCATTACACTCGCTATGGGAACCCCTCAGTCGTGTCAAGACACACGAGGAACCTCTTCCTCTGGAGTCGGGCGAAGAAAGCCCCGAATATACTTCCGGTGATTTCGAGGATGAGGATCCTGATGAAGATACATACTTGACAATGCGTCGCCCAAGCGCTCTGAAGCAGGATGTCGATCGGTCTCAGGTCCTTGGTGAACAAGCAGAGGCAAACCAGGATCCAGCCTCCCAAGCAAACGCACTGGGAGCAGCGCTCAAGGAACAGGTTCAGCAACAGTTACAACAATTCCAACAGACCATGGCTCTGCACTTGCAAAATCTACCCCAGTTCCCTCAGATTCCGCAAATGCCTGCTCTGCCAGGCATGCCCATGCTCCCCGACTACCAAGCCTATCTGCAACCCGCTCCTTTCATGCGACGGATGACTCAGTATATGCCTGGTATGTCAGGCGGCCGTCCAGAATCAGAGGATGGCACTGGCAACAAGGTCGATCATCGCTGGTGGGATTTGTCATCATACAGAAACACCAACAGCATTCCTCCTCCATCTTACGAGGAGATCTTCCCAGAGAAAGATCTTGATGTAAAACAAGCTTCTGCCCTTCAGGCCGCTGTGGAAGCCGAAGCGGACATGAAGTGCGCAACAATCTATGATCAGGCGTCATCATCAACCACCACAATTGCACAAGAAAGGACCAAGGTCCCCAGTGTTTTGAAGATTGGCCGCAAGAACGCCATCACCAAGGAACAACAAGAGCAACTTCTCAGGGCCCGCGAAGAAAGACTGAAGAGATTAAGCAACGACCGTAATCTCTTCTTCATCTGGGTAAGTACCTTTGACCTATTTCACTTTCCAATCTTTTATATGAGCCAATACTGACATGACAATGTTATTAGATCCCCTTACTCCTGGTAATGGTTTGCGCCATGATCTACAGCTACTTTCCAGCACTCTTTCCCTTGGTTTGGAGCATTGTCTCAAGCTCATGTCTCTCCGTTGCAAAGAGGGCACATTCCGCATTCTCTAGATTACAAGCTGGCCCCACGGATCGCGTGGTCGAGGTTTAGAGAAGTGCCTAACAAATGTATACCATGTCCGCAATGTGGATAATGACGACGTGAAAATAAACACCCTGATGTATTGGACATGTTCACCTTGGGCGACAGGATCGAACAAGATATTCAGGGACTCTGTCTTATGGCTGGCTGATTATTCGACTTATTCCCTTTGTTGTATGCAATTTGATGACGAGGAAACGGGTGGCTTCATGCAGTATCGCGCTTTAATTTATAACTTACACTACGCATCTAACGTTCTGGGAAGGCATAGGTATTTGCTCCAGCTCTTTTGTTAAACGGTTTTGGGAAGGGAATTCCGCGCACAGCGCCAGCGCGAGGTAGCTTTATTCGGATGGGCACAGGCCTTTTTTAAGTAGGCATCTCTGTCTTATACATATCAATTGAATATACTTGACTGGAGAGCTTTCTTGGAATATGCGAATGTATGCCCCCCACTGTCATACGAAGTTGTACACGAGCAAAGTTCCTCAGATGATATATGACGAGAGTGCCAACTGGTCCGGCGAGCGAGTACATGGTTCCAGGGGCACCATTCTAAGATATAGAATGTAATATCGAATCAATTCAAACCATAAACGCGCCTGTCCGAACCCTCATCCGATCCTTGAACCCTTAATCCATTATGATAATGTCACAAAATGCTGGGTCCTAGTTCCCCCATGGCTTCGTACATAGTGTCTCCGCCTCCCATGCCTGGAAATCCCATTTATATAAATCCGCACAGCGGTGGGGGAGAATGGTCCCCAAACACCGTCCGGCATGAAAAGCAATCAGCGAAAGAAAAAAAAAAAAAAAAAAAAAAAACAGTATGTTATCTCTCAGGGAGACCGAAACACCGACCCGGCGCCCCCTTTTGGAAAAAATAAGGGGGGAGAAGGAAAAAGAAGAAGAAGAAATATGCCCATCCGTTCCCGTATCCTTTCCGTCCTGATATCCGTCCTTTCAAGAAAAGAGGTAGAAAGCAAAAATGAAATGAAAAGAAATCGCTGGTCGGGTCAAAGACGCCGACCTCGTTGGTGATTACGCCGCGAGACCAAACGTAGAGAAAGCGAGTTTCACAAAAAAATCCAAGTGTGTCGTCCGTCCACCATGCATGCATCAAGCTTCATAAGGTCGTGTGAATCAATAAAAGCGGACATGATCCCGCCTCTTCTCTCTCTCTCTCTCCCCTTCGTCGGCAACGCAGCGGGAAGCGCTCGCTGCCAGAGACGGAAACAGAGGTTGCGAGTATGGCAGGATCCGACATGTTTCGTCAGCGAATAGCATCGTCATCAAATCAATTATTCATTCCTGAGCGGCGTGAGCCCGGCGAAGTCCCCTCCAGGGACCGTCATTCTCACGATCCTGGCCGTAGGTGAACTTGGAGGGGATGTCGGGTACCTTGGGTACGCCTCGATTCGTGTTCGGCCGCACGCGCAGAGGTTCGGCGGCGCTCCTTCTAGGGCGCAGGACCCGCGAGCTGGTCTTGTGGGATAACGTCTTGCCGTAGGTCTCACTAGCATTCCGTCTGGCAGACGAATCCCGGGACGGGACGGGCACAGAGTGCTGCTGCGGCTGCTGCTGCAGGCCTGGGATTTTGGAGAGAACTGCTCGCTTCGACGATTTCACAGCCTCGGCCTGTGCCACGGCTGCGGCCCTGGCGTTGGAGAAGCTGCGGCTAGAGAGGATCGTGCGGGAGGACGAGCGCAGCTTAGGCACAGTGAGCTCCCGAGTGGCAGAGGCAGACTTGCGCAGCTTCCTCACCCTCTGAATATTCTGAATGGGATCCTCCTCTGGCTCCTCATCCGCAGCTCGCTTTGTGCCGCGCGAGTCGGCACTGGCTGGGGTCTGGGCAGGTGATGAAGGGCGCATCCTGGGAGGCGTTGCAGCGAGCGGTGAGAGTGGCCACTTTGGTCGTTGCGGGTTCTGAGACTGCTGGGGACGCTGCTGCTGCTGCCACCTCCCGGACGACGACGGGGAGGAGGTGTGGTCGGCAGTCGACGGCCGGGACACTCCAGGGCCAGGCTGGCGGGTGGACTGGATGGCATGGGCGGCGAAGAAGCCCGACGCCACGAGGTTGTTGTAGCTCTCGAAGATCTCCTCCCTGGACGGCCTGTCATCCTCCTTGCTCTTCCGGGTCGTCTTCTTCTCCTCCGACTTCCTCCTCTTCGCCTCGTCCTCTACCGGGGCCTCCTTCCTCATCCTGAGCTTGCCCATGACACCATCCCACATCTGCCCCAGGAACTGTTTACTGCCCCGTTTCGTGATGACTGGCGTTGGCACGGGCGAAGGTGCTGCTGCAAGTGGGATTGCGGGGTCGTAGCTCACCGGCCTGGGCTTCCCCTGTGCCATGGAGAACGGGAGCGCAGGTAGAGGCTTCTCCAGCATGGCGCGCTCGTCTGGGCCGATGAAGTGAACTGGGGGTGTGGCAGACGTGCGGTCGTTCATGGAACCCTCCTGGAAACGACTCCGGCTCGGCGGCCGGGGGATCTTTGCTTTGTGCGGCATGGTTTCGGAGCTAGGTGTTCTTTACCAAGCTGTGTCTGTGTTGTATAAGCGGTGGCGTTGGCGAGCGTGCCGTCATGTGAGGCGCGCTGATTGTTGTTTGTCTCCAGCCGAGAATGGAAATTGCAGAATGCTAAGCAAAGAACCAAGTGAACTCTAAATAGCAATGCGAGGGGCATGAACTGAATCGAAATGCGTTCCCTTTTTTTTTTGGCTTGGAGCAGGGAGTGCCTACAAGCCAGTCGAGCAGGACGATTTCTTGTTGACTTTCGGGAAGTTGGGGCATCACGTGAGCGTCAGTCGCCACAGCAACGGTCGAGTGGCCCCCAACTTCAATCAGAGGCAACCGCACCAGGAACAGAAATGCAAACTCCCTGCATTAGGTATCAGAGCCGGCTTCTTGAAACATGCCCTTGTCTGCGTGTCTAATGTGGCCGGAAATTTGCGATCTAACACCTAGATTATACCACGCATGGTAAGTTGTACGCAAGGGAAGCTAAACAATACTGAAATTTTATTCAATTGAACCAAAACACTTTACATCTTCGAGGCGTAATGTTTTAACTAAAAAGTCAAATGTTGTTCATTCGTTAACTCCTTCAGTAATCAAAACACGTCTCCCATTCCGATAAGATAATCCCAATAGAACAAGTAGAACAACCCGAAGAAAACGATACAAAAGGAAATAACAATGATGCTAATCAGTTCCCTATGGAGAGTGGAAGAGGCCGTTTCCGCTTCCAAGAAAATGAATGACAAATCCAAGCGCAGGCGCTTCGTCAACATACTGAGCCATAAGTTCGTCAGTTAAAAACGCTGGTACCCAATCCGCAAAAAGAGGAACTGGGCACGAGGAAGAGTAAACCGACATCTGCCTAAATCGTGGACAAATGACATGCTTGACTTCGGAGAACGCAGATGTGATATTCTAATGTAATGATGAAAAGATATTGTGACATAAAAAGTAAGGAGTGAATTGGCTTGAAGGTCAAGAAAATGTGAGAGAAATAGCCATCTGGCCATTTGTGTAAAGTGCCGAATTAAAATATACAGCAGCTTGGAAGCACGAGACGACAGTGCAAGCAGGCGTGAAAGTAAAGGACGAGTCGTCAGAGCAAACAGTTGGATGAGTGATTTGGATGAAGCCAGTTCGGGGAAGAAGAGGAATGATGATCTCCTCTTCACCGGGTGCAGCAAAATGCTCTCCAGAACAAATGTATAACAGTGTCGAACGACTATACCCAAAACAAGTTTTTGGAATCCAGGCCGGTGGGAGATCAAAGGAAAAGCCGAGATTATGGACGCCAAGCAGGTTCTAGCGCATATGGCTTGAATCTCGCCTCGCCCACACTGCCATCAGCCCTCCAGTAAAATCCTTGTTCACGTGTGTCCTTTGGCAGGTCATCATGCAAACCACGATGATCACTTGGTCGCTCTCTGTTATGTAGGGGCTGAGCGCTTTCATTGAAGACTTCGTCACGTTTCCGTTTTTCACCTGTCAAAGATGAACGTGGGTAGTGGTTGTGGTCAGGCGCAATTGGTGGCAAAGCAGAATCATTTCTATGTGGCTGTATCGTCTCGCCTGGTGCCAAGGAGGGCAAGAGTGGGCGCAGACCAGGCTCACGCCGCGGTTGGAAAATAGGCCCAATGGGGGCGGTTTCAATGTGGCGTGTTTGGGGAGCTGGCTCAATGTGACGTAGTTGTGGAACAGACTCAACCCGTCGCGGTTGGAGAGGAGGTTCAGATGAGGATGAAGCCTCACCTGATAATAAATGCGCAATCTTAATAGAACCTGATGATGGCCTTGCAGCTGCTTGGGTCTGAGGAGCTTGAGGATGAGATTGTGGACCAAACATAGCGCTGGGTGGATGGCGGGAGACAGGCGTGGGAGGATATGAGGAGTGTTGAGAGTCATGGCGAACATGACCTTCGGATGAGTAGACCGATGGGGATGGTGGAATGTAGTTGCCAGAGGGTCGGCGATCATGGTTGCCGTGTCCAACTGCAGGAGATTGACAAGTTGGTGGCCCATTTCGGCTTGGAGGATGAGACGATTGTTGGGATTCCGGCTTTGCATATTGGGAGCTGGGTGTGTAAGGTCCGCTTGGAGATATCGGCGCCAATGGCGGTGGGTGATGGTGAGAATATCCACGAGGAGGCGCAGCATACTGAGGGGCGCCGCTGTCACCACCGAAGGAGAGATGGCGATTAGATGGTGCTTCATACGCTGGCTGGATAGGTTGAGGATAGGCGGTATCAATTGCCGACGGTCTTCGAGGTCGGTCGGGACCATATGGACCGTGTTGCTGGTCACTCGAATTGCTCATCGAACGGGCCCGCGCGCTGTGAGGATCCTCGTTGGCGGGTGTAGGGTTCCTTCGCCGGGAGTAGTCGTCGTCGCGACGATCATGGTCCCTTGGCTTCGTTTCACGCTTCCTCATCCTCACGTCGCGGCGGATTCGCACGCGGCACCCTTGATCAGCGACTTCCTTGCTCAAAGCCGTGCTTTCCATCAGGCCAGGGAACTTCTTTGCACTGAACACGTCGAAAGGGTTGGTCTTGATTTCCATGCGCCAATCCACTCCGGGAGGCAGATCGCCGTCGCTAGGATCCATATCGAAGTCGATCTCCTCCTTCGTCGTCTCGAAAAGGCTGAACGAGAGGCGATACTGGCCTTCGTGCCGAACGGAAAGATCGGGAAAGATGAAGTAGCCAGCTGCGGTTGGGCGATCGAGGTAGGCCATACCAGAAGCTGGCACGCCGGTCAAAATTGGAGGTTGCTGCGTTCCCATGCGCCCCGAAGATATCTTTCTATATTGTTCCAGGCTAGCGTATAGGAAGAAACTCGCATTGTAGTCAAATGTAATGTCCTTGCCCCGTTCCCAGGAGTCACCATGGCGAATCCTCAGTTCAACAACGGGCGGAGGGTCAACAGGGCGCCGGTCACTGTTGGCTATTTTTCCAATATTGTCAGATGATTTCCTAGTTGGCAATTTTAGAGTAGAACTTGTCCCATCTTACCCTTATTACCAGCACCGCATGCTCGAGCACGTTCGGGTTGTTGCAGAACCGATAGCTGATACCAGAGGTGGCGGCCTCCGCGGGTCGTGCGGTTGATTCGCACAACTGAGTCCCGGCGAGGGTCGACTGGGATTGCTGAAGGCGTAGCCATTATGGCTGGTATCGCGCTGGCGACGCGAGTCTGGAGCGAATTGGGGAGAGAATGGAAGTATTTCCTACATTGGTCAGCTTGACACTCAGACGGCAGCGAGGGCGTGTAAGTAGATGTCGGTGGAAAGGCCTTGATAAGAGTGCAATGATGGCCCAGATGGCGATGACGAGAGTTGAGCGCGTTGGTAGGTATCACGAATGGAATTGTCGTCAAGACTCACAGTAATGCTCGCTTTAGGTGCTGGCGGCTCCGTTATGAGACTAATGAACAAGAGGAAACGGAAAACCCAGCCTTGCAGAGCCCTCTACCCAGTGAGGGAAATGTAGTAGGCGGGCAGCTTGATGAATGAGACCAAAAAAAAAAAAAGAAAGAGGCTAACAACGAAACTTGCCCGTGGTGGACGACACTGGTTCGATTCAGGAGGATGAATGAAGTGTCTCTAGCACCAGACGGCAGAAAAGGGCCAGACAGACGGAGGCCAGTACGGATGCTTGGGGGAGAGGAGATGATAGGGTGGGCAGAGTAACAGGGTGGGCAGCCCAGGACAGGGATCCGGTGACTGGGAACTGGGGACTGGGGGCTTTTGGGAGGGGCGAGGGACCACTGGGCTGGGCTGCACCGTCGCTGACTGGGCCGCGAGCGGACCGTGGCAGGGGACCCCCGGGAATGAACACGCTACCATTTGCTTTAGGGGCGGAGGGTTTCGAGGGGGGCCTGCAAACCGCCCACACCCACGGGGAGGAGAAAAGGTTGGATGGTGGATGGCTGAGGTAAGTGAGCCCAGGTGACGGGGTCGGCCATGCCCTTTGGGGAAGCACGCACCACTGGGCCGTACCCGGTCTCTCGGGGACCAAATGGAATCCAGCGTGTGCTCCAGTGCGTTGTGGTGCCCCCTGGCAGGCCTTGTGGTTCTGTGCGCCTGACTCGTCCATCGGGACTAGTGCTAACGCTCGTCTCATTTACTTTGCTGCCATACGCGTACAAGGACCGACAAGGACAGCGCCCGTAATACATGCACAACCATACGGTCGGGGGCACCCATCCCACGCCCAGGCGCTGCAAGGCAGTTCGAGGCACCTGGCTTGGCCATCTCCAAGGCGCCCCCAAGGCGTTTGCTGTTGGTCACCCGTGGAGGAGGGAGCAGTCCCACGGGAAAGGTAGCGCATCAGCATCAATGTAACGTCAGCCATCAGGGCAGCGCCGTTCATTGGCGAGATGCCGGGACATTGGATCTTGCTTCGACCAACAGGCGGTTCGACACAGTGGCGCGCCCACTGAAGCCTGCCCAACCCTCGCCCGGTGCATTCCAACGTGATTGAAGGGCACCTATGAGGGGGGCCTCTTAAGATAGCTCGCTCCCTGCCAGCCAAACCTTTAAACAAAGCCTGCCGCAACTCGCTGTCAGAATGTAACCTGCCCCCTGGAATACCTGTCGCGAGCGCCAAGCGGCCCCGAGTCCCCTTCCCCGTGATTATTACATGCTTTTCCTGGGTAGGCAATTCGGAGCAGACATGGGAAGACTTCCTGGCTAGCACATCAGTTTGGTGGCCAAGGTGCAGCGGTTTGCAGTAGTGCCGACATGGGCATCCCAGCTAGCCACCCTCCATCTCCAAGAAAGCGACTGTCTGGCCATTAACGATTCTCTCACGGCCTTGGCCCCCTGTATCAGTAGCTTGCTTCCTGACAAGCCGGCATGCACGACCAGCATCGGACTTTGCAGAGCGGCCAATCATGGATCTGCCGGCGATACAGGGAAACAAAACTTGCGTGCCAGCCGTGTCATGCTCACCTGTTGCGGGCGGAAGCGCAGCTCTATTCTAATACTCGTCCTCTGAGAAGACAACGCAGCTCTGGACGGCCAGCGGTTCCTCTTGGATGCACGGATGTGTGAATGGTCCCACGACATGCACACTCAGGAAAAGAAAGCATCGAGCTTCCGATGCATGTGCATCATGCACAATCTGCTGGCACGGCCGGAGATGCAGCGGACGGGCAAGACAGATGGGGCCAGCACTCTTGCGAATCAAATCAGCGCATCTTCACACAGAGTCCAGAAGCAACAAAAGTTCGTACCGCCCGCTAAAGACAAACCACCAGGCTAAAGCTGGCAATCGTCCCCCTTGCGCTCAAGCCTAGAAACCTGTGGGCCTTTCCGTCGTGGAAAGCCGATCGGAAAGGCGAGGGTATCCATACCCAGCGGTACGCTCTGTAGCCTGATGTCTGGTTCCTCTGGATGTTCGACATGTAGAACCATGGAATCCTACCCTACCAACGGTGGTTCATCGAACGTCAAATTGAGCACTGACATCGCGATGGAGAAGCTGTGTCGGCAGCAGGGTCCTTCTTCCTTCCCTGTACGTTGCATCTGTCTCAGGCCGCAGCTTTGGGCAGCGTCTTTATTTATCCTTGCTTTTTTTGGGGAGAGCCGGCCAACAGGTGCATACTCCCATCTCTGCATTGTGAGATTGGTCTTTGTGCATGCATGTAGCCTGGCATGTAAGCCCATGTGTCAATATACTCAAGAACCAGTAATCAACGACGAAGCTCGTCTGTCGCTGCCTCCAGAAATGGCTGCGCGGACAGCCGACCTGGGGAATTCTCAGGCTGGGGACCCAAGCACCAACACGGCCAGGCTACCGGTCTGGGAATACCAATTTTCAGAATTGCCAGGAAGAACGCGTCCCTGGCTGGGAAAACTGGAGTACTTCCCCCGGCAGCTCTCTTCCTCGGCCCCATTCGAGATTTTCACTCCCGTTAATTTAGCTCTGGGTCTACTAGATCGATCCTTTCTTCTCGCACGCACCACTTCCGTGTCGAGAGAACAATTCTGGTGCCCACTACCTGACTCACTCACTCAGCCGCTGCCTAGTTCCCCCTAGTCAAGCTTCGAGTCCAGCCTGCGCGGAATTGCTTCCATCCCCGGCCTCCCACCGCGCTCAACCTTGCCCTCTCCCGTTCTTAGCGACGCTTCATATTGGATACAACGTTGCTCGCCAGGACGGATTCGCACCGAACCCTGACTCAAATTTGTAGTATTGACTGAATTGCGCTGCCAAAAGGAGAGCGCTGACTGCCGGCTGCTCCTGTTTGGGGAAGCCTCTGGAAATCTGCACAATGTCTCTGCCGAGAGTTGCGCCCGCAATAGCTGCTTGTCTTGGATAGTGGTGGCCACTGGCTTTGCTTGGCATGCGGCAGTAAGCCTAGTTGGTTGGCCGAGTTTGGGGTCCCGTTGGCTGCGATTACCGTGGCGGTAGTTTTTCTTTTGTTGATTCTTGCCCGTCCGCTAGCCCGGCCAGACGCATCCAATTATTGCGCCCAGTGGCTGCGCTAAAACATCCGACGAGTGGCGGGTGGGTCAACAGCTCTTCTCGTAGCTCACAATTTACAGCCATTTGACGGGCTACTACTGTAAGCATAAAACAGACCTGTCGATTCGAGTCGTCATCGCTCATTCATTGATCAATTAATTAATCAAGGCTCTAACGTTTTGCGGCCCTCGAGTCTCATCAGCGCGCCCATCCCCTCACCCGGGTCAAGGTTACAGACCTGACTCGCCGATCCATCACATGCGCAAGCGCAAGCGCATCCTTACTGCTCTCGACATTCCAGCCGCCGAAGCTTGTCGTCCTGTCCAGCCAACTTGAGTACCCACGCACATAGCGTCGTAGCCTGCTGGGTACTAGTAATTAGCAACTGGCTCGGATGGTGGTGGTGGTGTTCTCATCGCAGACGCCATTCGAGAAATAAAGCTCCATTGGGAAAGGGGGCAGATGGGAACGGCCCCCTTCCCTTCCACTGGAGCTTCCTCGGGTAGCAGGGCATGTAGTGCACAGGTGCCTGCTATTTACAGCGACGGGTGTCCCAACAGCGCATTCCGCCCTGCAGCGAGGGCTGCACGGATCCGCCAGGGTGCTGGGTGGTACTACAGGTAGGCCTGGGAGCTTCAATCTGGTGTGCCGAACGATAGCGTCGGGATCCCTGGGCGACTTGCTTTGTCCCAGCACGCAGATGGATGCATGCGCAGACAAAAGCCAACAGCCAACGTGCATTAGTAGGTAATTGGACGCCTATCACATCTCGCCATGCCCACGCATCCACCTCGATTACTCCGAGTCCCAACACCACGACCTTGGGTATGATTGAGCAATGCAAGTCCAGATTGCGCCCCCTCTGCGTTTCAGCCGAACGGCATCTTAATCCTCCGCTGCTCTCAGCGCCAAAGTGACAGCCAACCGGCTCGCCCACCCGCATCCCCTACCTTCTGTCTTTGCACACAGCCCTCCACTGAGCCGGTCGTAATAAGACCCGTCCCTCTGGTCCCAATGTTGCAGTTGGGTGGCTGCATGCCGTGCCGTCGACACAGCAGACGAGGCCGTCCATTCGCTGCAATCCGCCCCCTCCCCTTCGCTTCCATGCAATAAGTACATGCCAACGTCAACCTGCGCAGTTCCGCCCACCCCTCCTCGCCCTTCCTGTTGGGCGTGGCCAGGCAGATTGTTCGATCGCACAGCATCCAAAGTATGACAACAAACGCATTCCAGCTCACACCCCGTCCCGGGACCATGGTTTGCTTAGCTTGGTAGAGATTTGCCAGAACCGTTTTAATTATTTTCCCGGATTACTATTGCCCACGTACCATCCCACCCGTCAAAGTCTCCCCATACCTACAGCAGACGACAGTTTCACCCACCCCACTGGAACAATAATAGGCCAGCCCGACACCGCTGCCTACCCTAATCCGGTGGTTTGCAGGTCGCTACCAATCAGTCCCGTCCAGCGAGGCACGCCACATGGCCAGATTCTCGAGTATCATGTTCGAGAATGACCTGTACTGTGCATGCATTGCTGTCATTCCCAGACGCATCCGGTTGCTTTTCTGACTTGCTGACCCCGGGCAAGGGAAAATTGAGGGGGAAAAAGCAAGCAACAGGAAAAGAGGAGGCAAGAGCAAAAGGAAACCACCCATCGATCCATGGGCTGCACTGCACCCACCTCCACCCCGTGAATGTACATGCGTATTATCAAGTGTGGACGTATAAACCACACCCATCGCTTAGGGACCTACTTGCCGTTTGTAGCTCTCGCGAGGGTCCAGGCGAAGGCGAGTACGAGCCACAAGCGACGTGCCTCTACGCAATGGGTTTCACTTCACTGCAACGAAGGGGCAGCCCGCCTCGCTCACGAGGTGCTGCCCCAAGGCGGCAGCGTGTAGACATAGCCATCGGGACGTAGGATTGCGACCGGAGCCGCCTTTGCATTTCAGCGGTGCTGGGGATCTCATCCTCAGGGTCGGTTCGCCGTTGATGTCATCGAGAATAAGAATATCCGACGGTGTCATGGGCGTGGGCGGTGCTAACCTAGAGACCGCACACCACCAAGTCGGATCTCGTGCAAAGCAGGTAGGTGGCAAAGCAGAGGCAATCGTATCCATCTGATTTTGACGAACGGCAGGGTCTACATAGTAGGAGTATGTGCCTTTGGGTCCCCAGCCCATTGTGACCTCCAGTACACGTATTCGCTCGAATTGTCCTGGTTTCTCTGCCTGTCTGGGGACGGTCGATTGGCTGGCAGCTCATCGTTCCCCACCCCGGGAACACCAGATCGTCTGTGACCAGGCAAGCCAGGCTTCCACAGTCATAGTTACGATGGAGGATGGAGATCTTCTCGCCTCCCGAGAGCTGAGAATCAAACCTTATGCCGTCCAGAAACTACAGAAGCAGCTAAAATGTGTTAGTGTAATAATTTCCGGCAGCTAGACGCCACCAACATCAGCTTCCCTTCACCGCTCTCACGGGGCAGCCAAAATCACATACCAGGCAGAGCCCAATGGGAGACAAAGACCCTCTGTCTCGAAGCCACCCAGACGGGATTGTGAGGCAAAAGGAAAGTGGAGGGGCCTCGATGTCTTCACCTGTCACTTCCCGCAACCCGAAAGGGGAGGGTTAAAAAAAAGAAACAAATGCCTGGGCAACGCTCAGCCCCATGCCACGTGCAGTGTGAAGCACAATTACACTCCGTCTTACATACCAGCCTTGCCAGCCTACTCGGGAGGAGGGGAAACAGTTAGTCACATTTGCGGCTGATGCAAGGGATCGTACGTACGTACGTACGTGGCTGGGCCCCGAGAAAAACTCTCTTCCTCCCAACACACCGGCTCGCCAGGGCAGCATTCGAGACCTGCATGGGCTTTCGTCCTAGCGGATTTCTTTTTGTTGGTTCTGGTGTAACGGGGGCTACTATTTCTTGCCATTCCATGAGGGTTCCCCCCCCTTCCCCCCGTGCGTACACGAACACCAAGGTCGTCGGCGGTGCCGCAATGGAGGCTCCTCCAGTCAGACGGTGATGGTCGCCCTCCCACGCAATCATGGCCGGGCTCTTCCTTCGGTGCTCCCAGACGAACCGCCTCCCTATCCTCCTACGCCACACTGCAAGGGTGACTATTTCTAGATCACAGGTAACACGAGGTCTCGAATCTCATCCGACCTGGGGGAGATTCGACTCACTTGTTCGGGACGAACTGTCTCACACACCCAAGTGGGACCCTTAGAGAAACTGTTTCCTATCTACCAAGAGGAGAAATACCTCCATAGGCATAGCACTTCCAAACCCACACGAGACGGATATGAACACACATGCATGTCTCTCCAAGCCGTAGATCAACGGTGCAACTAGACTCGAGCCGGGAAAGCCCACATTGGCATGCCGTAATTTGCTCAGACCCAAAAGAGCACTAAGGGCTGGGCTTATAGATCTTTTTTTTTGCCGGGCGCAAGCTGAGACCTCGGCCATCTGTGCCGTGTTTTTGTTTGACTTGTCAAGATCGACTACGAAGCAACGTAACCGAAGCAATATGGTCTCCATACCTTCTTCTCCTTCTTGAAACTGCCCTGTCTCGAAATAATCGAAAAAATGAACATCCGTCGCCTAGGAAATACATGTCTCAAACCACTCTCCCATTACTATAGAATATGCCTCCTGAATATTACCCGTTTCGTGCCCTGCTGTTTGTTCGCTATCGCCAATCTCACAATTCCCATACTCATCCAAGGAAAGAGCCACAAGTAAAACGAGAAAAAAAAAAGAAGAGAAGCCACAGGGAACGTAAAAATTTACATGTTGATGCTTTTTTTCTGTTTCTGTTCTGTCAAATAATTCAGTTTTCGTGGTCCAGAGTCCCAAGTGATAGTTGTATTTGCACTAGTAGGACAGCTGCGAGAGCTGCTCAATCTGCCACACTGCAGTCTTCGCCCGCTCGCGTACATCTAGATCCCGGTCCTCTTGGCACAGGGCCTCGAGTTTATGGTAGAAGCCAAGGTTCTTGAGCTCCTGTGCCCGTTGCTTGCACCCTTCGGATTCGGCACCTTCGTCGGGATAGGTGAGGTTGCTGACGAGGTGGCAGAGCGCAACGCGAACCTCCCGATCCTTGTTGTTCGATTGCTTCTGCAGGAGCTTGAGCAGCTCTGTCTGGGCGATGATCAGTTGACGATGACGTGTGACACTGGCTGCTATGTGGACGAGAATGAAGATGACAGGTGCTATGATCTGAGGTTGTGGATAGATGACGCGGGAATCGCGGCCAGGAACGGATCCTCGGCTGGCAAAGGGTCGAAGAACCTTGGGTGAGAGTTTCGAGACCAGGAGATCGAAGAGCCTGTCCTGGCCAATCTCACTGAAGATAAAATCAATCATTTCCGTCGTCTCGTCAGTTTCAGTAGGGCCGCCACCGGCCCCTGGATGGCCGGTTAGGTTCCTCACAAACTGGAGAGCTTGCTCCTGGATAGCGATATCCTCATTGCGTGCTTTCTTGACAGGATTCAGTTCCGAGTCGCGAATTTCAGATAGCTTGTTTTCCGCCTGTCGTAGTCTCGTAGATTGGGAACCATCCAACTCGTGGAAAATTCCGTTGGCACCATATATCCAGCGATGGGGCTCGCTTGAGGGGTAATTATTTTGATCCTCGTCCATATCTTCCCCTGAAATGGATCTCGTGCGGCTATTGTAGAGAGCTGTATCCTGGGTATCATCTATGATGAGCTGAACAAGCCATCCGGGCTCCAGCTGTTCAAGACAAGCCTTTTTGAGGTCTGCTCCCACAGCACCTACGAAATGTTTGAGAGCCCAGATTGCGTTGAGCCGAAGTGAAGGATTGTCAGAGTGTGCGTGCTCGCAGAGAATCTTCATCACCCCTTTCTCAGTCAACATCTAGTGGTCGAATTAGCCTAATTCATAGTCATCTTGTTACTTGATACAACACTCACCTCGCGAACTGGGCTGAATTCCAGGACCAAGTTGGACATGGTAGCAGTAGCGGCTGACCGTACATCGACGTTGGGATGCTTCATATACTCGAAGATTGCCGGTGCAATGTCGTGGTCAACAATAGTTGTCCTGAGGATGCTGACCGACCGAGTCAGCCCCCTCACAGCATGGCATCCTGCAATGATGACAGAGAGCGGGTTTGTACCGTAGCCTGGGGTAGAAGATGCGGTAATTGCAGGCTGATCTTTTGCTCCCTTTGGCGGGTGAGGCTTATTCGGAAACTCTGAAAGTGATTGGACTACATATGGAATAACGTCCTCTCGAACAAGAGCATTTCTGTATTCTTCCTTGCCCAAGGCTATCGCGGTTACTGCCTTGAGGGTAGCCTCTCGTACCTTCACCACATGAACTATCAGGGGATCTTGGCCCCGAGGACCCAATTGAGCTACGGGCGAGCCTTCTTCTACATCCATATCGTTATCGTGGCGAGGAGACCACATCTGGGTCTCTGTCGAGGCCCGAACCGGCAAGTAGGCACGCTTCAGGAGTTTTGTTACGGTCTCGGCCGCCAAACATGAGAAGGCGCTCATCTGCAAATACTCGCAATCATTGATGAGGCGCGCGAGTACAAGAGGTGCTCGCTCCAGAATCACTCTCTGCGTTAAAGGGGCCGTCATGTTCATCGGGGAGCCCTTTGTCTCCTTCTCGATTTTGATCATCATTTCCACAAGGATGGGGATGACAAGTAGCCCAAGGCTCATCTCACGGACGGCTTTGCTTCCTAAATCAGCCTTATATAGAGAGGTGAGCACTGATGCAGCTACCAGTCGTTCATAGTCTGTCCTGGTGCGTACAAGATGTACCAGCCAGGGAATAAGCGGGCTTTCCATTTCGTCAGGCTCCGGCTCGCTGAACGGCTTGAACGGTGTAGCAGCCGAGCTCCAAATCGAGGATGCTCTGCTTTGATTACTTCGAGTATTGATCTGAGCATCCGATCGTTCAGAGTTCGCAAGTGAGGACTGAGACGTAGACGCGCTTCGGGGTACTGAGGTAGGAATAGCGGGTAAAACACACTCCATGGCGGTCAGGTCTAGATGCTTTGAGTAGTTTCTTCCGGCTGATTCAACATTGGAGCTTAGGTCAAAAAGCTGTCGCAATGACTGGGTAGATGGAAACACGGCAAGTATTGCCGGGGCATAGACAAGCCGATGTGCCCGATATTTCGAGTCTCCCAGAATAGTTGCTATCGCGTCGAGGACTGGACCCAGGAGAGAGTTGGAAGGCGCAGGCTCAGGAAATGCACCGGATAGTCCATCGCTTTGTGCGGTTATCCCTGCGCCAGGTACTACGAATCCCTCGCTCACGGCGAAGCTTGCTAGCTTAGCTGCGAGGGAATCGAGAACCCCAGACATTGTCAGGGCATTTTGTTGCCTCTCCTCCTTACAAAGCCGACTAATCAACCCAGCTGCCAGGCTAGCTTGCGTTTGCCAGAGATGCTTTGATGACGATATTGACAGGATTGCATTAAACGACTCGAGGTGCAGAGGGGTAAACACTTGGTCAGCGACAGATGAAAGGTCCAGGGGAGAGTCTGAATCAGCCAAAGCCGAAGCATCAGCGATATCTGTGAGCGCTCGAAGGGCGGCGATGACAATTTGTGGAGGGTTGATGTACGGAGAAATGTTTGACAATATCGCAGGTAGCGCTTGGCACGCATGGAGTGGTGCTAGGAAAGTAGGTCCACCTGAACAATACCCATTAGTGACGAGATATTCAGTCGACATTCAACTGTACTGACCATGGGCAAAGCTTGCAACTAGCTGTAGCGCTTGTAATTTTGTGCCATCCTCTTCAGACAAATATGCTGGAGCCAGAGGATTGGCCTGGGAGGATTCCTTTCCATTAGGCCTTGTCAAGGAACTCCTTGACGAGATAGTTCTGACAATGGGCTCTAAAACACCCAAGGCAACCCATGCTTCTTTTCTTTGGATGTGGCCAACGATTTCGTTCTTTAATGCGCGGAGCGAGGCAGTCTGGTCCGATGTCGTTCTAGCGCTCTTGAGCTGAGCTAGAATCGGATGGTTCTGTGGCCGCGCCATGGGTTCCAGGATACCGAGTAGCTGTAAAATCTCGCTTCCAATGCCGTTCTTTGCGTTCGGTACTTCTGATGAGGGTGGTTGGAAGATTCCCAAAATTCGGCTGATGTTCAAAATCGAAGCTATGAGTCGGGTCGCGATCAGGCAGGTCGGTGCAAAGTGCAGATGTACGCCACTGAAGTATGGGCGCCCCGGCACATTAGGGGATCCGCAGTACCCAATTTGGGGATTCCGGAGATATGAATTACTAGATAGTCGTTTCTGAAGCTCAAGAGCCCGTCTGGCGAGGTGGTTTCATCGGAAGTGAAGCGACGCCATACATCATACTATCACACTTCAGATTGGGACGCTGAGGTGGCACGTGCACGTTATCGATAACCCCACGTCTACATGCTACGTAAGAGAGCACCTTAGTAATGCAAATTGCTCTAGGTTAGTGTAAACTGGAGGGCTTAACCTTACTCATCGGCAGGTGCTCCAGCGGTATCACCCCTGCCACAGTGGCTAGCCTCGGCGAGGATGGAGGAGCAGCCAGGCGAGAAGCCTCGAATGGAAATCCTACTAGGCTCTAAAGAAGGAAATTAATCCGGCATTGTGATTTATCTTATCCAGATGACTGGAATGATCTTCAATGGCCCCCACATTGTCAGGCCTTCTAATTTTTTTCCGTTTCTTGAAAAACCTGCTAAGCATGCCCCGTCCGTAGTTTTACCAGCTGTCCAATGACAACTCGCACATCGGCTCTTCCAGAACAACCAGGACCCTCAATGGACACTCCGCCAGTGGATCCAGAACCGAAAGATTGGTGTTCTGGGTCTGGAGAGCCAAATAACCCAAATGACGTGATCACAATGTTGGTTATTTAAAGGGAATTGCTGCTATTGTCTCAATTTCCAGCCACTCACACGCTCTGAAAGCCGGGCCAGGCCGCACTCAAGCCTCGACTGACGACCTGGACACAAGCTCGCCCTAGACGTCTAGGAGCGGGTGTGCAAGGCTATAACAAGAGGTTGAAGCCGGCCCTCACAGAAATGTGATGAAATCTTGTCCAGTCCTGTGTAGTTCTCCGCGCACATCAAGATGATTATAGAGATTATCTCCTTTATTTATTTATTTCGTTCGTAAGAAAAAAATCAAGATAGTTGCAACAGAACCAGTGAACATTGATGAGCAGTATTTCGACAGTAAGGCTGCCTACTACTAAGCCTAATGTGAACCGAAATCCGCTCACTAAGCCTATAATGTCATTAGATCACATAGAAACTGCTATCTTCCTCTGATTTGCTGCATTGAAGTGGGCAGCGAGAGCGAATTAGCGGATATCGCTGCACGTATTTCTTGTAGACGAGTTGCCAGTGCATTTCGGTGAGTGCGAAAAGTGAGAGGGGCAGGGATTGATAAGTGGGATACAACGACTAACTTAGCACACCTCATGATTGTCGAGGTCCCCGAATTAGGATTGGAAGGATCTGCCCAAAAACATTGAACAGTGACTTTACCCTCCCTGTCTCTCTCCCACAAGAAACTTCACAGCGACGATCCCCAACTTCGTTCTTGCCTGATGCCACTGCTGCACCCCCCAGCAATGGGCCGCAGACCATGTTGACATCTCCCGTCATCATCAACTCCGCCAGCGCCTCGCCGACCAGCTTTCGCTATGCGCCAGCACCTGTCGTCTCGACGGTATCAGGTCCGAACCAGCGCCGGTCATCCTCGCGACCAACACTGGCTGCTACCCCTGCCATGACTTCGCCGGCTTCCCTGCGCACGAAGCGCACTGGTCCTGCGTCCCCCACCGAGTCACAGACTATGGCCGGCCACCACGACTTGAGATCGTCAGGATCACAAAGTGTCCCGAAGGCCAACCCGTCGACAACGCCAGGTGTTCAACCTCAGCCTCAGGAACCAACGGCCACGCCTCCCAACCCACCCCCATCAGTGTCCTCGGCCTCGCGGGACGCCCAACTTCAGAGTCTTTCATCGCCAAATAAACGTCGCGGGTCTCCGAGCCGAAACACGAGCCCAAGCACTACCCAGTCCGAGCAGCCGACTCTAACAGATGGCAGCCCAGCATCTTCGTCAACCAAGCGAGCAAAGTCCCAGGCCCCTCCTCCAAAGACCCTCCCTCGCCAGTACGAATTTTGCGCAGTCGAAGACATGGTCGAATTAATAGCCCATATGCTGGGGGAACTAATCACAACCAACGATGCAATAAGAATATCCGAGGGCGGCCTAACGAGGTTTCATTCCAGGTATTTATTATTGATCGATCCGATCCTACTCGTTGTTGAATCTAATTGCGCTCTTAAGGACTGCTCCGGGAATATCAGTACGAGATTACTTGCACCGACTTGCGAGGCACGCCACCCTCACACCACCATTATTATTGGCTATGGTCTATTACATCGACCGCCTATGCGCCATGTACAACGACTTTACGATAAATACACTCACTGTGCATCGCTTTCTTATCACAGCAGCTACTGTAGCCGCAAAGGGCCTGTCTGATTCTTTCTGGAATAACACTACCTATGCTAGGGTTGGCGGTATTCGGTTAGCAGAACTCAGCCGCCTAGAGCTGGAATTTCTTCATCGAGTGGACTGGAAAATAGTTCCCAACCCGGAGGTTCTGGTTGCCTATTATAAAGGACTAATTGAACGGACACCGGGCTACATTCTCGAGCCCGGTGACGATTCGGAGGAAGAGTCAGAAGAGGCCAGTTCCAGCGGCGACGAGTTAGGGGAAGGAACTGGTTAAACTCGTCATATTAATTCATTAGAACCTGTCTGTTTACGCCCATACATGCCAACAACGAGAAAGAACATCCGGTGGCCGACTGCGACGGCCGAGAAAGAAAAGGACAACGGAAAAGACTACGGTTTCGGGGCGGCTCTTTGTATCATTGCATCTTCTACAAGCGGCGTACGGATTTATCTCTAGGTTTTTCTTGGTTCTGGGTGTATCGGTTGGATGAGAGTTTTTGGATTTTAATAGAAGGGGGCGAGGAGGGGAACTGGAGCATAGCACGGGAACGGTATCATCACATTGTCAATATATACATATACACATTTCAAACACACAAGATATTCACAGGCATCCGAACAACGGCTGGACGAGTATTATTAGCCGGTGATTTTCCGAGCGTGGACCTCAACCGCTACCTCAGTAAGCTACAGGGGACAGAGCTCATGACTACTCTCAACATCGGAGAAGGGTACGAGGAGCGCAACAATGCATTTCGTACCGATATTAACGGCCCTCCTTGCCACCACTTTGGCTGCTGCCCAGCCACGATCTGTGCAGGTGTATATCCACCCTATTTCGTCGTCAAGCAAACCTGCGCCCCTTGCTGAGATCGCCTACGACACGGCCGCATTGTCTTCATCCGCCTCCGTCATCTCGTACGAAGCACCTGAGCTCCCCGAATCATCCGACCTCATTCGCATCGGCATATACGACACGAAATCCTCACAATGGATCTCGGGAACGACTGTCGCATCGACTGAGAACTTCAGCAAGGGATATGCGCCACACTTCGTGCTATCGGTAGATTCCCGTGGCGAGGTTATCAGCACAGCGCTGAAGGGCGTGAGAATCGACGCTGGGCAGACAAGAGACTTTGGTCCTCAGGCTACGTTGCTGGTGGAATCAAAGGGCAAGCAACCCGAGCTGAACAAGCCCGTTGTTCTCTCGCCTGAGGGCAAGAAGGTAGAAGAAGAGGAGAAGTCGTTCTTCCAGAAGTTTGTGCCACCCCCCAAACATACTCTGTTACTGGTTTACTAACAACATGCAGGTACTGGTGGATGATTGGCATTGCCGTGTTTGTCTTGATGGGCAGTGGCGGAGCAGAGAAATAGACTACAGGAATAGATTCATGATGTTATGCAAACGAGCTCGTCAATCCACAGGTCTCGCCAACCAAAGTCTCGCCTACCAAAATGATAAAATCCCACCGAGTAGTGACTTCTCATCTTGCTAACTAACATGTCTCAAATTAATTGTAAACAAAACATCGGAGACCAGCTTCGAGACGACTTAGGGACTAGTTTCACAAGCGAGACAACCTCGTACAGCTGAACGAATAGCTTCCAAAGCCATCAGATTGTCCCACAGCACCCATTCTCCATCGTAAATCCTGATTGGCAAACAGCCAGATCTCCCAACAGAAGTGCGGCTCCACGTGACTTGGCGTGGCCAATCCTTATATAATCACCAGGATGTGAGAAGCGCGCTAAGCTACTGTGGGACTAGATCCGTTGCTCAGTGAAAGTGCGTGAATGTTGCATGCACCTGCATAAAGCTGGCCGTAGGCGCAAAAGTGGGTGGTAGTTCACTCGAGGTTCATTTTCCCATTGGCTTCCATTACTTTCAGTATTTCGGTCTCACCTGAAATTTCACGCTCTGCCTAGCCTTTCCATCTTCACCTTTCACACTTCACCCCAAACTTGAAAGACAACCAAGCCCAAGAGCTTCCCAATTCCGAAGATGTCTGGCACTGAAGCTACTCTCCCCAAGAACTCCACCGAGGAGTCCGCCTCCGCTCTCGAGAGCAAGGGCAAGGGCAAGGCTGTCGTTGGAAACGTCCATGACGACGATGTCATGGATGAGGATGACGACGACGATGATGACGATGAGGATGAGAATGAGGACGTGAGTTGCTACACAGATTTTGCCTTTTCAGTATCCCGAGCTAACAAGACTTTTTAGGAGCCTGAGGGTGGTAAGTCACTTGAGATTTCATGAATCCAGAGAGGAACCCCTGCTAACAAGCGCAGCCATTGATGAGGACGGCCTGGAGGAGATTGACACAAACAACATTGTCGAGGGCGGTCGCCGCACTCGCGGTCAGGTCATCGACTTCGCCAAGGCTGCTGAGGAGAACCCAGCCGATGAGGATGAAGACGATGAAGACGACGACTTCCAGCCTGAGGAGGACACCAACATGTCCGGCTAAAAGATTCATCACCATGAATTGAAAAGGCGCGAGGGTGCGGGTGCATTTTTGGTTCTCATGTAAATTCAAAAGCTATGGCATGAGCTCACAGCACCTCTTTCGAGTATTGATCACGTTTGCGCTGGTCATATGGGGTTGGTGTGTCAGCAAGTCAATCAGGCTTTGGAACGGCACTTCTACTTAGCCCAGTCGTACTCTACACCAGGGTTAGATAAACAAAATGATTAATCTCGATTGATGTCCACGCTTTTGTGGTTGTGTTGTTTGTGATGAGCCTTGTTTCTTAGCTACCTACCTACCCTACACTTAACCTGTTTACCGCCCTTTCGCTCGTGATCCATCACATTCCGTGCTCCCTTTCGTTCGACCTGACATTTTGGGAAGAGCATTTACGCTAACCAAACTATCGATTAGTTTGACGTAGTGTTGTGGTATTACTATCCACTTGAACGCGTAAAGGTGCTGATTTTGGGAGTGACAGAATAAAGCCCCAGAAGAAGCAAGGAGATATTTGCCCGCGAGTAAGACACAACAACTAACACGCCAAACCTCTCTACCTAGCTGCGCATGGCGCCAAACTGTAGGTACACGCTGAGTGCTTCCAGCCAAGACCATAGTTGCCGATAGGGGAATTTCCGTGACTGATCATGCTAACGCATAGAGAACAACCAGTCACCATCAATCCAGATGGTTCTTCGCAAGAAATGGAAGGGGAAATGGAGAGCAGTATTTCCTTGGAAGCCCAGAATAAATGCCATCCACTGTCTATATGGTTACCCACCACCAATGGATAATAACAGGGTGGACAGTAATGCCAACCAATGCAGTAGATGATGTTTTGATGTGTCACTTTCGATGTAACCCCTCGCTCTTCCCTATCCACTACATCCAGTAATATGGATTTCAACTCAGCTGAGGCCGAAGTGTATTAGAAGCCGGTTTTGCTACGCTTATTTAGAGGTAAGTTCAAACCTTGTTAGATCGTTACGAGGCAGATAGGTTGGTTTAGTAGCCCAAACTCATCACTATCAACATCGTGCTCACTATAACCTGTATGTGACGAAATATAGACCAAGACTCAGTTTGGAGGAGATCCCACTTCCATAAGTTTTCGTGGATACAAATCAATTCACCATGGCCAAATAGACCAATCATTTGATAAGTCTACCTACCTTTGGACCTGGGATCAAGCTTGCGCCATGAAAGGTAGCCATCGGTACGATGTATCTTAGCAAGTAAGATTCTGGACCTGCAGACGGACCGGGAGCGTAAAGCCGAGAATAGGTCCATGCTCCTCTGCTTTGCTACTGGACCAGCGCAATGACGAGGAGGGACGCTATGATGAAGAAGATTGAAAATTTTACCCAGTCCAGGGGCAATAGGAGAATACCTTCCACACCCAAGGAAATGAAAGCCCCACCACCATACGCGCTGCATCGAACGCCCAGCGATTGTAAACGAGTATACGTGGTAATAGATCGGAAGCTTCAAGGCCATTCAAAACAATACACTGTCTGGGTATGGCTGGCTCTGTCCAGTACTAGGTGCTGTCCCTTGGTCTGCCGTCCCCTATCAATTTAGGTTTGCCTGAGCCGTTCGTCTACTGAGCTTATTGAGCCCGGTTGTTAGTTGGTGCGGGCACTGGCAAATCTCAACATTGAGCAAAAGAGAAACGGATCGATGATGCCGAGGCAGCTCTATTGGTTGAGCCGCAAAATTTCCGCCGACAAGTAAAATGAGGTTTTCGAGATCGCGAACACAATATAAGCAGCGATTTCGTTGGCTTGTCAAGGCGAATTGGCAGGGGCGGGTACGTACCAGAAAGTGCCCCGGCCGATGAGCCTCCCCCGGAGCCCCCCCCAAAATTTAGTGACCACATCGCCTTGTATCTTGTAAAAGCCAAAACAAACAGTGCTGCGTCAACCTTTCCAGCGTGAACGTCTTGTCGTCGTTTCTGACATTGTATCGGCCAAGAATACTGTCGCATCACTACTCAGAGAAAGAAACATGTCGCAAAGGTTCGTTACGCCCTGCTAAGCCAAGTCCCTCGAGCGCTCCATGACGTCTCTCTCGGCTTTAAGACTAACAGCGCATCTCCCTCAGATTCGGCACCTCGTCACTTCACCAGCGCGATCCTCGAAGCGCACTATTTGCTGGATACACAGGCGATCATTCAGGGCGGAATACGCCCGCCAGCCCGAGTAGTGGCTATGGATATCCGGGATCGGGCAGCCACCTCGGGGTAGACAACAGGGCGGGTTATCGACCGGCTACGCCCAACAGAAAAGGGCAATACAGCGATGCCGTCCTGAACGAGCTGGAGAGCCAGAATGACGACCAGGTAACCGGAATCCTGGGCAAGGTTAGGGTGCTGAAAGATGTGAGTGGCCCTGTCCTCGATCGGTATCTCCCTAGAGCGCAGCGGACGGTTTCTAATAAGGGTGTATAGATGACTTCGGCCATCGGCGATGAGATCCGCGAGTCGTCTGCGCTGGCAGACAAGATGAACGACACCTTTGACCAGACCCGAGTACGACTTCGAGGAACGATGAACCGGATGCTGCTGATGGCACAGCGGTCAGGCATCCCCTGGAAAGTCTGGCTGTTGTTCTTCTCCGCCGTCATCTTGCTGTTCATCTACGTCTGGCTTTTCTGAAGACGTCATCTGAGATGTCGACACGGGATGAGCACGGAATACGCCGAATGACCTATATTTTCTTATATTGCGGGAAATCGAGTCTGGGAGTCCGGGTCGATAAAAAAGGTTTAGAATTCCGATAGCAATGGGGCCGGCGGATGTTTCGACGATGTTGCATTCATGAACGGAGTTTTGGGGACCTGCGAAGATTTCATTGTGCATATAGCGAGGCAGGGGACAGGAAGGGTCTGTCGTCCTCTCTTGTTGATTTCTGGGATATGCGGAACCACATCGGGCATGTGAAGTACATTGGTTACTACTGTTGTAATTATTGGACGCATGGTTATTTCATGCATCATTAATCTCTTTTCATGACCCGTCGTTTAATCATGATGGGTGACGCTATGTAATGCAAAAAGTAACTGTTTCTTCATATCCTTGGCCATGCTTATTGCCGCGATCGTCGGCCCTGTGCGGGACTGCTGTCCATAAAGCTGCTGCCATCTTGCGAGAGGAGGGCAGAGAACTCCATGCTACCACGCGGAGCGAACTGACGGCCATGGCTACGGCTGTGGTGAGTGGGTGACTGAGGCGGGCCCATAGGTGTTACGCGAGGACCAAAAGAATCCCCTTCGGCATCATCACCCCCATAGCCATCGTCGCTCAGTTGGCTTCTGTCGCTGCTGCTGAGTTCGGCCTCGGAGTCGGTATGTTCATACCCGCCACTTTCCGCCTCCGGAATGTCGTCGTCCAAGTCGGCGTCCATATCGATGCCCCCGTCATCCTCAATTCCATCGTGGGCGAAATCAGTCTCGTCTAGTATGTGTTCCTGATACTCCTCTTCGAGCTCCTCCTCTCCGCCATACATATCCTCGCCATCGGTGCCACCTCGAGCAATGGCTTCTCGAAACGCATCGTCAGTCATCCGCATCCGGGCTGCCATGAGGTCGTTCTGTCGTTCCTCCCGGACAGCTTCTTCATCATCGGTGTTGTCTTCGTATTCCTCCTCAGCCTCGTCGCCTTCCTCCTCGTCCTCATCGCTATCACCGCCCATAAAGAAGTCGTCCCCTGCGTCTGGAATCTCGTCATCGAGGTCTTGCGCGCCGTCGAGTTGCACGTCATCCATCTCGCCCTCTGCCATCCCAGCAGCTTCAGCCTCTGCATCAGCCAGCTCCTGGGCGAGCTGCTCTCGCCGGAGTGCCTCCTGGTGTTCCTCCTGCTCGCGCTTTTCCTCACGCATTTGATGCAGTGTTTTGGGTACACCGGGAGGCTTCAGCCAGTGGCTGCCGAAATTGGAGACATTGTGTTTGCGCCGTGATATGATGAACTCATCTGTAGCTAGTCGATGTAGAGCAGTGCGCTCGATGAGTTGCCCTCGCTGGCGCGATGGGTTTGTGCCATTGTTGTGGTTGTTCCCCTCTTGAGGGGCGCTCTCAGTTATAACAGCATGGGTGGGATTTCTGGATGGCGTATACCACAGAGAATGGATCTTGGAGAAGCAGGCGTATTAGAGTAACAAGATCGAATAGGCGCCTTGGGAACCCGAAGGAGTTACTCACATCTCGTGGTGTCAAATCTGGGAGCGTTGAAAACATCTGTGAGGTTCTGGGTGTTTGAACCCTGGAGCAAAGCTCAGCCGAGTCCGTGTCGTCGCGCGTCAACAGAGGTGGGTTGTAATTATCATGGGTAGGCGCGATAGGCGCGTGCTGCGGCTTCTAAGCGCGGGCCAAGACCATCTTGGGGAAAAGCGGGCCTCCCATGACAGAAATGGCATGAGCACACAGAACACAAGCAGCACAGTGGTAGAGAGCCTGCAGCAAGGGAAGATGCAGCAAATCCTTGTCGGGATGTTTTGGGCAGAATGTTAGACCAACCCCCAGAGACGATTGGATCGTGTTAGATCAAGGGATCAAGTAACGTAACAAAACATTCCAAAAATGTCATCACCAGTGACGAAAGCACCGTTCGAAAGTCGAACCAGTGTTACGGAAAACGGATGAATTCCTACAATAGCCTGGGCGGTGAAGTACACCGCTTGTCCGAGCCAAGCCGTATAATTAATATCGAACTCAGCCAATTTCAGAATCACGGTACTCTGAGTTTTCGTGAGGTAATTGGAAACGTTTCATCTGCAAACCGTTATTGATTGCCACGCCAATTTTAATGCAGACGGTGCCGCGCTGGCAGCATTGGCAGCATCGGAATTATTCGGAAGCGTAGGATGGTCAACTGTTATGGTAAGACAAATTGCATGGGGTTGGGAGGGTCCGCCTCTTGCAGAGTCCAGACTCGCCATCGCCGTTCCGTTCTGTTCCGCTGGCTAGCCTTTCCCCATTCTGCAGGCACTCCGCATGAAAGGTCTTGAGACAAGTCGGTATTGCTCGGCGAGCTGGGAACGTCAGCAGCTCTGTAACCGACATCGGCAGTAGGAGGAAACGAATATTATTTTCCTGGGCGGAGGGAGGCTCCCATGCAGCGGCTCCCTGCTCTGACCACGTCCGCTAGTGAGAAGCGAGGCGACCACACGACTGATGCAGAATCACGCTGTCCGGTTTATGGAGAGGTGTTCAGATTACACCGGCCGTATTTGTAGTCCAGTAGGTGTGAAGGGCAAGCTCTTTAGATGCACGTATTAGGTATGATAGCGGTGGCGTCCGTCTTACACTTACATACTTACACCAGCTTCGCACGGAGCATGTGAAAATGGATATGGCAGAATATCTCCCTTTGCCTCGTGGGATGAATGACCTCACCCCACACTCCTCCAGGTTTGTCCTCCCGTGTCAAGCAAGGACCACCACGTTTTCACACCATCCGTAGCACCACCATACATGCGCACTGGTAGCATGATGACCACGGGGCTACAAGCCACCTACGCTGCGTATATGATGCTGCCTGCGCATGCCACGTAAATGCTACCTGCCCGATGTTGATGGTCTCGTTTTCTCTTCCATTTCCTCTTAGCTCGCAGTCTGCATTCGGTGGGGAGGTAGCATCGGCAGTTTTATTAGATGCGCATCGTCGTGCATGGTGGGGTTGGGGTTCCACAGACGCTACTGCAAGATTTTAGTGCTGAGATTTAGCCATCCGAGATGGTTGGTCTCAGATAAGGATCTCTGGATTCCGCTGCTGTGATTGGTCAGATAGAGGTATTTTTTTTACGTCGATTCTTTTGACAATATCAAAGAGCTTGGTTGGCGTTTCTGGGTGTGGGCAACGAGATCGCGCTAACCGAAGCAACGGAGCCTCCAGGGCAATGCTAGGATGCAAACGCTGAGGCTAGCCTGCCCGAGATGGTATTGTCACTGGCGGGGTCGCCCTATCCAGTAGATTTGGTAGGGGTTCTGAGCGTTCTTCCCACTCCTTGACGCTGAGGGCGATGGCGGACCAGAGACACCCTCACATATTACAGTGATTGCAAATCTGGGGCAAAGGAAGCATACATGTGCAGACAGCCTGGACCCAGGAAACTCCGAACCCTTTGAGTTCACTCCTGCAAAGGCCGGCAATCCTTTGAGAAAGAGTCTTCCTTTGGCCATTCGGAGAGGGACTACCATTCGAACCACTATGTGCATGAGATGTCGTCTCCCATCACTCTTGTTGTTTGCTCAAAGAACCCCCCTGTTCCCCCAGGGCTGGTTCGGGGTCGCGGCGACATCGGCCGAACAGGCATTGAAATTGAGAGGTGCTGATTGGTGCCAGCAGAGGCCAAGCCAGTGCTGCCCATGTGCTTCTGACGTCTTGGGCTTGAGTTTGGGGGGCCTCCCCTGCTCATGGCCTGCGCCTAGTTTTGGGGTCTGACCTTATTTGGTTCCAGCCCATTTTCCCGTCGCTGGCGCGCTTTGCGTGAACCCAACTCTTTTCGGCCGTTCTTAGCCCTCTCCAATGAGAGACCCCGGTGGTAGGGAAGCCGCGCGAGACCTGGCATGTGGGTGCGAGTCATCGCCTCAGGGTTGCGAGGGGTGAGGCAGGCCAAGCTCGCGGACAACCCTCGGAATTACAGACATGCAGGCTGAAATTGGCAAAGTGCAGCCAGAGGAGGAGCTCCGACGAGGGATGTTAACGGTTTCGCTGCCAGCTTCCTAAAATCCCCAATATTAGCCAAGTGCCAATGTGTTTCTCTGACCCAGCCCACTTGATTGCGCATCCATCAGCCCTCGGCTGGAGCTGCACAGCTGGTCGCCTTCAGGAGGGGTAGAAGGAGTTTCGGACTAGCCATGGCGAGATCGACAAGCCTGCGCTACAGTGGCAACAGGCCATTCATGCTTGGTGAGTCGGACTGACGGATCCCCAGCTGGGCATAGGTAGGCAGCCATCTCTGCGAGCCACCCCAAACTCAGTGGCATTAGATCGTGGGCAAAACGAGGTGTAACATAAAAAAATACGTATCACATCCCCCGTGTGGAATTTACCTGGGCATCGCTAGAACAAAGCGGATGTACCTGGCAATACCTGCTGCAGATCCAAGTTGCTTGTCTCGGGACATTGGTAGAATTACGCACGTTGGGGTGGCATTGCTGTCGGCCTGGTTGGGTGGAGGCTCCCGTTGAATGGGATAGATCCGCAAGATGAAGCAGCCAACTAAGCAGGCAGAACAAGTTGGCAATCTGTCTCCGCGCATCGGCGGGTTTGACACAACAGATATTGGTCATCATTTTGAATTGGGCTCCCAGCCATTGGCAACACAAGAATGACGGAGGGTGCCGTCCGGGGGGAAGGGAGGAGATAGCCGCGGATGGCATGTTGTTGTGGAGGTGGTAGCAGGAAGCTACGACCAGCTAACTGGATGGTCGCTTGGATGTTCCCTTGCGGTGTTTTTTGTCGCCTACGTTTAGCCTGTAACCACGGGCCAGAAGACGATGGGAGGCTATCTGCTATAGACCAGGCTGATGGACGGCCTGGCAGCAGGGTGGCGGGTGCGTGTCGCAGGCCCAGTGAATCCCCCCACTCCCATCCCACCTCCTCCAGATGTCTCCTGATTTAGGAAGAGCAGCCTCAGACTAGTCAGGTTTGCGGCTAGGAGATACAGGCCACACAGCTCTTGTATCGTATGGTGATCGGAAGACCGCGACCGGACTGCCCACTACTTTGAATGTGGTCCCCTGTTTACTGACTCTGCCGCTCGCCTCCACCCGCTGGACCTGGACCTCTAGGCTCCTGTCCTGGCTTGGCATCTGTGAGGCGGACGGACTGAAGAGCACATGTACGGATATTGGGCCGGAGTAATGAAAGCCGTAGTGTGGTCTATCTTCTCGACGTGTCGCTCTGCCTGCGTGTGTACCTGCACCCGAGGATCCCTCCATTCCGTACAAAAGCGAACCAGTTTCCCTCCACCCCCCCAAATCCTCTTGCTCTTTTTCCTCCTCCTCTGCTCTCTCTCTTTCTACATTTACTGCCCTCTCATTTTGCACGACTCGAAAGGACGAGTATACGATACCCTGATAGAAAAGCAATTGCCTTGAGGATCCTTTTTTTTCTGAGTTGGTAAGTTGCTGTTGCTTAATGCTTGATCACTTCGTTCTTCTTAAGACAGAGCACATGCCCCCCTGCTTTTCCTGTACTGCAATTTTTTGTCTTCGCTCTGCCATGCGCCTGAAGGACGATCTGCCTGCCAACCGGCCAGAGGAGTGCTTGCTGTAAGAATGAGGGGTAGCGGTAGTGGGATGCCCACCAACATTTCGGGACGAACGGCACCCTTGTCGAGTATGAAGTCAGTCAATACACACCAGATGGGCGTCGCCTCCGAACCAGCTTTGTGACAATCCACCCCGGTGAAGCTGTGCTGCGCGTTGCACATGCTTTCCTGCCTACCTAGGCGTCAGCTTGTGAATGGAGCCGGTGCAATTGGCTGCTGAGTGCTGCACTGCATCATGTTGCTTCTGCATGACGGGCCCCCAGTCTCTAGCGAGCAAGCAGGCATGCTTAGGCGCGCTCTTGGCTGACGGCACGGTGGAGCGCCATTCCAACCTGCATGCAATGTGCTGCATGGGCTGTGTATGGACCTCTGACCGAGGATCTGGTGATGGCTGCACACTGCTCTTCAATTCGGTCCCATCAAGAAAACGCCCTGTTTGAGGCTCCCCAAACTCATTCGCACTCCAAGCGGGCGGGCGGAATTCTGCACGACAGGGCGAGGCGCAAAAAAAAAAAAAAAAAAGAGGGCCAAAGAGGGGTAAGCCCTTATCTGAGCGAATCCGGAGCCTGGGATTGGTGAGCTTGGTCTGTGGGCAAATGGGGCCGGGCAAACAAGCTCAGACAAGCTCCCTACCCCACACATTGGTTCATGTCATAGAAACCACCGGCAGCCGTTCTCGGTGATAGCAGCACTCGCTGAGAGCGGGCTTGCTTGCATACGGGACCTGATCATCCCGCTAGTAACGCACTGGAGAACCTTTCTGCCAGCGCAGACCTACTCGCCCTGCACTCATTTCCCCTCCTTCAACTTCATCTTGCTTCCATCTTCTTCTTTTCTTCCCACTTGCTTCATACACGATACCCACCAATTCCAAACGACTTGCTCACTAACACATCTTGCTTGGTGTAACAGATCCCAGACAGAGCGGCTGTGCTGTTCTCTTGACTCGCGCTCATTCTCCCGCACTCGAAAGTACACCCCGGTGTTCTCGCATAACTGTCCCCTCCCGTGAGACGCCTTCCTCATACGAGCACCACCTCCAACCTTTATCTGCAAAGGTTTACGGAGCCTCGCCTAGCATGGGCCTGACTGAGGATTTCGACGACCGAAAAATTCACCTTGAGGCTCAACAGGAGGAATACCACCCCTTCGAGTACCACTCCGACAACAATGACTCGTGGGCTGGGGCTCTCCCCCCAAAGCAGGGTCTCTATGACCCCTCTTTGGAGAAGGATGCCTGCGGTGTAGGATTCACTTGGTGAGTAGACCCCCTGTTGGACTTTCGATACAGCGAATAAGCATGGCTAGCTAACAAACCTCGCACAATAGCCACATCAAGGGCAAGGCCAGCCACAAAATTGTCAGCGATGCGCGAAACCTCCTTTGCAACATGACCCACCGTGGTGCTGTGGGATCTGATGCTCGTGATGGTGACGGCGCTGGTGTCATGACCTCTATCCCTCACCGTTTTTTCATCAAGAACTTTGAGAAGGAGGAGGATATCAAGTTACCTCCCCTGGGACAGTACGCTGTGGGTAACTTGTTTTTCAAGCCCGACGAGGAGACTCTGGAGGAATCCAAAAGGCAACTGGAAGATGTTGCTGAGTCGTTAGGCCTGAGAGTCCTGGGATGGCGACGACCCCCCGTCGATTCAAGCCTGCTTGGCCCTGCTGCCAAGTCGCGTGAACCCATCATTGCTCAGCCCTTTGTTGTGCTGACTTCTGCATATGGCGCCGGAAATGCTCCCGAAGTTACCGACCCAGAGAAGTTCGATGACCGCCACTTCGAACGCCAGCTTTACGTTCTTCGCAAGCGTGCTTCTCACACCATTGGTCTTCAGAACTGGTTCTACATTTGCTCTCTTTCAAACAAAAACATCGTCTACAAGGGTCAACTTGCACCCGTCCAGGTGTACTCCTACTACCACGATTTGGTGAATGCAGACTACGAAGCCCATTTCGCTCTTGTCCACTCCCGTTTCTCCACCAATACGTTCCCTTCGTGGGACAGAGCGCAACCCCTTCGATGGGCTGCTCACAACGGAGAGATCAACACTCTGAGGGGCAACAAGAATTGGATGCGCGCTCGTGAGGGTGTCATGAACTCGGATGTTTTCGGCGATGAGCTTGAGGCGCTTTATCCCATTGTCGAGGATGGAGGCTCTGACTCCGCGGCTTTCGACAACGTTTTGGAGCTCCTGACCATCAACGGTGTTCTCTCCTTGCCAGAAGCTGTCATGCTCATGGTTCCCGAGGCTTGGCAAGGAAACGAGCTCATGGACCCCAAGAAGGCTGCTTTCTACGAGTGGGCTGCTTGCCAGATGGAGCCTTGGGATGGACCTGCGCTGTTCACCTTTGCTGACGGCCGTTACTGCGGTGCTAATTTGGATCGAAATGGTCTCCGACCATGCCGATTCTACGTCATGGATGACGATCGTATTATCTGTGCCTCCGAAGTTGGTACCATCCCCGTTGAGCCTGAGAGGGTCATTCAAAAGGGTCGTCTTCAGCCTGGCCGCATGCTTCTGGTAGACACACAAGCTGGTCGTATTATCGATGACAAGGAGCTCAAGGAAGCTGTCGCCCGCCGACAAGACTTCCGCACTTGGCTCGACCGTGAGCTACTCAGCATGCCCAAGGTCCTCGAGGCTTTGGAAAAAACTTTTGACCTGGAGCCCAAGCTAGATGACGTTCTTCTTCAGGAGGACACTCTTCTCCATGCTTTTGGATACACCCACGAACAGGTGAGCTTGCTACTCGCACCCATGGCTGCCGATGAGAAGGAAGCTTTGGGTTCCATGGGTAATGACGGTCCTCTGGCCTGTCTTACTCAAGCTCCAAGGCTCTTGTACGATTACTTCCGACAGCTCTTTGCCCAGGTTACCAATCCTCCTATCGACCCTATCAGAGAGTCGATTGTTATGTCCCTGGAGTGTTATGTTGGTCCCCAAGGAAACTTGCTTGAGATGGACGCATCCCAGTGTGGTCGCCTCCATATCCCTAGCCCCGTCTTGTCGATCCCTGAGTTTAACACTCTGAAGCACATGTCCACCAAGTATCCCGACTGGACTGTCAAGACCATTGATCTTACCTTCCCAAAGAACCAGGGTGTTCAGGGCTACCTGAAGCACCTTGATGAGATTTGTGATGAGGCTACAGCTGCCATTGAAGCCCGTGATCGCATTATCGTTCTGTCGGACCGGAACACCTCCGCTGACCGTGTTGCTGTTTCGGCTGTCCTTGCCTCCGGAATGGTCCATCACCATCTCGTTAGCAACAAGTGGCGATCCTTGGCTGCTCTCGTGGTCGAGACTGCTGAAGCTCGTGAAGTCCATCACATGTGTGTACTCCTCGGATACGGTGCTGATGCCGTCAACCCCTACCTTGCCATGGAGTGTATTCTCAAGCTTAACCGTGAGGGGCTCATTAAGAAGAAGCTCACCGATGATGCTCTTATCCGTAACTACAAACACTCGTGTGACGGTGGTATCCTCAAGGTCATGAGTAAGATGGGTATCTCAACCCTCGCTTCGTACAAGGGTGCCCAGATTTTCGAGGCCCTTGGTCTCGATGAGACTGTCGTCGAGCGATGCTTCAAGGGTACTGCATCACGTATCCAAGGTATGACCTTTGAACTTATCGCCGAAGATGGTTTCCGTTTCCATGAGCGTGGCTTCCCATCCCGATCCACAGTCGGAATCAAGGCCCTCCCCGAGTCCGGCGAGTACCACTGGCGTGACGGAGGTGAGCCTCACGTCAACGACCCTACTTCCATTGCGAATATCCAAGATGCTGTCCGCAACAAAAACGACAAGTCGTATGAAGCTTATTCACGATCTGAGTATGAACAAATCAAGTCTTGCACTCTCCGTGGATTGCTGGACTTCAAGTTTGAAGATTGCAAGCCCATTCCCATTGATCAAGTCGAGCCATGGACTGAGATTGTCCGCCGATTCTGCACGGGTGCCATGTCCTACGGTTCCATCTCGATGGAATCCCACTCCACTCTGGCTGTAGCTATGAACAGATTGGGAGGTAAATCTAACACCGGTGAGGGTGGTGAGGATCCCGAGCGATCCCACCGCATGGATAACGGCGATACCATGCGATCTGCCATCAAGCAGATTGCCTCTGGCCGCTTCGGTGTTACATCCGCTTACCTGGCAGATTCAGATGAGCTTCAAATCAAGATGGCCCAGGGCGCAAAGCCCGGTGAGGGTGGTGAGCTTCCCGGCCACAAGGTGTCGAAGTCTATTGCCCGCACTCGTCACTCGACTCCTGGTGTGGGTCTCATCTCACCCCCACCCCATCACGACATTTACTCTATTGAGGATTTGAAGCAGCTCATTTATGACTTGAAGTGCTCGGGACCCCGTTCCCGCGTTTCAGTCAAGCTTGTGTCTGAGGTTGGTGTTGGTATTGTGGCTTCTGGTGTCGCCAAGGCCAAGGCTGACCACATCCTCATCTCCGGCCACGACGGTGGTACCGGTGCCTCCCGCTGGACTGGTATCAAGTATGCCGGTCTTCCTTGGGAGCTGGGTCTTGCTGAGACCCATCAGACCCTTGTTCTCAACGATCTTCGTGGTCGTGTGGTTGTGCAGACTGATGGTCAGCTGAAGACCGGTAGGGATGTTGCCATCGCCTGTCTGCTTGGAGCCGAAGAATGGGGTTTCGCAACAACTCCATTGATTGCCATGGGCTGTATTTTCATGAGGAAATGCCATCGCACGTATCCCTGCTCCCCATTGTTTTGTTGTAGTATTTGCTAACTTGATTTTAGTGAACACCTGCCCAGTTGGTATTGCGACCCAAGACCCTGAGTTGCGAAAGAAGTTCAACGGTACACCCGAGCACGTTATTAACTTCTTCTACTACGTTGCAAACGAGCTTCGTGCTATCATGGCTCAGCTTGGTTTCCGCACTATCAACGAAATGGTTGGCCATGTTGAGGTTCTCAAGGTTCGCGATGACCTGCGCACCAACAAGACCCGGAACATCGACCTCTCGCTTCTGCTTACTCCGGCCCACAAGCTCCGCCCAGGAGTTGCTACCTTCAATGTTCGCAAGCAGGACCACAAGCTTTACGTCCGCCTGGACAACAAGCTGATTTCTGAGGCCGAGTTGACCTTGGACAAGGGTCTGCCCTCTCGCATTGAGTGTGACATCGTCAACACCGATCGAGCTATGGGTACCTCCCTTTCCTACCAGATCTCGAAGCGATATGGAGAAAATGGCCTGCCTCTGGATACCGTCCATGTTAACATCAAGGGTTCCGCTGGTCAGTCCTTCGGTGCTTTCCTGGCTCCTGGTGTTACCTTGGAGCTTGAGGGTGACGCCAACGACTACGTTGGTAAGGGTCTTTCAGGTGGTCGTCTGATCATCTACCCTCCTCGCTCTGCAGTCTTCAAGGCAGAGGAGAATATCCTCATCGGTAACGTGTGCTTGTACGGTGCTACCACCGGTACTTGCTTCTTCCGTGGTGTTGCGGCCGAGCGTTTCGCAGTCCGAAACTCGGGTGCCACCGCGGTTGTTGAAGGTGTTGGTGACCACGGTTGTGAGTACATGACTGGTGGTCGTGTTCTTATTCTTGGATCTACTGGTCGCAACTTCGCTGCTGGTATGTCTGGTGGTATTGCCTATGTCTTGGATGTTAACCAGGACTTCCACTCCAAGCTGAACACGGAAATGGTTGAGGCTGGCCCGCTGGAGGACCCTACTGAGATCGGCTTCGTGCGAGGTCTCATTGAGGATCACCATCACTACACTGGATCCGAGCTCGCTGCCCGAATCCTTCTGGACTTCCACCGCGCCCTGTCTAGATTCGTCAAGGTTCTTCCTGTGGACTACAAGCGTGTGTTGGCAGAAGAAGCTGCCAAGGCTCTTGAGGCCAGGCGGGCAGAGTACAATCTGCCTATTGTGTCTGGTCTGCATGCCAAGAAGGAGGAGAAGGCTGCTAAGCTCCTGGATCTCGAGGAGGCAGTTGGCGACAATGCTGCTGAGAAGAAGAGGGCTCTGGTTCTTGACAAGACAAAGGGTTTCATGAAGTACGCCCGCCGCACTGAGAAGTACCGCTCTGCCTCCACCAGAACCAAGGACTGGGCGGAAATCAGCTCTCGCCTTAACGAGGATGAGCTGAAGTACCAGTCTGCACGCTGCATGGACTGCGGTGTTCCTTTCTGCCAATCTGAGACTGGTTGCCCCATCTCTAACATTATCCCCAAATGGAACGAATTGGTCTTCCAGAATCAATGGAAGGATGCTCTTAACCGTCTTCTCATGACCAACAACTTCCCTGAGTTCACTGGACGAGTGTGCCCGGCCCCTTGCGAGGGTGCCTGCGTTCTCGGCATCAACGAAGATCCTGTTGGTATCAAGTCTATTGAGTGCGCCATTATCGATCGCGGTTTCGAGATGGGTTGGATGGTCCCCCGCCCCCCTCAAGTTCGCACGGGCAAGACCATTGCTATCATTGGTTCCGGCCCCTCAGGATTGGCTTGTGCTGATCAGCTCAACCGAGCCGGTCACTTGGTGACCGTGTACGAGCGTGCTGATCGCCTTGGTGGTCTGCTCATGTACGGCATCCCCAACATGAAGTTGGACAAGCGCATTGTCAAGCGCCGAACTGACTTCATGGCTGCCGAGGGCATCAAGTTTGTCACCGGTGTTGCTATCGGCGAGGAGGGCAACCCCTCGCTTGCTGATCTCCGAAGCAGCAACGATGCCGTCGTTATCGCTACCGGTGCCACTGTCGCTCGAGACTTGCCCATCAAGGGCCGTGACTTGAATGGCATCCACTTCGCCATGGAGTTCTTGCACAAGAACACCAAGTCCCTCTTGGACTCTGAGCTTGCCGACGATGCCTACATTTCTGCCAAGGACAAGCACGTCGTTGTTATTGGAGGTGGTGATACCGGAAACGACTGCATTGGTACCTCTGTTCGTCATGGTGCCAAGTCAGTGACCAACTTTGAGCTTCTCCCTCAGCCTCCACCTGAGCGTGGTCGTGATAACCCTTGGCCCCAGTGGCCCCGCATCTACCGTGTTGACTACGGTCACACCGAGGTCCGCCAGCACACTGGAAAGGATCCTCGTGAGTACTGCATCATGTCCGAGGAGTTTGTTGATGATGGAAGCGGCAATGTCAAGGGTATCAGCACTATCCGCGTCGAGTGGACTCGCTCCGCTACTGGAGGTTGGGACATGAAGAAGGTCGAGGGATCTCAGCAGTTCTTCCCCGCTGACCTCGTCTTCTTGTCCATGGGTTTCCTTGGACCTGAGGCTCGCGTCCTTGGCGATGAAATCGAGAAGGATGCTCGCAAGAACATCAAGACTGCCCCCGGCAAGTATTCGACAAACCTGCCTGGTGTGTTTGCCGCTGGTGACGCTCGTCGCGGACAATCCCTGATTGTTTGGTATGTACTGACCTCTTCCGCTGTGTGTTTCCGAACTATTACTAACCTACTGCGTTTAGGGGTATCAATGAGGGTCGTCAAGCCGCCCGTGAAGTGGATCTGTTCCTTGAGAAGTGCACAAGCCTACCTGTCACTGGAGGTATTGTTAAGCGCACTGCCCAGGAACTCTTCACCCAGATTGATGTCCAGGCTTAATTGCCTGATTGATTGAGGGAGTTGTATTTTTCAAGAATCCCAGGCACATGGGGATCTTGGCATTCTGCCTATCTAATGACTTTATTTGTTCATGATTCTACTTCTAGTCTACTCCCGGCTATTTGATGACAATTTTCTTTCCTCGTCTTTTTTGCAATGGGCAAAAATGGGTCTCGGGACGAATTCGATACCATAGAAATTGGACATTGGGGGAGCTGGCTGGTATTTTTTTTTATGGGACGTGCAGCAGGCGTTCGTTTCCGCCAATGGCTTTTGACTGGAATTAACGGAGGCTTGTTGATTTGATGTATTGGACGGATAAAAATGTATACGTATTTACTTCATTGAATCAAAGGATTGCAACTACAGGATATACCCACCAAACCACTATTCGTGTCATACTATTAATCGCTGTCCTGAATGAAGTTGAAACAGAATAATTTGACAATATTTATTACATTGTCTTAAATTCAACTATTGGGTAGGGTATTACTAGGGTAAGGTCGACACCATGTTTCAGGATTGTTGACGAAGGACCGGTTGTCTCAGTATCACGAGCTCAGCTTCCATTTCTCAACTCTTTGGGTTCAATAGTCTGCGTCATTTTCTACCAGGCAAGTGGGTGAGGGGAGACTTCTACTGGAAGAGTGGCTATGAACAGACCAGTTTCTACGATGAAAAGAGAAATTCAGTCGTATAAAATGAAATCAAGTAACAATATATACTAAATCATCTCTTAATATGCATTATTGGCCCTCAATAATCTGGTAATACTGGTACCAGACTCGAAAATAAGCAGCTTATTGTTTGAGTGTCTCGGTTTTCAATGCCACCTTGTCGCTCGGAGTTAGCTTTGTCGAGCTGGTCGAGGTCTAGAGCTGAGAGTAACGTCCCTTTTGTTCTACCTCTTCTCCCTCCACAATCCAAAGAAGGCTCTGAGGCACGTGCAAATGTTTGGCCGTTCATAGGGTCATTCCATTGGAGCTAAGGTACCCACCCGTTCATACTTGAGCTCTGGATGCCGGTGATGGAGTGGGCCGTCGTTGCCCTTGACAGGCCGGCGGGGCACTAACATGATGCATCGTCATAGTGCACATAGCGCCTCGCTGCACTGTCCTGCCTGCCTCAGGTGAAGCTCTTGGTATTGGCGAGTGAGGCATGCGATGACCGTTTCAAGCGCCAATTTCCAGGTGCATGTAAATGGACACCCTCCAAACTGCGATTGATGTTCCTAGGCGACATCTTATCTGCATTGAAACAACGGATTGCACACCTCTTGGTAATTGTACGTCAGGCAAGCAGGCCCCGGCTAGTCGCGTCTAGCTTTGATCTGGGCGATACCGATTTCCACTTTCAGCTTAGCATCACAGTGCCGAATGTTTTTTGGTCCCAGGCGCAGCCTCGCTGGGCCTCTTCCATTTCAATCTACCTCAACGCGGCAGAAAGGGAGACCTGAACACCATCGTGCCTTTCTCTCCTCTCCTTCCCGGCTCGGTTGCTGCTCGATCGTACCGCTCTCGGTAGATTCAGTTCACAATGCGATTCGGAAGCACTCTCCGCCAGTCGATTTATGCGCCATGGAAGGAGAAGTACATTGACTACAGCAAGCTCAAGGGTTTGCTCCGCGAGGACCGCCACGACAAGGACAACAAACCATGGACCGAAGACGACGAGAACCGATTTTGCGATGAAATATTCAACGTCCAGCTGGAGAAGGTTGCCCAGTTCCAGCAGCAAAAGTTTGACGCGCTGAAGCAGCGAGTCGACGGCCTCTTCGAGAAGCTCAAAGAGCTAGCTCCCGTAGCAGGCGACAATGCTGCGTCGGCCGGCATCTCTTCCTCCCGCCTCAAGGACCTCGAGGCTGAGCTCGACGAGATCCTCAAGGAGGTCATGGAGCTCAAGAAGTTCAGCAATGTCAACTACACTGGGTTCCTCAAAATCATCAAGAAGCATGATCGCAAGAGAGGTGACAGGTACAGGGTCCGTCCCATGATGCAGCTGAGCCTTTCCCAGCGGCCCTTCAACTCTGAACAGGGATACGAGTCTCTTCTGAACAAGATGTCTCTCATGTACTTTGCTATCCGCCAACAGCTTGAGGAACACGAGCCCATTCCCAAGGGCCTAGACACCCAAGGCGAGACACACAACGGAGAGAGATATACTGCACAAAAGTGTTAGTATGGCCCAATTCATCGCCTTCTTGGGTGTATATAATTTTCGCTAACACAAATCTTTCCTACTAGTCTGGGTGCACCCTGATAACCTGCTCGAGGTCAAGGCCTCGATTCTTAGACATCTCCCAGCTCTCATCTACAGCGAGCAGGCCTCTAGGGAGCTCGATTCTAATGACTCCCCCGCGACGACATCTCTATATTTCGACAACCAGGATTTCGAGCTGTATAAGGAAAAGGTAGATCGACAGTCTGCGCCGTCATCTCTTCGCCTTCGTTGGTATGGCCAGCTGAGCCAACGGCCAGAGATTCTCATGGAGCTGAAGAAGATCAACGCCAATGGCACTAGTGAAGAGTCCAAATTCTCTATCAAGTCTAAATGGGTGAAGCCCTTCCTCGATGGTGAGTATGAGATGGAAAAGACTGTACAGAAGATGGAACGTCAAGGCATTCCAGAGAGCGAGATCGAGGACTTTAAGACAACCGTCGGTAAGATGAGAGGTTTCTTGCAAGAGAAGAAGCTCTCACCTGTGCTGAGGGCTAACTACGTCCGAACGGCCTTCCAGAGGCCTGCGGATGATCGTATTCGAATTTCCCTCGACAGCGACCTTGCTTTCATTCGTGAGGATACGCTTGATAGGGACCGTCCTTGTCGCAACCCCGACGACTGGCACCGCACAGATATCGATGACAGCAACATGGGCTACCCGTTCAAGAACATCAATCAGAGCGAAGTTAACAAGTTTCCTTATGCTGTGCTTGAGATCAAGCTCAAGGACAATGGCTTCAAGAAGCAGCCTGTATGGATCGATGACCTTGTGTCCTCCCATCTGGTCCACCCCGTTCCACGATTTTCCAAGTTTGTCCATGGTGTGGCCTCCCTCTTTGAGGATTACGTCAACACTCTGCCTTTCTGGCTGGGCGACTTGGAAACCGACATCCGCAAGGATCCCGAGAAGACTTTCGAAGAGGAGGAGCAGCGTCGTGCTCAGCGGGCGGACGATGCTATGGCTGTTGGCAGTCTGATGGGGGGCAAGTCAGGATCGTACAAGGCTGGAAAGAGCTCCCCTATCGCAAAGTCATATCTTGCTGAACGGGCGGCGGCTGATAAGCGTCAATCCATGCAGTCTGTGCAATCCGTAGCTAAGAGCAAGAGAAGCAGCTTCCAGCCAACCATCGACGAAGTCGGCGAGTCAAGCTTCAGCAATCAGCAGCAAGGCTATGGGACCTTGTCATCTGTTGTTCCCAGCTTCTCTCTGTCCAAGTATGCCAAGTCTCAAAGACTTCGCGAAGCTCAGCTCCCCGAAGGCGTCGTCGAGCCCGCGGAATGGATTAAGAATGCTGGAGAGCTCAAGATTGAACCCAAGGTCTGGTTGGCGAACGAGCGAACCTTTCTCAAGTGGCAGCATATCTGCATTCTTCAGGGCACTGTGGCCCTGGCTCTGTACACTGCTGCGGGTGAAGATTTGGTTGCTGAAGTCATGGGAGTCGTCTATATTCTGATTGCTGCCTTTGCCGGAGCCTGGGGCTACTGGATGCTGCACACCCGCCGAATCATGATTATGGAGCGTAGCGGCAAGGATTTTGACAATATGGTTGGCCCTATTGTCATAAGTATCGCACTTATGGTCGCCCTGATTATCAATTTCTTCTTTGCGGTAAGCTATCTTGACTTTAGCTGGATGTACGAAGTATGAACTAACTGGTCCTCTTCAAATAACAGTATCAGAAAGCGTTTGACCGTTCCCACGGTGGCCATTCGAATCAAACTATTGCCATCGTTGACGAGCTCCTCTGACCGCAAATGTTGTGACCTGCAGACACAAGACAACAAGGAGAAAATGCGGCAAGCAGTTTTAACATGGAATTTGAACTAGTAATGCAACATACGGTATGATTATCAAGGGGATTGTTTTTGGGTAATCTGGGAGAGGATTCCCGTGTCTCTGAGATGGCAAACATTGATCGGCTTATCTGGAGTATTTTTGTATGGACAATGCCAGTTTATATGGTCTCGAAACACAATAAGTAGTGAATATCATTGCAAATAGTGAGATGGTCGTTTTATTATTTATTTGTGCAACAGCTGTAGGTTCATAGGGTACATGTCAAAGGCTTGCTGCGTGTTTTATGTCGCATATTTGACATAATTTTGATCGTAGTTTCGGGCTTGTGCCCACTACAATTATTTGAGAGGCTGGGTTTTGGTACAATTTGGTGCTCTTGGCTTGTTACTAGTTCAGTCGGGGGCCACTTAGTATGTTGCTTTGACGTCTGTTATACTTCAGTTTTTGAACTCATATATTCACTCTGGAGGATATTTGTGCCGTTTTTCGCTGTGTAATAATAGCAAGTAAACCTAGACGGCGGCCCTTGCAGGAGGTTGACTCGGTCTTATTTTGCCAAGGAAGAAAAAGCACATATGTTATTGGGCGACGTCTTCATGCCCCAGGTCGTAGTTGGTTCTTGGGACAGGGGTAACGCTTCTCTTGCATATTATCAGCGCCTGCAACTGGCTGTCTCTCGCGGGCTAATGTGAGCAGTGGAGAGGCTAGTAGCCTCATTGGATGAGCTCGAGATACATAATTATGTTTGTATCTCATCTCGAGGTCGAAAGGTGCCGGTGTGGGCAGACAGCGACTGGGGCGACGCCGCTTGAGTTCCCACCCCCCCAATAGACACATGGAAATGGCACCAGGTCTCCCCTATGCGGCGTGATGCCGTTTCAGCCATCAGTAATACCCAGCCAGGCTGGCAGATGTCGTCTGAGCCTGATTGGCACCCATCCACTCCACCACAGCGGCCGGGCCCTAGTTCACAGCACTAGCCAGGGCGGTGGCCCAGCTCGTCCAGGTACCTCCCAGGGCGGCAGCAGGGCTCGAAATAACCTCCACTCAGTGGCCTGTCGAGTCCTGTCGAGTCCCATTGACCAGCCCAAGTCAGCGTGTTGTTGCGGCGCGTGAGCCCAGCACCTTCTTCTTGGGAAAGAGACATTTGAGATCCTGCTGGTGCATTGAGGGATCCTCCCTCCAACACGGCCTTTGCTCGTTGTCACGTCACAGCGCAATGCGCCAGCCCTCTTCCTCGACGCCTCACTGAATTCCCGAGGCCCATCCTTACCCGCTCGCCGAGTCTCCTGCAAGGGACATCCGCCGTCGGCGGCATTGCAGTGAGACACGCGTGGGCTACATCTGCATTGCATCTTGCCTTCGTCCCCCCACTACGTGTTGCCTGCCTTTTGTTTTTCTGCCTCCAGTGTCTCCTTGATGCATCGGGGATCCAATCGCAGTACTCGCAGGACAATTCGGCTCTCATTTTCTTTGAGCTCAATTCACCGCCACTCACCTACGCGCGTCAACTTGGAAGATGCTGCGAGACACCCAGCGGAACGGATACCCTTGTGAACGCGTGCTGCTCTCTTGGTGACACTGCATAGCTCCCAATCACGTAATTGACCCGAATCTGGGCCCGGCATAAGTCATGGAGCAACCGCAGAAGAGAAGCTTCCTGCGCGGCCTGTTGCGCAGGGCCAGTCACGTCCGGGCGGCAGCGAAGAAGGTTTGTATATTCTCTTCTCCCCCCATTTCTTTCCTTTCTCTGCTGCAGCTGTGAACTTGGCGCTAATATAGCTCGGCTGTTCTCAGACAGAAGCTAGGAGGGTGAGTCTTGGAGACTTGGGAATTAGAAGAGAGAGGAGGCGCTCCGTATCGGGCTCAGATACCCATATACCCAAGCAGCGAGCGCGGGTGAGGTCAGACCCCGCGCCTGAGCCATCGCTGGACCAAGACTGGGAGACTGAGCCGGAATTTTCCAAGGCGAATAACAGCAAAGGGAAGCTGTCTCTTGACTCTAGTAGTAGTAGCAGCAGCAGCAGCCACAGAACCCCGTCGCCAGAGCCTTTGACGCAATGGCCACCCAGCGGGATACGGTCAAACCAAGAACTCACAAGTCAGGAAGCCACGCAGTTGATATGCCGTGGGGTGCCGTTGTATCAAGGCTGCAAACGGCAGGTTCCTCACGCTTCAGAGGACTACTTCGCCTTGTATGCCACGACAACGGAGAGTCGAGCTAAGGGGACGGATGCCATTGATTTACACGATGCCATGGTGCACTTGATGACGATCAAGCTTCAGTCCACGGACGCCGCCGCGAACCCTTGGGAGAGTCTCGAACAGCCGAGCTATGGTTTTCACTACGGTGAACACGAGGGTTCGATTACACTGAACCGATGGGTTTCTACGGCGAGTGTGTTTCCCCCATCCATTAGACTGAAGGATGCGGGAGTTATGCCTCGGCCCATGTCACTGGAACGCATCCTCGATCGAGTCCAGGAGCTTCAAGCGGGGCTTGAGGAAGACGACCCAGCTCTCATGTATAAGATTCTTTATAGGCGCCTTCTTCGGGATCCGGACAGAATATTGGCCCCTCACAAAACATTGGATAAGCAAATTACGGATCTGATCATGGCCCTTTCACGGCCAAGCTGGTTCGACTTTAGCAACCCCAAGAACCAAGTGGTGACGAGATTCATCTTCGACAATGGGCAGGACAATTTCGAGATTCAGTTCCAAAAATTCTTCCATCAGCTGTTATTGGCCCTGGAGCTCGAGATGAGGATACAGTCGCCGCAGCATGGTGCCTGGGCCAAGGAAAAGCTTCTGGAAACGATCCCCCAGTCCATTAAATGGACTCTGGCTTTGGCTCGTCGATGGAGGCTGTATGTTCGCGTGGAGGATTTTGGAAGATTCCCCCATCAGAGTGAGTTGTCTTGCGAGAACGCGAACCATAGTCTGGGGCTAACATTCAGCGATTTTAGTCAAACTTCGATATAAATTGAAGAAGCGGCAGGTCAGGCTCTTGAGGCGATTCGCACAGACAATGAAATGGCCAAACTTGGCCGACACCATGGAGCAGCTGAAACAGAAAGATTCGGACTTCGCTTTGGATAAGATCAGTTCCGATGCGTTTGCCTTTTTCAGCGGGCTTGTTTTACCAGGGGTGAGTGGTGACTGCACAACTTAATTCCCACGTATTTGGGAAAACGTTGAGCTAACAAGATTATTTGAACCTTTAGATCACATTCCCGTTTTTAATAATGAACACACTTCTTGATCTAGATCCCGACCCAGCCACCGATGAGCTAGCACTACTTAGGCACATGCATCCGGAGTGTGGGTTCCAGTACCGAAGTAGCTACACGTATTGGACTGCTTGCTCTATCGTGGGCAAAGTCCTGGCCCCGACATGCAACTCACTGGCAGGCTGGGTGGGGCCGGCGCGGACGACGACAGACCTGAATCCTTCCCAGATTGCCCGGATCCGGACCAGACAGCCAAAACAAAAGCTGCGGTTGGAGGATGTGGACTCGATGGCCGAGCGCTCGGAGCCTCTGGGGCCGCCCGCGGATTCCTACCCAGCTGCAGACTACGTGCTTGATATCCCAAACACGGATGCTGTGGTCGACACTGTAAGGGTTGAGATGCTGGGGTTGCGTGCTGCCGTTACTACTGTCAAGACGACTGAGAAGAACCCAGAGACGAGGAAATTTGACGCAACGGTCCAGTTTGCCATTGACGGATTGTCCTGGCCACTGCGACTCATGTATGACGTGAATTTCATCTCATCGTTTCCGTGCTCCGATGGGCCGCACGCGTTATTCTTTGACTATGTCTATCAGAGGAAACGAGTGGACGAGATTGTTTCGATCAAGGACTGGGGGGGATTATACGGAACAAACAATCAACCGGGGGCCAACGGCACATCCGGGGACGCCAACGACGAGGAGCGGGTGCTAGTGGCGGAGTGCTTTGGTGTCAGGGATAACGAGGTGCTGGCACGAGCCTGGTGTGCCCATTGGGGGCTGAGCGCCATAGTTGCCGATCTCCGCAGAACATGGTAAGTGACTTGCGTTCTTTCTGTCTTTCTTCCGTCTCTTCCGCCGATGTATCTGTGGCGGGGGTTTGAAAGACACTTCTCAAACGGTCGAATGAGGAACACGGAATATGCTGACTGAATATTAGCCTGGCTTGTGCCGTGAGAGAGGCGTATGCGGCCACTCTGAATGTTGTGATACTCATCCAGGGCCAAGAGGCTGAAGACGACTTATGAATGATTTTACGAAAGGATCTACGGATGCACGACGATTATGATTCGACAAGACTAACAGAAAGAGGCGGCGCGGAGAGAGGAAGAGGGGCGATTCGTCGGTTAGTCCCAGCACAAGGATGAGGATTCCTCATGTGGAGGAGGGGTTGACAAGTCAATTACTAGTTAGAGAAATAGATACGCGGGGTGGACCACAAGCCTAATATGTATATGTGATACAGGCTTGATAGGGTCTTCCCAATTTTCAATTGGTAGCTTTGGGAGTGGTAGAAATTATTCGTTAGTCTCACTGGCCCCCTTTCCTCGTTATTACCGGTCTAGCTAGACACCTTGGTCATGATTGTTAATTGCAGGCGATGGTTGGGATTGCATGAGTCCCAAACCAGCCGGAAAAGTCGGCGAACACCAGCAGCCGAAAAGGATAGGACGGTGGGAGGCTTGCTTCTAGAAGATCGGAATTTCTTGGGTTTGGTTGGGGGAGCTATAGCTCCGATGGCGATTGTCGTTGCCTAATTGCCACTCGAGCATAACATGCATTCAAGCGAAGGGTGCGTGTCCAGGATAGGTTGCTGGATAAGAGAGCGTCCAATCGGAGAGGGCTCGCCTTACCTGTAAGTGTAGATGGTACTCACCCCCCAAAAAAACGTGCCAGCACATTATGTATAATGGGTGGGTATTTGCTTCACGATAGGGGCAAGAGATACGCCCAAAGAGGTGTCCCGAGATATGGGAGTAGGTGTATCGAGCGTGTGGGACCGGCTGGCTGGTCGCGATGCATCCCCCATGGCGTGGGAGTGGTCATCTGAGCATCTGAATTTTCCCCCCTTTCTTCTTGGATGTTTCCGTTGGGTCGACAGCTCAAGTGGCTCGGCGATTTGGCCGCAACCGGGCCACCCGAATATCCCCCAGTTCCAGACTAGGTTTTGCGTGATACGGTGGGGGTGGGGGCGGGCATTCTCCAAGGGCGAGGCACGACCGTTTGATGGAGAGAACGGTGACCGTCTCCGCGAATCTTGCATCCGGAGAAGGGATGATAGGACCAGTCTGTTTACCGCAGTTACGGTCGAAGCCCCTGGGTCCGGGTATGGCAAACTAGGTTCACCGGGCCCGCTGCGCCGCCCCTCCCCCCGCGCCATACGGGCGTGCTGCCAGCGACTACTGTGCCCTAGAGGCTCCTAGATGGTTTAGGTAGGAGCCGCTACGATGTGGTGCTATCATGGCCTCGAGGCGAGCTTGGGGGAGACGGGACGTGTGCACAGCTCTCTGGGCGTCTGCTCTCTGGCTCGACTGAGGCAATTGGAGAGCCTGCTGGCTGTCGAAGGACAGTCCGAAAAACAGGCGAGGCCGAAAAAAATAGATGGTCACGAGGCCTGAGCTGCGTCTGCGTTCCTGAATTGCCCCATCTCGAAGGCGACGAGATCAGCACGCGCTGTATCCACACCCACAGGGCCTCTCCCCCTGCAACATGCCACCTGTAGTAAGTGGAGTGCATGAGGTCCTCGAAAGAGCACCAGGGTCCGGCCTCCGATGGGTGGGATGGCAGTGGATGGCATCAATTCGTGGCCGGCTCCTGGCCTTGGGATGGGCACACGCATCTGCGGTGCTCACATCCAGATGCAAGCACTCCCACACGCTCCATGGCCTAGACCGTCCCGTGGTGCGCCCTTCACGCATCCGGCCGGAGACACAAGCGCCCTGCCCCCCCAGCACCTTTAACCATTCCTCTTGTCTTATTGTCCGATGGTAGCATCTTCCAACGGTGCTTAATTCGGGATCCTACCTTCTTGTACGGTACGACGGGGCTGAAGATTTTGATTACTTCCCCCTCAATTGTCCAGCATGTACGACTATAACAAACACATCAAGCCCATGCTGTGAGTCCTCCCTCTGGCTCTTCTTTTCTTCTTCATCCTCATCACATCCACTCACGCCGCCTTTTCCGCTGCTCCCCAAGCTCAGCCTTCCCCAAGTCACTATCACCACATAGATAGAATTTACTTCCTGCGTCCCCCTACACCAAGCCTACGACCCCTCCTCTGCTCTTTCTGGGCCTTCCGCTTACCAGTTGTCCAAAATGGATAGGCCGGCAAATGTCTCGGTATGGAACTCTCCTCTCCCTCAATGCGGGCGGGCTATCACCACTTGAGGAAACACATACAATGAGGCCGACTAGCTAGAGTTTAGCTATGGCGTGTGCCTGAAGCTCCTGTCCCCAGCCCTTCTTACTTGGTAGAGACGCAATGCTGATTTGTTGGGTATCATACAGGACCATTACATTGGTGTGGATGTTGGCACTGGCTCGGCCCGCGCTTGTATAATTGACCAGACTGGTGATATCAAAGCTTTGGCGTCAGAGAACATCAAGCTATGGCAGCCTGAGACAGGCTACTACGTAAGACAGGTTTCCTACCTCTCCTGCGAATCTTCGCATACTGACGTACTGATAGGAGCAATCGACTACTGATATCTGGCAACGCATCTGCGAGTGTGTTCGCCGCGTGGTGACCGAGTCTGCGGTCGACCCCCAATCGATCAAGGGCATTGGCTTTGACGCCACCTGCTCCCTCGCAGTTTTCTCCACCGACACAGATGAGCCCGTCCCGGTCACTGGCCCAGACTTCAAGAACGATGGCAGCGATCGCAATGTCATCCTCTGGCTCGACCATCGCCCCGTCCAGGAGACGGAGAAGATCAACAGCACAAAGCACAAGCTGCTCAAGTACGTGGGCGGTCAGATGAGCATCGAGATGGAGATCCCTAAGGCCCTGTGGCTCAAGAACAACATGCCCCCCGAGCTGTTCGATCGCTGCAAGTTCTACGACCTGACCGATGCACTCACCCACCTGGCCACTGGGAACGAGACCCGGAGCTTCTGCAGCACCGTCTGCAAGCAGGGGTACGTCCCTGTGGGTGTCGACGGAAGCGAGAAGGGCTGGCAGCAGGATTTCTTCGAGACCATCGGTCTGGGCGATCTTGCCAAGGATGACTTTAAGCGGATGGGTGGCGTTCACGGAGTGGTAAGCTTTCTCCTCTCTCCTTTCCCCCCACCCTGTTGAGCCCAACAATGTGCCCTTTTTTTGGTCTTTCATCGGCATTGCTGTTCATTGCCATTCTTGGCCAATGTAGAGGCATGATCGATTGGTTGCATCCCCCCTCCTTTGTTGGCTTCCCCGCATGTAACCACCATGCAAAGGCGATGCAGGGAGGAAAAGTATAATACCGTCCGTCGAGTTCCAAGTGGGGCGATGGGCAGAAGCTGGCTTTAATACCTAACTGGGCAATTAATCGCTAACCTGGCAATCCTGCAGAATGGCACCTATGCCAGTGCTGGTGAATACATCGGCCCTCTAAGCCGCGAGGCTGCGCTGCAGCTTGGTCTGCCCCAAGGCGTTCCCGTTGGCAGCGGTGTCATTGATGCCTATGCTGGCTGGATCGGCACTGTGGGCGCCAAGGTCGACCTAGGTGACGATGAGCTCAACGCCAATGCTCCGCACAATGATGTTGTCCAGGCCTTTAGCCGCCTGGCCGCCGTTGCGGGCACTTCCACCTGCCACTTGGCCATGTCCAAGAACCCCGTCTTCGTTCCTGGCGTTTGGGGCCCTTACCGGGATGTCGTTCTCCCCGAATTCTGGCTAGCTGAGGGCGGACAGTCAGCCACTGGCGAACTGCTTCGCCATGTCCTCGATGTGCACCCAGCTTACAACGAGACTCTGGCCCTCGCCAAGGCGGAGGACAAGCACATCTACGACTTCCTCAATGCTCACCTCAATTTCCTGGCTGAGAAGGCCAATGCCCCGGCTGTCTCCTATCTTGCCCGCCACTACTTCTTCTACGGTGACTTCTGGGGTAACCGATCCCCCATTGCCGACCCCAACATGAGAGGTTCCATGATCGGCCTCGACAGCGACAAGAGCACCGACAACATGGCCATGTGGTACTATGCCACCATGGAGTTCATCGCCTTCCAGACACGCCAAATCATCGAGCAGATGAACAACGCCGGCCATGCCATCACCTCCATCTTCATGTCTGGCTCCCAGTGCCAGAACCCCATCCTCATGTACCTCATGGCGACCATCTGCGGCATGCCCGTCCTCATCCCACGGTACGTCAACGCAGCCGTCGTCCACGGTGCGGCGATGCTGGGTGCCAAGGCCGCCAGCCACAACAGCAGCTCCGAGCCCGAGTCGCTCTGGAGCATAATGGACCGCATGAGTAAGCCTGGTCGACTGGTCGAGCCTGGCACGGATGAGGGCGAGAAGGCGCTCCTCAACGCCAAGTACGAGATCTACCTGGAGCTCTGCAGCCAGCAGCAGGCCTACCGGAAGAAGGTCGACAAGGCTGTTGAGAAGTGGGTGGGCGAGTTCGGCGACGACACCAGTGTCGAGTAGAGAAAGGTGTGCAATTTGGGCTGCGACGACGTAGAAATGAAAACAAATGGATAGGGAACGACATTCTGATGTTGTCGTGGTTGGGGTTCTGATTTACAAAGTACATACATGGCTGCGCGGGATATGATAGCGAATAATGGTAATGACTGGACACAAAATGATAAGAATATATTGAACAAACAAATACGAATAATAAAGATCACTTGTTGAATTTGAGTAGTAGATTTCGGGTTTTGTTCATGTTAAGGTGGACAAGGAAGTTTGCAGGGAGCCAGAATAGTGGTTGATCCTTGCGCGGCGCCTGTGATTGGCCCAAGCTCTCCTGGCCCCCAGTTCCATGTTTTCCCAAAAATTTATAGCTGACCTGCACCTACAAAGCAGCCAAACACCATCTGGAGACGCGCCGCTTCCAACCACGAATCCGACGAATGCCAACGACGATTTAGCCCCAACGAATTCCCGGCCATCAATCGGCCTTTACAACGCGTATCCATCGAATAATCTGGTTTTGAGCCTCTGACCTTGAGCTTTCGACACCGCAGCCATGTCGCTCTTTGGGCAGCCAGCAACTGGCACGGGGTTCGGCCAGAGCACGGCAGGAACAACGGGAGGCAGTCTTTTTGGCCAGAAGCCGGCAGCAGGAGGTAGCTTGTTCGGACAGCCTCAGCAGACCCAAGCTCAGAATCAACCGGCTGCTGGGACGGGCACCGGGCTCTTTGGACAGCCTGCACAGCAGAACCAGCCGCAACAGCAACAACAACAAACGGGAGCAATGGGCTCCTCTCTGTTCGGAGGCAACACTGCAGCTCCCCAACAACAAAACACCACTGGAGGCGGGCTGTTCGCAGCGGCGGCCCAGAATCAACAACAGCCCCAGAAGCCATCCCTGTTTGGCGGTGCCTCGACGAATCTCTCTGGCTCGACTCTCTTCTCTACCGCCACTCCTGCGATCCAGCAGCCTCAGCAAATCAACCAGCCGCTGCTCGGCACGAGTCTCCTGGCCAGCCAAGCTCCCGGCGGCCTGGCCCAGACACAGTCCGCGACACAGAACCAGCCCGCCGGCGCTTACTTTGATAGTCTCCTAGCGAAGAGCCAGAAGGGCGGAGAGACCAAGTCGAACATGGGAGACCTCCCCAGCCTGGAGCTGGGCCTGGGCGACCTGCGTCACCGTCTGCGGAAGCTGCAGTCCAAGCCCAGCGACAGACCCCTGGATGGAAAGGCCCATTATCTCCTCGCCGCCTCTGGTGTAGACCCTGGAGCGGCGGCGAAGGACCTCGGACTGCTGGACGTCCAAGGCGGCCGAGCTGATCGTGCAGCCCATGCCGGCTACGCACCAAGCGAGGTTGACGTCGAGACGTACCTCTCGAACCTGCAGACGAAGACGACATTGAGCATGATTGCGGACGGACTAGAGCGCTCCGTGCGAGACTTTGACAACTTCCTCGAGGACAATGTCACGATGGAGTGGGACGCGCAGCGAAAGCGAATTTACGAACACTTTGGTATCAAGCCCCGCGAGGAGGCTCCTCCGGGCGCACGGGAGTCTCAGGGTGCGTTTGGCCGATCGCGCAGAAGCAAGTCACAGGCCGGCATGTCCAAGGCTGGGAGGAGCACCATGCTGGGCAAGTCCCTGGGGCGGTCTGTCATTGGTGCACCCACCCGCATCGGCCCTCACCAATCCGAGTTCTCTGATGTCGAGAGGTCTTCAAGCGACAAGTCCAAGGGCCCCGGACGACCCATCGACGACAAGGTCCAGCGTGAGAGACAGGCCAGGCTTGCCGAGAAGGTCCGCAACCTCAATGCCAGCCGCATCATGAAGAGACCTTACCCCATCATCTTGGAGTTGGCTGAGGTCGAGAGGAAGTCGGTTGAGCCTCATGCTGTGCACGTGCACGAGGCCTACCTAGCCCTGTCCGAGATTGTTGGCGAGAACCGCGATGCCGAAACTACCCTCAACAACGAGACGGCCAAGGAACGAGAGTATGCGGATATTTACTTGAACGACAATCCCAACTCACCCCAGTCACTGGCGATGAGAAAGCGCATCCTCGAGGGCTCATCGCGCTTCCTTGAGATTCAGTTCCTTCGTGAGGTTGAAGCGCTCATCGCAAAGCACCCTCACGAGGCTAAGCTTGGAGGTCTCCCCGACATACAGAGCAAGATCAGGGCCTATATTCGTCTGAGGTCCGCCCGAAAGGACTTGGTGCCAGATGACAGCTCTCTCATCGTCGTGGGCGGTGAGCCAATTTGGGCGGTCGTCTTTTACCTGCTGAGGTGTGGGCAGGTGGAGGAGGCGGCCCGATACATCAACGACAACGGAGGTGCGTTCAAGAGCACCGACAGGACATTCTCGACATACATGAACAACTATGCGGCAAGCGACGACAGGCGCATCACGAGCAAGAAGCTGCTTGATCGCTGCAGGAATGAGCTCAACTCCCGCATCAAACTCGACTCTACACTGGATCCCTTCAGGAGGGCTTGCTACCAGATTATTGGCCGTGCTGAGTTGAGCAACCGCAGCTTGGAGGGTCTGAACACTGACATCAACGATTGGATCTGGCTCCAGTTCACTCTTGCGCGGGAGGGCGACAAGACGATCGAGATGGCGGGCGAGTCCTACGGGCTGGTGGAACTACAGGCTAGCATTCGGGAGATTGGCCAGAAGCATTTCCCGAAGAATCCTTCCGAGGACAACAACGGTAGCTTCGGTATGCTCTTCTACCTCCAGATCCTTGCGGGTCTCTTCGAGGATGCCCTTGCCTACCTATACCCCTTTTCGTACATTGATGCAGTTCACTTTGGTATCGCGCTCGAGTTCTACGGTCTTCTCCGACCCAGCGATGCCATGCTCGAGTCCAACGACCTCCGAAGCTACAGCACCAAGAATCTCCCTCAGATCAACTTTGGTCGCATGATTGGGTACTACACCAGGGATTTCCGGGCGGCGGATGTCGAGTCTGCCGTGGACTACCTGACCCTGATCTGCCTGAACCAGGATCTCGGCGGCGAGGCTGGTCGCCGTCATGGCAGCCTGTGCCACGAGGCTCTGAGGGATTTGGTCTTGGAAACACGCGAGTTCAGCCAATTGATTGGAGATATCCGACCCGATGGACGCCGTATCAAGGGTATCATTGAAGAGAGGGGACCCTTGATTGGCCTCGATGTGGAGGATGACTTTGTCAACACGGTGACGTTGCAGGCAGCCAGCTTTGCTGATGAGAACGGCCGCACCACAGACTCGGTCCTATTATACCACCTGGCGGGAGAGTACGACACAGTTGTCGCGATTGTGAGCCGGGCACTTAGCGAGGCCATCTCACTGGACATTGGCGAGGATCCCATGCGACTCATGCCGGTCAAGCCCAGGGCAGGTCCTTTGGCAGATAATCTACAGGGAAGCAGCCTTAGCTTGGCAGCCATCGATGACCCTGTCGAGCTTGCCAAGACGATGATGTCCATCTACGAAAAGAATGCTATGTTCTACCCGAAGATCCAGGATCAAAGCAAGGTGGCTTGCGGTGTCCTGCTCGAGATGAGCAACATCAAGAGCCTGGTTGAGGCCAGCCAGTGGGCACCCGCTCTGGACGTACGTACTCACCTTGCCCCAATGACTTGTTTGCATTGCTAACCCTTTCCATGACAGAAAATTCGAGCGCTCCAGATCCTGCCGCTGGAGGCCAACGGCGACGCCAGCATCATCCGTGCTTACGCCTCCAAGTTCTCCGGCCTTCCACAGCCCGTGTCTATCAATGTGCCTAACCTACTCATGTGGACCGTTGTCTGCTGTGTGCGGCAGAGAGAGCAGCTGAGCAACGGACAGTTCAGCGGGAACGAGGGGACCAGAAGGATGATGGTCGAGCAGCTGAAGCAGATCACGCTCGACCTCACCACGTACACCAGCCAGCTGCGTTACCGCTTCCCGCCGCATCTGCATGAGGCTCTGGCTAGGGCTTCTGCGGAATAGAAGAATGGGAATAGACAAGATTAGGGAAGAGGCGCTAATTGTTGGGAAGATGGGAAATTGCCATAGTGTGTGAGAAGGGTTAGTAATTAGATTTCGAATGGAAAAGATCATAAGGGACTCGCTTAGAGCCAAAGTTGTTCCTCTAGTGTGTGATGTTGAACAAAGATGAGATGAAAGAAAGCTAGCCAAGCCTTGGAGCACAGTCGGTCCTATCCGTGTCTTTTGGCTGTGAGACTTGGACTGCTAGGCGCATTCCACGAGATGCTCCAGCGGGTTAGGTTTCCATCAAATGGTCCCAGTGGAGGCACTTGAACCTTCCAATTTACTTCTTGTGCGCGGTACGAGGCTGTACCTGGCCTGCGGTCCCAACTCTGAGCCTGGAGGGAGGGACGGATGTACCCGCGGGTAACTCGTCCGAACTCTTTTCGTCGCTCCTGCCTGGCTTCCTCGATGGCGCGCACGGGCCAGGCGAAGTCTCTTCATGACTCGAATCGCTGCTGGTTAGACGGGCTCATATGATTCAACGCTTCCCATCTCATAGGCCAGAGCGCGTTTCCTCCTCATTTTTCACCTCCCCCTTGCCCATCAAGTCCCTCCTTTGCGGCCGAGTGCAGCTCACCCAGAGATCGAGTCCAGCCCAGTCCCGGTCTGTCCCCCAGTTCCCACTCCACCCTACGTGAATCCCGTCCCGTCTTTGCCTCTTGTGCAGCGGATCTTTGTGCTCTGATCGATCCCCTTGTGCTTGTTCCAGCTCTCTTGCTCCCACCCCCAGATTTTCAAGAGGGTCTGCTGGGCCCTTCCCCCCCACATACTCCCCCCCCAAAGGTGAACCCCAAACCCGAGGGCAGCAGAAGAGAGGAGGACAAGTCATTTCTTGGCCTTTCGTCCTCTCTTCTCTCTTTCTATCCCTGTCGATTTTTTCCTTTTCTTTGTTCTTTTTATCCGGAAAGTCAACAACCCGGTTCTGTAAGGGGGGTGTGGCCCGCTTTGGTCTCCCATTAGGAGAGCGCCTTATCGCGCGAACACACCACACACCAGGGCTGGGTCCTGTCCGACGTCAAAGCGGCTCTTGCTACGCGCCCCCTTCTCTCCATCGAGTGGTCCGGTTTCATTCGGTACCTTGCAGGTGGTACCGGTCACAGCGTGGCGTGTGCCGTGGCTATCGGTACAACCGTCCCACAATCCCCAGGTTGTTTGTTGCCGAACGGCTCCTCCCCCAAGGTGGGACAGTGCGAGCCGCCCTCCTCCCACCAATTGTCTTGTATCAAACCTCTATCCTCGTTGAGCGGAGCATAACGCGCCACCCGTCTGGAAGGCGGTTAATTGAGGCGCGCCCACGGTGTTGGCGATGGCGTCCGCGACCGAGGAGCTGGTCGTCCAGAGCCCTGGCGGGGCGTCAATTGCCGGCGACAATAAGAAGAGGGAGGCGTCTCCGGAGCCCGACGTCGGCGATGCTGCTGCCCAGGAGGCCGCGAGGAAGAAGAAGAAGACTGGGCCCGGCAGCAGAGGCGTTGCCAACTTGACGCCGGAGCAGTTGGCCAAGAAGAGAGAGAATGGTATGTATGGCTTACTTACCTAGCTATATTTGCTGTCACATGTTTTCGAAACACGGCCAGTTCCAAGTGTTGTTCTTCCCTTGTCAGCCCACTCCCTGTCCCCGTTCCTCTCTCTTATTTTCGGAAATCCCCAACCTGTCAGCTGTTCGCGACTGTGTTCAGCTTGTGATGTGCTAATGCTGTTTCGCAGACCGTGAGGCCCAGCGAGCCATCCGCAAGCGGACCAAGGAACAGATTGAGACGCTCGAGAGGCGCATCCAAGAGTTGACTAGTCAGCAACCCTACCAAGAGCTTCTTGCCGTTCAACGGGCCAAGGAGGCCGTTGAGCAGGAAAATATTGAGATCAAACGGCGACTAGCCACTATTATCGGCGAACTTCAGCCGTTGTTAGGAAACAGTATGGTTATCTATCTACGACATAAACAAGAGCCTCATGTTAACGGATTCTTACAGTATCAGATCCTAGCCGCTTATACGCGTCCCCATCTCAGACATATGCTCCATCTGTGCCAAATGTTGCTCCACCCCCGGCACCAATGAGTGTCCACAATGCCTCAACACCTGGAAGTGTCCCGTCTCCTAGCAGCACGGATATTGGCTCGCAGAGCTGGCAGAGTGCTGGTAACCAAGGCGAGCAGGCTAGAATCCAGCTGAACCAGCAGCGACATGAAATGCGACACGGGCTGGACATGGGCCCCGAGCGTCTCGGGCTCAACTTTCTTCTTGAGAACAACCAGCGCGTAGCCAGAATTCACAATGGCTCAGATAGTGCTCAAGACACGCCACGATATCACCATGTGCCCATGCGGCATGACTGGACGGACAACCGCAACGACCAGGCGTTGCGGGTTCGGCCCGGAAGTGGAGGTGGGCGGTGGGAGGCGTCTCCCAGAACTCCCTCGACAACCGGCCCTACCAGCCGGCCCAGCCAGATGGCTAGAGATGTTCCTTCTCCTCACTATTCCCCGAACCCAGCTCCCGGGTCTCCTCAGTGGACCCTGCCCATCAAAAACTGCGCACCAACTTGCCCACTGGACTACCTGTTGCTGGACTTCCTCAACGAGCGCCGCCAGCGTGCTGCCGAAGGCTTGCCAGTGCAGGAAGTGGTTGGCCCTCGCTACCCTTCCGTCTCTTCGCTCCTCAACCCGGCCAATAGTGCCTTCAGCCATCCTCTGTCAAAGGTGTTTACGGATATACTATCCACGTTTCCGGACATCTCTACCTTGCCGGAGCGCATTGCTGTTCTTTACGTCATGTTCCTCCTCATGCGGTGGCAGATTTCTCCCACGCAGGCAAACTGGGAGCGTCTCCCCGAGTGGTTCCGCCCTACGCATGGTCAACTGACCATTGATCATCCTGCCTGGGTCGATCACATACCCTTCCCAGTGATGCGCGAGAAAATTGTACAAACCCAAGAAACGCATGAGATCGTTTTCGATAACTTCTTTATACCCTTTACCACTACGTTGAATCTCAGCTGGCCCTATGAGGACACGGACGCTCTGCTCCAGGGCCCAGACGGGGACGAGGTTGTGATCAACCCTGTGTTTGAGCGCCATCTACGAAATCTCAAAAACTGGAGTCTCGGCGAGCGTTTTGTCAAGGCTTACCCCTTCCTGGCCGAGGGCTGCAACGTCGGCCCCCCTCCATCACGACCACGATAGGATGTCGTTTTCGTTTAGTAGCTAGCTACTTGGTTGACCAACATGTCAACTGTATTATGTTTCCTTGTGGTCCTCATTTTCGTCGAGCGGACACAGTATTTCAAAAACCAAAAAGGATTCTTACATTTTGTTTTCTAGGTGGTACGGATGGTCTTTACGGTTCCTGGTTTGGGTTAAATCTGGCCATGCATGGCATGAGAAGACGGGCGAGCAATCATGGAGTTGTTGGGAAGTTTGTCAATTTCTTCGTCTTTTCTGAAAATAAAACGATGGTGTTTATTTTTTCTTGAATCTACATGCGTTAAACCCGTGACGCCCTAGGTGAACCGTCCCTGTATTTTATAGACCTTCTCCTTTGACCTCCCTTCCAAAAAAAAGTAACTCCAGGTGAATCCTTCACCATTTGACCTTGCTATTACGCCAGTTGTAACTCCCCTTTTTATGTGGATGTAATGGCCAGATGATCATCAAGCATCCAGCTCCCGCGTGCCGAACGAGTACTTCCTCAGCCACAACCCCTCACCCACAAACAGGCTCTGCGAGTTCTCCCCCGGCACCGTCTGGAACATGAGCGACTTGATCGGCGTGCCCATCTTGCCACGGGCCTCCATCGCCGGGCAGGGCAGCCGCCTCCCGGTGGCGAGGGAGAACAACCCCACCGTCCCGTCGTCCTGCGCCGCCGCGGCGATTCCCAGCTCCCGCGAGACGTCGAACCCGACGTCCAGGTGCGCGCCGTTGACGTACTCGGGGAACTTGAGCAAGGGGCCCGGGCGCGGCCTCCTCGGCGGGGTGCCGTTGTCGTCGTGCGACGATGTGGGGAAGAAGCGGACGTCGTAGATGGCCATTGCGCTCTGGGGACCGCAGACGAGGAGCTGGTTCTCCGAGATGGCGCGCAGGCGGGCGGCGGAGGAAGGGTGGGCGATGTGGCGGCACGGCTCCGAGGTCGGGGTGCGCGTGTCTTTGATCCAGACGCGGGGCTGGCGGCCTCCCGAGAAGAGGATGTTTGGGTTGGTCGAGTGGAAGTCGAGGTCGAAGACGTCGCGGGGGTCCCTTGTGTGCTGGTGGTAGGGGGTGTGGCCGCGGCTCTGGTTGCTCCTGTAGGGATTGTGGGATGTGAGGAGGGAGACGGACTCGTCGGTTGACACGCTGACGAGGCCGGAGCTGGTGCCGACGGCGCAGATGAGATGGGGGAGGGAAGGGGGTGCGGGTTTGCAGGTGTTGAGGCCGACGTGGCCGTCGCCCCAGAGACGGAAGAAGGAGAGGTTCTGGTGGTTTGCGGCTGGCCATGTTGGTCAGCATGTAGAGAACAAGATGGGATGAAGCGAGGGGTATACCTTCTCCTAGAATCCAGGCTCCTTCTGTTCCACGACTTCGAGGCGGCGAGAAGAGATGCAGGCCGAAATGATTTACTGGCTGTCTGGAGGTTAGTATTATTCGGTGAGAAGCCTCATGGTACATGATAGAACTCATGTGGGGGCAACGAGTCGACTCTATGTGCCTGACTGGTCGCCTCGGCGAATCCAGAGCGACGTCTTCTCGAAACGAGAGTTTCCCGTCGTCATCCACTGGCAAGTAGCTTCCAACCGGGGTCTCCTCGTTCACAGCTATATACAGAGCCCCCCAGGCTAGTTAGCACGACTTCGACATTCTTGGTATAGGGGCCAGGATCATCCCAACATTGAAAAGGGACGACCTACTCGTATAAGCCACGGCTGTCTCCAGTCCTTGCTCTTGGCCACCAACCCACAGGCAAGGCAGATGTCCGCTTCTTCTGTGATTGTTTCCGAACCGCACCTCCCCCTTTGCTTCCAGGCCACCAGCCCAAGCCGCGGCCTTTAGGTTGCCTTCTCCCTCCCAGCTCAGATCATCCCGTATCTCTCGCTGGAGAGTCCCCGATGCGACAGTGTAGTCCCAGAGCTTATGCCGCTTGATATGGTGTCTGAGCTCCCAATCACGCTCCCGTACCACCTCGTTGGCCTGATGCTCAACCTTGCGCCTCTTCACAGCATCCGACGACCAAGTAGAAGCGGAAGGCGCCGTGGATGATCTTTCAACCTTGAAGTACTTTCTCTTTTCCTCATCTTTGGAGAAGGAGGAAAGGTCAGTCACTCCAGCTCTTGGCATGCGCGGTGGGACAGATACTTACCGTAGTAATAGCCTGGGATTTGCAACATGTTGGCGTTGAATAATTCGATACAACAGCATTACATTGCGTTAGGCGTTGGGCAGATATCAGATATATAAGGCATCTGCTTTTCAAGCTGGTCAAAAGTGGATCCGATTTCTCCAGCTTTGATGCACAAGCTTAGAGAATGCGGGTGGCAGAATGATGTCATCACGTGATGGCCAGTACTCCCCCAAAGTCATCAAACTTGGTTCCCGAGAGCGCAGCTTGATAGTCCTTGGTCATGGTTATATCCAGATGATTACTATACAGTGGTGTTAAAGGTCGGATGGCCTGCGTTGCATTATATCAGCCTGGGGGACTGTTGGATCCTAGAAGATCCCCTTCCCAAGTTGATCTGATCTCTCAAAGTCTTACACTCAAATAGGAAAACTAGCATACCACCCTTACTTCTTTCATGGCGAAATCAGGCATGCCAATTCCAATGATAAATCAACCGAGGCTATTCCCAGTTTATCCTATAAAACGCAGCAGCCAAGAGTGCCGGAGGGTAAAAGAACCACAGACGACTTTCACCAACCCAACAAAATAATCACCGACCAGATCCCTCGGGGTTTTCGGATAATATAATTGCGCCCCCTTGACGCCTTACTTCGGGTCACAGTTGTTCTCAAATGCCGTACTTATTTCACGAACCCTTGGCCGTACAATGACTTGGAGTATAGCAATGCTGGCAGGGCAAATGGGTAGCAGAAGACTGTTGCGGGAGGGCATGTTGCAATGCACGAATGATGCCCACATCCCTGGAAAGTAGAAATAGCATAGACAGCTATCGGCAAGTGAGTAAACCACACACGGCTCGAAGGCTTCACTAAACGAGACACAGCACTGTAGATACATACCATGTGCCTAATAGCCAGCTGCTGAGCTGAATACTACAGCCCTACTGGAGGGGAAAAGGGTCAGTGGAGGAAGCTGATCATACTCCAACACTCATGATAGGCGCCTCATATAGACTAGAGCCTCACAGTCACGACAAGATTTGATATCAAGAGATACATGCGGCAAGGTCACAGAAAAGCATGGTCGGGACAGAATGAGTGATGAAATCTTCTACTCAAGAGAATGATTTATTAATTTTTTTAAATTTGGCATTAAGTGTCTAAGTGACGTTCTAGGGATGCAAAGCGTCCACCTCAAACCGTCCTGACGCTTCTATACATCGGTACGAGTCCAAATAATAATACTAGGGACAAAGAGAAACAGAAACAATCCGGAAAGTCACGAGGGGTATGTAGAGCATTGCTTAGGTCGACTTCTCGTGCTGAGTCGAGACACGCTGGAGAGAGACAACTGGAAAAGGATGTTAGCATGTGAATGTAAGACCAAGGGATTGAATATATGTAACTTACCGAAATCCTCAAGGGATCGCTGCTTCTGGGAACGCTTGGGCGACTTGCCGTGCATCAGGTTGTCGAAACCAGCGCTTCCCTGCATGAAGTAGTAGAGACCACCCATAACGGCGAAGATACCGAAGGAGTAGATCCAGATACGGACAACACCAGTGATGTGGGTGCGGTGGTCAGAGCCACGGAACCAACCGAAGATGGCGAAGAGGGAAGCGAGGATATCGACGACAAAGATGGCACCAGCCAGCTGCCATGAAGGAATGGAAGACCAGAAGGGACCGTTGGCACGAGTGATGAAGATCAGCCAGTTCTCAGTAAGAGAGACCTCGAGGAAGACAATCTCATCGATATCACCGTAGTTCTCAGTGATACCACCGTAGTTGTTACCGGCAGCGAACATGGTAGTGAGGGCAATCCAGGTACCAATGGCCAGGACAAAACCGAGGAGAACGGACATACCCCAGAGCTTAGGAAGGTTCCACTTGACGGGGGTCTGGGAGTAAGGAGCGTTATCGTAGGCAATGGCCAGGGTGGCAATATCGGCGAAGATGGCAATGAAGACGATGAGGTTCAGGTTCAAGCTCTGGTTGAGGATGGCAATCCAAAGACCGAGGAAGATTTCCATGTGGAGGGACAGGGCGATACGGTAGACAACGTAGGCGTACATGCGGTGGAAAATCTGGCGGGAAGTCTTGAGGGCATCAATGATAGCACCGAGACCGGGGGCAAGGAAGACAATATCGGCAGCGGAACGGGCAGCGTCGGAGGAACCTTCGACAGCAATACCGGTATCAGCCTTCTTCAGGGAGGGAGCATCGTTGACACCGTCACCAGTCATGGCAACGAGGTAACCACGCTGCTGGAGAATCTCAACGACGGCGTACTTGTGCTGGGGGAAAACTTCAGCGAAACCATCGGCAGCCTCAACGAAATCGTAAACCTCGGAACCGGGCATATCACCACCACCACCGAGACCGAGACGCTCAGCGTTGTAAACGTTGGTACCAAGACCGAGCTGGCGGGAAGTCTCACGGGCAATACCGACGGCGTCACCAGTCAACATCTTGATGGAGAGACCCAGACGCTTAGCTTCGTTGATAGTGCGGGCAGTGTCGTGACGAGGGGGGTCAGAGCAGGGCATGATACCGAGAATCTCCCAAGCACCCTCACCACGCTTGCGGGCAACACCGAGAGAACGGAAACCACGGGTAGCAAATTCAGCAACACAGTTCTTGTAGGCCTGATCAATGTGCTCGGGGATGGGGTGGTCCTCCTCGACAGTCTTGAGAACGAAAAGAGGGGCACCCTTGACGCAGATGATGCGCTCACCCTGGGGAGACTCAACAACAGCCTGGACCTTCTTGGAGACGGGGTCGAAGGGGTGGAACTGGAGAACCTTGTACTTGGACAGAACGCTCTTGGCACGGGGGTAGAACTTGAGGGCCTTGAGGAAAGCCTTGTCGATGGCATCGATACCCTTCTTCTTGCGGGAAGCAGCCAAGCAAGCAGTAAGCATCAGGTCATCGGGCTCAACACCGGGGACAGTGAAGGGCTCAGAGAGAGACAGCTTGTTCTTGGTCAGGGTACCGGTCTTGTCAGAGCAGAGAATCTCAACACCAGCGAGGGACTCAATGGCGGAGAGCTTCTGGACGATAGCTTGCTTCTTGGCGAGGTAGGCAGCACCGACAGCCATGGTGGTGGTAACGACGGCGGGAAGACCAACGGGGACACCGACAATGGTAATACCGAGGGTGAACTCCAGAATGCGGACAATTTTATTGGAACGGTAGAATGAAGAAACCCAGACGATGAGGAGAGTGGCGACGACGAGGATCAGGAGAATGGTACCAATGCCGTTGAGAACCTCAGTGAAGTGACCAGTGCCACCGGAGGAAGCGGAAACGAGAGCAGCCGCACGTCCAACGAAGGTGTTGTCACCAGTGGCAGTGACGACGATGAAGGCCTCACCACGCTTGACGGCGGAGGAAGAGAAGCACTCATCACCGTGGTGCTTGTCGACAGCGAGAGATTCACCAGTAAGAGCGGACTGATCGACCTGGAGGAAGGCACCCTCGGTGACGATGCGACCGTCAGCGGGGATAATGGAACCATCATCAACCTGGAGGATATCACCGGGAACGACCTCGTGGGCCTCAATCTCCTTCAGGGCACCATCACGGAGGACAGTGGCCTTGAGAGCGAGAGTCTTCTTGAGTTCGTCGACGATAGAACCGGCCTGGTATTCCTGGAAGAAACCAACACAGGCGTTAAGCAGCAGGAGACCGCAAATAACACCGAAATCAACCCAATCTTCGAGACCGGCAGCGAGAACAGCAGCGGCCTAGATGAGACACGATAAGTTAGCCAATTGAAATGCACGCAAACGAACACGGGCGACCAAGACAGGCGACAAATTGCGATCGGTCGAGCACTATCGGATCGACAGGCAGGGTATGGGCAAAACAGTGGGGGGGACTGTCATCGTGATGGATGCATCGAGACACGCTCCACTGCGAGGCCCTTTAGCCAGTGGGATGAAATCTCTTGCAGCCCCACCCAACCAGGGAGAAAGCTGGTGTGGAGAATGTAATCTTGCGCCGAAAACGCGCATTGACCACTAGCTCCAGCCCAAACAAACCAAAGTGTGATGCGAGAGCGACGCCCGGCTGCGCCAGCATGGGCCAATTGAAGTTTGCGTTATCGCGTAGCCAAGGAAATTTGGCCGAACTCAATTGACCGTTGCTGGTCACCTGCACAGGCACATGTCGCGAGCAAGGGGAAATGAAAGCAAGCGCAAAGAATATTGCGCCGCCCAAGTGTGTAGTGTAGTAAAATGCAAAAAGCCAGGATCAGAAACTTACCTCCATGACGAACTGAATGGGACCAATGAAGAAGCCAAGGAACTTGAGAACCAGGTTCTCCTTCTCCTCCTTCATCTGGTTGGAACCGAACTTCTTGCGGCGGGCGATAACCTCAGACTCGGTCAGACCAACACGGGAGTCGGTCTGGAGCATGTCCTCGGGAATGCGGCGGGCAGCTCCGACAGCGCCCTCCTCCTCTTCTTCGAAGTCGGCGTGTCCATCTTCGGACTCGAGGTCCTCGATCAAGGCATCAATATCCTCGTCCTCCTCTTCATCCTCGGCAGGAACCTCCTTGGTAGGCTGGGCGACGGCGCCCTGGGCCTTCTTCTCGTCGAAGCCGCCATGCTCGATGGTCGTGTCGAGCGCAGGAGCGCCGACATCCTTGGTATCAGCCATGGGTGGCTAGGGAGAAATAGAGCTCAGCGGAATAGGCGAGCCAACTGATATAGAATAATAAAAGGTGGCTGTAGGTGTAGGGAAGAAATGCCGCGTTGCTCTATATGAGCTACCTCTAGGTAATAGCACAGGAGTGAAAGTGTGGTGTTGTAGAGGTAGAGTGGAGAGGTGATGAGGATGGAGGGAGGAAGAAGTGTCGCAGCACCGCACGAAGGAGAGGGTTGCTTATATCGACAACATTCGTGGGTGAGGAGAAAAAGAAGAAGGAAGAAACTTTGGCCCAAGGTCGGGCGGGAGCTTCTATTTCAATGCCTGCGCACTTAACTCTGAGCAACAGCGAAGCCACCCAGCGCCCATACAAAAAATTCTGGAGCACATGGTCCCAGGAGGTACCTCCACACTGTACCTGCCGGGCTCGATTCGCCTTCTGACCCCTGCCTGCCCACCTTTGGCCTGGGGATACATGGCAAGGTACTTGTTCGGCTCAAGGCGGGCGGGCGTGTGGTGCGTGCATGCGTGCAGGCAGTACGAACTGTGCTGACACCCGCACTGTGCCCACCGTCAGTGAGGCTTTTCATCACATCCTCCTCAGAGCCAAGGCACGGCACGACTCGAGCAGACAAGTCATGTCCTGGGGGGCGAGACACAGTTAGCAGCGCCGGCGTGGAACTCACCAACACGGAGCGTACATTAAAGACCACCTAGCAGTCAATTGGCAGATTTTCAGGCCGTAAGTTTCTCTATCACGCCCAATTGGCGGGTGTAGGTTCACGGTGTTGTCCGCGAGGCTCTGCCGGCATAAACCTTTGTTTACACGACCTCGGGCGGTCAAAGTTCGACCCAGAGTGCCCTGCGAAAGCAACTCCATTGTGCCCGGGCGCACAGTGCCAGCAGCGTCGTGGGAAGGGCGACGGGGCAGCGACAGTATGAGCTACATTTCTGAAGGGTTTTGCGCAAGCACCACTGGGCCAGGAACATGCCTGAGACTCTCGCCAAGGTGCCTCCTGGAGCGTGTAAACAAGTCCCGTCATTGTCCTGGCCGGAGACAGCCCGGTCCAAAATCAGCGACCAGGGAGTCGCTCGCGCTCTGACGCTCGCTCTTTTTTTTTTTCCCTCGCGCGCTTTCGTTACCCTAGCTGCCGGGCCTATTAGTTAATTCCCTCTCGCGATCAGTCATGACTTTGCTAGCTAGGTACCTGGGTTCCTGGTCCAAGCTGGGGCTCTTGATGCACGTCGCCGCCAACAGCAGTGCACTCCAGGCCCACTTCCTAGTGCTATCTCCACTGGCCGTGCCCCTGCTCCACCCGAGAATTCGGCAGGCATTGCCCTCCATCAGCCAGTGTCACCGAGCCGACTTTCCCCCCCCCCAGCACCAGCAGCGGTGCGCGAGCGAGAGCGCGACTTTTCCAGCTCCCACACTGTGATTCTCGCTACTGTAGGCCCCAGGGCGCCCAGTGTGTATGAGAGCCAGCTTTTTGGCTGAGGCATTTTCGACGGGGCTTTTTTACGCATGGCCAGGATTGGCCCAATGACGACACCTCCTCACCTACAGTCATCCCCAACCCGGCAGTAGTGATGGGTTTCCTCAATGGATCGATCAATGTACTGTACCTGGTCCTAGCATGCAAGAGGCGAGGCAAGAAGAAAAAATTGCCCACCCCCATCACGGAAGAGGCGATCTAGCGAAGCGTCCGGAGCCGGTTCTACCGCGCCTTCGAAACCAAGGTCCCACGACACCTCCGCGGTGATGCACAACGTCTGAGAATTGCCCTGTGCGCCATTGGCTGCCCAGGCGACCATCCCATCCCATTGATGAATGCGAATGATGACTTTGCTCATTCGGCCATGTTGATCATGCACCCTCCACTGGCTCGCATCAGGACCACCGAATGCGAATCCCAGGCCCGACAGGGTCTAGCACAGTGGGATCCATATCATTAACTGGTGTCGGTTGTCACCACCTACACGCTACCAACAGATTGCAGTTGGAGAAGGGCGGCTGTTTTCTGAAGGCAGCCGGTACCCTACATGCTTGGATGAAATGTATGCTCGTCTGTTTGATTGTCCCGTGCAAAGGGCAGGGCGAGACCACGAGGCGTTAAGCAGGTCTTGTCTGAAAACAGCCATTAAGCTTGCTGCGAAGGTTGATACCTGTCCCAGACAACACAGAACTCAGCCGCCTTCGTGTGCCCGATTGTCTCAAGCGCCAATTGCTTCTTGCTACGACGCTCGCAGAGCTATGAATCATATGGGCCGATGCTTGTCTATATTTTGAGTCATCCCTGATTGCTTGGCTGACTGAGAAGGTTGTGCCGCGCAAGACCTCTAAGACGCTCATCATGGCTCACCCAATCCCTCACATATGTCGCGTGATTCCGTCAATATTCTATGCAACTAACACCAGAGGAAAAAGAAAGCAAACGGGGTCACAACTAGCAAGAGGCAGAATAGTAGATGCATGCAGCCAAAGGAATAGTAGAGCGCGGGATGCGGAGATCATACCTCGATCCGCCATGGGGCCATGTCAATTTGCGGGCAAGTAGGCACAGTAGCACAGTAGTACCCAGCATTCTCAGGTCAACTCCAACTTCTCATCACAGATCCCGGATCTCGTCCGAGTCGATGTGGAGGCTCCGGATGGTCGCGTCCTACGCCAACGGCGCAACTGGCCTAACCTATTGCACTTGGCTCTCCCTCTCCTGAAATCGAAATGAAACAATTTCAGAGAGGCAGCCGATGACGTGGTGGAGAGGCACAATGTTTCTGGTTAGATTCCAGACGTACGCCATTTCCCATCGCACAGCCGGTGCTTGACTCTTGCGCTGGCTGCGCACGGGAGTGAGCGAGTTGTGTCGCGACGTCGTGGACGGAATTCATCGGCATGGGATTCTCAACGGCAAATCGAAGGCCGATGTGAGCTTATCAATAGCGCTACAGGCCATTCCCGAGTTGGGAAATATCTCACTGTGCGAAACACGGTCCCGAGCTCGTGCCGGTACCAGCCTTTTCGGCCACCGCCCTTTTTAGTGCCCATTTCCCACTATGGAGCGCTGTAGCCCCTATCAGCTAGGCGGCTGACCGGCGGTGATCCCCCCGACTGCCATTTGAAGATTGAACATTGATGACCGCCACCTCAGAGACCTGTGCTCATCTCTGTAGGACTTACACGCAACTTAGTAAGGTGTCTGGAGGACAATGCAAAACTCTCATCACGAGGCAACCCCCATGTCTTCTCTGTATGCCCGGGTCGCCTTCACACCACCGGGAAAAACGATAATTGCCTCGCACGAAAGGAAACCGATACAGCTGTGATAAGGACGCAGTAAAGATTGAATGTCAGGGTCTTGCAGGTAGCCGCCCCGGCCCCCGACCCACGGCAAGGAGGACTCCAAGTCGTCCCCCCAGATCAAGTCACCCAATTGAGCTGGCTGATGAGGGGAGAGACTTGGCGGTTTGGCCAAGCGCATCGCAGGTAAATGCGACAGACAACCTTCATCCACGGCAGCCTAGTGTGGGGACCAGCTAGGCTGAAAGCTTCTGGAAGCCGGGTCCGGTTCGGTTGGGGGATTCTAGTCAACTGCCTTAACAATGGCAAAAAGGGGAGGCGAAAAAAAAAGTTTTACGTTTGCGCTGTCAGATCATTCGCTCTCGGTCGACAAAAGTATGGGACAATACGTCACCCACGGGCAGCGCGACTAGGCCAAGTCAATATTCTCAAACTCGAGTCGTGGGGAGAACATGGAAATCTACGCCAGGCACAGAAAGACCCTCGTGGGCATGGAGGTACTTGCAGGCCTCACCCCAAGGACTAGTTCCGGTTCTCCAAGCTGAAGGACAACCAGGTGGGCCATCCATCCACACAGTCTTCACGAAGCGCACACGCCTCCTCCAACTCGCACCCCCGAGAGCCAGTCCATTCCTGGTCCACCCGACGTCATCGCGATCCTCCCCCAGAACTGCGACTGGCCCTGGGCCAATTACCGCAGGCGGTCAGGTTCATCTCCGACCAGTCACAGGCCGCCAATTGGTATCTCTTGTCGGCCACGCCGTGGGGGTGGAGTGGATGGTGACGGTACCTTTCCTGGCCCAGAAGGGTCCAGAACTAAACAATTTTTTCTCGCCGGGAGCCAAACAAGTAGTCGCTGTTTCATCAACAAGAGGCTTTTTTGGGTTGCTCGAGCGCCGCCCTGCTTATCAGCCTGGCTTTGTTCGTTGGCGTCAGCCGGGTAATTGCGATGGATGCCATCTTTTTTATCGCGCAAAAACAGGCAGGCCCATGAAGATCAAAGTACCCTTCCAAGCAGCTAACCTGCTAGCCATGCATGGATATTCAATGGCAACAGCAATCGCAATGAATGGCAAATGGGCATGTGAGCCGTGGAGTTGCAAACCACCGGTCAACCACGTTTCTTTTCTTAGGTGAGCCTTTTTCTGGCTTGGCCCGTCTTTTGGCTTGGCCAGCCACCTTGACCGTATGGTTGGCCCGTCCTTTCTTTTTGCCTCCGCGGACACACACGGTAATAATTTAGTACATGCTCACGCTGGGGGAAAGACGCAATTGACGGGAGGCGCTGAGCGACTTTCTCTCAGGTCATCAAAGTTACTCCATACGCACTACCTACTCGCAGGTAGCTCCGAAACAAAATCGCGCCGAAACAACCGCCCCAGACACCTCCGTCGAGACCGCCTCGGCTTTCTCGAGTTTTTAATTACGCAGAACGAGAAATCTCCGTAGCGATATTTTCTGGATTTAGCTCTCGTGTCGCTCCAGTTCTATCTCTTGGTCGCCGGTACCCGTCGCGCGTCTCAGCCTGCCCCAAGCTCAATCTCCAATTCGATCGGCTTCGGCACCAGGCGCCCACACCAAGGGCCCTGCTGCCTCGGGAGAACATCTAGAGCAACTTGTCTACAGTGTCCACATGGACTGATCCCATTTGCAATTGAGGTTCCTTATGCATCGACATTGCAATAAGGTCCCAACATTCCCGAATCTTGCCGCCACATCCAGTACAGACGGTACCCAGATTTTATCTCCCGCCGATCTTCCCTCCACGCCATTTTGACCGACAGTGCCGGTCCGGCACCGTGGCAGGGCGCGCATTGGACGGAGGAGCGGCCTTTATGGTTGACACGACAACGACTCAGGATGCAACCAGAACAGATACTGGAGCATGCCGTTACACGTATTACGTACTCCGTAGAGGTTACACAAACTGCTAGTTTGACCCAACTGTACGTAAGAATTCCAATGCCATAATCAGCGCCAGGCGTCGATAGTGAAGGCCTCCATTACATGGCCAGTCCAATCGAAGCTGGTGCGACTCACTCTCACCTTGGAGGCCATCGACACGCTCGCTCCTATTGACCCAAACAAATAAACACGTAGGGCGCGCCGCCAGAACCGAGGGAGCAATTTAAAATTGAGGCCAACTTTTTTTGCGGGGACTGCTGAACATCCAATGATCCATTTGAAAGCCTCCTCCATCCAGACTGCGACGATGGACGAGGAAAGGGTCCTGACGGATCTGCTGGGGCCCTGTCGCCTCACTACTGTACCTGAAATGGAGCGTCACCTCTCATTTCGCCAGCGGCGCCAGTCGAGATTCAATGCAGCGAGGATCGTAGGCCCTGCCTGAATAGGAACCTCAACGTAGCAAAGCGCGCAAAGGCCCAGAGAGCTAAGGTAGGCGAATAATAATTTGGCGATGGGGGCATGAAGTTAACTGCCCACATCTTAGATTGCAGATCTACCTGGTACATACGGTACACAGAACCGTGAAAATCACTCGCCCACAATACGTACGTACGTAATATCGTTTGGGGAAATCATATTAGTCGTCTGCCTCTCGTGTTATCTGGCCACTTGACCACTCCCATGAGCAAATCATGGCCTGGAGATTACAAGTCCCGTCGCCGGATTACCCAATTGGCTCACTCACGCCGAGCGAAATGGCCCTGGTATTGATGGCCCCCAATCTCAGACAAGACCAGGGCCGTCAGTAGCCCGGATCCATCGCTCCATACTCTGTAGAGAAGACCGATTCATCCGGTGTGACAGCGAACAATGGAGCTTCCGTTGCCTTGCGCTTCCAGGGCTGGGGGCTCCATGAGCGTCGGCATTTCTTATGCCGCTCTTCTCGCGAGTCGCCTCTCGGTTGGAGCTGCTCGCTCCGAGATAACCAAAACCGCATCACGGCGGCGTCGGACCTTGAATTGGGCTTTTCCCGGCCGACAAGGCCCATTCCTCTACCTCGTGTATCTACATAGTAATGTCAGATGTCTCCAGCTAGTTTCTCATCGACATGCCCCCTTCTCCCTCTCCAAGTCGCAATGTCTCAGCTAGGTGATCCAGTCTGGGCCGAGCCATAGACAACGTGGGGAGCACGAGTACCATCTTGCACAAACATTCTACTTCCTCCGTTGATCTTTACCTGAAGCTCCGGCTCCGTGCAATGGCGACCTGTCTCAATGCAGCTGCTCGACGGTCTTTGCGGTCAAGCCCTTCCCACAGGCAGCAGCTTTCTCTCTCGCCTCACAGGTTGACAGGCTCAGACAGAGGGCCCTGGCCCGAGCAAGGACCATCGACGATTTGACGCCCGCCTCGGTCCGGTGGGGAACCCAAGGAAATGTCGCCTACAGATGTTGTGCATCCCCAATGCACAGACAGTCTCGGTCTGTGGGTAGCCTCGCTGGATGCCTCAATTGGAGAATCCAGTCTTTGGTGCGCCGAGGCAGGCACGAAACGCCCACAGCCTCGTTCCTCGTCAGCCAAAAAGAATTCGCTGTACCTAGGCTACAGCCGTCGTTGTTTCCCCGTCCGCGCACGCGAAGCACTGCACAAAACTATCCTGCACCGAAGAGGCGAAACAGAAGAAACATCATCCTTTTCGCCACGATCCCCAACTCGCATGTCACAGCTCCAAAGGACCCTGCACGTATCCGTACAGGGGAGGGTGACCTAACCGGCCCTTATTCTACCTGGCGGGCCCCTGGGCAGAGCAGAGAGCGAACCCGAGGCAACGAGAGTTGGAGGAAACGAGGCAGGGCCACCACCACCACCACACCCACACCAAACTAAACCAAACCAGTGCCTACGCAGCAATTGGAAAGCTGCGAAGTCACAAGGGCCCTCCTTCTCATCGCGAGGAATGCCGGCCGCAAGACCGGGAAAACCCCCCCACCCTCCATTGTGCCAGGCGGTTTCAAAAGGTCGCAATTCCGTCAGCGATTGGTCACACGGCTGGCCCGTTTGTTAGACAGGACTGCGTCTGCCGGCGTACCGCCCCAAACCCAAATTTTAACCTTGATTCAAGTGGTCGGCCGATTCGAGAAGGAGGGCAGTCGTGTCACATTCCCGCGCGCTCGATCATCGCACAGAGCGAGGCTGTTGGCGTGAGATGTGTCTTTGTTGGTGACTTCTGAATCTGAGATGGCCAAACCTGTGCGTAGATGTGTGAACACTTTTGTTGTCCCGCTTGGTTCTCCGACAAGAGGCACGGGAATGACGCTGCGAACTGGCTCGTTTCAAAGTACTGTTGCTACGGGAGACAACCCCAAAAGTCGGAGGCTGGGTTCCCCCAGGTTCTACGCATTCGTGTACGTAAACGCACCCTTTGTGCTACTCGACCCCGTTTCCTCACTCTCGAGGATGGGGGTCGCACTATGTGCCGCATCAAGGTCTCGTCTCATTTCGACTCCGCGTGGTTGACACATTGCCCATCGTAATAAGTAAACTCCCTTTGGTCCGTATCTGGGATGGGAAACAGGGTAGGTCTCGATTTCAAGGTTCAAGAGCCCAGCCATCCTTGCAAGCAGAAGGAAATTCCCCGAGGTGAGAGGGTTTCATGAGAGGGAAATGTGTCGCAACAGGGTAGGCTGGCGGTGGGAGATGTTGAGGCAATAAATCAAGAGACGTGCATGAAGTACCGATCTGCCTCGTGGTCTGGACCTCATGGAACCCATCCGCGAGCATGGGCGGTCTTCCCAACCAAATCCTGTGCGTGGGATGTGATGGGACTGGCAGGGGCTGGACAGCTCAATTGACGCTCCCACATGATGTGTCTCGACTTACTATGTCACGATTTAGTATCACACAGTTGTTGCATGGCATTTTAAGCTGGTGGAGTCAAGTTCATCGGGATTTAGTACTGGCTTCGATAAAGGTATTTCGAGTTTTGGTCACCACACGTCCATCTATCCTAGCTCTGTTGACGACATCTACATATTTCACTCTTCACCAATGCGATAGATTTCAATAGTCACATGGGTACGAAACAATTAATTTGCTCTGTAATAATAAGAAAAAGCTTCTGTCTCAGGCCGTGGCCGTAGCAATATGCATGCGCAGTTCAAGATCAAGTTCCCCTCCCTTGTATGCCCAGTGGATAGTACAGCCCAGTGTCCCGTCCAACTCCATGTAAAAGCACGCTCAAAACCCCAATGCAACTTAAAAAGAATCAACCCGAGAAAGCAGCCTTGTGTTCGTTTAAGCTGTGGTGCTGCGTGTAAAGGGAAAAAATAGCGATGATAGCGCGTGGCGTCCGTAAGCCACATAAGCAATGTGATCAGTCAACTCAGGCTTCAAGCCCACTTCCCACCATTAGAAGGGTCTGGGAAGGAGAAGCCTGCTGGGAAGTTTGGCATGCCGTTGGGCAAAGTGCCGATGCCGAATGGGAATCCTTGGATGGCAGGCTGGTTTTCGTCACCATTGGGTTCTGGTCTACGGTCACCGCCCTCCTGGCCGCGGCCTCTACCCCATCCATCGTCGCGATTACGAGTTGACTTGGGCCCGTTTGCGCCGCCCTTGTCGGTCTGCATACGCCGGCTGATCGCCTTGGAGGAGACACCGGCACCAATCTCAATGTCAGGCTCCTCAACAACAAGTCCAGTTGCAATCGGCCGGCCACCGCTGCCACCATGGGGGGCCGTCAACATCCATTTACGGTCGGCCTCCGTCAACCTGTTGATGGGAATGATGCTAATACCAGTTCCGTAGTCACTGCAGTCTCTGGGTCCAAAGCCCACACCCCATCGTGTCTAAATCTCCATGTTAGTATCTTGATCAGCAAGGCATGGGAACGTGATCGAAACATACTCGAAGAGGTATCTCTAGCCCTCGGTTGTCTTCTGAGCCCTCCTTGGCACTGATGGCATCCTTACGGGTCAACATTTTGACGAATGCATGACGCTTGTCCTTATTTACGATACAAGTCTGCACAGCGCCAAATCGGGTAAAAATATTGCGCAATTCGGCTTCGGAGCATCTATGCGTTGTTAATAACAAATCATCATCATGTGTAAAAACAAGGATATTGTTCACTTACGTTACTCCACCGACAAAAAGGGTTCGGCTTAGAACTTTGATTGTGCCCTGGGGGATATTGGGATCGTAGTCAGTCCACTTCTCCCCGTCAGGAGGTGTTTGGCCACGACGCCGAGGCGGGCTACGCGTTCGATAGTCGTTTCCTCTGCGATCCTCATCACGGCCTCGAGCAGGAGAGTTGCGGCCATAGTCCGTTCTATCACGTCCACTACGAGGTGACCCACGACCACCCCAGCCTCGATCGGGGGACCGAGATCGGGATCTACCATGATATCTGCCAGGAGACCTCACTCCTTCTTTATACCAGTCGCGGCCACCGTCTGGTTTTGGTGGCTGCGTCCCCCATGATGGTTGGCCAGAACCATACGTACCATTGGGAGCTGGGGCTGCACCTTGTTGGGCAGTGCCTGTCGCACCAGTGCCGGCAGCGCCTGGAGTCATGCTCTGGATCAACGCCGGGATCTTTTCAAACGGCACACCTTGATCAGCGAGGGCTTTGATCAGCAATATCTGCTGTTGGGTATTGGGATCTAAGGCCCCTCCCGCGGGCGCTGGGCCACCAGGAAACTGATTATTGGGCATATTCGGCGAAGCACCAGCCATGGACGAAGTCACCTGTGGGAGAGAAAATGGGAGAGAGGGGGGCAAGTTTACAGCAGGCTGCGAAGGGGGGTATGATGCTGGGTTTTGCATCTGTAGTGACGGTTGGGCCATCGTTGACGAAACAGGCTGTGGGAGCCCAGTGACCGGCGGTGGTACATTATACGACGCTGCCGGTGCGGGTAAGCTGGATGAACTTGGTGGAGCAGTAGTATTCTGGCGAGCAATATTTGCAAGAGCATCCAGGATAGATTGGCCGTTCTGGGCTGGGGCCGCGGGGGGGGCAGACACGGGCTTCTGAAGCGAAGCGAGCAGTCCAGCAGGAGGGCTTCCGGGAGGTGTAGTCGATACTTCTGCTATACGTTAATCAAACCACACGGTCGTATTTGGGGGGGGGATAATGGGCTAGTATTGCGGGAAACATACTTGAGTGTGGAGGAGCATTCAACTTCTCCTTGAAGGACTCTAACATAGAGATGGGGAAGGTTTGTCCCTTCTCCCAGATATCAAGCAGCTTTTTAATTTTCTCCTACAGATGACGCGTGTGAGTCTCTATTCATCAAGGGAAGTGGTAGCATCAGCAGGGAGCTGTCAATCTAAGATCAGTCCCAGAGTCACGAGAGTACGTTAGAACTCTTTGGCCAGACTCGGGCGGCTATTCAGGTCGATTGGCATCTCCACACGAGGGACGGAACGATACATGGGATGTGTAAGAAATCATGTCAAAGTGCCGAAGCGCGCATGCGTACCTTTTGCTCTTCAGGGGCGGTCTGAAGTATGTCATTCATCAGCACAGGCATCAGTTCCGTTACTCTGTTGACACCGGCCCCATATGTGCCGTCTGGCGCCGAACTGTTTACTGCTTGTCCTTGAGCCTTGGCTTGCTCGAGCCATTTGCGGGTTACGGAGTCTACAACGTAAAGAACCCCCAATTTGTGTGTTCCCGGTGCCTTTTTAAAATGTGTGAAAATCTTCTGGATGAGGACGGATTCGGACTGCAAGTCTTTGTTAGTACGTGTTATTATGAGGTCGTTGTTGGTGCTTCGGCACTTTGGCGCGGGCGGGACTAAAAACATGCCTGAATATTTGCCACACATAGAGTGGTCAAGCTGGTGATTCGAGATCCAGATACTCCGGGAGGCTTCAAGTTTAGCATGGCCTGGAGGCCGGCTTCTAAGTCTGCCACCGCGGATGCCATGGTTGAAAGTTATGCTATGTATGCCACTGGCCACGCCAGAGAGAGGTATACGGGGATCCGTGTATGGAAGTCCAAGTACAGGCAGGCACTGACTGATGTACGTTTTCGCTGCTAGGATATTCAAATGAAGCCTTCTCGGCGGTCACCTGCGATGGCCGAGCCACTATAGAATATGTGCGATTCTGTCTTTACACGTCCACGCGTCAAAAGTATCTTTTACAGTCGCCAAGAGGCCTGTACGAGCGCTAGATCGAATATATTCGATGTCGTTGATAGTTTTCAAGAGGTACGAAATGTGCCAAGGAAACCTAGCTGAGGCGTCGAGAGAAGAGTGTTTCTTTCTACGAATGCGTCACGCGCACACGTCACCGCGAGAAGAAATGCGCCAAGCACAAAGTGAGTAGCGGAGAGAGAGAAAATGAAAGAAATATAGGCGTGGTGCTTGGAGCGCGTATTAGCGAAGAGAGCAGTATCTGCCTCGTCAAGCACGAGGTTTCGCGCGTTGGATGGTGGTGGTTTGGTTGATGAAAGGATAAGAAATGAGGGTGGAAGGATGGCGCGAGGGAGGAATGATGTAGAAAGTGGTGCGAGCGCTGGAGGATGCCTGGAGGGAGGGATGGTACCCGACAAAGGCCCTACGTACCAAAAGCAACGAAATTTTCTTCGGTTGCCGAAGATCACCCGAGCTGCGACGTATTAGGTAAGCTTTCCAAACCACTTTTCCAAATTCGACTGAATCCTCACTCTTGGTCCTGGCACCAAGCTACCCTATTGTTATTTTCTCCGCAGTATCAAAACCATGCATGCTTTCAGCAGGGTCTCAAAGGATTTTATATAATATTGCATATGCGGAGTCCTGCACTGCGCCGCGTCTTTTTCTCTGTTTTCTTTTAGCCGCCTAGTTCTTGCAGGGTACCCACGGGGCAACTGCCCGATTTGAGAAACCCTACAGCGCTTGGCTACAACACAAGAATTTCCATCAAATCTGCATCGGATACATACCCTAGAGTCGATTGCATAACCGAAAGGTATCCGCGGCTATGGGGTACCAATATCTCCCCGCAACTTGCCTCTTAGGGCAGGTGATGCAGTCATATATTTGGGGAACATATCGTAGAGAACAAGAGTTATTTTTCAGTTGGAGACGCAAGAGTTCCGTATGATCCGGCTCCTGTCCAACTAGGTGACCCCCAAGGGCAGGATTTGGGAGGGTTGCAATTATGTACAGGGTTGGTGACACAAAACAGCTTGGATGATGCAATGGCGCTCAACAAAGCACAGCGCTTCCGGACATGGAGTAGGTACAGGAACCCCAAATATGCAGGGAGCTCAGCACAAACCCCAGAGTCCCGGCCCTGGCGATGCCATGTGGGAGGGGGACATTTGGAGAAGCAGAGGACAGGTTGCGGGATATTCGGAGTTGCATTGCAGCGCAGTGCCTCGTTGGATTTGCTGACTATGGAGACAACTTGTCGCGTGTACTTGCCTGGGAATAGGGGCGACCCCAAGCTGATGCAGGCTGCGAGCTTGTTGAATGGATTGAGGGCATCTTGGGGTGCCAAAATCGCACTAACTCGTAACGGCTACAGCAGGTCCCTACTACCTGTACGTACTACGTAATTAAGGTGGCAGGTAGTTGGCTGGCTTCGGTTTGACAGGTCCCGACGCACGCACAGACTAGGTAGGTATATTTCCAGCTAAGCCTGCGTCTTTTTCTTTTTTATCCTTTCGCCCGCCCATTTCTTCAGCTGTCCTCCCCCTCGTCATCCTCTTCCACCTCTACAGACTGTATCCAGCGAAAATGGCTTCCGTCGCCCGTCTTAGCAACTCTGCCCTCCGGGCCTCTCTTCGAAACCCTGCCTTCGGTGGCCGGGTTTCTGCCTTCAATGCCGCTCGATGCTATTCCGCTAAGGCACAGGTATGGAACGGCTCAATAGCTTCCCAAGCGGCCATGACGCAAATTGGTCCATCGTGGAACCCTCACACTAACTCAATTGCCTTCGTAGACCCTGAAAGAGCGTTTCGCCGAGACTCTCCCTGAGAAGATCGAGCAGATCAAGGCTCTGCGAAAGTTAGTCGCATTCTCTCCCACCTCGTCGCCGCCACGTCACATATTTAATTTTTTTTGAGGGCGGCCAAGCTGACCGGTCTTACACTACAGAGAGCATGGCTCCAAGGTCGTCGACAAGGTGACCCTCGACCAGGTCTACGGTGGTGCCCGTGGTATCAAGGCCCTCGTCTGGGAGGGTTCCGTCCTCGACTCTGAGGAGGGTATCCGTTTCCGTGGAAAGACGATCCCCGAGTGCCAGGAGCTGCTCCCCAAGGCCCCTGGTGGCAAGGAGCCCCTTCCCGAGGGTCTCTTCTGGCTTCTCCTGACCGGTGAGGTCCCTACCGAGCAGCAGGTCCGCGACCTCTCAGCCGAGTGGGCCGCTCGTTCCGACATCCCCAAGTTTGTCGAGGAGCTCATCGACCACTGCCCTACCGATCTCCACCCCATGGCCCAGTTCTCTCTGGCCGTCACCGCTCTCGAGCACACCTCCTCCTTCGCCAAGGCCTACGCCAAGGGTATCAACAAGAAGGAGTACTGGAGCTACACCTACGAGGATTCCATGGACCTCATTGCCAAGCTCCCCAACATTGCTTCCCGCATCTACCAGAATGTTTTCAAGGGCGGCAAGGTTGCTCCCATCCAGAAGGACAAGGATTACTCCTTCAACTTCGCCAACCAGCTCGGCTTCGGTGACAACGCTGATTTCGTTGAGCTGATGCGTCTGTACCTGACCATCCACACCGACCACGAGGGTGGCAACGTTTCTGCCCACACTACCCACCTTGTTGGTAGTGCCCTGAGCTCCCCCTTCCTCTCCCTGGCCGCTGGTCTCAACGGTCTGGCTGGTCCCCTCCACGGTCTTGCCAACCAGGAGGTCCTGAACTGGCTCACCGAGATGAAGAAGGCTGTTGGTGATGACCTTAGTGACAAGGCTATCACCGATTACCTGTGGTCCACCCTCAACGCTGGCCGTGTCGTTCCTGGCTACGGTCACGCCGTTCTCCGCAAGACTGACCCCCGTTACTCCGCCCAGCGCGAGTTTGCTCAGAGTAAGTCGTGCCTGGAATTGATAATAGAAGCGCAGTAAACTAATATAATTTTTACAGAGCACCTTCCCGAGGACCCCATGTTCAAGCTCGTCAGCCAGGTCTACAAGATTGCTCCTGGTGTCCTGACTGAGCACGGCAAGACCAAGAACCCCTTCCCCAACGTCGATGCCCACTCCGGTGTTCTCCTCCAGCACTACGGTCTCACTGAGGCTAACTACTACACCGTCCTCTTCGGTGTTTCCCGCGCCATTGGTGTCCTGCCCCAGCTCATCATCGACCGCGCCTTCGGTGCCCCCATTGAGCGCCCCAAGTCTTTCTCCACCGAGAAGTGGATCGAGATTGTCAAGAAGCTGTAAGCAGCCATTATTACGAAACAAAAAAGGAAAACACACCAGGCTGTGTGGAAGAGGGGGTAAGCACTCCGGCGCTAAATTCAAATCAAGAGACGAAGGTGCATGCGTGGCAGCCACGTTGTAGAGATACCGGGCAGGTCATTGCATCAGATACCAGGGCTTGTAAAATCATTAGTTGTACATGAGATTTCTGTTACCCTCTTAATAAGGAGTATGACCCTGTTGACGGTCAAAAATTTTATGCAAGCTGTCCCTAATTTTGAAAATTGCGGTTGTCCAGTCCGATACCGGACCAAGGAACTATACGCATTTGCAGGGCCTGGCGCGAATTTTGCATAAAGGAGTGTCCTACTGGCTGGCATGTGAATCGTGAATCCCCTTGAACAGCTCCACACAAGCGGGCCTTCAAATGGCGATTTCTCAAAAACAGGATCCAGTCAGGATCGCAACATTGGTTGAATTGTTGGACAGGAATTTGAGCCGGGTTTGAATTGAATGCAGCCCTGCTTCCAAATATAGTAATTTATCTTTGACAAGTCTCTCGCAGGACTTACCGCGCCTTGATGCTTCAAGCCCCCCATCAGCTTAGATGAGCTCAACGCCTGGAGCATATCGCAGTCAGTTTCGGATCTGGGTACCTTGAAGGAATAGTTATGGATAATGATTATAGCTGAAGTCCGGTAGATATTTTTTTTTGAGGAGGTTGTTCATTTCAGAGTGACTTGATTGCCATTGCGCTCCGGTAAACAATGATATCTGGCCCTGGAGGGAATAGGAATGTAGACTTATAAGAGATTTAAGACAGGTGCAGTGCATGTTATTTATACATATCTACTAAAAGGGCTATCCAGTATTGTATCATGATTAAGCCTGTGACTTAGAGAGACAGCCTATGAATGAGACTGGAGATGATTTCGAGGACTGGGCGGCGTACTGGCTTGGTAACCGACATTGGATTCGACACTTGATGTTCTATACGGCCTATTCTTGAGTCCGTGAACGATATTATCGGATTTTTAAAGCTAATAATGAATAAAGAAGGGGTAACACGTTAAACATTACATTTTATATCGTTCCATAGTACTTTTGCTTTTCTTCATGTTGCTATCCTAGAAAGTGGTCTTTTGTAGCCACTCATCAATCTTAGTAGTATCTCATATCTCTTTTCACCCATTTGCTTAGGTACTCCTACAGTGGGAAGAAGGTCGCACGGGGGCTAGTAGAACCCCTCAGTGGAGCAATGGTTAACAAGACGCTGGGAATTGGCCAGAAACACCGCTTAGCATCGCTTATAGAAAAGGAGGGTATTGAGATGGGTTGACCTGGGACTTGATACGGTGAGCTTTCAATAATCTATACATAGACACAAAGCTCCAGGAGGCGCTCCTGTTCCTAGGTGTTAATGGACTGGCGGTCAGGTTAACCCCAAAGAGCAAGGGGCTGATCAAGGCAGACAAAGCACCGCCGAAACTAGCAATTTTGTTGTGCAAGATTCGGGATAACTTGTGTAACCATGAGCTCGTGTTAGCTACTAGGTGCCTGAATAAGTCATGCATAAGCGGTCGGTCAATATTCTTTCCCTGATGGCAAATAAGGAGTCAAGCCTTCGGTATCTCTGCAATTGAGCTCAGGGGTGCCAGTTCCGGTGCGACGCTGAAAGATTCTGATGCGCAAATCTTGCAGATGAGATATGCAACGGCAAATGATCCGTCTCAACGCAGCTCAACATGGAAAAGTGTTGAGGTCGCTGGTGAGTGCCCCAATGAATTGGGCTGCCCTAGCCACAGGTAGCTGTTAGCCCCTCGGAGTGGCCAGCAGCACCTAGAACGGAGGGGAATCAGCTTAGTGAGGCGTCGCTACGGCTGACTATCCGAGCCACAGCTCCCTGCCAAGCTCCTATTGACCTGTATCCATCCACAGATATTGATCGCTGTTTGCATTCGTATTTTCCATCGTCTCCTTTTTCCTCTACCCATCATCCCAGACATTTGTCCACTACTTGCTGCCATCAATCATCGACTCGCCGGCAAGAAGCCCTGATTCCATCAGAAACCTCCTTTGATACATCAATCAAAGAGCTCGGTAGGTAGCTGCCCCATTGTTTCTGCTCCCCACGTTCCCACTGCACATGCAAAGACAGCTGTGATCCAGGAGCCGGGAGATCACGGGCACCCTGCTCCCGCAGCCTCGGCCAACGGTAGCCCGACATCATAAGTCACGATCCAGCCAGTCAATCCCATCTCGCGGAGTCATCCACCCTCGCGGATTCATCCATCCTCGGCCATCCGTTACTGCCTTACTCAGCAACGCTGCAGTGCAACCAATCAGCTGCTAACTCTGCCACAGCTCGACTACACCACAGCGCATTTATTCTCTCCGCGAAGAAGCACCCTCTTCCCTTGGTCAGGGCCCCCCTTTAGCAGCCGAAACCTATCGCCATGGTCGCATCCGCCAATCTCGCTGGCCCCTCTGGGGAAAAGAAGCTGGAGAAGAAGCCCATCAAGTTCTCCAACTTGCTTCTGGGTGCCAGTCTTAACATGTTCGAGGTGACCACGCTCGGGCAGCCTCTCGAGGTCGTCAAGACCACAATGGCCGCCCACCGTGGTGATGGCTTCGCTACTGCCTTGGGACGTGTCTGGTCCCGAGGTGGTGTTCTTGGCTGTAAGATTCCCTCCCCCTACCCCGCTGCATCATGCAGCCCCCCCTTAAAATCCCCATCGCCAGCACGATAGCTAACTTTTGACTCTTTCCCCCTCCCATAGTCTATCAAGGTCTAATCCCCTGGGCCTGGATCGAAGCCTCCACCAAGGGTGCCGTTCTCCTTTTCGTCGCTTCCGAGGCCGAATACTACGCCCGCAGCTTCGGTGCCAATGAGTTCGGTGGTGGCATCATCGGTGGTATCACCGGTGGTGTCGCACAGGCCTACGCTACCATGGGTTTCTGCACCTGCATGAAGACGGTCGAGATCACCAAGCACAAGATGGCCGCTTCGGGTGTCGCGCCCCAGTCCACCTTTGCGACCTTTATGGACATCTACCGCAAGGAGGGTATCCGCGGTATCAACAAGGGCGTCAACGCCGTCGCCATTCGCCAGATGACCAACTGGGGCTCTCGTTTCGGTCTCAGCCGTCTCGCTGAGGGCTGGATCCGCAGCGCCACTGGCAAGAAAGACGGCGAGAAGCTCGGTGCTTGGGAGAAGATTCTTGCTAGCAGTCTCGGTGGTGGTCTCAGCGCTTGGAACCAGCCTATTGAGGTCATCCGCGTCGAGATGCAGAGCAAGAAGGAGGACCCTAACCGTCCCAAGAAGATGACTGTCGGCAACACCTTCAGGTACATCTACGACAACAACGGCGTCCGCGGTCTCTACCGTGGCGTTGCCCCTCGCATTGGTCTTGGCGTCTGGCAGACCGTGTGCATGGTGGCCTTGGGTGACATGTATGGAATCCCCCGCACTCATTACAAATTGGAAATTGACTAACATTTATCCTACAGGGCCAAGACCTATGTCGAAAAGCTGACCGGTGACAAGGTCACTGCTAAGCATTAAGCGGCGTTCTGGGGATTTTGCTCTTATGGGAGGGAACTTGGATCTAGGATCGGTACAAAGCGGCGACGGCGTGGTGGCACAATTTCCCACGGCGTATGCAAAACCTACGTTGTGACCTGGCTTGTTCTTTTCTTCTCCTGCCACGGCAATGACTTGTGTGTCCTGGGGTATTTATTATGTTGTAGAGCCACACTGGGGGTCTGTCGCTGTCATGTTTTTACAAGGTACTATTGGTATAGAATGGAGGTTTACCCCAGCTCGGATATCATGCAGCAAGCATGATAGTACTACCAATAACTGTGATGTGTGATGACATCCCGATCCTCCTGGCAAGGAGCCTACCCTATATGTCCCGTCTCGGTCTTTGTAAGTATTTAAGAAGGGCTGGACGGACAAGGAAGCTTTCATACAATCAGAGTTTTGAAGTGCGTTTGCTAATCCCGTGCCGCTTTAGCAATAGGTTGGAGTTCAATATTCACATCACCAAGCTACGAGCTCTCTCACTTACACTGTTCTCCACCACGAGCTAGCAGTATTTCCTATTCCGACCACATTATCTTGTGGCTACCTAGTAAGCAGGGTCGTACATAACTAGCTAAACCCGAGACAGGAATACATTAGGACAAGGTAAGATCGAGTCTAGAATGCTCGGTCTCACTTGTTATCTACGTCAACCTATGCCTACCTTAGGTAATTCCTGCAGCGGGCATGTCTCTCCGAGCACTGGCAATTGATAACACGCCCTCTCGGTATCCTGTTTCTGGAGAAGCCCACTGTGAGAAATACCGCCGTGTCTCACAAGAAGCTGCAGGGTAGCATTCCGGCTCTGCATAAGACGGGTAGAAAGGTGTTAGGTGGTACATGTACTAAACGCTTTCTTTGATATGACCGAGAGACGATAGGTGCAGGGGGTGCCCCTCGTGGTGTTTGGCATATCGGGATCCGTGTTTGGTCATCGGCCGCTGAGAAGAAGTCCACTAACGACCTGAGTACAGAGTGCCTGGGCCAAGACATTACCTCGCTGTACCATCAGCTATTACGGGCAACATTTCACTCTCCACAAATAATCGCAGTAGTGCCTCTAAACGCACTCCAATCGCCATTAGTCATATACTGACATAGAGCTAGACGTTTGATTATAGCATACCTATAACTTAAACCTTCCATATAGCTGTTCTTAATGCTACACCTTTCCCTATAATAGTTACCTAGCAGAGATAGCAAGACTAATCACATATCTTATGTATGGATAGTTGTATATATTTGAAGTTTATTAAATTTACTTAGTGTTTTGGTCTATGCTTCATTAACTATTCGTCATCTGATTGGTATATAAATCCATAATCTGGTTCTAGTACAGCGCCGGCATTACGTAGCTCGTCAATATCAGCCTGGGCCAGCGAACCAAGAGGATCGAGAGATAGATTAACCCTGTGGGTGGTATGGAGGGCTTCACTAGCAGTGATGGGCTCCTGAAGGCGCGGGCGAGACCTGCGCCTCATGCCGCGGTCCCATCTTAAACTTTCCTGCTGCTGTCTAGCGTACGAGGTTAGGAGTGGGCGGTTGGGGTCCTGATCCTCATGGGCCTCCGTCAGGAACAAGCCCGTGTCTTGGTAATTAGGGCCCTGCGAGGCTCCTATAGTTGGGTCGCCGCTTAGTACGAGTTGCCCACTATTGAGGAAATGCTGAGCGGTGGTAATTCCCAGCTGAGTGTCGTCGTCTTCTTTAACACCTTCTTCGAGCTCGTCTGATGGCAAGACATGCTCCTGTACTGGTGGTGGCGGTTCTGGGTGGGATATAAACATCATGGGGCGTCGAACCTTGGTATTCCTACCAGGAAGAGTGGTATAATGAGCCTCAGGGGCATCGGTTTCATCACGTGAGAACAAATACAAACGACCACTGGCGTCTCCGATTGCCAGCTTGGACATATCGGGTGAGAATGCTCCACTTGCTATAGGTCCCGGGGCTTCAAGAAGGGTTCGCACATACGGCTGGTTGCGGTTGCGAATATTCCAAACTCTCACCACGCCGTCACTCGCACCGGTATAGAACCGATCTGCGGTGGTCCCCCAAGCGGTAAACTTCACGCCGGTATCGAGTGTTTCAATGAACTCCTGCTCGAACCCTTCCAAGGACACGCCGTGCTTAAGGACGTGGATCGGGTCGTCGGATTGCGCCGTATCCCATACATATACTTTTCCGTCGGTGCATGCGGCTGTGACGTAGGCGTGTAACAGGCTGTTTGGCATGATCGTAAGCTCGTTAATGTCCGAAGCGGGGCAATCAAGCGACTGATACTCTGAGTAAACGACCTCTTCCTTGTCCCTATCTCTCTGAAATAGATGAATCTGTGTACGGGTTTTAGGCTCAGTAGCAAGACCACATGGAGAGGTAGCAGCTATAAACCTCTGCAGAGTGGGGTGCCACGCGACTTCGAACACGTTGGCTGTGCTGGCCGACATCACTGGCAGACGCCATCCTGCTTTCGCATCCCAGAGCATGATTTCGCCAGTGTTCATCTTGTCTTCTGGGATTTCGGAGTCATCGCCTGTTACGCTCCTGGGAGAATACCCAACCCCGAGCAGATGCTTGACCTTATCAGCTATCCCCCATTGCATCGTTGCTGGGTAATATGCCCACTTCGTATTATCCCCGGCATCTTCTCGGGAGCAAGAGAACGACTGGTAAAGGCTCTGGTCAATGTTGTCTGGATTGACGGTATACACGCGAACAGCGTGAGACGGAACGTCTGCAGCCGTGGCTACCCGGCCTGAGCCATCCTTGGCCGCGGCGACAAAGTTCACGTTTCCTTCATGGTGCCAGGTAGCAATACACTCCATATGGTTCCCCTCTGCATCGGTGCTCCATACCTTGACTGTATTGTCAAAGCTCGAGGTGTATGCTCTTCGATGGATCGGGTCAAAATCTGAGGATACTACAGAGCAATATAGCCAGGGATCTTGGCTTCGTCTCATTTCTCGGGTTGAATTCTGTCCTTCCTTGATAAGGGGCCGAGGGATCCGGTGATCGGGAAACGCACGTAGGGTTCCCTTCCCAACGGAGCAGATCAAAAGATTTCCCGGCTTGTTGTATTGCTGGTTGTGGGGATCGGAGTGGACGGTTGTACCACATATCAACCCCCCATCAGAAACCCACGATATCGTAGTGATGTCGCCTGCACAGTTGGTGAATTCAGCAATCTGATCAAACTCGTCCTCTATTAAGATTTTGGCCTCGTTTTGGAAGTTCATATATGTTCGGGTCCGTCCAAATCCCATGTCACCCTCAAGCTCACGAGCGAAGAGTAAAGAAGCCATCTTGCTCAGCCGCTGGGAGGATGGCTGCTGTCTAGGTTTCTCACTTTGTTTCTGTGCAGTCGAAAGCAATTGAGGGACTACTGAGGTCTTTCCAGCAATTATGTCGGAGCAAAAGTTGCGAATGTCTTCATTCGTCCGGCCGGGAAGTCCCTCTTTGAGCAAATTGAGGATTGGACATTCTTCTCCTAAGAGTATTTCTAATGATTTTAGCGTGGGGGGAAGTGGTGTATGTAAGATGGAGTTGACAGATTTGATGATGAGTGCGATCTCATCAGGGCTGAAATCAACATGGTAGACGATTGGTTCGTCCACAGGTGTATCAAGTGACTGGCCGCTTGAGATACCTCTTTGTATCAGTTCTCTCTCGCCTGCGGTTCGGTACGGTCGATCTTTGATTTGGAACCATAAGTTATCGGATGGTTTTGGGGCTGAAGAAGTACTTTGATTGCTTCTTTCTAACGGTTTGAATTCGTGCCGCTCCCTTCTTTGAAATCGGTGCGCAGACGGCCGGCTTGTGGCAGTGACTGGTTGGTTGGTTACAGGCGTGGCCTCTTTCGGGGGGCTTTCTGCATGAGCTGTAGGCAATAGTCTTTCGGTATTGAGCAAAGAACTCGGAGGAGGGACCTGGTATCTCTATTGGGGAGCTCCGTTGTCAATATCCTAGCCTCAAAACTTCGGTAACTTATGATGTTTCTGAGGCATACCAACTCGCGACATAGCTTCTGGACGAGCAGCGAAGCCTGCTGCGCCAGCTCCGCCTCATCTTCGTAAGCGAGATACCCTCTAGTCTCGTCTAATCGTCGTCGAAAAAGAGCACTCTTGGCTATGGTGATGATAATCTGATCTCGTGGTCAGCCTCTCATCATTGAGTCGCGTTGCCTGGGAAACGGGATGGAAAGCACCTGCTGCGCGATGTCGTTGACCTTGTACTGGGACGCATCTAGCTTCTGGATGGATAGGCTGACGTGTGGCAAGACCTGTTCTTTTAAACACAGCTTCAGATCTCTGGTTGGAAGCTGACCAGTGTCGACGCGTTGCCGCTTCAGAGGCGGTTCCGCACGCGCCTGGTCCGCCCGCTTGGTGGATGCAGGAACGGGGGGTGGTGTGGGAGGAGGGGTCGAATCTTCGGTCAAATCGATTATGGTAGTGGAAATCGGAAATGTAAGCGTCTTGCTCATCATAAACCTCTTTGCGGACTACCATGAAGCGAAATAAACCCAGGAAAGCGATTTAAGTCGGCGTGTGAAACGTGCATCTTTAACGCTTCATGGTTTGTAGTTACTCAGCCAGCAGTAAAGCGTTATCGATGTAACACTGGCGAAATAAAGCTCTAAAAGTGGACCGGAATAAAGATTCTCCGATATTTTACTGTTTATATTAAAATATAGCCTTCTAGCTAAATATTAGATAATATATAGTTGAATAATATAAATAAGAGAACTATTAAAGAATAAATAAAATAAAAGCTATAAATTTAATTATTAATATAGTTATTGCTTATTTAAGTACTTGAAAACAATTAAAAATATCTCTATATATAATCTCAACATATATAAACTTCGAGATATTTGAAGCCCGGAGAGTATCTCATTTCATCACAGGAAATGCTTGCTTTGGCTTGAACAACGGAGGCGGATGACATCATTTCATGTCACGGCGTTCGAACATCTTGGGCGACGTTGATGTTGGGTGTTGTCATAGGCGAGTGAGAGTGAGCCCGGGTCAATTCGTACCGACCTACCTACCTACACCTACGTACTTTAGATAAAACTTCTAAGGTTATTCAAAAACTTTAGACATTAGCTCTCTGAGTCCGAGAGAAGCCCGGAGATTTTCTTCTCTAAACATGGACCTGTTAAGTAATATGAAATTATTGTCCATGGGCCAGCTAGGCCTAGATACAAATCGATAGTCTAAGATGTTCGATATATATTTATATAGAGAAAATATGGAGTCCGCTATAGCAGTGATAAAGATAATTTACAAGTATTTCTTGGTTGTTATATTGCCACGTGGAAACTAAGCCTTTTGCAAGGCCGTCCAATTAAAGAGGCGGATGTCAGGGGCTGACCGTGACTGTGAGACCAATTACAGCTTACTCTTGATGGGCTCAACAGTAGCGGCAATTTCCTCGTACATCTCGTTAATATCCTTCTCGAAAGCCTTTGCGGCCTGGGGACGCTTAAGCTTCAATCTAAGGGCTGTATTAGTAACATGATCCGAAACGCTATACTTTCAAGTGGTACTCCAATTGAAGGAGGGCAGTACTTACGTTGGTGTCAGAAGGCCGTTATCGATAGAAAAGGGTTCCACATCCAGGCGCAGGTTTTTGACGCGCTCGAAGCCATTGAACTTGGCCTTTCGGGCAATATCATCTAAAACCTTGAGGAATGCCTTCCTGACCTTGGGGTTGCAAGCTGCTGCCTTGAGCGCCGCAAGGTCGTCGTGGGTGAGAGTCTCCTCCAGAACCTTGCTAGCCCAGGCAGCGAAAGTCTCAGGGTCGACACCAAAGATGGCCACCAGGGCGGACTCCTTGGAGGTACCGTGGACAAAAGCGCTGTTCACAATGCCGGTGTTTCCGAGGAAGACGTTCTCGATACGCTCTGGAGAGACGTACTCGCCGTGAGAGAGCTTGAGAACGTTCTTCTTGCGGTCGATGATCTTGACACGGCCCAGGCTGTCAATCTCGACAATGTCACCGGTGTGGAACCAACCATCGGGCTCGAGAGCCTTCTGGGTCTCTTCGGGGTTCTTGTAGTACTCCTTGAAGATGGTAGGCCCGCGAAGCAGAAGCTCTCCTCGGGGGTTGGGCTTGTCGTGCACAGTGTATTCAAATTCAGGCACCGACTCGAGGCAGATCTCCGTGCAAGGCATTGGGGGCCCAATGTTGCCGGTGCTGTAGTCGTTGGTGTGTTGGACGAGGCCGACCGCGTGACTCTCTGTAAGACCGTAGCCTTGGTAGAAACGGATGCCAGTTGCGGCCCCCAAGAACTCCTGGACATCGGGGTCAAGCTGAGCGCTACCACTAACCATGCTGTGAACACGGTCCAGACCAATAGCCGCCTTGACCTTGGGGGTCCAAATTCTGTCATAGAGGAAGTGAGAGGCATGGCCCTTGCCATTTGGCAGCTTCATGCTAGCCTTCTTGGTGTCAACGACCCTGCGCGAGAGAGAACCCCGGAAACCTTCCGCCTCCACTGTTGCAGCTCGGATAGCAGAGTTGAACCTGTTGTACAGTCGAGGAACCGACTGGAAACTGGTGGGCTTAAAGAGCTTGAGATCATCCACCAAGCCCAACATGTCACCGTGGAAGAAGCCCATCGAAGCCGACTCAGCGAGTGCCAAGTTGTCCATAAGTCGACCGAAGATATGCGCAAGCGGTAGGTACGAGAAGTGGCTGTCCTTGTGGGTAACAGCGCCCATGCATCGGGCGCCGGCCACGCCAGCCACAGCGTTCCCGTGGGTCAGAACAACACCCTTGGGGTTACCGGTAGTACCGGATGTGTAGTTGATAGTGCAAATATCATCCCGAACCGGAGGGCGTGCTGGAAGTCCTGACCTCAAGCCAATCTCCTCTACCTCGGCCATGGAGTAGATCTTGATGCCGTGCTCGGCCGCCAGCTCGTTGAGAATGGCAGCCTTGGAGTGTCCGGCCATCTCGCCCTCATTGAGCGAATCAATGGACACGATAAGCTTCAGCGTTGGCAGTCGGGGCGCAAGCTTCAGGAGGGTAGGGATGTGAGGCAGCGAGCAGACAATGCAGGCAAGCTCGGCATGGTTGACGATGTACTCGCTCGCATTGGGTCCCAAGGTTTCGTAAAGGGATACGGAGAAAAGAGACTGAGAAGTCAAGCCAAGGTCTAAAAAGTGGTAGAAAGATTGGTTAGTTCATTAGCCGGCGCTTGCTAGAATATACGAGCAGTAGAGTTTGCGCACTTACCAGCAATGTGCCATTCAGGTCGGTTCTGCGACCAGATACCAACGGGGTATTTGTCCTTTCCGTGGTTGATGGCATTGTGAATCTCGACAATTCCAGCCCCAAAGTTCTTCCTGCGCTCACCAACCTGGCCGAAGGAGAGCCAGTCAAACTTTTCCTCCCACGAGCTGGTCGCCGGAAGCCAGTTACGCTTGCCCAGGCAGCGCTTGTTGGGATACTTGCGGAGGGAGTTCTCGAAAAGATCGTACAGCGTCTGGTGCTCGGGGTCGAGGGTTGAGAGGAGTGGCTTATCGCGGAATTGAAAATGGCGATAAACGGCAGATCGATTGGGACGCTCGGACCCAGGGATGGGCACTCCGTAAGGGGAGCCTGGAGGAGGAGGCTGGCTGAGCTCCTTGACGAGCGCTACCGTGTCTTTTGGCGACATATCGAAGGGCGAGGGTCGTGTGTGAGGGAGATGGAGGCCTGGCGCAGACAGTCCGTTGAGGTGACGAGACTAGGTTTTCGGTAGGAGGCGCGAGAGAGCCACGGCGGAGCTGGGGACCAGGAACAAAGACGAGATAACCCCCTTTTCTCTGTATCTAACGACAGACGAGGTAGACTGTGTGAGTTCTCCTGGTACAGCTAAAACAAAACAAGCAGTGGGAGGGAGAGGATGGCGAGAGTGAAGGAGGGAGATTGGAGCGCTGGGAGAATCCTACGTAGGGGCAAGGATGGATGCAGCCAAGTCGATATTAAGAGTGGAAAGCCAGCGACAGAACCTACCTTAAACCTACTAACAACGGAGCTTGGATGGGGACGAGCAGCCAGGGCCTCGGCCCCTAGGAGGCTTGTTAGGCCCAGCTGGCCCAGATGCCTCGGCAGCCCCAGATTTTTGAGGCTATGGCTAGCGTCGACTAGGTCGCGTTGAGGGAGCCACCTGGCGGCAGTTGCAGTTGCAGCGCTGCCAACGAGGCTCTTGTGCTATGGAGGAGCGCCGTAGGGGCCGTAGCGGACGGAGTTTGGGGACTGATGGGACCACCACATGCTGAGGACCTGATTCGCCTGCATTCCTGTCGCACGCACCCGGGAAAGCCGCAGGAGCCCGCAGGCCAGCGGTTGGAGCTGGGGTCCTGGCGTCTGGGCAGAGAGGATCCGAGCTTATCTCTGCTTATCCCGCGTACCTACCTGACGCAGCAGCAGAGCGCGACCGAGGAACCACAGCGCGGCTTCTGTGTGTGGGTGGCATTGTAGGACTGCCACGCGAGCACATGCGCGTGCTTCTGTTCTGGCCCGTCGCACACAGATTTCGACGGCGTGTGCCATCTGACATTTGGTCTGATAAGCACCTAAATTTCCACAATGGTCACAGATGGATCTAAACGGGGTTTTGCGGGGGACTGGGCGATTGCCGTGCCCGTAATGCGTGCGCTTGTTCATTCGGCTATCCACCAGCCAAGGGCTTAGCAGGTCATCCCCACGGGCATGTGAAAATACTCTCTCAATTCTCCAAGCTTTCAACCCCAGCTTAAGCGTATGCCTTCACGACACTTTCTTGAGGTCCTGGGAAGGACAACGGGCGCCCACTCTTGGGGAAATTGTCTCCGCAGGTCTTTGCTCAGCTCTGGACAAACACGATAAATGCGATTGGTATTCACCCTTAGCCAGAGCCTGCAATGCTTGCTTTTGGCTCACCCTCCTTGGTACTAGCCCATCAGCTGTGGCGCACAGATGATCTGCACGAGTGGTTGCTGGGCTGAGTGATTTTCATACTGGAGGGCTTTTGATTGGGTTGGCTGCAACACAGAATGAACCTGTTGTGTTGATATCTCCCGAGATACTGCCATCGCATTGTCCCGTTTCCAACACGGACAGAACGGAGAATCACCTATCCACAGTATAATTGACTCGGGAGCTTCGGTAGGTGGGGACGGAGATTCGATGCCATAAGCGATTTGCTGCAACAATGTGTCGTCCCATGGGGAAAGCTGGGTGGGCTGACATCTCCTGCTGATGGCAAGCTCCTTACAAAGTAGGCCCATCTCACAAGGGTAAAGGCAATATTGAACCTGGATTGAGTCTGGCTAGACCACCAACTGGACTATTGCAAATGTGCAGCTGGCTCCATTCTTGCGCAAGCTTAACTCAACGCCACTGCTGGTTCTTTACCCTATAACATTGCGAGTTGGAGATGTGCTGGTCGATCACATCAGCCAACCCTGCAAGCTCTGCATTTGCGGAGCCATTGCGTGCCTCCGTCGTGCCTATCGAACAAGGGTCTTTCCAATCTCTGCTACTGCCACGTTCTACCGTGGTATTTGATGATAAAAACAAGGTGGCATTGAGTCAATGACCAGTGAGAAACACTCCGAATTCCTAACGTGTAGTAGCATGGTCGCCTTCAACTCGCAGACGGACTGAGACAAGCCGAGCTGAGAGGAGGGGAAAATGAAGACCGTCCAAGGCTAGGCCAAAAGAATGGAAAATAATGTGGAAAAGAGACAATTCCCTTCCCATCACACCTATATTGAGTGAGTTGTGACTGATATCAGCAGCAAGTTCATTTCGCTTGTCTCCTGATGCAGACACAACCCAGCTGAGGGGAAACTGATTTACAAACAAACCAGGAGAACATTTACACCTTAATCAAACATTTGCCGGATCGTCTTCACTCTCAGCCTCCCATTCTGCATTCCAGCCATTGCCCACCACACTACCTCATCACAATGTCTCACATCCCGCCCACACAGCTAGGCCAACTCGAGAAATGTTCGGCGGAACCATCGTGCGAATGTATCAAGTTCACGTGGGGTCTTTGTGGTCAATTTTTAGAAACATGCATATCTCTCATTACGAGCCGTCGACAAGCGCCTCTATCCCTCGTCTCGGGAGGCGGAAGGCCGCCGTAATGGCCGAGCCATTTGTGCCCTTCACAATTTCCCACGTTGCCATTATCTCCTCCCGCCTCTTGGAGCCCACCCGCGGGTTCGCTATCGCCTAGAGAGATCATCGCGCTTTCACCGTCAGCTTGGCACGGAAGCTAGATGTTTTCCAGTATGGCTGCCGTCGGTGTCGGCCGCTTTTATTCCCCCTGGAACACATAGTTTCACACTGGTTGCTGGGTCTCAGACGAGTGCCGATCAAGTGCAGGCTGGGGATAGTAGAGAAGAAAGGTGAGAAAGGGGAGAAGATTTGAATCCAACCAGAGAAGAAAGGCCCGGTACAGAACATGCCGATGAGCCGTGCCATCGCCAAAAGGCGTCTCCTGGAGGTCAAGGAGGGCTGGGACTCGATTTTTTGGGCAAATGGTTCAAAAGGAAGCGGGCTGACCCATCCGCTCATTCCCAAGCATCTGGTTCTTTTATGTGATCAACGTTCCATGACCTATCTGTCTCTTATGACCCTCCCTTGTGTTCCTCTTTATCTCGCTTTTATACTCCCTTCCTGCCCAAGTCGACTCGGTTTCCCCTCTCTGAACGAGAGCACGTGTTTGTGCCGTTTGAGATTGTCTACAGCCCGGCGTGGCTTGGTTCATTTTATAGCTGCCTTGCTCGCACTGCTCTCTCAGTTCAACGTCGTCTGGAGACAGCTCTACATATGAGTCTCCTGGCATCACCAGCGCCTCCGCCTACAAAGCACTCGTTGCAGCCCGCCGAAGACCGCAGGCCGGCCGCCTCTGACGGTACCTTTAAGATGGACAGAACTGCCGTTGTGGTGCTGCGGTTTTTGCAGGGCGTGGCTGCTTTGACAAATCTTGTCCTATCGTCGCTCGGTAGGTCCCCCCCCTCCCCTCAGACGAGATTATGCCAAAGATAATGGGCAGTGGTCCATATCGATCCGTGATGGCAGGAACTTGAAATTGAGAATAAGAAGAGTAAACGAGGAGATTGGTCGTACTGACTTCATTCGTTCTTCACTCGCAGTTATCAATTGGTACTTACTACGCTCACCGATGCCATCACCAACATCCCTCAACTTCCTCACCTTCGCTCCGGCCTTCTCCATTCTGTCCATCATATACCTGGAACTCGCCCCCAAGCGCTTCCCGCAAGGCTGCCACCCGTTCATGCTACTGGCCATCGAGGCGACCAACACGATATTCTACTTCACGGGCTTCATCGCGCTGGCCATCTTCCTCGCCAAGCTCGTCTACTGCACCGGCTCGGTGTGCGCCGTCGCCCGCGCCACGTCGATCCTGGCCGCCGCCGAGTTCACCTCCTGGATAGCATCGACGATCCTGCTCGCCAAGAAGATCTCCCAGAAGGGCCTCAAGGGTGACCGGGAGCCGCAGTCGGGGTCGGACACGCCCATGAGCGAGGTGTGAGGGGTTCCGGTCGCAAAGCTTTGTTTGGTGGCGGGATTCTTCGAGTTCCTGTCCTTTCTCTTTTTCTTCGCTTCTCTATAGTCCAACGACGATGTGATACCACGAGGCCAATTTGATTGGGTCCTTTCTTCTACCCCCTCTTTTTGTTTTCTTTTTCTTTGTTCTTTCTTTCTTTTCTGGAACGGCCTTGGGGAATGTCTTGGATGTGTTCGGGCAAATTAAAAAAGACTCGTCACCGATGGCTATGAGCCACATCGGTGCATTGATATGTGTCAGACGCCTAATTGCTTATGACTCTTTTCATCTTTATTGTTCCGGCCCAGGAAAATCATACTTGTCCGATTAGATCTATCCCGTGGAATCTGAGGCTGGTATTCCGAAGAGGGAGAGGTCAATTTAACCTGGGCCTCCTGATCTTCTTATTTGGAGAGTAGCGGTGGATGTGATGACCTTGATTCTTACGGGTGGTACCTTTGAGTGAGAGCTGAACATGTGAAGATGGGGACCTATATGGCTTGCATTTACAATTGAAGGGGAAGACGAAAAACGCGGGGTAGGTGAGTAATTGGGTGTGCCCCCAATGCGACTAATTGGTTCCGAGGTGAAGGTGACTATACGTACCTTACCTGAGTTCGGGAGGAATCAATACGAAAATACTGGTTTACGGATATGCTGTGATCACTCCTCGTCGTTCGAGTTTACCTCGATAATCATGTAATCTCCGCGTTTATTCAATTTTGTAGGCAGCCAAGCCGGGTGGGTTGCTGCAAGGGCTGTCAGCATCCACAGCAACCTTAATACTTCACACTACATACATATCCAGAGAACAAGGGCCTATGCAGGGCCTGCGGCTGTCTTCCAATGTGCTTCTTCGAGGCTCGCGGGACGGGCTAGTCGTGTAAGCAGCAGCAGCAGCCCTGGATCGGCTCCCATTAGCGAGCCCCATTTCACCCCCATAGCGCCACGCAGGGTTCTCCCATCATTATTGGGGACAATCACACCATCGACCCGACATCCTTCTGGCACTAGGTCGGATTTCGTCGCGATTGCCATACGTTCGTCTGGGATGCCGTCCTCACATGGCGCCAGATATGGGCAAGGCCGATGACGTGCTCTGCTCAAAGCGTGCCTCTGCCCCTCCCGTGAGGGTGTCCAGGCCGCGGTCGGAGTTGGATCATGGTGGGATGGTGGGGGGTTTGCGATGGGAGAATGAGGTCTGTATGGCGGGCCAAGGTGCAAGCTGGTAATAACATAATGTCTTGTCTTTGAAATTAGTGACCGGCCAAACAAGTGCCTCATTGCGTGAGCTGCACTACCCCTCGCCTGATATGAGTGACGGTTGAGCGGGAGGAATGTTCAGCCCTCCCACTATTAAACCTTCTTGGTCGTCCTCTTCCGCTGGCGCTGTCCCTTCCCCTCCCCCTCCATATTTTGTTCCTCCAAACTCTCCTCCAGCTGTCTACGCAGGTTTCCTGAAGATCTTCATAATGTCGGATCTGAGCAAGAACTTTGAGACCCTTCAGCTCCACGCGGGGTAAGTGTTGATCACTGAGCAGTTCGGGCTGGCTTTGGCAGTGATGCAGTGCTCTGCCATTCTTGGCCAGAACAAGACACATGTAAATGGGATATAGCTAACAGCCGTATGAAGTGCCGAGCCGGATCCTACGACCAAGAGCCGTGCGGTACCTATTTATGCAACCACTGTATGATAATATTCGATCCCAGTACACCACACCCAAAAACACAGCTCCAAGCTAACGAATTGGCTTCAAACTCTAGAGCTTTACTTTCAATGACTCTGCCCATGGGGCTAGGCTATTCGGCCTCAAGGAATTCGGCAACATCTACAGCCGTATTATGAACGTGAGTTGCTTGCCACAACCTCGGCGCAATACAACGTTTGCCGTGTACTTACACGCGGCCCCCCCAACAGCCCACGGTCGATGTCTTCGAGAAGCGCATCGCTGCGCTTGAGGGTGGTGTAGCAGCCCTGGCCTCCTCCTCAGGCCAGGGTGCCCAGTTCATCGCAATTGCGACTCTGGCCCAAGCCGGTGACAACATCGTCTCCACCACGAACCTGTATGGCGGCACCTACAACCAATTCAAGGTCTTCTTCCCGCGCCTGGGCATCAACACCAAGTTTGTCGACGGCGAGAACCCCGAGGACATTGCTGCCGCCATTGACGACAAGACCAAGGCTGTCTATATCGAGAGCATTGGAAACCCCCGATATAACGTCCCAGATATTGAGGCCATTGCCAAGGTTGCCCACGAGAAGGGTGTCCCTCTAGTGGTACGTTTCATAGAAGACCTGGAGGATTTGCTTTTTCTGGAAGAGTTGCGGTTGCTAACTTGTGAGCTTTCAAGGTGGACAACACATTCGGTGCTGGAGGCTACTTCATCCGACCCATTGACCATGGAGCGGACATTGTCGTCCACTCCGCCACCAAGTGGATTGGCGGCCACGGAACAACCATCGGCGGTGTCGTCGTTGACTCCGGCAAGTTTGACTGGGGAAAGCACGGCAAGCGCTTCCCCCAGTTCGTCGAGCCGTCGGAGGGATACCACGGCCTCAAGTTCTGGGACACTTTTGGCCCCATCAGCTTCATCATCCGCGCCAGAGTAGAGACCCTCCGAGATCTCGGCGCCACCCTCAACCCTTTCGCCGCCCAGCAGCTGCTGCTTGGAATTGAAACTCTGAGCTTGCGCGCAGAAAGGCATGCCCAGAACGCTCTCGCCCTGGCCAAGTACCTCGAGAATAGCTCCTACGTGAGCTGGGTGTCCTACCCCGGACTTGAGAGCCACCCCTTCCATGAGAGCGCCAAGAAGTATCTGAAGAGGGGCTTTGGTGGTGTGCTGAGCTTCGGCGTCAAGGGTGGCGGCGCTGCCGGCAGCCAGATCGTCGACGGCTTCAAGCTGATTTCCAACCTGGCCAACGTCGGTGACGCAAAGACCCTGGCCATCCAGTGAGTTTTACCTGAGTTGTGAAAATGGCTTGGAGATAGAGTGCTAACTTGCAGTAGCCCCTGGACCACCACCCACGAACAGCTGTCTGACGAGGAGAAGAAGAGCTCAGGTGTCACTGAGGTAAGAATTGAGAAAGAACACCGTTGTAACCTGCTGAACACACATCATTTGCTAACGGTTCAACTCACAGGACCTTATCCGTATCTCTGTTGGTATCGAGCACATTGACGATATCATTGCCGACTTTGACCAGTCGTTTAAGGCTGCTGAGGCGGCGACCACGACCGCTTAGATTGTTGCTTGCTCCTGATAATCGAGACATAGACAATATAGCGAGGAAGTGGAAGGGAGGCGAGAATAGGCATGGAAAGATCGAGTCGATCACAATACCCCTGGAAAGAGATAAGAGATGGCATTGGCGTTGACAATGATGCTGTATTTATTTCCTATTACTACCTTGCATCTCTGCTGGAATGAGGCCTAAACGAGTAAAAGGAAATAAGCCAAAGATGATTCGAGCAGAGACATTCGTGAATGAATAATAATTTGGAGCCTGCGAAAAGTTGAAAAAAGAAGAGACTGGTGCATTTGATGTTGGGAAGGTACGTAGAGGGATGAATCATGAAGTCCGGGCAGAGTGGGTCCCCCAAGTCATGGATCCTGTGAGCTGGAGCTTGGATGTCGACAACGTCGCCGATTGACAGCTTCCATCCAACCTCGACCTCAACCACCGGGCTAGGTATCTGACCCGTCGTCGTCGCCCAACCTCCCAACCCACCTCCCACGACACACCAACACCAATCCCAAACATGCGCCTGGAAGCCGCCTGCCTGCTGGCCTTCATCGCCAGCGCCCTCGCGGCCGACCTCACCCTCTACCTCCCCTCCAAGCCCAACCCGTGGTCGCTGCCCCCCAGCACCCGCGCGACCCTCGACTCCCTCGGCGAGCACTACTCCGCCCCCATCTCCTCCCTCAACACCTTCGTCTTCAAAAATGTGACGGCCCCCGGGTCCTACCTCGTCGACATCCACTGCGCCACCGACACCTTCAAGCCCCTCCGCGTCGACATCGCCGCCGACGGCAAGGTCGACGCCTGGGAGACCTTCCGCGGCAACGACTGGGGGAACCGCGGCGAGGCCATCCCCGTGCAGGACGGCGGGGCCGTCGAGGCCAGGTTCCTCATCAAGAAGAACTACTTCCAGGAACGGCCCAAGTGTGAGTTCCGCCCTCGGTTCCTTGGCTGTCTTCTTTTTTTTTTGTCCCAATGGGGGAAATCTGATTTACTGACTCGCCCCTCTCAAATTTAGTCTCGGTTCTCACCATCTTGAAGAACCCAATGATCCTGATGGGTCTCGTCAGCATGGGCATCTTCATTGGCATGCCCAAGATAATGGAGAACAGTAAGCCGAATCCCCCGCTATAGCCTTGTTTTGACACTTTTCCACTAACACACCAACTCTAGTGGACCCGGAGATGAAGGCTGAGTTCGAGGCCAGACAGGCCGAGGGCCCTCTGAGCGCCTTGATGGGTGGTGGCGGCAGCCGTGACCAAGGCTCGTTTGACATGGCTGGATACCTTGCTGGATCCAATAAGGAAGACGGCAACGGAGGCAAAAAGTCACAGGGAGTACGAAGGTAAAATGTGAGGGGAGGTTTTAAAACGGTATTGAATAGTCCATGGTCATGAAAGTCTACCCACAGGTCAACTATCCTCAGCTGACACCCAAAAAGAATACACCAATACTTGGTCATCTGTTCGGATGGACCGTCCTTAAGGCGAATCAATTGTATGGATGAGGAATTGAAGACAGATAGTTTACGTAGATAAATGGTGCTTAATATGAACGTATGCATGACCACGGGTATTTCTTCTATGAGTGAATATTGCATCTGTGTCTCATCAGACTATAGCCACCTTTTGGCCATATATCATCTTTGTATTTGTACGAATATAGGGATGGAGATAGAAGCGGCCACCTGAGTCATCGGTTTCATTACCACAACGAAATATCTGGTTCTCATGACAAACCACCTGCTTGGGCGACCAGCCCAGTTAATAGAGACTGGTAAATCCCGTATAGGTACGATATGGCTGGTCATCAGCAACCATCAAGCCATAGCCGGAACATCAGATGGAATCTACTTGTGAAAAAACACGTTAGCTTAACGATTTCCACAAGAGACACGTAAGAGGTGGTTTAATATGGGATGCGGTACATACGAGTGATTAGACATGTTCTCCTTGGCCCGGTACTTCCGGATGAGTTCTTCATCCTTTGGGCACAAGCTCTTTAGACAGCGGGGGCGGTTGGAAGATCCCATTGGGACTGTTTAGTATGTAGGTTCACGTAGAACCTAGGGCTTGGTTAGTTGTGGGCTCGCCATATGCCAAAGATGATTCTTACCAAGTTTGATACTGATCATTGAACCTAGCTGCCCATCCCTCAGGGACCTGGGGAGCGCCGGGCTGCTGTGGCTGCTGTGGCTGCTGGGGCTGCTGAGGTTGCTGTGGCTGCTGAGGTTGCTGAGACTGCTGAGGTTGCTGAAACTGTTGGGGCTGCTGAGGTTGCTGGGGCTGCTGAGGGTGCTGAGGCTGTTGAGGTTGCTGAGGGTGCTGGGGTTGTGGAGATTGCTGGAACTGATGAGGTTGCTGAGACTGCTGCTGGTGTACGACGCCAGGGGCAGCTCCAGGTTGGGCACCAGGACCAGGAGTTGCTGGTGCTGTTGGTTTATCCCACTGAGACTGCTTGGTAGCAAGGTTCACATAAAACCTATCAATTGATACTATGGTTAGTGATTGCTTCAAATAAACTAGTTTTTCTTTTAGAGAGGACATACCAAGTTTGATACTGGGCATTGAACCGAGCCGCCCATCCCTCAGGCACTTCAGGCGCACCAGGCTGAGTTGGTGCTGGGGGAGTGGGTTGAGGCTGAGGTTGAAATGGAGATTGGGCCTGAGCCTGGGGCTGAAATGGGGATTGGGTTTGGACCTGGGGTTGAGGCTGGGATTGGATTTGAGGGCTCTGGGTTACGGGAGACTGATGTTGCTGTGGTTGAGGTTGAGGTTGCTGTTGGAATGGAGATTGGGGTTTAGACTGAGGCTGAGGTTGGAATTGAGCTTGTTGAGGCTGGCCAGCACCTGGGCTGCCAAATTGCTGAGAATCTGGGCCAGGGGTGGCAGGGACAGTTGGTTTGTCCCACTGAGACTTCTTTGTAAAGGTGTTCACATAGAACCTATGTCTCGAGTCAGCGAGCTTCTCCATGTACTCAGGTCTCGTTCTTCCAATGAGTCAACTTACCAGGTCTTGTACTGTTCATTAAACCGAGCTGCCCATCCCTCGGGGACTTCTGGTGCGCCGAGAGGATTGTTCACCGAGGGAGAGGTAGGGCGGGAGGTAGAGCTAATAGAATGCTGAGGAGTATGAAGGCTCTGGCTCTCGCTGGCGGGCGTTGCCGGGGCTGTTGGCTTTTCCCATTGAGACTTCTTGGTGAATGTGTTCACGAAGAACCTAAGGTGACCTCTTGTTAGCTTTCACACTCACCCAACATGCTAAGCCCAACTAAATCCATAACTTACCAGGTCTTATACTGGTCGTTGAACCGAACTGCCCATCCCGCAGGAACTTCCGGAGCACCAGGTGGGTTGTTTGCCGCAGGTGGAGTGGACTGAACAGGCTGGGGAGTAGGTTGGACAGGTTGGGGAGTAGATTGAGGCGCAGGCTGGGGCGTAGGCTGAGGAGCAGGTTGAGGAGCAGGCTGGGGAGCTATATTAGCAGGCTGTTGCTGTGGTGTGTGAATGCTCTGGGCCTCGCTGGCCGGCGTTGCGGGAGCCGTAGGCTTGTCCCACTGAGATTTCTTAGTATACAGGTTCACGAAAAACCTGCCATAATTCCACTTGTCAGCTCTCTTCGTCTATTTTCTCCTATCAACGGCCCGTGAAGATAGATTCACGGCCTTTGTGAGGGGTAGAGTCATACCAGGTCTGATACTGGTCGTTGAAACGAGCAGCCCACCCGGCAGGCACCTCTGGCGCCCCGGGGACCGCGGGGGCACTCTGCGGCTGCGGAGAGCTCTGCTGGGAGATATTCAGAGACCCGATATTTGGCATTCCCTGGTTGGGGTCGGCCGGGGTTTGGGCAGCAGCAAACGGCGACGCAGCTGCGACTGGAGGAGTGGCAACAACCGGGGGCGTGGCAGCAGCAGGGTGAGGTGCGGCAGCGACCGGTGTCGCAGGTACGGTTGGGCGCTCCCATTGCGACTGCTTGGTAACGGTGTTGACGTAGAATCTGGCGGGCCAGAGATAACGGTATCAGCCTCCAAACCTCAATCTTTCCTTGCCATGTCTTTTCCCCTTGGTACTCACTCAGTCTTGTACTGATCGTTCCAGCGTGAAACCCACCCAGCAGGCAAATCTGACGGAGCGCCAGGCCCAGGAGTCGGCGTCTGCGCTGGGACTGGAGCTGGAGCCGGAGTTGGTGCTTGATTCGGGGTCGCAGGCGCGGGGGCGGGACTGGGGCCGGTCGGAAGCTCCCATTGCGACTGCTTGGTGGTGAGATTAACGTAGAACCTTGAGCGAGGAAATGAAACAATCAGTATGCTGTGAGCCGACTTCGCCAGTTCGCGAGCGAGGAAATGCGAGGGGAGCTTCACCAGGTGTTGTACTGATCGTTCCACCGAGCTGCCCAGCCTGCGGGAACCTCTGGCGGAGAGTTCTTGTCCATTCTGGCGGTCGGCGGCACAGAGACGAGCCGAGCTGGGGAGAATGACGGAGGATTCAAATGGGCGGGGAGAGGTCAAAGGCCGAGGCGGCGGCGCACTATCCAAAAAACGCGCTCGCGAAATATGCTGGCGTGACGGTCATGAGGTTGGAGAGAGTTGAGGTGTTGGTTCAGGCCTCCAGAGCCATCAGACTACCCAAGCTTGGCGGAACTATCGCGGGGGAGAGCGCAAGGGCCTGTCGCCTGCCTGGACCCCGCTGTTGGTTTCCATGCCTTGGGCGAGATCAAGGGTCGTAATCAGCCTGGTAGGGCAGTGGGCACCGCTGCAACAGCATTACGAATGTCGGCGGGGCGTTTGCCAGTTTGCCCTCTGCCAGCCATTCTGCTGGGCTGATCTCTCCAAATATCTTCACTCTGCCGTGATCCTTCGGTTGCGTGCGCGGAGCCCAACCGACCCGACCCCAATGCCTTGGACTCGCATAGGAAATAAATCGGGCATTTTGATGCCGACCCCTGGCCCTGAACTGCTCTCTCTACTACTCAGACAGGGACTTTTGGAATCTCGATCCATATATATTCTTCCAGTGAGGGATGTTACAGCGTACCTAGTTCATAGAGGTCAGTGGCGGCACCAGATTGTGCAGTGCCAATGCTTGGCACTTACAAGGCGGTAGTGGATCTGAGACACACGGATATTGTACTGTTTGTTTCCAAAGCCGCGATCACTATTGTCATATTATTGGGGGCGAGTGATATTCTGAATATTGTTGGTTTATATCGTTTCATACTGCTATTACTGTAGGTATCGTAGAACCGAAACGAACGCTCATAACCGCCCTTCAATCTGATGTCTCATTTCTGTCACCCAGTCGCTAGGGCCATCACAGCGGAAACATGCCGCGGTGTCTTGTCTTAGATCTGCAGCCACAATGCAACGCACTGCCACCAAGCTCTCTTCGGAACTTTTAATGACATGGGAGGGGAAAAAAAGTTCAAATGCAGTGATGCACTGATCAATCCAAGGTACTGCAAATGAGGTTATGTAAAATAGTATTTGACTGTATTCGCTTGTACCAATTTCCAACGAGCATCCAGATAGATTGACCATGTCCAGTCCAGTCCCATGTCAAACTCTATATTTAAAGAAAAAGACAAAAGAGAACAACTCCTTGCGCTGATAGTACAGGCCTATAAGAACCGCAGTCCTGTGCCTTAAAAAAGGAAGAAAAGGAATGCGCCTGGGCCCGAAAATAAACACTTCAATCCTTACACATATTCACGCGAGTCTCCCAGCCTTCTCTCTCCAAAGAGGTACGCCGCCTCGAGGCAAAATCTTCCATGCCCCCTTTCCATGCGTCTTTCGCTGCCGTAGCAGATGAGAACAGCATCTACAATACCACTGAGAATGCCCTCCATGGCACCCATCACTGAGTAGCCGATGAAACTGGCCATGATACCAACAACATACGCGTAGGCGGAGCCTCGCATTCCCATGCCATCCGGTAGCTGGATCTGAAGCTGCTTGGCCGTGATCACCCAACCAGCAAAACCTAAACCTGTAGCCATGATGAGGCGCGTGGCCACTAAAAGCAGCTTTGAGAGACGGTAAGGGAGAAGACTGGTGCCTGCATGCCCTCGCATCCTTAGTGCTTGCGGAGTTAGAGTCGTCGTTGGGATGGCTGAAGAGATAACATCCATTTGTCCCAATCCACGGGCTGAGGTAGACAAGTTCTGAGAATGAATGGCAGAATACGTGACAGTCAGCGGGTTGGTCAAGGCAATGATTGGCGTAGGGATCCAGAAGGCGGCCAGGTTGGAGATGATAGACCCAATCCGTCTCGGTAGGAAGATGAGCGGTGCTCGGACAAGTAGTGAAAGCAGAGTTGATTGACAGATGCTGCCGAAGATGGTGGTCAAAGCATGGAAAAGAGCGGCGGTTACAATCTCCCGCGAATGAGTTCCCGGAGCTGCGTTACGGTGGAAGTACCATTGCGAAACCGTCGCAGCAGTTGTGGCCCTATGGATGGCGTTGATCACCGATAGAGTCCACATGTACATCAAGATGAAGCCCGCGCCGAGCCACCAGCTTGACAGCTGAATCACAAACTTGAAACTGCTCTTTGAGAAATATCCGCCCATGAAGACCCGGGTGAACATTCCCAGCCAAATCCAAGTCCAGACCACGATGAGAGCCAGACAACCAAATCCAACGAGGAACAGCCCCGAGTTCTGTGTCAAAATTCGACTGGAAAACTGGAGGATTTCTACCGCCTGTTGGATCGACCTTCGTCCCTTGACCACAAGCCAAATCCATAGGATGCAACTCACGGCAGGAACCAGCGATGTCCACCGCATGACCGAATCCTGAAAGCTCGCTCCGTGCGTTCGTCCCTTGAAAGAGGACGCAAAGGAATAGATCGAAAACGAAAGCATGATCACCGGTACAGCGATTAGGATGACGTTGACAAGGGGACGGACGAATGACCTTAGAGATGCCAGCCAGATAAAGGATACAAAGATGGCAACAATGGTGTCAACAGCCAACATGTTGAAAGACTTCTGCAGCGTTGCGTAGATGGTGTCTCCCACCGGACTGCTCCGAGATCCCGTATTTAGCCACACCAATACAAACGTCGACATCATCGCGGCGAAGCTGATAAGGAAAATCCAGGCGAAGAACTGGTCGTGATAAAACACTTCTCCCTCCGGGGATGCCGTGGCTTGCTGAGCTGGCTCATCCTCTGCGATCGACGCCGGCGCGCCACGACTTTGGTCGGTATCATTCGTGACTGACCTCTCTAGGAACGGTGCCCGCTCCGACTTGAAACGCTGAAACGCTGGGGGGCTCGAATCGGTTGGTGCTTCGCCAAAAAGCGAGGCCGGCGGATCTTCGTCGGGATCAGCCTGGGACTCTAGACCGATGTCGACCATCTTCCCTTTGCTATCCGGACTTAGTTTGGCGCTGCCATATATCCTGGGTCGCGTGTCCTCTTCCACCTCCTCCTCCTCGAGCACACCGCTGGGTACGTGTGGGCTGTGCGAACTCCGTAGGCCATTCCAACTGCTCTTGATACCTCGGCCTAATCCTCGATGCTGGTAAGGCCCTTCGTGATGTGTGCTGTCATCCAGAGAGCCCCGACTGTTTCCCTCAGACTCGGTACTTTCTGCCAACTTAGTAGCCGCGGCAACCCGCCTCGACCGTTGCAAAGCAAGGAGGTCAGCAGCCTCTCTATCCCGCTCCTGCTCGTCGTCCTCCTCCCTGAACTCGTCTAAAGTGCTGTGAAAGAGCGGTGCATCGTGTGCTGCTGATGCCCTGGATGCGAACGCAAGGTTCCCGAACCGTGAGCCGCCGCCCGCTGGCTGGTACGGGTTTCCGCCGTAGGCTGCTCGCGCCAGGAATGATCGATGTGTGGTGGCCGCGGTGTTGTTGCCTCGTCGCGGCGGAGAGTTCCGTTCGTTCTGTCGGGGTAGCTGGGAAACGCTCTCGTTGTCGCCCTGCCCGCCAAAGTTGGAGAACCTGGACTGGGACTGGGCCAGAAACCGTGATGCATCTGCGCACGCACTCGTTAGCCGTCACAAACACCCATTGCACTGTTGCGTCATTGTACCATACATTCTGAAAACATATTTGCCCCTTCACCAACCGCCGCCCCGCTCTCTCGGGCAGAAATGTCGGTATCTCGATGATTGCGTACGGTGATACTGATAAGTAGAGAGAAATTAGGCAGACTTGGGATGATGTATCGCCGGGGATTGTCTGGGGCGGGGGACGGAGGCTTTCAAACAAGGTTTGTAAGATGGATGCCGACTGAAAGGATAAAATTTAGGAACAACAGCCTCGGACAAAAGCGTCTACGTGCATAGGCAGCCAGGAGGAAGGGATGAATCGAGTACGTGGGCGGTATTCACTTCCTTTGTCCCATGACAGATCAGAGCGGGTTACTGTGTGACTGAGTCCATCAGGCAGATGAGTTACCCGTCCGAGGCGGCTAGATGACATCGACGCACCAACGCGGTAGGCGGTCACCGCCTCGCCCCATCGTGGATCCTGGGTACCTGGTCGATAGGCACACTCTCAGCTTGATAGTGGACTCGGCCGCCTGGAAAGCCCATATCTCTGCGGGTCCAGGACTCGATACCACTGCTAGTGCCTGGGTCCTATCTCCATGGCCGGAGTCTGAAGATGCACGCAATTCTCACATCGCATGTCGATTCTCGTCTTTCCCATGGTTCCGTTGGCCTGCTGTGGTCGCTCCTGCGCTTGCTGGCCCTCTCGCCTTCTGTATTTTTAGAGTTTCCCCCCGCTCATGACATCTTGTCGGGCACAGGACATACCCATGCGACGCTGCGGCCTGAGGGGGATGACCGCGCTGTTATCGCCTGTTTGCGTCACTGATAGCAGTGCCGTCCGTAGTAGATTCCCACCCGATACCCCAGTGGGGCCCTCGACTCGAAACTGGGGCGCCGACCGGTCACCAGCCTATGGAGCATTGGGGCCATCAGGATGATTCCATGTCTCGCTCGTGACATCGACGACAACCCGAACCATGATCTGACCCATCCCCAACGGCTGTTTTCACTTTTCTTGGCGATTCAATCTTTCTAACGCTTTATCACTGTGTTTCGTTCTTTCTGTGTATTGCCAGGCCGGACGCTAGCGTTACTCCTTTCTCTCAGTTCCCGTGCTTTTACTGGAGGACAGATCCATCCATTACTCCCTATCCGACGACGACACAACCACCAAGAGAGCAACGGCCAACTCACGAGCACGACGACCGCCTTGACAGGTCCCCCTCCCCGTGCCTCCCCTGACCCCCCCAATCCCATCTCCTCCTCCCCCCAGGTCCGCCACCTGAGCTTCAATCCTTCCCATGTCCTCGTCGCCCTGGGACTACATCGCCAAGCTCGTCTGCATCGGCGACTCAGGATGCGGCAAGTCTAGCCTCACCATCCGCCTCTGCGAGGGCCGCTTCTCCCCCCATCACGACGTCACCATCGGCGTCGAGTTCGGCTCCCGCATCGTCCCTGTCGGCCCCCCGCACACCCAGCCCAGCGCCTCCGCCTCCGAGGGCCTCCCGGACCCCCCACGCGACACCCCCCAGAAGCACATGAAGCTCAGCCTGTGGGACACCGCCGGCCAGGAGACGTACAAGTCCGTCACGAGGTCCTACTTCAGGGGCGCCAGCGGCGCCCTCCTCGTCTTCGACCTCTCCCGGCGGCAGACCTTCCAGCACGTCACCGACTGGCTCAACGACCTGCGCCAGATCGCCGAGCCCGACATCGTCGTCATCCTCGTGGGGAACAAGGCCGACCTGGCCCGGCAGGAGAAGAACGAGCGGGAGGTCACGCGGGAGGAGGCCGAGGAGTGGGCGAAGCGGAACGGGGTCATGGAGTACGTCGAGACCAGCGCCAAGAGCGGCGAGAATGTGGAAAAGGCCTTCATGAGGGTCGCCGAGAGGATATACCAGAACATACAGGCGGGCAAGTACGATCTCAACGACCGGAGGTCGGGTGTAAAGGGTCCTGGCGCTGGCAACAAAGGCCAGGTCAAGGTGTCCAACGATCCGAATCAGTCAAACGCCGGGGGTTGCTGCTGAGCTTTCCGATTTCTTCAAACACCGGCATAATAGGCCTTCTCCCGCCTCGCCGTTCATGAGATATCTTAATTTATCTGGGTACCACTACGTCATGTCCTTCAGGCACCAAGTATCCGAATTTGTACAGTAATGCATAATAACACATTGTCTAGCCAAGCCGCTGTCCGGCCAAAGAAAAAATTATTAAAAGGAGATGTTTCGTCTAGCACTAGGTACAGAGTACATCCTAGTGTCATTGTTCCCTCTTCCCTCATCCGATGCAGACATGGTGTCCCGAGATTGATAATGAAATATTCCCCATAGTTCCCATTTTAATAGCTTTTACAAAGGACATGCATCGCTCCCATGCTGTCTGTTACACAAATCTCTGATCTGTTAGCGTCCCCAGTAGTACAACCTTCGGCAAGCATTCAGCTTGCCGAGAAGTTAGTCTCATGTGGAACGAGTGGCTTTAGTCACTCATTCTCCATGTGTCAAACCACTTCAGGTAGCTGTAGTCCCTGTTGGGACCCGTCATGCCGAAGCAGATAGGAATGAAAAGAATGTACAGGCCAATAATGACCGAGTATAGAACACCGTAAACGGCGATTTGAAGTGCACTGTTGCGGTTCCTTACCAGCCAGTCCACCAAGAAGCCGAAGGAAAGGATGGCAAAGTAAAGAGCAGGGTAATAGTGGTGCACGTAGGTAACACGGGCCATAATGACGAATGGCAGGTAGTGTAGGAACCATCCAATGACGGGGTAGATGGCAGAGTAATGAATCTGGTCAATTTCGGTGTTGTTCAGATCCTTGTAACCGCGCTGCCATCGCACCAGATACCATGCGACGACGAGGGCGACCAGGCCGAGTGCTGCAGTTGAGCCCCAGTAGACAATGGGGTTGCCAAGGAGGAAGTACTTGACGATCTTGTCATCCCAGCTGCACATTCTGAGACCAACATGGAGAATGGGCCACTGCCACCATTGAGAGGCCAGGTCATCTTGCTTGTCGGGGTCAGGAACAAGAGCGTTGTTAGATGTCATCATGGCCACATTGAGGTGGATGAAGTCGTGAATGAAGGGGGACTTGTAGACGCCTGGGTCGCTGGGGGGCACTGTTTCTTGTTAGCCATAGAGTTACCATGAGCAAGGTGGGCATGCGAAACTTACACTTCTCGTTCCAGTGGGCCTCCACGTTCCAGTGTGTGTAGGCATCCCGGGGGTTGTTGTCCTTGGTGCAAGTGACCTCGATCTGCTTGAAACCCCACTGGGGTAGGTTGGTGTTGCCGGCTCGCAGATAGCAACCAAGCGATGTGTGCTTGAGACGGAAGGACGTTGTGAGAGTGCGAATTCGGCTACGGTCTCGGGAAGCAGCATCGCGAATGACTTCAATCTTCCAGTGATCCTTGTCGTCACCAACAGTCAGGTTACCGTAGGAAGACACCTCGTTGTCCTTCTTCCTCATGGGGGCAGCGATAGAGTGGGAGTGGAGGTTGCGGCCAGTCTGAGCATGAATCAGGCGGATAACAGAGCCGTCGCTCAGATATCGGAGCTCGTCGGACTCGGCGTCATAGTCAGGCTCGTGGCGGTTAGGGTAAAAGAACCAATCATTGTTGGAGTCCTTGTGGTGGTAGCAGGTAACCTGCTGCTGCTGGGAGCCTTCGGGGTAAGTCTGGACGTGAGAATGGAGGAGACCGCCGCCATAGCCCATGTTCTTGATTGTAGCGCGGGACCCGTAAGCGATCTCAAGAGGGCTATTCTTGCCAACCTCAGTTCCCTTGAGGTTGGCCTGGAAGAGCGAGCTCATCTGAGCATCACCAGGGCCGGTCCGGTCGAGAATAGCGAAGTGCAGAGCGAACGAGAGGAGGTAGATGAGGAATGGGATCAGAATAAGGCCTACGACACGGGCACAGAGATGGACAACGAGCTCGGTCTATAGCTGAGGTTAGTAAAAATGGACATTCCTGGCAAGGAAGGTTAAACACATACTGCAGGGATCTTCCTGTCACCAAACTTTCGCCAGAGGTCCTCAATTGTGTACACACCAACCATGGCGGTGACGAACAAACCAACAAGCTTGACACTGCACACACATCCGATGCTAAAGCCGGTCAGGAAAAGCCACAGGAACCACTCGGGCTCGAAGCTGTTGTGTCGCTGATTGTGGAACTTAGCCCAGCAGAAGACAGTAGCCACAGTTCCGCAGAGAAGCATCGAGTCGAGGAGAATGAAGCGGCTGATGGTTGTGTACGAGTTTTCGCAAAGTACCATGAGAGTGACAAGCCAAACTGCTGGGCGACGGAGGTGAAGCTCGCGGGCGGTAAAGTAGGCCAAGGGGATACAGACAATACCGAACAAGGCATTGAAGGCTCGCATGAAGGTGTAGTTGATTTCTTCGGGGTATGTGTCTCCAGACTTGAACTCGAACGACCCATTGTATCCAGCGAGAACTCCCGAGAGTCCGACAAGCATCTTACCAAGGGGAGGGTGGACGTCGAAGTAGTACTCGTGCTTGATGTAGTAGCTACCGAATTTACCAAAGCTAGTGACGGCAGTTAGCATCGGACAGCATAGTGCCCCTTCCAAGGTGCCTCGTTACTCACTGAGCTTCATCCCAGGTGACAATGTTGCTGAGACCAATTTTCCACAGTCGAGTGCCAATTGCGGCCAAGGTGAACAGGATGGGGGCAAAGATGATCTCCCACTCCACAAAGGTATCGATGAAGCTCTTCTGCTGCAGATTGGTTGTCAGTACTGGCTGAGCTCCTTCACGCTAAAGAAATACGATCAAAGTATCTGGGGACCATGGTACCTTCGGTTGCGACTTCTTGACATCTTCAGGTTCGACGACGCGGGGTGCGGATGGAGCTTGAGCGGCGACGGGACGCTGTCGAAGGCCCTCGCCAAGATCAGCGCCAGAGGCGACTGCGACCTTGTCGGCAGCCATGATTGTTCTTGTCTTGTGGGATCGTATGGAAGCTCGAGTCGATGGTCGAGGGGGGAACTGTTTGCAAGGTGGCCTAAAGTTCTAAAAAAGGAGGCCCGGAAACGCTCACGGGGAGCTAAGGGGCTTGTAACGACTTCACGAGCTGAAGCGTACTCAAAACAACCCCAACGAGGAAGTGAAACAGAGGTAAACACGGCAGTAGGGCTGCCAGTGGGGAGAAGAGAGAGAAAAGAAAGGAAGAAGAGACAAAGATATAATGAATAAGTAGGGAGGGGCCGACAACCGTCGTCTGAAAGTAGGGTCTCCCTTCAATCACTCAGTTCAGCTCAGGAGAAGCCACCTGGTGGAAACGGCACCCAGCCAGCAAGCCACAGGGCTGCACCGCGTACCGTAATTACTGAATGCGTGCTGCAGGCGTGTAGGCGGGCCTGGTGGGTCGATGTTATCGATAGTGTCGTTCCGGTACAAAGAGGGAAGTAGTCAAGTACCCTGCCTCGCGCATGGGGCGAGAGCATCGGCCTCCAGGATCACATGTCTCGCCCGATCACCGGTGTTGAGACAATAGAGTTCCCTCTAGGTCCGGGTGCAGCCCGCCGTCTTATTCTACCACTCTTCCTTATGTCATCTTCCCGCTCTCCCCCAGAAATATCCGGCGGTGATCCCCAATCTGTGTCTATCGATCTCCAGGATACCCATCAAGCAACCCTTTGGCAGCCCTGTTCCCCTGATCACACCGTCACTCTCGGTCCCAGCGACTAATACCGTGCTCCATCGCTTCAACGACAAGATCCACCTTATTCTGAGCTTGATTGCTTTGCCTCTTCGCCGGCACACGACTCCCTATCCAACACTCAATGTCATCGCTCGTCTCGGACTTCATAATTAATCCAGTTCTCCGCCAGGCTCGCCGGTTTTCAGAGGCATCCCGCGCCACCCTGAGCGGCAGTCGAGATGAGACCAAAGATGGCGATCAGCTCAACGACAACCCTATGACTGATGATGAAGAACACCACGACGAGCCGGCAATTGCCAGGGTTGTCTCCTCCGAGTCCACGACCTTGCGCCCCTTGAGCTCATCGACACAAGAAACCAGAGTGGAGGAGGCCATACCAGCCCAAACCCCTCCTCGTACAACCCCCATGGTCCTCGACGGCAGTCCCACCGATCACCTGGGCTTTCCTATAAGCAAACGAAGGAATAGTTTGATCCCGGAGGACGACGGCATGCGTGAGCTGAGAAAAAGGATACATGCTATTCATGCCCGTGATATTGAGGCTCCGGAGAAGGCGAGGCTCATGCATGATGCACTATTGGAGAACTACAATGTCTCAAGAGTCACTTCCCATGGCGCGAGGACTCCCGAAGCCCCCCGGTCTCCGGTCCAAAGATCAGAACAACTTCCCTCACCTCAAGGACCACTCGAGTCTCTGAAGTTCTGGCAGAACCAACCACATGAAGCGTCAGGGCCTTCGCCGGCCGACTTTGTTCTTACAGAGCTCGACAGAGCACCCAGCTTTGCCCCAGTGCGTCGGGCTAAGACTTCCGGGATAGACACACCTCATATCGAGCCTGCTCCTTCATCAGTAACTGAATCGGTTCCTCAACTCGGATGCCCACATTATGAAAGGAATGTGAAACTTCAATGCGCCACATGCGACAAGTGGTATCCATGCCGCCTATGTCATGACAATGAGGAAGACCACAAGCTGCCTCGGTTTGAGACAAAGCACATGCTATGCATGCTCTGTGAGACACCGCAAAAGGTCTCTGATGTATGCATCAGCTGTGGTGAACTTGCTGCGAGTTACTATTGTGGTGTATGCAAACTCTGGGAAAATCGCCAATCAAAACCGATTTATCACTGTAGCGATTGCGGCATATGCAGGCGCGGCTTCGGACTCGGAAAGGATTATGTCCATTGCAAGGTAAAATGTTCCGAACTCACATGGCTCTTCTGCATCGTTTCTAACCTCCTCATAGACGTGCTGCGCATGCATCCCAACCTCCATTGAACTGTCACACAAGTGCATAGAGCGCTCTACAGATTGTGATTGTCCAATCTGCGGAGAGTACATGTTCTCCTCTCCTCGACCTGTAGTGTTCATGGCGTGTGGTCACAGCATTCATAAGAAGTGCTACGACCAGCACATGAAATTGTCTTACAAGTGTCCCATATGCAACAAGAGTCTCGCCAATATGGAGACACATTTTCGAAACTTGGATGTGGCTATTCAGGGACAACCGATGCCACCGGAATTCCGAGATACCAAGGCAGTTATATTATGCAACGACTGCTCGGGAAGAAGCACCGTTCCCTACCACTGGCTTGGGCTAAAATGCTCCATTTGTCGGTCTTACAACACGGCAGAACTTCAGATACTCGGAGGCACGAGTCGTGACCTCCAAGCTGCTCTTGCAGAAACGTCGGAGGAAGCTAGGCCAGACGCAGCCCAGCCCAGTGTCGCAACTGCCCCCAGCACTGAGTCCCGCGACGGAGTATCGATAGCAGGCAGACGAAGGCATTCGTCCAGGGGCATTGAATTGCAGCGGAGAGCCTCGGAAATCATCGTGGGCTCTTTCCCGCCCATAACCATTCGCTACGACTCTCATTTAGGCCAGATCCCATCAGATAGCGAGTCTGAGGGCGGTATGCTAGGATTCTGGGGCGGAGCAATCGACGACGACGACGATTCGGACTTTCAAGACGACTCGAGTAATGCAAGTGAATCTGAGGAAGAGGATGACGATGATGATATTGAAAACGATCTAATTCTCATTGGGCATCGATAAATTTTGGTTTATCCCGTCTTTTCCATACTAGGGCGTTTTGGTTGTTCCTGGAGCAAAATATTAAATTGGCGTCTATGGGGATCATGATACGATACGAGCTAACAGTCTTCTAATGTTTGGTGGGAAGGCATGGAAAAATGCATAAAATCTAGGAGTTTGCCTGGGCCGCTCGGAAGTTAATGGGGGAGATGTGGAATTTTTCTGGTTTTTGATCAGTTTTAGCAAGCAAGCGTTAGGTCCTTGGACAAACAATATAAGTAATATACGTGAATCTTCCTTCCAGTGAGTTTAGAACCTGTGTTTATATTTGCTGCAAAATGACTCCTTAATAAACACCCAACACCTGTCAATTCAATTCAACATCATTCAACCATCAGTTTCCGTATTTCAAGGCCAAAGTTTCATAAAAGTTTCATTGCCTAGTGGCGGCTTGCTGTTCTACTGCTTGAGCCTCCTGCCGTAGATCCTTGACCACTTGCTATACCCAAGTCGTCAGCATTTCGATGCACTTCAGATATTCTCGTTTACCCTGGAGATAGTCTTACAGCTAATGCTTCGGGATTCACACCACGCTCAATCATCGAGATGCATATGGATAGAGTCCGGCGGTCTAGGTGGCAGTTCTGGTGGGGTGTCAGTGTGCGGGGCTTAGATGGATCGCGAGAAGGACTCGGATAGCCAGACGGACCAGAATTGTTGAGATCTCGTGGAGAATATCCACGGCTTGTTGGGCAGCGGCATGCTTGTCTGTTGTTTCGGGGGGCATCCTGGGCTGTTTATGCTGGCGATGTTCGACTGATAGATATTGGTGTTTCTCGCTGAGCTTCCAGACGGTTGATGGAAGGACGCGTTTAGACTTCTAGGTGTGTTCCAGCATGCAACTAAGACCGTCACGTATCTCGCCCCACCTTTCCGACGCCGGAAATCAGTCTTCGAAGTTGTTCAAATAGCCTGTCACGTGCATCCATATATAAGTGAAAAGAAAGCTTTTAAAAACATTACTTTAATCGTGCCATGCTTTCAAACAGTTATAAGTTGATCATAGTCGTTACATTAGCTGTAGTGGTGTATATGTGAACAATTCATTATCATCTCGCCCCAATGCCATAAACACCCCCTCATGCTTTCATCGCCTCAGCAAAAAGCTCCCTCATCCCCTTCAGCAGCGTGACGAGCTCTCGAGACTCATTTACCCTATCTAATACGCGCTCCACCTTTTCTCTCTCCAACTTGGGCCTGCAGTGCTTCACGTCGTAGTCTCTCGAGCTGGTGACAAGCTCGAACCACGCCTCCCGCTCCCAGTCCCTCTCGTCGAGATGCGTGTAGATAAATTTTAACCTGTCGTTGTGGCCGGCGCCCTCGATCCGCAGGCAGAGATTTGTGATCCAGAAATCAAGTTCGGGGACGTTGAACCTCGACTGTGCCTCCTGCTGCGCTGCGTACTCCCGTTGCGCCGCCAGCCTGGTGTCGATCTCGGCTTGGACCTGTGCGATTTGCGCCTTGAGGGCGTCGCGGTTCGCGTGGTGGTTGTCCCGCTGCGCGGCCAGCGACGCAATCGCGGCCTCCATCTCGCGTGTCTCGGCATCTTCTTTCTCTATCGTTTGCTGGTGCGTTGATGTTTTAACCTGGACAATTTCGATATCCTTCTTCTTCATGCGCTGGTCCTCTGAGAAAGATTGTTAGCCGGGATCGTCTGTAATCTTTATGTCACCGGTTTGCTATTACCTTGTAGCTCCGCAATGTTCATGCGGAATTGATTGCGCTCCTCTAATACACGCCTGCGCCCTTGCTCGATGAACGTGTCGAACTTGGCGGTGAACTTCGCCATACGGTCGCGCAGATCATCGAAGCCGAAATCAATGTTCGGCAGGGTGTAGTCATTTGAGGGGCCGGCTGGTGCCAGAGTCTGGCGGGTTTGGCTGCTCGACAGAGAGGATTCGAAAGCGGTCGCCATCTTGAACTGTGATATAGCGCTCGAAATATGTCGAATATTTTGTGCTTGGTTCTGTCGCCGTGATATTGGTGATGTTAGCCGCCTTGTCGCAAACGAGTACCACCAATGTTTATGCTAAGGTGATCTTGGGTTGCGGCGGGCGGTTGCTGAGCCAACATATTCTTTTTCCCAAGTGTGGCGCAAATGGCTCCCCAGCCACACCCGCCACACGAATTCAGCTCTTTAAGCTCAGTTCTCAACACTTATGAGAATCCTGATTTCAACTTCAGTTACATAACTTCAGCGCCATTCTTCATACAGCTAAATGGCCGTTTCCCAGTCCGTCTTCTGCACGATCTACCATTGTTCGCGAGCGTACATTTTATAGCGTCCTGTCCTAGACATAGTCGCCATGCGGAAGAGTTTGTCTGCATTTTGGTTCTGGCACTTCCGGATATCCTGGTATCGATTTAATGGCTGAAGCACGGCGATTCGCCGACCGTAAATACGGTCAGGCGGGGCGATTGACATATATTCCTCAAGACATACCCAATGGCAATGTTGGCGCGCTTCATACATCCCGTTGCACTTCAGATTGTAGGTCGCCTTCTCTCTCGTAAGGTACAGGTAAATCTCAGGTTACACCGTATTAACCGTTTTCTGGACAGTACCTTATTTCAAATTCCTCGGGAAACCGGCAGAGCTCTATCCGCCTTCCAGATCTAAGCTCTCAGGCCAAAATGTTTCTCGGCTGGGGGTAGAGCGGAACATCCACAAGCGATGGTTGCTTAAGTCGCATCCTGAAGCTTTCCTGGGAAACTCGGTTGTCTCGGGTCTCTTGACCGAGAACATTGACCGGTTCCAAAAACTCGATGATACATTGAGTTCGCGGCCTCTGCTTGTAATGGCCGAGATGGTCGACTGGAGCCAGCCCGCTAGGCCTGTGAATGTCCCAGTCCTTGCAGCCGTAACCGGGGAGGCTGGCGAGCTTTTACGTCTTGCCCGTATTGAAGACTCAAAGTGGAAGTGGGACGAAGACGAACATAGTATTCTCCATCTTTCTGTTATAGATCCGGTAGACCAGGACGATGAGCTTATCTGGGAGAGCGATGGATTGCCCATATCCCAAGTCAAATACGTATCCAGCGCTGGTTCGCGATACGAGGCCATAAGATGGATTATTGTGCAGAAGGAAACATCTACGGTAATTATGCAGCCCGAGTACCAGCCTATTCCTCTAAGCACCGCCCGGAATACCTCCTCTGGCCAAAGGCAATCTTCCTCCCGGATCAAGGCAAACCCAATCTTGACTCTGTGGCACCATGAGACGGGTGGAAACGCGCATGCGGATGTAACTTTTAACGTCCCTGCAGACAGCTCACCCCCTCAACTCTGTGTTATTGATGAATGTGGCTACTGGACACTCTGGAACATCCATGGCAAACTGGGACGGACTGCGACCACTTTACGGCTAACGCCATATAAATGCGGTCACATATGGGAAGGATCTCTGGGTGAAATACCAGCGGTGCCTTTGTATCCCGCCGAAGTACACGGGGCCCTCTTTATTGGGTCAACTGATGTGGTCGATATCACGAATGACCCATTTGCTGGGTTTGAAAGTGAGCACGGCCAGACTTTGCGTTCAAGGCATCTCCTTCTGTGGAATAGAGAGCGTCTAAATATCGTCGACGTTGAGGCAAACCAAATGTTCGTCCAAGTTCCAGACTTCTCATCCGCCACATCAAACTTCGGACATATTGTCGACGTGCAGATGAGCCCAGCAAATAGACGACACATATTCGTCATGACCGAAAGGTTCATCGTCTGGATTGACGTCTTTCCTTCGGACACTCAGTCTGACCAGGTATTCACGCCGTCCATCATCCTTACCTGCCCACACAGCTCGGTCGCCAAGCAAGGCATGAGAATGAACATCAGCCATACCACGACTGATGAGCAAGACAACATTATGATAGCTGTCTGCTCTTCTGAAGATTTACAGCTCGAGTTGTTGTGGTTCACTCTGACCCCCGAGAAAGGCCTCTCCAAGTGGCACAGTCAATTAACACAGTTGCCCAGACCAGACTCAAACAGGGCACAGTCCAATTTCCAGACGTTCATCTTACACCCCGTTCTTTTGGAATCATTGACACCGGGGCAAGGCGTTGGGTCATTGTATTTGAGCAATGGGTGTCAATTCTACCAAGGCATGATCCTGGGTCGGGATTTGAGTGTCAAATACTGCATTTGCTTCAGCATTCAAGATCCCACACTGGAAGTGACCCTTCCTACCACTCGACTGGAGTGGACACCGCAAGATCAAAATCGAAGATGGAGAAAGAAAAGAATCAAACTCCTACGTCATATGGGAGATAAATTCATACTACCTGATTCCATGTCATACATGGATATGCAACTACTCGACTCCCATCCTCAGGCAAGAAGCGCTGCGCAAACTAGAGCCCACACGGGTAGAGATCTCAATGCTGCTCATGGGCCAATATCACTGAGATTTGATACCATTGCTCGACATATTCGTATGTCATTACTTCGCTATTCAGACCAAGACTCGAGCGGCCTCCCGGCTGCTCTTATCGACAGTGTACAAAACACTATTCAGCAGGGACTCTCTTCAGGGAGGTTACCCTTATTTACCTGGTAAGAACTTGCACGCCTTTAGCTAACTGATTGCCCCTAATGCCTCTTTCGGAGAGCTAACTGAAACCAAGGCTTGATATCAATAACGGCCTAGATGAGGTTGCCATAGACCGGTCTGGGACCGGCGAGGCGACCTATGAAGATCTAGAAGCTCTGGTCGCCAAATTCGGAGATGAAGCAGTCATTACCCAGCTTCGATGCAAGAGACCAGGTGCGCCGCCTCCTGCAGTCGGCTGGTGGTCCCAACCAAGGGACCAATTATCGAGAATATGGCTCGAGCCATTGAGAGAGAAAATGTCTAGGAAAGAACTAGCTTTGAGACATAACTGGATAACCGAGCTAGGAAAGGAGCTTTTTCTTGCCACACAAGGCACTGCTGTGCAGGATGTGCCTCTGTTCGGCACTATGGCTACGCAGGAATCGCAAGCCGAGACGCTCCCTCCAGCATCTATTCGGTCATCCCCTCTGCCCAGCCCAATCCCATCCTCTTCTCCAATTATGAGCCGGGCTCCGGACTCTGATGCTGCCATTCAGAGACTGCGACTGCTGGCACCCAGCGTCCAGCCAGGGAAACTAGGCGCCTCCAAGCCGGCCAGTGTCCTCTCATACTGGCCCGTTGAGCGAGGCGTCGACCCAAGCCACTACACGTCCAGTGTGCTCCTTGCCTCCGAAAGCCAGCACGACGAGGCAAAGCAGCGGCTACAAAAGATTGAGGCTAAGCGGCGATCCATGGCGGAGAAGTACAAGCGGCCAGCCCTCATGCGCAAGGAACTACTATCCAGCCAGGCGGAGGACAGCGGCGGTCTCCCTTCACTACAAACAGGGCACAAACAGATACCTATGTCAAGTCAGGACGTTCCTGCTTCTTCACAAAGTCAAGGACCAATGGGCTTCACCATGAGCCAGCCCGTCTCCGGTGTGTTTGGAGAGCGAAAGAAGACGAAGAAACCGAAGAAGAAGAGCGGGTTCCGATAGCGGTGCTACTTCTGACTTATCACATGTATTTATTTACCATCATGCACAGCATGCAGCAGCGGTGAAAGTGCTAGCAGTACCTAGGCACCAGTAGGCACTACCTTAGTGATCATTGTATATAGTATATGAACGCCTTATGATCCAGTCCGACATGACTTGCTACCTAAAGCAAAGTCCCGGTGCCCGAGACGATATTATTCGGCGTCCTATATATCTCGTGTAATACACATTACTTGATTCATTCACCCAAGAGCGGGGGAAGCCCAACTCTTCCCTGAATCAACCTAAATCCACAGCGAGCCTCGTCCTGCATAAATCAACTGGCCGTACTTCCTCTGACCGCGCCGCCTTTTGTGCCTTTTCCAAAGTTCGTCATCTCATTCGTTTTACAGACATTCCAACATGCAAGCAATATCTTCCCCAACCATCGCGGTAAATGGCTGCCTAATCATAGGTGCTCGGTTCTCACCGGCCGCCTCAGCCGCCTGCCCTAGGCCAGTGGAAGCGTTCTACAATATCCCCTATGCCTCCACAGATCGCTTCTCCAAGGCTCGCCCACTGCCACTGGGATCTCAGACATCGGGCACGAGACTGGATGCTTCACGGATCAAGTATGCCGGCCCAAATCCCAACTGCACAACTTCCACGCTGCGGCTCCATATCACACGCCCGTCCACGGCGTCGCAGCAGCCGCTCCCAGTCGTCATCTACTTCCACGGCGGAGCCTTCAATTTCGGCGACCCCTTGGAAACTGACTCAGTCTCGTTCGTCGCCCATGCCCAGAAGGACATCATCGTCGTAGCCGTGCACTACAGGCTCGGCGTGCTGGGGTTCCTGGCCGGCGAGGGGGAGGCCAACTTGGGGCTCAAGGACCAGAGACTGGCTGTGGAATGGGTGCATTCATGGATCCCAGTCTTTGGCGGCGATCCAGCCCTCATCACCTTACGAGGCGTGAGCGCAGGAGCACACTCGGTTCGTTCTACTTGCTGTGGGATTCATCCCATTCGCGATATTGGCTAACATTCCCCCTACAAGATCGGTCATCACATGCTGAACCCGTCTCCCCTGCCCTTCCACAAAGCCATACTTGAATCCGGGTCGCCTACAGCTCGCTCCGTGCTCTCTGCCTCCCATCCTCGCACCGTTGCCAACCTTGACAGTGTCCGCTCCAGCATGCTCCCAGTCGTAACCCCTCCCAGGACTGTCAAGGTCAACTTCCTGCTCAACGCCGGCCTCGACGTCTTCTCCAAGCACACAGACTCTCTCACCTGGCCTTTCCAACCGGTCGTCGAAGGGCCTGGGGGCATCATACCGGACCTGCCCCTCAACCTCTGGCAACAAAAGACTTCTTCTGATCAGTCCACGACCTCCGGGGGTGGAACCAGCCCGCTCCCAGCAGCCGTCATAACCGGCTTCTGCACCAGCGAAGGCATCGACTTCATACCAGAAACCTGCAGCGACTTCCGCTCCTTCTTCACCAAGCTCATCCCGTCCTTGACTCCTGCTGATCTCGAGGCCCTCGAGGCACTCTACCCTCCCAGCGACCAGGCAGACCGCGCAGACCTCGTCCGCCGCCTGGGCGTGGCGTACGGCGACTACGCCTACATCTGCCCCATCATCCACACGGCCCACATGGCATCCAAGCTCGGCGGCACGGTCTACCTCTACGAGTTCGCCGCTCTCGTCTCCGAGGCCCATCGCGCGGCGTCGCACGCGAGCCACTCGGACTTCGTCGCCCGCTCGACGCTGGGCGCCGAGCTTCCGGGGCTGGAGGCCGTGAGCGCGGAGATGCACTCCCGCTGGACGGAGTTCGCGGCGTCCCCCACCGGCGTGTTCGCTGAGGACAGATGGCCCCCGTTCGTGACGCCGTTTGGTGAAGACGACGACGGCGACGAGGCCAAGGGGAGGCTGCTCGTGTTTGGTCAGGGCAACGACGAAGTATCAGGAGGCGGGAACGCAGGCGTGCCGGTGCAGACGAGGACGCTGACGAAAAGGGAGAAGGAGGTCTGCAAATTCTGGTGGGACAGGATGGAATTGAGTCAGGGCGACGGGAATGCGGGAGTCGTGAGTGAGGCGTATTAAAACACACAGGGTGCGTCTCAGGGGCCATCAAAGGTCTCGGGCAACCTCATACAAAACAACGACTGTCAGCATCCACAGGAAGCATCACTAGGGAAAAATCAACGAAAACATTTGTACGTGGTAGATCTCGGGGTTTAAATTCGTATCGACGAAAACAATACACTGCTGTTCCGCACACATTCCACCTCCTAGCTTCTCCAACATATACTTCGGGGCTATCCAAGCTATCGAACATTGGTGCTGCCAATGGTATTCAACATCAACCAGATTAAAAAAAAAGAGACAACTATCAAAGGAAAGACGTGTATATCGGGGTAGTAGACTGATTAAGAACAGGGGAAAATTCACAAGAGACCTCGCTATGCCAACCCATGAGCGCGACTAAACTGTCGAACACAAACAAAAAGGAAAGTGGTAGGGGCGAATATATATACCCAATTCTAGGTTTTTTGTGATTGATGATCGTAATATGTGACTTCCCATTGGGAGATGAGGATCGAGTTCAGAAGGAAAATCCGCCCTGTGGAACAACGGAAGCCTGTACAATGTGGCGCAAGCTGGAAGCACCACAGTTCCATAACAGATGGGTAAGGAGATACCGAACGAAAGGCGCATACACCGTCTCGTTTTGGAAGGTGGTGCATAGATAAGCGGCTGCTGGCTGTATTAAAAACGAGTTACGAGGGATAAGAGTCGTTGAAACCTGAACGCCATGACAAACCAGAAGCAAGAGGAAATCGTCGTGTCTCGGTTAGAAGTTCTGGGAGATACCCGCGCTTTGTTGGGGATAATGAGATGTGTTTTCGATGCGCGTGTTGCGGCGAGCCGGGTTATCACGGATGACGGGCTGTGGAGGCGCGTCATGATAATGGCCGTCGGTATAAGGTTCCTGATCTTGCACGTCATAGTACGTCGCGCCCTGTCCGTATGAAACACCGCCCTGTAGGTCGGAACCATCTGATCGGTTCGCAGCGCTGTAGGATGAGGAAGCATTGGAAGGGCCACGGTCGACACCCACAGCGCGGTTGTTGCCGGTGTTGCCGTTCATGGCCCCCAAGATCTCGCCGTCCGGAGAATAGATGTTATCGGACCGTGCCACGCCAACGGGGGCTTGTGTGGGGGATGAAGGATCAGAGTAGGCGTTCTTGCCTCCCGACAGCGTCGTCGATGCCTTGCGACCGTTGGAGCTGGCCAAAGTAGTGGTGCCCCAGCCGCGGTAGCCTCCTGAGGTATCCTCGTTCATCTCATAGCCACCATCAACCACACCAGGGATCGTGGGATCAGCATTGGGGTTGTACGAGTAATCCTCAACCTCCTTGCGGCGTTCCTCCTCGGCGGCAAGTCGAGCCTTTCGCTTCCTCCAAAAGAACAGAGCAGCAATCGCGATCAAAGCAATGCCTACAATAGGGACCACAACACCAATGGCGACCTTAGCGTCGGTCTTGAGACCCGAGCTGCCACTTCCTGACGAATCACCGGGTGTCAGGGAAGGGTTGGAAGTGGAAGATGAGGTGGAAGATGTCGTGCTGCCAGTACCACCATTGATTGTGCTGGTTACGACCACTACACTGGTCTGCGTACTTCCGCCATCCGTGGGAACAATTGTAGTTACAAAGGTGCTCGGCGCGGCACTACTTGTGACGGGAGCTTGGCTACTGGCAGGGGCACTTGACGAAGCAGCGACTGAAGAACTTGGTGCAGAAGTTGGCGGGTTGGATGTCGATGGTTGAGCTGCTGAGGTTGGCGCCTGGGATGTTGATGGCTGCGCCGAACTGGAGGGCGCCTGGCTCGGGGCCGAGGTGCTTGGCTGTGCCGCCGATGTTGTCGGGGCTGCTGAAGTTGGCTGCTGCGAGGTAGTAGGCTGAGAAGCGGAAGATGGAACCGCTGCCGAGGTTGAAGGAGCAGGGTTCGATGTTGCCGCAGATGTCGGTACGACATTCGAAGTCGGGACCACATCGCTGGTGGCGGCAGAGGGGGACGACATTTTGACGGTCGAATTGATGTCCTCGTTGCGGTGGTCTGGGTGTCCCTGGACGTCCGAGTCTCTGTTAGCTGCTGCTGCATCACCATGCCCGTCGCGATGGGTAAATGGCGCGGAAGCGTGTGTGCATGCGTTCAAGGGATTATGTAGCACAGGGCCAAGAGATGGGACTGGGGAAGAATGCCGGCCACGTCAAGACCAGTCTCGCAGATCTTGTGTTGCCCGTGGCTGCAGTGCAGACTCTTTCCGGGTTCATGGCCACCGGATGAGGTCTGGGTGCTGCCCATGGCGAATAGCAAAAAAAAATACCACGACGGATGCAGACGTGAGAAAGTTTGTCACGTACCTTGGCCTTGGGCCAGTTAGTTATGGAGTTTCGAGGCTCTCTATTCTCGTGGGAAAACCATGCAATGCTCGCTGGTAGCCTCACAATCAAACGCGGGGAGCAAGGCGGGAAGAGATTGGAGAGACGGAGAAGCAGGACGACGATGTCGAAATGGAAACAGACCTGGAGATGAGCTCAGCATGGGTCGGACTCGGGACTCACTCTGGAGGGAAGGTTGCTGGGGGCCGTCCAGATCTTGGGCGCCAGCACTCCTTAGTGGGCTGGGACAGTGGAAACCCTCCAGTAATTTGCCCTGCCACAGGCTATGGGCCAGGTGTGTGTCTACCTAGCTGTATCTGCTCTAGGACGGACTCGGCAACGCTTCCACACGAAAGCAGGTTCGAATCCCTGCGTGTCACTGGGGAATTACGGTTGGATAAGACCGACCCAGACACCGTCGCGCGCCTCAATAGGCCCCAGCTGGTGGCTCACCAGCGCTGCTTTAAGAACACTGTGACTATGTCGGCCGTTGCAGACTGACTGAGGTTATGTAATACTACATACTCGTCAGGAATTTGGGCGTCTCGCTACATGTTCTACATGACACACACGGCCATGCTTTTGTTTTTGTTTGTTCGCAGAAACCTTACACGATCAGAGTTCTCGGTAATCATAAGTTTTTAGATGTTGACATCATCTATTCGATGGATGCTTGAATTCTACTGCTGCAAGCCTCCTGGGTAATAAGTACAGACAGTCCCTTTGACCAATGTAATTTCGCAAGCCGCGGAATGGGGCTGCTTGCAGCAGGGATGACGAACATGCCGTAACCAATTGCTGCTGGCATCGACGAAACTTGTACTTGGCGATACAGAAAACATGGCAGCAGGCGTTGACACATTGCACGCCAAAGAGTCGTCTTTTCTGAGTACCTAGGTAGTGTAATGCAGTCCATAGCCCAGGACGAGATGAGGTCCACAGCCGGCCCGCGAGGACTCAGACGTGGCTTGACGAAGATACAAAAAGAGTAAGTCGCGGGTCCCCTCGTTATCAAAATTGAGGCTCGCCATATCTTGCAGGCTAAATTTATCTTTGGTGGCTTCCGAGCATACCTGCGGGCTGGGACCGTATAGCAAATGCCAGGGGCAGAGCTCGGGTGGCTTACATAGTACTTACTAGGACAGACTAGCCCAGGTAAGCAGGCAAAACTATCACCATTGACGGCCGGTTTTGGAGGCGGGCCAGCACTAACATTTGCGGTCCTCCCGAGCATGAGCTTCTCTACATCTTATGCCTTCTTCATGAAACACAGCCAAGGTAGGGAGCTCCGTCCAATTGCATAGGTCACACGACAGCCCTGCTGGGCGGCAGATAAGACGATATGCAGGCGACTTATTATCACCCATGTTCAGACAACGGGAGCACCAAGGCCGTCCGTCCTCACTGAGCCGAACCCCGGCAATGAGTATGTACTAGCTTCAATTACAGCGGCACTGGCGCTATCCCAGTACGGCGCCGTATCTTCATGTGGGCACATACCAGAGCTACATAGTACTGGACAGGCCCCGCTGGATACGGGGTTACAGGCGCGTCTACAGCAGAAGAATACACCTACACGCACTGGGCTAGTCACTGTGCATCACCACGAGCTCTCGTTATGTTTATACGAGTCCACTGCGGATGCAAGCGACACCCCATTGCTCTGTTGGCATCTCCTCGCCTCTCCTCGTCGGATCGGCTGATCATCCTCTGGCGATGGTGGCTATCTTTTTTGCCCTCAATCAACACGAGAATTGCCGAGTGTGGGCTCGGATGGGATAGATCGGCCCTCGCCGTTCCTCTCTCATACGCATGCAAAGCCACATTCTCCATCCCACCCGTACCAGCGCAGCACACACACACACTCACTTGTCTCCTCAATGCACAAACATGTAGCGTAGATGGCATCTCAACACAACACCGCGCGGGTGTGTGGAAAGGGGCGCCACCCAGCTCACCTGCCCAGCGGCCAGCGCCGACGTGCCAAGCACCCGGTGAGCGATCACCCTCAGCCAATCCATCAATGCCCATCATCGCATGGCGAAACCCAACGTCGCGTGGCAAAAATCTCCAAAATGGCATCTCCCTAGCCAATCACTAACTCCAATGTCTCTTCTCTTTTCTGTTTTTTTTTTTCAGCAACCCGTCCCTCCCGCTTCCTTCCTGTTCATTCATCGGGGTATTACCTCAGCTTAGACACTCATTTCAATTTGAACGGGGATCCCCATGATATCGTACAACAAGCCCAGTCAAAAATAATATCCGATTGCCTAATCAGGGGCATAATCAGCAATATTCTCACCTACCGGTCACACAGCACATCATGTAGACACCGAGACTTCCCAACACCTGCAGATATCTCCCCTCCCTGCTTCCATTATCTTCAATGTAAATTGCCAATCAATCAAACTTATCTATCCCCCACATGGGGCACACCCTCTCTGATCTCGCAACCCACCACGCATCATCTGGTCTCCCGGTCCGGATAGCCAATAGAGAGTTTAGTTTTTTTTTTGTGTATGGTCCTCTATCATGGCTGTGCAAATCAGCCGTCGCTCACCCGCCACCACAACAGGTGATCAGCACTATGCTGTTAAAAATAACTAAGTATTCAAGTGGGTGAAATAAGATATGGCACATCGAGATAGTTCAACA